TTTATTAATAAAAATTAAAAATAATTTTATTTTCCGTTAATAATTTTTATAATAATTTTTATAAATTTTTATAATTTTTACAATTTTTATAATTTTTACAATTTTTATAATTTTTACAATTTTTATAATTTAATTAAAAATAACTTTATTTTTAATTAAATAAAACTTTTATTTTAACCGTTTTAATTTATTTTAATTAATTTAATAAAAAATTTTATTAATAAAAAATCATATTAAATAAAAAAATTTAATAAAATTTAATTAAATAAAAAGTTTAATATAAAATTAAATTAAACGAAAAAATTTAATAAAATTTAATTAAATAAAAAATTTAATAAAAAATTTAATTATATATAAAAAATTTAATTATTTTTATTTTAACCGTTTTAATTTAATTTAATTTATTTAAATTAATTTAAATTTATTATATATTATTATAAAACTTATTAATAATTACGTTATAATATAAAAAAAATAAATTAAAAAAAAAAAATTTATTAATATTAAATTTATAATTATATTATAATAAAAAAAAAAAATATTAATATTAAAATATAATTATATAAAAATAATTATATAATAATACGTAATTATTTTTTATATAAAAAATAATTTTTTTTAAATAATATTTACATATATAATTTATTATTATAATAATAATAATTATTGTAATAATTTTATTTCGTATTATATTTCGTTTTTTTATTAAATATATATTACCATTTTACTTTATTATTTAATAATATATATATAATTAAATAAATTTATATTAAAATTTAAATATATTTTTTAATTATATTTAATTTATATAATTTTTTTTAAAAAAATATATTTATTTTTATTAATATTATAAAATTATATTATAAATTAAAAATATAAATTAAAAAATAATATAATAATAAATATTTATAAAAATATTTATAAAAATTTATTAAATATAATTAAAATTATATATATATATAAAATTAAATATTAAATTTATTTATAAAATATTACGTAATATATTATATAATATATCATTTTTAATATAAAATTTTATTTTTTATTTATTTTTATTTTTAATATTATTTTATTTTTTATTATTAATTAATTAATTTAATTAATTATTATAATCTTTTCGTTGCGTTCTGCCACGTTTCAATTGAAAAAATGGTACAATGTCCAAAAGTCACAAAAGTGCGCGGGATCTTACAGGAACAGGTGCTGCGTTAACGATACCGATATCCACCAGTGGTTTTTTCCCGGGTCTGCAATTACATATTTTCCCCTTCTCACTTTTTCCTCCCAGGAAAACCAAACTACCACCAGACAACGAAGTCGCACTACAAACAGCTTTCAAGAAAGTATTCCAGTTAGATCACACTAAAACTTCGTCGAGAACCATGCCTTCGGCCGTCGCTGAGCTGTAAATACCCACTACGGGACATGTCTGGCGTTCCCGGTCATGTCCCGTAGTCCAGCAGTTCACCGAGATATTCAATCGCAATTCGACAACTCGACGAAGTTATACAGGCTTTCACTGTCTTGTGTGCCCTTTTTAGACAAAGTGTGCCTCCCGGAAGTCTAAATATTAGACAGAATTACAGAATTACTGCACTACTGCGCATTTCGCCCATCCATTGCCGGCGTATACGACTTCGGCTCAGTGACGACGATTATACTCTTCCCTCAACCCCTTTCACCTCCTTCCCCCTCCTAACAATCGCCCATTACTTCGTTTCGTATACCCTTGTAAACAGTATACAACTCGGGTATAACCTTGAGAAAGGGCACTGTCGAGAAACTAAAGGGTTTTTATACTACCACGAGAGTGGACACTCTCTGCATTATCTGCGCTGTTCGAGTATCACTAAGGCTTCACCGCCGTTTGTCTCGATTTTCTCAACCTCGAATCCGGGGGTGGAACCATTACCCCTGCATTCCTCGCATATTCTCTATAATTAGCATACGGTAACAATGTCCCGCAACGTACGGCAACAACGGCCACCGACTACTCCCGTCAAGGTCTCCAAGCGTCGTGCCTCGGATGCTTCGTCGTCACTCGACCTCTCTGATGAGGGTGGTTATTCTGGAGTAGAAGACATCAGTGATTCTGACGACGACGATGAGGATGGAATAAACGCGGTCGAGGAGGAGCATATTCTCTCACATGAACTGCACAAACCTATTCGCAGCTCACGCTCCCCTCGGCCGCATGATGATGACGACGAACAGGATGAACAAGACGACGAAGATGATGGTGAGGGTGGGGATGAGTACGAGGGCGATGATGACGACGCGGGCGACAATGCAAGCTGGGATGGTATCTCCTCTGAAGCAGACGCTGACGACGATCTCGCAATTGATCAGGGATACATCAGCACAGAACGGCGCGTCCGCTTCGATATCCCTGAAGATTCGTCGGACGATGACTCGACAGAAACTGATGACGATGTAGACCATGGTTTTTTCCCTGACCTCTTCGTTGACAAGAGCATTCTCGATCCTTCTTTTCGTCGAGAAATTGAGCATGATGCTGACCCTTACGACTCGTCTAATTCGGAAGCATTTTGGGATAATTATTCTACCGCTGCTGGCGACTGGCATGGCTTTGACGACGAGCCGGCCTCTGATTTTGAGGCTTTAATCAAATCCTTAGACGATCAAGATAGTACGCCGGTTCCTACACCTATGACGAACCAGGATCTATCAACTTCCACCAACACCCCCATGGATCTATCCGACAACGACGAGATCTCCCTTGACGGATATCAAAGTGAGTGAGAGAAATTCGGCTAATAACAAATTTATACTAATCCTCCCCGCGTAGCTGATGGGGATACTACCGATGAGGAAGATCCGCCTGAGAAACCCGTCCGACGTAAGACTCGACGGGAGGCTGTAGACGATGATTCCGATTCGGATGTCATTACGCTCGTTCGGCCACGCCGCGGGCAACCACGCGTTGGTCGGTTTAATCTCGACAAGTCTAGTAAGAAGCCCATTGCGATCTTAAACCCGAGAACCGGCAAGATGATGATCTTCACTCATCAAACCATGCGAGGGAGAGGTTTCGATCTCTCTCCAGAGCAATTCAACTTCCACTATTTTGACCAGACCCAGTCTTCTCCTATGCTCAGCAACCCGGGCAGTATCATGATGAGCGGCATGATCTCCTCTAGCACTTACGGGGACTTTATGAATACGCACGCCGTCGGTCCTGAAGAAGCTTGGTATTCTCAGCTATCTGATGGGAATGCAGTTGAGACGTCTGATTCGGACGATCAAGTTGTCGACGAAGCAGAGAAGAATCTCAAGTTGGAAGATTTCATCACCTTGGATAATGACGACGAGGATGATGAGGGCGATGAATCATCTGAAGAAGAGAAGACCCTCGAGAATGACGAGGCGGATGATCAAATATTCCGCACGCCTGGCCGTACACCCGGCCGCCCCGCTACTGCGTCCAGCGATGTGGCATCCCTCCTCGACCACTTCCAACATAACACCAATATCGTCGGTGCATTTCGCCGAGACCAAGCGAATCATCAGTTAATTAGCCGTAGTAAGGCTACCCGAGAATCTCTCGCGTTCTCCGGTCCCTATTTTGAAGGCACTCTCCGTGGCATTAAGGATGGGCGCATCGCTACTACCAACGTTCCCATCTCTCCCATGCGTAAACAGAAGAAGATGCCTGAGCTCGCCAGCAGCCCTCTCTCGACCGTGACGCAGAAGAGGAAAGCATCGTCGGAGCACCATCTCGGCCATAAACGGCAGAGGAGCATTCCCGATGTAAATCTCAGGATCTAATCCTTTATACGTCATACTCTCGCCCGACGTTCTTTTTCTTTTTTTGTTATCACAATACGCCGATGGACGGTGTGGCCTATTCCCATAGGTCATTCCCTGGCCATTGATCACCTACCCACAAGACGAATCCGATGTATTTATACGGATCGATCACAGGGTGATTTTCTCTTTTCTTTGTCTCTAGCACCTGTACCTACAACCCCTGTCAGACGGTTCTGATTTGGTATCTGAAGAAGGCTAGCCATGGCCGGCGATGCGATACTCCTGTCCATGGCTATGCTATTTAAGAGATTTGGTGGCAGCTCCGCGGAAATACCATGCTTGTCAATAGTTTCCTTAAATCTCTTGTTTGTTCCGGTGGCTGAAGGCTACACAATCTAGCCTGACAAGCTCTGGTGCTTATTTAGACGGCCATAGACAAAAGCGGAACCTGGTGTTCATAGTACTGTGGAAGGACGATAATGCCCCGGATATATTTGCGAAGACAAATCGTGTTTGACATCATGCTGAAAAGTATGAATACTCTCACATAGTCTTACTCCTAAAGAGGCGATGTCGTTCGCAATGTCTCACAAGATGTTATTTCATAAAAGACTCAATCTAAAACTACTTTCATCATAATGTCTATCCTCGTGTATGAAATTATCATCCTATTGACATGAGTGTTTCTATAATCGTCTTTAGATTAACGTTACCATCGCTAATATCGCATCCCCTCTATTTCCGTACCCTAGAATAGCTTCAATACCTCTTGGAGCAAAATAACTATCAGATGAAGTTTGAGTTTTAATTATTTTAAGATTACGAACATGCTGAAGGTAAGCATTTGATATTTAATTTACCACCCTCAAGATAGCTAACAGAATCACGATATACGACTGCTTGTATTTACGACTTTGGCCAGGCCTGGTTACTATGTTTTTAGTAGTATACCAGTCAGCCAGGATCCCTCGTGTTCTTGGGCTAGTTTTCACTTCTACGTTGCAACAAATGAAGCGCGAAGTAAATGATTTATTCCGGTGGTCATATCCTATCATATTGTACCTAACACCCAGTACGGTCGACACGTTTAGTCAACTTTTAACTACAGGTCATTCGGACATAGAACTAGAGTCATTAAGTCTATGGATTACCAAACGCTTTCATCAAAAATCGGGCGTATACGCGAAAATAAAATTTGTGAGGATTATCCGATATAAAACCTATATCCTTCAATTTGTACCTATACTCATTGGAATAAAGATAACCTCACCAAGTTAGAAAGTGAAAGACATAAGGCAATACAAAAGACACCAATTCATAGCAACATAGTAATAAAACTAATCTCACAATCTCAACTACAGTACTTCATCATCTAACATAGACAAATGCCAGTGTTAACTCGGTTGCTAATAGGAGCCCTCAAAAATAGGGGGTGATCCTAGAAATCGTAATAGCCAATATCATGACCCTACCCAAACCGTGATGAAAGGAGCCCATAGAACAATACACCTTGCTTTAGCTTTCGTTACGCCAAATCGATCCATATTTTATCATCTTCGCGTGCTCGTCTTTCCCATCCAACGGCTACGCACCTCATACAATCCTTCTCGCATCTCGACATCATTTAGAATTTCATCCATCCATCCCTTCCCCAATCTTACTTAATATAAAAGGTATTTGAGCGCGATGATATGATCATAGCTCCTCCTTTACCTCACCAGCCTTCTTCTTCGCGGCCTCGGAACCGGCACCCAGTTGTCCCACGACCCATTGGTACGCGTTCTTGACACTCTCGCCAATCTTGGCGAACGCGGTGCTAGCCGGGTTAGAGGTACCGTACTTGAAGTACGTCGATTGCTTGCGCGCCTCGGCGCGGAGCTCGTTGAGGGTGGAGCCCTGGGGAACGGGCTGTGTCGGAGTTAGCATTATATAAATTATTTAACGTATACAAGTTGTTCTTAATTAAAGATGGAAGTACACTTACCACGCCATAGCTGTCTAGGTACGCCTTTAACTCGCTCTCGCTCCATGTGTCGAAAGTGCTCTTCTTAGCCGAATCAGTAGCCTGAGCCAAATAGCTTGTCGCAGAGGCGTACGAGATGCCGCCGGCGCTTGAAGCAGACGCGTAAGCCGATTGAGCGGCGTCTACGAGTTCGTCTCGGGTAGCGGAGCTGCTCTCGCCAACCTTCGCCGCGGCCGCGTTGCCACTACCGGCTAGGTACTTCTTCAGGTTGTCGTAAGATAGGTCGTCCCAAGTCCAAGCGCTGAAGGGGTGGGCAGCCTTGTGGGCGTTGCGCCGCACTAAGGCGCGGAGCTCATCAATCTTCGACCCCTGGGGGACAGGAACTCCGCGAGCATCCAGATAAGCCTTCAGTCGGCTCAAAGACCAGACATCAACTGCCTTGTTGAAAGCATCCTGAGCGGCAAGGCTGGCATCGTTGGTGGCCTTGGCGTACTGGTTACCAGCTTTACTAGTAGCGGCACCGAAAGCGCTTGAAGCGGATGCGGATACGTTGTCACCGAGGATAGCAGCGCGGTGTTTCCGAACAAGTGCACGCAGCTCATTGGTCTTGCTGCCTTGAGGAACTGAATATGCTGTTAGTTAAAGTTACGAGAGTGGTCCAACCGCTACTTGTGTTACTTACCATTGACTCCGTTCTTGTCACAGAACTCCTTTAGTTGAGACTCGCTCCAAGCATCAATAAGCTTATCAGTGAGAGCATCGTAGGCGGAATTAGCACTAGCGGAAGCAGACTCTTTCTGCTCTTGCAGTTTCAGATAAGCAAGGCGGGAGTTGCGGCGAACCATGGAAATCAGTCGGTTACGCTGCAGTTCACGACGTTAGTTCAGTACGTTTAACTGGATCTTCGGGGATTTCTTACGTCAGTGATTTGAGGAGCAGGAACCCCATGGGTGTCTAGCCACTCCTTCAGGTCGGATTCGGACCAAGAGTCGTAAAGCCAATCTCCCGGGTACGAAGCGGTCTCACCGGCTTTCTTCGCTATGGCCTCGTAGTTAGAGCGGACCTTCTGAAGCAAAGTATCACGGGTTCGTGGCTGAGGGACTATACATGATATTAGCAAGATATCAAATAGACACTAAGGTATTTAGAAATATTACCTGGAATGCCATGTTTGTCGGCAAACGCCTTTAGAGCACTGTCAGTCCAGGTATCGAAGATCCATTCTTGGACACTGGTCCAGCCCGTCTGGGCTTTGTCTTCCGTCTCGTACCAAGCATTCGCTACCTGGTTGACGAGCGAATCCTTGTTCGACTTTATAGAGTCTTTAGTCTCTACACCTTTCGTTTTAAGGTATGCTATAAGCTTGTCCGTGTCCCAGTTCTTATAAGGGGAGACGGCGTAGGAATCCCAGTTTTTCTGAATCAAGATCTCAAGATCTTTTCGATCAGCCGGTGTAGGATAGGGGATATCATTGTCGGACAGCCATCGTTCTAGTTCGGTCTCATGCCACTTGTTGTATGCTGTGTTTAACATAGGTATTAGCAAGTGATACCATGTAATCAACTCAAAAGAATATATAACTTTGCAATAACTTACCAGCTTTACTAAACCAGCTGCTACCCACGACGGCATCAGCCGCCAGGCCAAGGGAGAGGACGGTTGAAAGCCACCTCATGACGGTCTAGGTATCTAAGCTTAATTCTACGATTATATCCTCGTTGATATTATGCTTCGTACTAGGTATTTGTTCTATTGTAGAAGAATTAAGTATGTCGAACTATGATGAATATCGTGAAGGATGGAAGGAATTGAAATGGTTTTGTTTGGCACGGGAGAGAAAAGTCAGTGGAATTTTAAGAAATGTATGATGATGAAGGATGATGAATATGTCAAAATGTATCACGTCACTGTTTTCTTTTGTTTACCGTCACAAGCTAAGCTCGACAAGTTAGCCTTAGGTCAGGCAGCTCTATGCATTAAAGCCCCTTCCCTTATGTACCCCTAAAGCTAGAAGTATTATAGGCCATACAGAGCTTCACGTTTTCTTATGTGGCCATTGCGTTAGACAAATATGACGTAGTAGCTACAGCAACTTGTGGCACCATAGGAATTGGTTTGCCTATCAGAAGATCTAAAGTGATGGGCATTACTAGTTTCAAAACAGAAAGAGGCGCTCAAGCCTTCAAATCTTCTTTATCGAATAGAAATAGAAATGTATGACCAAGGAGACAGATGAGTTTGCATGCGGCTAGTATCTCGATCATAGACTGTGAGGCTGGATAATGTAGGTTAAAGGCGAAGAGCAAGGAATGATAATTCCGGTGATGTCATCATCCTGAATTAGGTACCGCTTTAGCGTCGGTACGTATTGACAGCTAAAGCCACAATTTATTTGGCGGGTGTGGGGTAGAGTACCTAGGTACCTAAGCTGTTGGGGTTAACCCCACATTGGTTATTACTGTGTATCTATACAGTCTTTATACTCATAGTACACTGTCCTTATACTTATGTAAATATAAAAGCATTCTTATGTTATAGAAGCTAAACGCCTCTATATGCCTAGTACATATATAACCCTCCCATAAGTATGTAGGTAGTTGATAGCTCCGAGCTGAATGGCAGCATTATAAAACATACCTCCTCTACCATCCCTAACTCCTACAACTCCGAGTGCTCTAGAAGTAAATACTTCCTAACGTAGAAGGGTATCAAGATGAACTACTACCAATGGTCATTCTACGCATCTTTATGCTAGGCAACCCAAAGCTGCCCTGTTTCTTGGCCTTGGGTAAAGTATCTTCATCCTCTTCTCCGTTCCGAATCGCGCCGCCTCTCAATGACTCCTGATTTACGAAGAATCGTGGGAAAAGCCCTCCCTTACCATTCTTCTTCGTTCCGTACCAGCACCAGTCATCCTGATTCAGCCCTACACGAAGGGTTAGTATCTAATTAATAACCGAGTCCACTGCGGGATTACTAAAGGGGGATATAGGGGGTTAAGGTAGGCTGAGACTCAACATACAGGAAACATTGGACAAAGTTTCATCCTTGTCAAATTGCAACCATCCTGCTGACATATCCTTCACCTCAAATTTCCAGCGCGTCGTAACGAACATGCCGTCGGTACATGCATTTGTGCCTGGGAGGTTTGCAGGCAATTCGAGGATGACGTGCTTCGTAGGAAAGGAACCCCATTGGCCGTCGTGCCAGCCAGTGCACCATTTCCCCTTCCAATTCTCTGGAAATTCGAGACCCACGATGCGGGCGCCTTCCATAAACTTCATAACCCGATCCGAATTACCGTCGGGATCCGTCAAATCGCGTCCATACCGTTTAATGTGGCTCTTAATGGCTCTCGCAGATGGAAATTTGGCTAGAGTCGCAGTGTCTGGAAGTAGGCTAGCTACAGGAGGGTTTGGGAAGTGAAGATCGTAATCTTCAACAATAGGGTCGTTCTTGGGCACTTCGCCATACCTTTTAGGTGATTAGCTAAATTATTTAAAGAATCAAAGACGGGATTTTTACAGAATCGTGATCCCGGGGATCTCCGGTAAAGGCTGTGGGTGGCGCGATAAATGTTTAAACAACTGGTCCTGCGTTGTAAATATCGTAGCATCGTCGGCATAGACGGTCTGTCCCTTTTCTGCGCAGAAGAGGCAGCCGAATCGCATCGTAAACGCTGAATCCGAGACCAAGTGAGACTTGTATAGAAACCGGAGACGATACAAAACGCCGGCTTTGCCAAAGTTCCCACCCGCTGCGAGTCTCGGGGGTTAGCTGAGTGGCCTGGGATTATTAGGGGATTTGGCTTACGGTCAAGAGCGTCGTCGAGCTCTACTTCCAACAGGGATTGGGCGAACTCGCATTCCGTGCATCGGGCAGTGCTTCGTCTAGTTCCCTAATTATACGGCATTAGCGGAAGTCGCCTCGTTACGAACATATCAGCCTTCTATGATATATAGGCGGCAGCTAAATAAGCTAAAATGCCCTTACATATTCCATTACGGCTTTGGTAGCAGCCCTGCGCCCCTTAAATCGATACGTCTGCGAACCCGTGCATAAGCCCTTATGTATATAAAGGCTGCTGTCTAATCCGATCTGATAACCAGAGAACGAGTCCTTTCTTGCCGCAAAAAGTTCCTCTGCAGGTATTAGGCCATCTTCGTAAGCCGGCGGACCGGGCAATGGCGGTAGCTCAACTTCGATCGGTTCGTGTGTTTCAGGGGAGTCTGTCATGGACTTCGCAAGCGAGGTAGTTCTCTGGTCGCTCGTGGGGACGTGGACGGATGATCTGGGGCCCGAGGTATAACTACCAGTAGTAGTGTACCACGATATCCTACTATAGGAAGTATCCGGGCTTTTAGGTACATTATGCGGCACCGATAACTCTTGGCCGTGTAGAGTAAGGCTGTCGAGGCTATTAAAGATGACAGGATGCCCCACAAAGTAGTCATCTTCAGGGATCGAATTATTGCGAGACCACGATTTAGCAGCAGTGGTCTGTTCGCTAACCCAGGCCGACGTCCTCGGGTTCGGAGGTGGCGCACTTGGGGGGGTAGATATAAGACTGATGAAATCGCGCTCTGCTCCTAGTATATCGGGACTGGACGGTCGTCTAGATGGTGTGCTGGCGCCACTTATGCCGGCACTGTCGCTGAGCCTCATAGAGGTAATAGATCCGCTATTGTCATGGCCCTTATTATTCGAATCCCGTGAAGATAACGGCTGTATCCACGATGGAGGGGACGATGCTTCCCGCACGCTTTTTTCGATGTGTAGTCTCTTCATAGTTTCCATAAGAGTTAGAGCAAATGCCTTAGACGACGCTTGCACATCTGCGAACTTCTCGGGGTCGAATGAATCAACCTGGACGAAATCGTCCAAGTCGTAGAGCAAATCTTCCAGCCGTCTCTGGTTATCGAGAATCCGATCTGTAAGTTTAGGATCAGTAGGGTTCCTCAAACATGGCCTCAATTTGAGTAGCAACGATATATCGCAACTCTTATATTGGTAATAGGTAAAAATTCACCATTCTGTCGCATAGTCTCCGTGAACGCATCGCCATGTTTGTCAACGCGTTCCTGCCATAGTGGTAGAAGTCTCTGCAGGGCTCGCTCGCCTTCTTTAACTAAGGAGCGTCCTGATTTGAGCATATCCGTCACATTTTGTCCGTTCGACGGATCGGTGCCGTCTTCGTCCTCGTCGTCACCATTGCCGGCCGCTGCCTCGGCATTAGCGACAGCTTCCTTGCCCCGCTCTACAACTTCTCGGAAAGGCTGGATGAGAAGCTCCTCGGCGTCGATGGCCATCACCGACTGTCGAGACGCACCCGAGAGCGCTTGAACATGGACTAGAGAACTGCAGTATTATGAATACCAAAGATCGAAATGCGTGAGATGGACGAAACCGGACTAGACCATAAGATGACATGCATACAAACAACAGGTTCTCATAACCCAGGGTATCGTCACAAAGGTAAGGGGCATTGATGAGATGCACTATGTAGGTAGGTATGTTGCGCGAAGGAAGAAATTAATTAGATTGAAGTTGGTTCCGTCGTGACGGCACCTTTCATGTGCTCACCTTCCTTTTCTTCAACCTTTGTACATAGGTATTTATCCCACTCATATTTGGGGCTCTATCCTAGTACTATATTTCTAGCCATTCAAGTTGATGCTCAGCCTGCTGTAGACTAGACGAGGGGGGACCCTGAATCCGACATCCTGGTTCGTCCAGTTCTTGGCCGGCTGTTAGATATCGATGCAACGAATTATCGACATGGGCGAATCACGGCGTCTCCATACCACTCGTTAGTAGGAATATAGCGCACCCACCTCTGTTACGGTTATAGTTAAGCGCAACTCATAACCGTATGCGGCCTACCGATCTACCGATACCGCGAATTCGGATTTGCCGACGGCCAAATTCCGTATATTGATAATTTTTAGGGCTTCTGATAGGTACTCTGATAGCAAATCAACCCCACTAACCTAGTCGTTCTGCCGTTTCGGCGTGGGGAGTTGGAAGAGATGATACATAGGTAGGTATATCCCTCACAGGTAAGCGTCTTTCAGCTATTGTTTGACAATTGATTTAGGTTAGGAAGTGAAGGGAATAGAATCAAAAAGATGTTATCTTTGAAAAAGTTTTTATTTTTCTTGGGTCGCACGAATTACATAATATCCAATACCACGTGCAAGTACGAATGGCTTACGCGTAGTTCTCGAGCCAAGTCCAAGCCTCATACAGTCATACTAATATCTTGGTATAAGTTAGTATAGCTCGGCATCTATAACAACCACGCTTGTAAAGACGATAATATAAACTACCTCTTTTCCTCTGTCAAGTTGAGTCTTGGAATGTCTTCCCAAATTATAACCCAACACTATAGCCACTAGTATAATATTCCTTGTTTTCGTTGCTTTAGTTTTTCGTATCGGCTTAGCGATATCTACGACAAAATTCAAGATCGTACCTAGATGACGTCAATAAAGTCGCTATACTTCGTACTAAAGGGTAAATATGGATATGTTTCCGTTTTACTAAAAACGAGATAGTCACGTTTAAGGTTTCCATCATCTTAGTGGATTCTTGCTACTTGCTCTTAATAATAAATATATTCTCTAGCGTAGCGATAGTTATATGCTGAGAACAGGGACTCGACGGAAACGTACTGCTTCGTTTGTTTAGCCAGATAAGCTGGAGCTATTATCCCTCTACTGGAGGAAATGAAAGCTCATAAAACTGCATATACGCAAAGAGACAAGTGATACTAAGAAAACTGCCTTGGTTAGGTACCTGCCTAGAAAAGGGGGAAACTGAAAAAGGGGGAAGGGGTTTGCTTGCAAGACAAGCCGTGCAACATATAAGAAGCAGAGTGATACCCATTTCACGGGACGGGTTGCAGCATCGTGTCTCCTCCCTCCATTCTCGTATTTCCTTTTTTTAATCAAAATATAGCATGTACCTTAACCATCAATACGAATGCTAAGCAGTTAGACTATTTTTCGTCATGCTTAAAATCGGAAACACCAAATCTAAACAGATTAAGTACCTATCGAAACTCGTATTCTCCGTATCTCGAGAATAAAAGCAACCCTATTGCTCTACGAAGATATTGCACGTAGCTGGTTTAATGTCTCTTGGCGTCTTTGGTTGAAGATGAGACTCTGATGTAGAACTATAGGAGAGGCTGAACGATCTGCTCCTATGATACTAAGGTTTGGATCTCGAGGCACTCGAAAAAGGGAAGCTTTGTTCATCGTTAATAATAAAGCAGTATTCCTGAGGGCAACGGAGGACCACCTTGAAAGTGGTGAATAATTATCCTCTCCACTGTCCTCGAGATAATTGTTAGTGAATGTTAGATGGAACTTATTGTCCATCCAAGCTTCGACCATTATAATACAATAACACCATTACCCCTGAGGGGCCTTTAGTGGCAACACCTGCCGACGTTGAGCGGGTTTCGTTAAACAGGTAACATCTAAATAGACCTGCTGTAATATCAACTTTTGTGAAAGTAAAAGCGCTTTAGTTATTCAATGCTGGTATCTATAACATTTCATGCCACGTAAAATACAACTCGAGTTATTCAATATTAGAACACAAACCAACGACCCAAACGGAACACTCGACATTCCTGATTTATCGCCTAGCTTTCCTTCCGGCGTTGCAAACCCTCTGACATAGATGTTAGTGTCTACGAATTTCATTATATATAGGATTAGCACTTACCGCACGCCGCTCCGTGAAATCATTATAAAACCCGTTCCACAATTCTCTGGCTGAACAGTCCTCTTGGCCGTTCTTCGTCTCACATTTAGGCTGCTTGTCTTGTCGCATCGAGTCAGTCATCGGGATCCACGGCTTTGGCACGGGCCAGTCGGAGAAGTGAAGGAACTTGGCTTCGTTATAAATGGCAACAGGATCCCATTCTTCCTGGTCGGTACCCAAATAGTTCTGGTGGTTATCCCCACGGAACTCACCCGTCAACAAGTCGTAAGGACGATGCGGGAGAATCATAGCGCTGTCTGCGTATAGCTGGTTTACAATTTCCATATCGTAATCGTTGCGCCCGGCAGATTCCATCTTCTCCATGATCCTGCTAAACTCAACCGCGCTGGGCTGCACTAACATCAACTGAGACGATAAAATCTTGTTATCTGGAAATAGCCAGTAGGCACGAGGCATAGCAACAGGGCACGGTGGCATGAGGAATAACTCGTCCATGGTCTGGAGAATAGTTGAATCCGAGTCGACGTTTAAGACACGGGTGTATTGAGTTTGATTGAATGCAAGAAGCTTGGTGAAAGATTCGGCCCAGGTAGCTGGAAACAGTATTAGAGAACGAGAAAATAAAATTGAGAATAGACATGGACGTGCTTACCGTCACCGCCGGCCCGTCGTTTAATCTCTACGGGCACTAGCTTAACCTTGTACTCGTCCCGGGCCTTAGCGAGCAACCTGGCCTCTTCCGACGTTGGGTTCGTCTCGCCAGCGTCCATCATGTTCTCGGGATACATCATGACGCGATCAGCCTTGCTACCGAGGCGGGATAGAGTCTCGAAGATCATGACCGAGTTGCATAGATATGCAGCGTTAGTGACATATTGCGTGTAGGCAAACTGCGACCAGTTGACTTGCGCATCTTCGAATGCCGGTACAACTGCGGGAGGACAATTTGAATTGGCACCGGCGACGGCGGCAGCACCACCGCTTCGCAAACTCTCGATAGATGGGAGACGATCGTAGTTTCGGAAGCCAAGTAGGAATATGCCGACGGCAGCGAGGGAAAACGTAGCGTAGCGCACTCGCTTCGAACTTAAAATCTGGCCGATGCTGGGTTTGAGGTGGGAGGAGTCGGTAGCAGAGCCTGGGATTGTGTTCTGTTCGCTATTCTGAACGGCCCTATATCCAGATAGAGAGCCCCATGTAGAGGACCACGAGGAGCCCCAAAGCGGAGCCATATCGAAAGGTGTTGTTCAAAGACAGAGGTTAAGATTCGACGCTGGACGAAGGAGGAAGTTGAATCACCAAGGATTCGCCGAGAAAGGAATCAATACCAACAGGCAAGCAATGAAACAGCACTCATCGGGGAAACAAGGTACTTTGTAAGTAGAAAATAGGAAGGGATAAGTTAATAGGCATTTGCTATGTAGTTTGACATCAAAACAATAGCTAGCTATCTACCCACAGTTTACCGTAGTGTAGATGGACTGGGGAGAAATTGTGTGGTGATGTTTGCGACCTGGTTTTCCGAACAGGCTGAATCAAGTAGGTAGGTATTATTGAAGGTGATGGGCAATCGCATTGAAGGCGCCACTATGGATTACGAAAATACGCTAGGTACACTACAAAAGTACATGACTGCCACCTTAACCCGCCTACACGTGGCTTACTTTACCGCGTACGTAAACTGCTCTGCAGCTCTTTCTTTATTCAGTGGGGGCCGATTATCTATGCCATTAAAATTATGGCGCTAACTTTAAGGAAATTGATCTTATGCTGGGGTTAAGTTAGTCGCACCCACACAGTTTTTGATTATTTAATTTCTACTGTACGTATATCTTCTCAACTTCGAGGTACAACACAAACGCGGATTATTTTCTACTTACACACTAGGTACTACATAGGTAGGTAGGTAATCCGTACCTAACCTATCTCTTAAAGACCCAAACAGGGGTCTGTAAACTAGCGTTGTTCGCTACCAGCCGTTTTTATACAGATCTAAGTGATCTATTTCTATAAGTCGTCAGTTCGATGGTTAATCTTAGAATTATGCAATTTTGATAGAGAAAGCAGATTGAACAGCTGGTAGCGAGCGGCGCTAGTTTACAGGCCCCTGTTTGGGTCTCTAAGAGATAATATCATGACTCGTTTGCGTGGTTTATCTGAGTATAGTATTCTTTTTCTATCATAGCTTTCAATTGGTTCAAAGATTACTCGAGATCATCAACCTGATACGATCTCGTTTTCGATTGCCATAAATATATTCTGCAATAGAGTCTCACCCGCTGCAAGGATTCACCTATAAGGGTGGCAGCCAGCCCAAGGTGCATTCTGCAGACATCGCCTACAGCTTGAGATTTATAATATGAAACCTGGAAGCGTCGCACCTCCACCCGCGGTCGACGACCTGGCTGCTATTAGATGATCGGCTCCGAGTCCCCGACCGACGGACCCTTCGGTTGATCGTTACTCGTCTAGCACCTACTAGGCCATCAAGCTACGAAGCTACCAATCACACTACGATAGCATATATGTAATAGCACGTCTCCGGGGGGTATGGGTGATTACGATGGTATTATTCATGGTGGGGATGGGTAGGTATATTCTTAGCCCCCAAAGAGGTCAGAGCCTACCTCACAACACTAAAGATTCTACTAAACCTATTTAATATAGGGGAGAGAAGACATGAAAGTCAGCGTTATAGACTAATTCCTCTTCGCTACTGAACTGGTCTACGAATTAAATATAAGATCACCAGCTCATGTTGTAACCGCGCAGAGTCGAACAACCATTGTACAGATCACAGAGTGGCTCCACGACATCAACCTTATCTCTCCCACTTCAGCCTTGGATTCTTGATTCTTAAGATGAGAAAATCCCAGGGGGCGACCCCATGTGCAATGCTTAAATTCAGACCCGTCCACAGCAACAAAGGGGCGCAGACTGCTGGCTGATTCCATCAAACGGGAAGCTGATGCAGGTCTTAACTAAGTTCGGCTCGAGGTCTCCAGCATTCAGCTCCTTCGAAGCTTTCCTATGTAATGGTACTATGCAGAAATAGTGGGACGCGACCCTGGCAAGTCTCACGATCCACAGCCTCATCTCCCTGTCTGCTTGAATATTTTTGGGTAGGACTTTTCTTAACCTAGATAGCTTAGCGGCAGCTTTCCGTAAGCGCCCAATGGATCCTATACTCAGTAGGTAGAGTATACCTGCTGCAATACATGTACTGTACTTCTCGTATGGAGCATACAAGGCGGACTTTGTCTCTAGTCGAGCGTTCCTGGGGCTGGTATAGTGATGATCCCATCTCCTCCGCTCTCTACTCACATTCCTTCTTTAATATCAGTCTCTCTTAATTCTCCTCTTTGATAACGACTTCGAGTGTCGTCTTGGACCAAGCCGCAAAATAGTGCGTCGTCTATACCGCACTTTTGCGTGCTTCTAGCCATGGCCTCTACACGATCTTTACCTGTATCCTTTCTTTTCTATTTAGCGGTCTTCAGACTCATCAAGGCAGACACAAAACCTATCGCGGCGACATGGTCTAGCTCGACGTTTGGACCTGACGGTCCTTGGCCGGCGATTGAGGTGACAATGGGTAGCGAACAGAAGATATCGATATACCCAGGGCGGGAATTTCAAACTTTTCTCCTGACAAGTGATTATTGCAACCAAAACACGACGATTCCGTGTTATGCTAACCAAGCTGGACTCTACAACGAAGCTAAGTCGCAGGTGGATAATACGGGGTCAACGGGTTCGATTCAATATCAGGCAAATCCAGACTATATGCAAGGTGTGGAAGTGCTAGGCGAAATGACGAAGTCGTGGATCGACACGATGGAATTTGGAGGCACGACAATAGAGAACGTCTCGCTGTCTTTGTTGAGCGAGTCATATATGGCCTATCCGAATGGTCAGTGGTATCCTTTGACTGTAGGCTGCTTAGGGATAGGGGCTCCAGCAACGGTCAACCAATCCTTCTCCAACGACTATGGGCCGCTTATCAATGCTAGTCTCGCTCCTGGATACTTATGGTCACATAGCATAACCGCGTCCAACTCTTTCGGCATGCATATTGGATCCGCAAACCCCCGGATGCCGGGATCGTTTTACTTTGGCGGTTACGATCAGAACCGTATTGTAGGAGATGTTCTTACGTACTCGGATGACTACACGAAAGATATCACCTTGAAAGATATCAGCATCAAAGTGATAGATGGTTCTTCGCCATGGAACTTTGAATCTTTGGGTGGCCTCCTCGCAGCCGACAATTCGTCCATCACCTCTGGAGGTGTCCAAGTATCCGTTGACGGTTGTTCTCCTTACCTTTCGCTCCCCAAGTCGACATGCGATGCTATTGCGAAGAATCTACCTGTGACGTATAATGAGGACCTCGGTTTATATTTCTGGAAAACCGACGAGCCAAAATACTCGCAAATTATTAACTCGGCCTCTGTCTTGGAGTTCGTTTTTACAGGCGACTCGAATACGAAGAACGTTTCTATCTCTGTTCCATTTCGGCATTTAAATCTCACGCTGACAGCGCCACTGATCGACAAACCAACGCAATATTTCCCGTGTTATACAGGCCCTGCTCGGATCTATACTCTTGGCCGTGCTTTTCTCCAGGATGCATTTATCGGCGCGAATTGGGGTACCAAATCGTGGTGGCTTGCCCAAGCACCTGGCCCTAACATACCAGCTCCCTCTGTTGTTGAGCTTGCAGACGGCGATTCGATCAAGGCTAGCTCAAACGACTGGCAAGAATCATGGTCAGGATCCTGGACAGCTCTTAAACCTAGCGATATAGAAAGCTCAGCCACCGTGAGCCCTCCTACCGCAACTAACACAGCCGCCCAAGAAACTGCAGCCCCAGCGGCTGGTCTTTCGACAGGAGCCAAGGCTGCTATCGGAGTGTGTGTTGGTGTCGCAGGCTTAGCACTGATCGCTGCCCTCGCCTTCTTTTTCCTACGCCGTCGCAAGGCACCTGCTGCCGAAGGTCCGGCCCCTAATGCAACTCATACGGCTCATGATAACCCCGAGCAAGGATACTACGCGCCTGTCAAAAATCCCAGCTCGCCGGGCATATCAGAGATGTCTGCAGTCACTCCAGGGCAACCGCCGAATATGGCGAATGTGGCGATGTATAATCAGCAGTACTCCCAGCAATACCCGCAACAATATCCCCCTCAACCATATCTCCAGCAATATCCCCAGCAGTACCCCCAACAATATTTACAACCATACGGGCAGCCGTACAGCACCGAACTGCCTGCTGTCGGCAATACACCAACAGAGCTACCTGGGTCAACAACGTACATCCCACAATTACTTGATGGAACTCAAGTTTACGGTCAGACATCACCGCTTCAAAACCACGCGCCGCCACAACCGCCACATTCACCAGGCTACGACGCGAACCAGTCACCTACGCAGGGACAACATGGGCAAATATGATACTGACCTCATCTTGCGGGGGGGCTAAAGGTCGAGAAGGCGGGAAATAGACTTGGGCATAAGAAATTCATTTGGCACTGAAAATCTGCGTTACATCGTTTTAATATTCTAGGAAATTTCCTCTTTTTTATCCTGGAGTTGCATACGATCTGTGCATAAATACGCGTGTCAGATTTTGGGATAGGCAATGAGCGGCCATCGATACCATTTGGTTGGACGGGTTTCTGATATGAAGAAATATCACAGTAATGGCAATTATTCCGAGGAAGATATTCTACTATGTACTTCGTACCTATTATATGCTATTTTTGGTTTATGACCTGATTTCCTTTCGAGTCTCTCATGTTGTCATAATAGGTTAGGTACCTAACCTACCTACCACCTAAACTCGTCCCTTAGATAGAACTTACCCCAATCTCGAGAGTATCTTTAAGATGGGGAGTTGTAAAAGACTTAATCTAACTACGTGGCGCTTATTTCAAATATATTATCGAATATCGTAAAACGAAGCGAGCCTTTATGAATTCCATCTATCAACTGACAGAATCATTAAGCGCCCTCTTGTCTAACCAACGATTAACTAAGGTCAAGAATATCAGGTAAATAAGCGCCTGGCGTCTATTTGTACTGTACATAGGCTGGTTGGTGAATTCGGACTCTACCCACTTGTGGGGGTTCATGGCCACTACCATGCTACCGTGTCACGACACATTTTCGCAGGATAAGGCTCTTTTGGTCCACCAGTCCTCGTAGAGATTACACGGGTGTCTGAGTGCCTGTCTCGAAGTAAGCCACAATCTCCTTCCTTATGCCGGCTTCGGTCCATCTACCACGTAAGATTCTTAATAGCCCACGCTAAAACGTGAAGATCCTGGGCAATAAAATCTATTCTTACGCGAGACGCTAAGAGGAGAGCGAGGCTCCTTTTACTGCTACCTAAATGTACCAAGTAATTAATTCCAAATTACGGATTGCATACCTAATAGATAGGTGATACTGCTGCTTGTTACGATAGCTATCTAGTATACAGGTTATTACGGACAAATTGTCGGGCTTATTCATCACCTACCGGATTGACAACTTGTTCTACACTGCGGAGGAAAACGACTTTAACTCCATTACATATGTACATAGAGTTCCGAGATCCCTGCAGAAACACAGCACTGTATAAGTACAGTACATATGGGACTCCATATACTACACTAGACCTACACCAGATATCGAGATCTTCTGGAGGCGTCATAGCTTGGCGGTCAGTGTCAGTCAGCAAAGTAAAACAGACGAAACGACCTGGCACGACAGCGTTGCCTCGATACTACATTAGACCCGAACATTCCTGATCGGGCAACAATTGTGCATTATTCAGGGGTCAGGAATCAATATTCCTTGTCCAAAGCTGAAAAAAATACTGTCCAATGGGAGACGAACATGTTGGGGCGATAGCCACATGCTGTTTGAAGTTTATGTCTGAATATTAACGCGACGGCGAACCCGATCGATGTCATATGGGTCAAGCTCTATGTAACCGTAAGAGAGGAATTAAGAATTCTCTCAGGCATTTACGCGATATTGTTACCCAAAAAGCTCGAGTATACACTACTTACGCGCGTCTGTGCCGTGAGGCTGATAATTGGCCTTGCCGCCCTATCGGTGCGGAGGGCGGGACCTATATTAGACTCGATCTGTTCATTAACATGACAAGTCGATAGAGGGAAACTTTGATACCTGTCAATTAGATATGATAAGTAGACAGGGTGAAAGTGATCATACAAGTTCGATGTGCAAGTTAATCCCCACGTCTTTATTTAGACTTGCACGTAGGCGATTTCTACTACGATATCATAAGACCTGATGGCAAGTTTCGAGCCTTGGGGTAGTCGTGATGCCATTGACAATATGCATTAGAGGACCACTAAATATATGTTAGAAGTGGCTCTCCAGACTCCCGTCATATCTTCATCATATACAGGCCAACATGGCTCCGTCATCTAAACGCCATATATAGAATCTTAGAGAGGTGTTTGTTAAAACCAGGTGGGCGATAACATATGTCGACTCCATAGATACTCTTGTTTGCTGGTCGTCTAGATATCGAAAGTATTCTAAAATTCCTCAAGCTACGCGAGGACAGGTGTCAAGAATCAGGCACACTAAACTCTCCGTTTGGGATTTTACCAAAATACATTATGCACATAAACTTACTCTTCCTCGCGGCCCTCGGGACCATGTCGTCGACAGGTCTTGCTGCTGCGGAGCCGGTGGTTAACATTAATCAAATCATTATCCGGCCTAGTAGCTCATCAACCGACTCCTCTTCTTCTTCGTCTGTCAGTTCCTCTGCTTCATCGTCAACCGACTCGGCCTCATCGTCCTCAATGTCATCATCTTCCTCGATGTCTTCATCAGACTTGATGTCATCGTCAGATACGAGTTCCTCTTCTTCGACTAGCATGGGTATCATTACGTCCAGCGATTCCTCGGGCAGCAGCTCTAACCCCAGCTCTACGTCCAACAGCGACAGCTCATCGATGCACAGTGGCAGTTCTGGAGGTTCGGGAAACTCGCCCGGACCTACCGGGGCAGGACCGAGGATCACAGCGGCACCTGCGGTGGCTGTTGCCGTTGGGGTAGCAGCTGCGGTTATGGTCTAGTTGAGAACAGGGAAACAGGTGATAAGACTAGGCATCCGCTGTGAAGGGTTGAGATTTTGTTATGAGGTTTGGGAACGGTAACATAGAATAGGGGCAACTTTGCTATAATCCCCAGACATACCTCAAATACGAAATCGTTAGCCTACCACCTCTATATCTCGAAATCTAATTTGAATTCGACGAATATTCGTCGCGGCTAAAGCATTCAGGTGTCTAACTAGTGCAGTAGCCGGAGTTGTGCATAGGATTCTTCGACACGTGGTAATAAGTCTTTGCTTCATGAACTGTCTTGTCCAATATCATGTTGTTGTCCAATTAAGACTAACAAAGCCCCTTTAGGAAACCATACACGATTAAGATGTTAGCAAATTGTAATTATTAGTTACATTAGTGTCGTGTCGGTAGCCCGCCCCTTATACGATCTCGAACTACATCGTGCCCACCCATACATTGATTCAGTCTCCATCGATATAAAGTGAACAGAGAGTTTAGAAGCAGAAACTGCTTCATTATGACGGAAGTTATATCGTAATCGATACCGATGCCTGAGGCCTGGAGCTAATATGGTTCCTCATGGCATATTCCTCCTCAAAGTCATACATGGAAAGCATGGCCTCTACATGAATTTCCGTCATCCTTAATATACGCAGTCTTAGATTTGATATCTTCTTGGTTATATGAACTACTCTCCCATGGCTGTCAAATCGCCAGCAGTCGAGGGTCTTATCCTTCTAAGCGTCAGTTTGCTTGTCATTGCTCTCCGGTTTTACGTGCGGACAGAGGCTGTCGGATGGAGAAGACTTGCAGCTCATGACCATCTGATGATTTTGATAGTGGTAAGTATCATAATCTGGACTACGGTCGAGTTGTGCGTCGCTAATACTTGAACAAGGTTGCATATTCAGCTCTAATAGCTACTCTGTACTTTTCAATAGTTCATTGCCATGGTCTCGCCAATAGCTACATGGCGGAAGAAGAGCGTATATCGCTGGATCCCGAAAGCGATGAATATTCATGAAGGTATGTATCTAAGTTCTACGTATTTTATGGTAGCGCCTAGTTTATCGTGAAGTACGTACTAATTTCTAGTAGGGTCCTTGGGTCCAAGTTTAATCTTGTCGATAGAATCTTGTACATAGTCGTCCCCCGACTGACGAAAGTGGCGATGCTAACATTCTATCTACGCCTTACTGTAAGAAATCTCTCCGGCGTCGTTGGATTATCTCTATTAAAGAGAAGTCTAATCATATTCTCAGGAGCGCCTTGGAGCGTACCAAAAACGGATATGGGTTGGGTTTGCCTTTCTCGGCGTGACTTGGTTGGCCGACCTTATCGCATTACTCTCCTGCAGGCCAATTTATAGGAACTGGCAGATATATCCCGACCCAGGAGGTACATTATTTCCTGGTTTACTTTTACCCATCCCACTCGAGACTGACAGTGTATAGGGGCATGCTATCCGTCGAATTCGCTGCGTAGCTTAATTAGCTCGCTTTGTCTCAACATAACCACCAGTATCTACGTTTTCATAGTTCCACTGCCGGTCTTGTAGATGGCTAATATCAAGGTATGGAAGAAGGCGAGCCTTATCCTGCTGATCTCTGCGAATGGCTTCGTGATTGTAATTTCCATATTACGCGGATATCGAACAATTGTGGGTGCGAAAGAACGCAGAAATGAAGCATATGTGAATAAAGATATTTGAGTCACTTAGATCAAATACTCATAAATAATGAGGATTACTTGGTATTATAGCCATTGCATATATATATGGACACTTCCGGTCATTCCTATCTCAAAACTCCTGTATCCGTCATATAGTAATATAGACACATATTTCTACATGACACCTTTTTCTTAAACCTAATAGCCTGCCCTAATCGGTGTAAATCCCAATGTCATATAGTACAGACGACCCCCTCGAGTGCGAGTTGAGTTTCCCGCTTACGCGGTAACGCCAGCGGGGGTCTGGCAGAGAACATCCTGTCCGAGGATAGGTAGGACGCAGCAGCGGGCACGCTGGCCATCAGCCGCGCAGATCTCGCTGAAGTTGCTGGCGTCGGTGGGGACGGCGGGGGGGTTGGCGCAGTCGAGGTCAGCTACGCCTAGGACATCAGTCGCGCAGCACTGCGAGGTGCCGTAGAGGCCACTGCAGGGGGTGTAGACCTGGCGCTGCTCGACGGCAGGCGCGGCGAGGGCGACGCCGGCGAAGATGGTGATGGCTGCGGTGAAGAACTGCATTTTGGCTAAGTAAAGTAAATTGTTTTGGATTTGTAGATTTTGAACGAGAGAATATAGCGAGTGATAGAGGCTGGAGAGCGAGAGGTAGGTCTTTAGAAGAGGCTTTGTTATTGATTGTGAATGTCTTTGTGTGATGGTCTGGAGAATATCTTAAACTATCGAGGAGACGCGAGACTTTATAGATATTCATGGCATAACCCCTATCCTCTGGACTCCGAGTCGTCTGTTCTCCTGGGCCTTCGTCAGTGGCCACCGAGAGATGCGATGACGAAGATACTCGGCCCTATATCTCTAGAGCTTTGCTTACTTGTTTCGAGATAGCCCTGCTAGAGCTTAGGTTGTACCAGGTTCTGGGCATTGACTTGAAGAGATTTTGCAAGGTCGCGGATCTTAAGACGGGCTGATATAGCCTCATATGACGAAACGAGTTGATATCTTATTGATCATCCCATCATAGGATGATTGTGATTGTGTAGTGGTAGGTGTGACATCAAACGAAGGCTTCAAACCCAACTGGCCAACGAATGAGAACGAATCTCAGTTCCATATACGGAAGTCATGGCCGATACCAACTCCTTGGTAAGTTATTATCATAGCAATGTCATTTTACCACAACTTACTATGTACTCCTTATGCAGTAAAATTCGTTGGAAATATGGATTATGACAGCCCTACGGTCATGTAATTTGCAGGGTACTCTTCGGAGAGAATAGCAACGGGGCACTGCCCAAGACCATCTACACGTAGTGTATGTGACATGGCTTCTCGCGGAGACATCCCGTTCTTTGCGGAGTATCGGTCAACAACCACACCTAGTTACGGTGACGAATACGTAGTGCGTTGTTGAAGATAGCGGCTATGGACAGGGAGACTTATAAGACGGCCTTCGGCTGCAAGGGGTTGAAGGCAAGGTATTAAGCGCTAATTACCAACCTTGAGAGATGTGGTATCGTGTGGCACACATTCTGGCAGAACGCCACAGTTCTAGAAGAGAGATCTAACGGTCTTGCATCAACGTGCATGATAGCTTCGAGAGCTGCCGCCACCATTCAGGAGATCCGGGGGAGATCGTCACTGCTAGAAACCTCGTGTTGAAAATAGTAACAAGGCGAAGAGGCCTTGAATACCGCCTTCAGCTAGCGTTGAACTGATATTCGTAGTATAAGTCGACGAATAAAGTCATCCATCATTATCAAGTTTGGCCTGTCCGTGTAGAGCCGCAACTACTACAGCATCCGTCATTAGCTTGAATCGACGAACAAAATACTCCGAAGCTGGTCCTCCTAAGTTATTTGCATAAAGCATAATTTGACTTAATTCGAAGCTGGAGCTCAGCTAAAGGTTTCAGGGGTAGAGAGATCAAGATCGAATGGAAAGGCGAAGCGTGGCCGCGTGGTCCAGGAACGACAAGCTCGAAAAATCAAGGAAGACGCGAAGATGATCGCCAACGGTAGTTCCATATCGAGTAATTGAACCTAGGACGAGTGCGTCAATGCGTTACCCAACTAGACCAACGGTGGCAATAGTTATTGAGACTTAATTGTGAGTATTTTGAATAAGGATTTTAACCCTAAATATGCCATGCTTCTCTCTTACTTTACGAATTTGTGATCAAGGCCGTTTAGATGGACAGCTTGACGGGTAATACAAACGATGGGTTTACTTGGGCGACCGTTGAAGTGCAGCCGGTAGCCGTCTTGGCAACTCCGTCATCTGCCGATTAGACCCGGGGATTCCTTAGATCGATATTTATGTAATATTTAGGCCTGGCTGGGTTGACAAGGTTACATTTAGATTCAAGAATCTCTTCGTAGAAATCGTCATTCTTATCATCGTTTTAGTTGGGAAGCCCCTGAACTAATTTCTTATTTCTTAACCTTTCCAGACATCTAAAGTCCGTCTTAGAAAGAAGATACAGCCAATACGTTGATTCCAGCTTTTAAGAGTATCCGCGTTGTCGTTTTAACAAGATAAATATAGCCGTCTCCATATGTTTAACTTGATTACTTGGATTAATTGATCTGAGATTTGAGATTTGATGAAACAAGACATCATAACTTGCTATAGTAAACAGTAATATAGTGCTCGTCAAGTAGAATACTGAATTGGAGATATTTCCGTGACCAACCAGTTTTGTGACGGAGGATGTAATATTTTGGCCTGCCTCAACTTATAACATTGCGAGAAATGATGTAATTGACTTTAGCTATCATATATCAAGTCTTGGCGCAAAGACTATATTTGAGGTATTATACGAAATCATAGGTTGTCAATTCTTTTAATAAGAGATGAGCATCTAAGAATTGTCAATACTAATGTTGCCATCGATCGCAAGGATTGCAACAGTATCGCATCATTTTCACATAAACTTTTTAATGAGAACGCCTACGAAATTTGGACTTGACGATGAATGGTTTTACTCATCTAACCTGAAAAGTTAATGTTGTATATCCTACATTTGCCCAATGAAGGGCTTTTAGATGTTGGGCTACAAGCTCCTCGGAAGTTAAATTCATTCGTCGCCAGCGCAGTTAGTGGTTGACGCCGATCTCGTAAATACAGGTGAGGATCTACCCATAATTCTACAATAACGGGAAAAGGAGCCGTAAAAACGCGATAAATATAAATTAGGCTGTCGAATGAGCAGTATTCTGGCAACTAAGCTGCAAGTATGAAGCCTGTCTAAGGTAGGCCTCTACTCATGCAGTACTCATGCAGTACTCAAGAGGATTGACCTTAACCATACTACAAGCACAATAACATTCCCTACGAATTGAATAGGAATCAGGATGGAGAAATGTACAAGTCATGAGTTCATCATTACACTGAGAAGGCTAGACTGAGAAATAGTGGCCAAGAAGGACATGGTGTTGGCAAACCGCTCTTAATTCGCGATGTACCGAGATTATATTACAAGCTTCTTCTATGTTATGACTGCCATTCGCTCCAATCGAAGAAAACTACGCGTAGAAATTGACCGTCTATAGAAAGTGTTAGCGCAAGACCATAACAACATAAGGTAGACGACGATTGAACTTACCTCCTTCTTCTTGGATTGCACCTCAGCAATCGCATCCACATAGTGCTCGTGGCTGATTTTGTTTTTGCCCATTCGTAGGGCGATCATACCGGCCTCGACACAGACCGCCTTCAGCATAGCGCCACCAAATTCGTCTGTACTTCGGGCCAGTTCGTTCCAGTTAATGCTAGTGTCGACCTTCATCTTGCGCGAGTGAATCTTGAGGATCTGAGCCCTAGCTTCTTCGTTGGGCAGAGGGAATTCTATCTTGCGATCTAGACGACCCGATCGTAGTAGAGCGGGGTCGAGGACATCAACACGATTGGTGGCGGCCAAGACCTTGATACGGTCGTCCGACGCGAAGCCGTCTAGCTGGTTTAGCAACTCGAGCATAGTTCGTTGAACTTCTCGGTCACCGCTCTTCTCACTATCGAAACGCTTCGTACCGACGGCGTCAAGCTCGTCGATGAAGATGATAGCGGGGGCCTTCTCCTTAGCCAACGCGAAGCAGTCTCGAACTAGCTTGGCACCGTCTCCTATGAACATCTGAACTAGTTGCGGACCGGCTAATTTGAGGAATGTGGCGTCCGTTTGGGCGGCGCAGGCTCGAGCTAAAAGGGTCTTGCCGGTTCCCGGAGGTCCATACATGAGGGCACCTATTATAATATTGTGAGAAACAAGATACGCAAGGCTTTAGAATACTATACGACAAACCTTTGGGTGCCTTGATGCCGATTTTCTTGAACCGCTCGGCCTCCTTCATCGGCCAGACGATAGCCTCGACGAGTTCTTCTATTTGCTTATCCAAACCACCAACGTCGCTGTACTTTTCGGTAGGCTTCTCGTCAACCTCCATAGCCTTGACACGGCTATCATACTCGGCAGGTAACGTATCGAGGATTAGGTAGGAATCTTTATTAACACCGATAAGGTCGCCGGGCTTGAGGGTCTCCGGATCGACAAGACCGATCAAGGGTAAGAAGATAGTCTGTCTGGTAGAAGTTTTGATAACGGCCGACTTGCCTACCCTTGTGGCATCGAGATCGATATTGGCACCTTCTTCGGAAGATTCGGCGGTAGGGTCGAGGTCGAGAAGCTCAACAACATTACCAACGAGGTAAGGTAATTGCCTATCAAGTCAGCAAGAGAGGCATATAGATGCGCAGATTAGACGAACCGGTTATTTGCGATCTTCTCGTTGTTCTCCTTGATCCTCTCGCCCATGGTTGCCTTTTCGTGCGATAACCGTTGGAATTCGCTCTTCATGATTCTGGCATCGTTCTCTAATAAACGTTTCCGAGTCTTGAGGTCTTCCGTACCGAGACTTAGGATTTCCTCGTCTAGAATCTCCTCTTCTTCGGGCTCGGCATCTTTCATTTCGGAGTCACCATCGCGATTAACTTTGTTGCTTCCGTCTTTTGATCCGTCACCTCGTCCTTCGTCCTTCTTGTCCTTGCCATCGTCAGATCCTCGGCGCTCGACGCCCTCCATATCCGGGGCGCTAGACATGGCGGATTAAGATGGTTAGGTTAATGAAATTTGAGGAGAGAGAAAAATAAATCCAAATAGAAAGATGGGTCCGTTTGCTATGCGTAACTTGACCAGCGTTCGTGCTGTGTGGATGTTACGAGGATATGAGGGATGTTTGATTTGAAATGCTGATGTGTGTTGAAGTGATGAATGGAGCTCCAGTGAGGTAAGTCAGTTTAAGTCAGTAAAGCTTTGGTTAGGTACAACTCCGAAGTACCTAACAAGGTCAAAAGCTTCCCCAGGCAGGCGTGTCGCGTAATCAGCCTGATGAATTGATCGAGGTCTTATCTCTTATCTACTAGCCCACTTCCATAATTGCATATTACTATCTCGGGAATCTCGGGATATTACGCTATTGGCCCGCTATCATCTATGAGTTTCGTCATCATTTTAGACCTACCGAGTTTCCTTATAGTTTTTCTTACCTACTATCAAAAGAGAAGAGTTTGGAGACGACTTTTAAGTTACATCCGTTAACCTAATAAAATACTAATAATATCCCTTTGACGTAGTAATATATTCATTTTTCATCGTGGCTGGAATACTTTGGTCTCGAAGACCGGCTCCTACGACGGATGCCGCCGATGCGATCAGCGATTCTTCAAATCCTTCTCGCGATATCATGACCGCGCCTTCCGCCCATCCCAATTTAACGCCTCAATTCTGTTTCTCGTCCGCAGCCCTTAGAGGTACGCCCTTCCTCTTGATAAATATCTTCTGAGCGCAAGCGCTTACATCTCTCAAGACTTCCTCCGAATATCTCGTAGTGCGATAGACGACTCGATAACCCAAAATCTCAATGCTCTCGTAACGCCTTCTCAGTCGGGGTTTGATCCCTCCTCGACCTCTGTCCGGATCCCTCAAGCTTCCAGTCAACCTATCGATCCACGGGCATGTCAGGCATTCAAGGACAAGGTCTTATTCCCCTCCTGGCAAGCAAGGTCTGATGTTTTGACTTACTGCGCCTACGTCGCCACCAATCCAGATCCAGATGATCCCGAAGTAGCTCTACGGGAAGCCGAGACCGAGAGGAATCATGAGCGGGTGGTCGACGAGAGATTAGACCCATATTCCGGGCGGTATTTCCCCCGAGAGCCTCGCACGGAAATGCTAGCCAACCTGCTAAGGCAAGAGAGAAGCGTCGAAAATATTGTCCGTTCTCGAACGTGGGGTTTAGTGCGGGAGCGCTGCGGTGATAGCTTCCAGGACGCGGAACAGGCTCTGAACAGCTGGAGAATGGGAAGAGAGCGCCGCAGCCCGTAATTGGAACCAATTCAAGCAGTACGAATCGATGTTATATTAACTAGATTAAATAACTATATAATGCTGCATATGCCTACGTAGGTACCTAGGTCTTTATAAATCTCACCACTAAATGTAATACTATTTACCATACCAGATACAGTATACTAACCTTTTGTTGTTTACTATATGAAATAGTAATTTCAAAACCGACTCAATTATCTAGAGGTAGTTTGCATTCACAGACTTGAGAAAGCTAGATAATAGTTTAACTTAATAATATACTTGGTGCATAGACAAGTCTGTTCAAATGTATCCTCAAGACAACGGCTTTTAGATCACTTTGTAAGTATATAATCGCTTAACTGAATATCTCGTTCGGGTGATTATCGGTAAAATAATAGCTCTAAATTTTCTCGATAGTGCCTAAATGATTAGGTAAGACATCCCACTTCTGTGTGGTGCTTGCTGCTACTAAAGTAGTCGCAAAGCTCCGAGCTTCAATATTTCCCCATTTACAAGTCGGCGACAATACACAATCCCACGCCCGAGTTTATACCTACGACTGGTATACAACGTCCTGGATTAGCAAATAGGACTTCATTTTCGATTATTCGTTCCTTGCCCGGAGTAGCGACGAAATACGATTTATTGCACCAGCTGCATTCGGCGAATCTGCTCGTTGCGCACGAGTCACATTGGACAGCTAAGCAGGGGGGTATCTTACACTCCCGAGCGTCACTCTTGAACGACACTCCTGAGAAAGCCTATCTCTTCCAACAGAGGGTTTGACGGCGGGGGAGCTACGTATTAACACCGACCATGCCTCAACCTCTTAGCTCGAAAGAGAACTCTCTCTTTCGACAAGTCATTCGCAATTATGAGGACAAGCAGTACAAGAGGGGTTTGAAGGCTGCTGAGCAGATTCTTAAGAAGAACCCTAAACATGGAGACACAATGGCAATGAAGGCTTTGATCATCAATCAACAGGGGAAGACCGAAGAGGCATTTGCATTAGGAAAGGAAGCTCTCACGGCCGATATGAAGTCGCACATATGCTGGCACGTCTACGGGCTATTGTATCGTCACCAGAAGAACTTTGAGGAGGCTATCAAGGCCTATAAGTTTGCTTTGAAGTTAGAACCCGAGTCCCATCAGATCCAAAGAGATCTCGCCTTCCTTCAGATTCAAATGCGCGACTATCAAGGATACATTCAAAGTAGAACTGCCATGCTCCAGGCTAGGCCTCAACTAAGGCAGAACTGGACGGCGCTTGCAGTTGCCCATCACCTAGCTGGTAATCTTTCTCAGGCCGAAAAGGTACTGACGACCTACGAGGATTCTTTGAAAGTCCAGCCGTCTAAGACGGATTACGAAAATTCAGAGGCTGTCATGTATAAGAATTCTATTATAGGCGAGATGCAAGACTATCAGAAAGCTTTAGACCACCTAGAGTCCATTTCGAAGAGCAACCTCGATCGCCTAGCCATATTAGAGCTTCGTGCAGAATATCTAGCAAAACTTGGCAAGAAGGAGGAGGCAGCCGATGCCTACCGCGCCCTACTCGATCGCAACCCGGAGCATCCCGAATACTACTCTAAGCTTGTAGAGGTCTTAGGTATTGGTGCTGATGGTGCTGCCCAAAAGGCGATTTACGACGAATACGCCGAGAAAAATCCGCGTTGCGGCGCTGCCAAGCGGTTACCCCTAGACTTCCTTGTCGGTTAGTCACGTCAATTGTATAAATCCTTGGTAGACCAAAAGCTCATAACAATTTTAGGCGACGACTTCCGGGAAGCGGCCCGCGGATATTTATCTCTGATGTTAGATAAGGGAGTTCCTTCAACGTTCGCAAACCTCAAGCACCTCTACGCCGACCAGTCCAAGAGAGATACTCTTGGGTCACTAGCGCATGAATATCTCGACTCAAAACGAGCATCTTCGGATGGAAGTGCACCGGCAGATGGGGACTCGCTTAATGGAGAACCGGCCGCATTATATTACCTTGCCCAACACTACAACTATCATCTAAGCCGCGATCTCGAAAAAGCAGTTGAGTACGTCAATAAGGGAATCGAGTTATTACCCAAGAACGTCGAGTTCCATATGACAAAGGCCAGGATATGGAAGCACTACGGCAATACTCGAAAGGCTTCTGAGACTATGGAAGAAGCTCGCAAACTCGACCTGAAAGACCGGTACATAAACACGAAAGCGGCGAAATACCAACTGCGGAATGATGAGAACGAAACTGCACTCAAGACGATGGGTCTCTTCACAAGGAACGATTCGCCAGGCGGTCCTCTAAACGATCTGTTGGATATGCAAAGCGTGTGGTACCTAACAGAAGACGGAGAGGCGTGGGTGCGCAATGGGAACATAGGATTGGCCCTGAAGAGGTTCCACGCTGTCTATAACATCTTTGATGTGTGGCAAGAAGATCAGTTTGATTTCCATAGCTTTTCTTTGAGGAAGGGGCAGATTCGTGCATATGTAGATATGATCAGGTGGGAAGACCATCTCCGCGAACATCCATTCTACACTCGCGCCGCCCTCGGAGCTATAGCCATCTACGTGAGTATTCACGACCGTAGCCAGGCAACGAATGGCGTGAACGGGCCCGACGGTGCCAACGGAGACGAAGCTGCCGAGAGGAAAAAGGCAGCTAAGAAAGCTAAGAAGGAGGCACAAAAAGCAGAGCGAGAAGCAGCTGAGCGGGCCGCCAAGCAAGATCCTAACAAGTCAAAGGGAGCGACAGCAGAGCCCGTTAAAAAGGACGACGACCCTAACGGTCTTAAGCTCGCAGCTACTACCGAACCATTGGCCGAGGCTACGAAGTTCCTCGCGCCTATACTTCAATTCAGTCCGAAGTACATCGATGGGCAAATCGCCGGCTTCGAGGTCTTCGTCAGGAGAGGTAATTCTATAAACACATTTTCCCCTACCTTTTTTACACGTTCTATATGCTAACATCTCTTAGAAAAATATCTCCTTGCTCTTCGATGCCTGAATGCTGCGTTGGCCCTCGATGCGGACCATCCCACAGTTCACGAGCAAGTTGTGAGATTCCGCCAAGCTCTAAACTCAAAGCTCGAATCATTACCCCCTAAAGTAGCTGAAGTGTTGAAGACCGGATTCACTCTTTTAGACGCTACAGCAGATCTGAAGAAATATAACGCCAGCTTCCAAGAGAAACATAAGAATAGCCCACCTCACGTCATCTCCGCTGTCAAGACAGAGAGGCTCATAGGGGAAGACAAAAAGAAGACCGAGCAAGATCTCGCGGGAGTGCTCAACCTGAAAGACGTCCAGCACGAGCACGCGGAAGAAGTTCTAGCCATTCTAAAGCAGTGGCGCAGTGGCGAAGCAGATTCTTTCAAGGCAGCCGCCCATGATAAGTGGCCGGAAGTGACCGTATTTGCGCAATAGTATTTCTGAAAGGATCCACCGAACTACATACACTAGTCACGATATCCCTTGCCATCTAATACTGAAACGTCAGGGCGGAAAGTCTTAGAGGTAGTAATGCATTGCATCGTATTCTCGGCAGGACAAGGAGACACGAGTAAGGCTGCATAAAACTGCATTGTTTATGGACTAGAGCTTTTGCTTAGAGATTAGTTAGCAATGAAGGCATAAGATCTCTGGGAACGGAAAGAAAAGCAGTAGATAGTGTTTTGTGGTCTTGCTACACGAGAGTGGCGTGGGGAGGTTCTGGAAGAACTTCCAAAACGAAAAGAAAAAAGTATGTGACGAGACGCCTTGTCGTATTTTCTCGTTAGCTGTGCTAGTCACGTAGGTTATTCGGGCGATTCGGATCAATAGACGTGACAAGGGAACAGGTGTGTTCTATACCCGACCACTCTACTTACCTTCGAGAGCCAAACATATCCGAGATTAAATCCCTATCATCTCGGACTATCACGACTTATTTAAATTTCCTTGGGAAATAGCATCATGTTTATTGATTTGTACAGTGTCTAGGGCACGTATTGTTGCTTCCTATACAAGGTAATAGGTGCTTTCTTCCCACTGAAGAATACGCGATATCTCAAGCTTCTTAGCACAGCCTGGTATCTAAGAGAAAATATCCCCTTTCGCCACCCGGCATCATTCTCGCGCCGGTTATGATATGGAATCATGGCGATCTCAGATTCGCTCGATTTATCCAGTCCGCCATCTCCTTGACCAACAAATCCATTTTTTTCCAGGCGTAGCCGTTGTCGATGGAGTTCTGGTCGCGACAAGGGCGATGTTGCTCTTCTTCCTTTTCTTGAGAGGGGTCGATCAGGTATTCACTCATGCCTAGCCATCTTAACTTGTTCTTGTAAGTGACGCCTTCTCTCAGCTTGATAGATATTAGTTCCTTCAGTTGGTACGGGGGTTTCAATGGTTCACCGGGGCCTCGCTCGAAGAGGTGTAGCATTAGGCTATCTATATCCCTCCACGTCACGTCAGGCCAATAGAAGTACCTTGTGGCAAATGGGCATACTTGTGTTTCCCAGTAAAGGTGCTTCTGTTCCATGCTAAATAACCCCGATTCGCTGGACAGGGGACGGGAATCGGAGAGGTCGCAGTAGGGGTTATCAGACCAGGCTGCTAGTACCCAGACTGACAGTGCTTTTTGTATATGCTGGTGTTGTTCATTATATATAGATTGTGTGAAGTGCTTAACTCGAAGACTGACCCGATCTCGAATAGCCCTCATATAATAGGGAGAACTCGGTGACAGGTACCATGCCAGATTTAAAGGGTCTGAAATGTCTATAGCAGTGAGTCGGAAACCCGAGAGAAAGATATCATGTCGGAGACTTGAGTATACGCGTCCCTTCTCGTAGTCGGCACACCAAGGAGCATCGGGATCTTCAGTATCATGTAAAATTCTATGCTGTTCTTCGATGTCACGAAAGAGGTCATTGTTGGGAAGTTTTGGTAGTAAGAACACGGGCAGCACCAAATCATAGAAATCGAGAGCATAGGATCGACTCTCCTGATTTACAGCCATGATCGGTGAAACAAGAGATCTGAAGGGTAGGACTCGAAGGGAATTATAGGGAGAGTCTTCGTAGGTAGTCTGGTTGTCGATAGTCTGGTTGTCGATTAGTACTATACGCTCCGCCGACGCCTGGAGTAATGCACGTTTCCAGATAATACGTCGTGTATCCGAGTCTAGTTCGTTAAAGCTGAATGGAGCCATGGTATGTTGTATGGTATCGTTTTTGGGGTCTTGGTAGGTATGATATTGATGTGGTTAATATTAGCGTAAGAGAAAAGCAGCGGGAGGATTGCGTTTTATAGGTCTGCTTTATGTCGTCCCTTAGGGAAGTCGTTCATACCTCAGCAATGGACTGAACGTGTCATAACTTGTTGCCAGGCAATAGTCAACCTAGGAACAACCTATATGCTCTGATACTTGCATCAATGCCCGATACAATGCAGTGCCATGTTGCGGCCATATGACCAGAGCGCCGCTAAAAGGAATTAGAAAGACGTCTATAATGCTGCTACCTGAATTGGCATTTACATGCATGTCTGATGAAATATACTTCGCTTATACTGGTTCCTTTATTCCTGTAGGGTAGTAGAGAAGTTACCCTACCAGAATGAAATAGAATCTCAATAAATATGGCCATCTACACCAGATCTCCAAGCGTAACCATTTTAACTAATAGATAATATTGATTATCATATTCCTCTTGTAACTTCAACTATCTATCAATCCTGTTAGGCAGCGAAAGATTATAGGTCTGTAAGAATATCACTATAGATATCTAGCTTTGATAGTGAATCGTCGAATATCAGATATAGACATGAAGTGAGACTATATCTTTAGACACGAAAACATTCACGAAGAACCCTTTGAGTAAACACCCGCTACCATCAACTGTTAGTAATAAAAAGTACCACTCACCCAAGATAAAATCATCCAGTCTGGTGATCCGCATCTCTGATTAATCGCTTAGCGTATAACGAAGTCGACTCTTCTAGATTAGACTTAAATCAAGATCACTTTATACCGAAAGACTAGAATAATAGTAATAAATATCGTAAGAAGGTATACACATGTCCTACACATTAGCCTAGTGTATAAAGAACTTTACTCGGCAGCTCCTTTGGCCATATCCACTTAACCATATCTTGATCTTCATATTTGGGTGTATTTTTTTTTACTTTTTAAACCAGTTTTATTAACCTTTTATATATAGATAATACCGTCGAAAACTTCCAGCTGTTGAGTTCAAGTTATCAAGATATCCCAGTGCATTTAGATTCTCGGCATATGTACGTCCAATAAAAATGAGACATTGTACATCGGGGAAGAACTTAGCGGCCACCACTTGCTACTTAGGTCAATCTAGCATCGGCGATAACAACAATCCACCTTCCCCTCAATCACGTTTTGATTGAATGGGCTGCCTGGCGAAATGGTATCGCGTCACTTTCCGGTGTTACCCTGGAACATGGTGAAGATTGCGGGTTCGAGTCCCGTGGTGGTCGTACTTTTTGCATCTCAAAGTTATTATTCTTTCCAGATTTTCCCCTTTCCTTTTTTCTTCATCATCAAACAATAAACGCGCTGATTATGTTCCATGCTCACTCAGTGCTTTACTTTTATCTTTACTCCACTTTACATCAACAGAGCCGAGGAAAAGGGGTTGAGCAGCCATGCACCCAAAGCTTGCCCTTTCACCAGACATAAATCTTTTGGATTAGGAACGAATCATCATTATCAAGTTATTAAACCAGACTGAATCAGCTGGCACGGTATGTACTAGCTATGGTTGGGTAGCTATAACTATAGACACTGCAATGAGGGATGCTAACCTTTATACATAATACTTAGGTAGCATTGACCGAATCCGCCTTCTCTTAAGGCTGACAGATCCAAAGGGCAATCGTATACCTGGTGCTACCGCAATCATCGACCATCTATATACACACAATTATAACGCGGTGGCTTCCTACCTATGCTCGAGCGAGACACATTCCCCATAATTGGTCCGTAGGTGGGACTGCTGTTGAGTTTAGAGATGAACTCTATAAAAGTCCGATCGTCTCTTTTGCTTCATCTTTGGATCTGAGTTGTTGCTGCTAACTCAGACTGCCATGCCGTTCTCCGTGATCTTCTTACCCTTAGTGTCGTAGGTCGTAACGCTGAAGGCTTCGTAATCGTTGTCGTCGCGCAGATCGTCTTCGTCAATCTCTAAACCCGCTAGACAACCACGTCCGACTTTGGGCCAGGCAGGGGGCACGGAATCTGCGGAATCCTCTCTGGCTGCTTGGTCTTGGTTCTCGGCGGTAGTAGTACCCTTATTAACGCTTGTCTTTACGTTCACGGATTGTGAGTCAGGTGTCGACACTTTGCTAGAGTAGTGGGTTGGGCCGACGTTAATGTTGGACTCCGCTTTGACCCGTAGACTCTCCTGAGATGGTCGCCCCACTTGAGCAGCGCCGCGTTTAGTCTCCTGAGGGAAGATAGGCAAGTCTGGATGCAGCTCCGTGCTGTACATGATGAGGTTGACGAGCTGCGCGTGAGGTACACCAGAGAGATATGTTCGTTTCTAGGATGGCGTTAGTATTTCTCCAGGAAGAAAAAAAATATATATGTGCACAGATGGGTTTGATAGAATTAGAACTAGAGCCTACCTGTTCGTTGGTCTTGTTGGACCAGCTTGCTCCTTTAAAGCCATCAATATTCTTCTTACGGGCAAGATGTCTCTCGCGCTTGGCCATGCAGCGACCGCAGAACCAGGAGCGCGACTCGTTGCTAACGAATTCGTCGTCGATGTATGGTTCGTGGCACATCTGGTGCCAGCAAAGGTTGCAGCCATCGCAGAAGACGATCTGGTTAGCGGGGACGCTCAGTCCTCGAGTACACACTTTGCACAGGGCCTGCTCTGCCGTACGCTTGCCGTAGTTCTTGCGCTTTTGGGTGGCGGCATCGCGGGCTGACTGCTGCGAGGGGTTGTACTGCGTCGGCTTCTGCACCTGGCGGCCAGACTTCGTCATAGTAGGCATGGCTTGATTCTCCTTGGTAGTAGTAGTGACGGCAATGGTGCTGGTAGGGCTTTCGTCGTCGGATAGCTCGCTTAGGCTTGAGGACGTATCTACATCGTCATGGTCGTCCTTACCGCGTTTGCGCTTAGTTCCGCGTTGCGATTTCCCCTTAGATTTTTGGGCTGGTGCTTTTTGGCCCCGAGATGCCTCCTTGGTTGTAGACCCGTACTTGGCTAGTGCCGGCGTCCTAAGCTGAAAGGCGTCGTTCATAGGCATGCGCATAGTAGTGCCTGCAGATGGCTTCTTCGTAGTGGAAGAAGAGGAAGCGTGCTTGGGAGTAATAGTCGGCATAGGCATCGTTAGAGAAGTGTTCATAGTTTTAACAAGACGTCTCTTGGTATCCTCGAAAGTGGAATCCTTAATGCTATTCCTAGGGAACGTTGAGGAGGCAGATGAGAGCGCTGAAGACAGACTTCCAGGCTTGGAATTTATTCTCTTGAGGATCATCTGCGTTGCTGCTGAGAATTGCGGCATGTAAGGCGGACGGCCGGTCGAACTAGTAGTGCTTGGAGCCGGGCTTGGTGCTTTAGGGGCAGGCGGCTGCACCGGCTCTAGAGGTTGCGACGGTGTCATCTCTTTGGTAGCTGCCGGCGCTGCCGGTATTGCGACAGCATCGCCGACCTTATCCTTTTCCGAATCCATTATTTACCCCCTACTTTTACTCGGTTACATACATTAAAGAATACAACGGCATGCGAACACTACCGTCGCGTCGGCGCATTAGTGGTCGACAGTTGATATAGACAGGTGAAGTTGGCGGGTATCGTCTACCACAAAACCGCATCGAGACGTAAGAAATTGAATTCCTGCAAAAGCCCAGGGTAGTAGCATTTGTATTCAATTTCCAACTGTCTTAATCAAAAGGTGCAAAGATGGTAAATTGGTCATGAAAGAATGAAATTCATAGGTGGAGGCTTGTGCACGTGATATTCACGTGATGGTATGATTTCCCGGAAGCTCCTGCCAGAGTCATCACGGCTGTCAGCGTTGTCAGGCCACTTTAAGGTTAATCGATTGACTTTAGCCTTTTAATTATTATGCTTTAATACATGAACTGTTCCTATATGCTTTAAATCCATTATACGTATAGGTAGGTACTTCCTTTAAGACGAACATGAGTTCTTAGTCTTAAACCTCTTCCGTACCTATGTGTTCGGGATCTATGTCTTTAGCTACCGCGTACCTGAGACTTGACAGGGATATTTTGATTTAACTTGTATTTGTTACGGAAGGCTACCACTCGAACTCGTAAGAAATTCTTGGAGTTCTGTAGTAAGTATTGGCATATCCTATCTAATGGCCCCCTTTGCTCTCAATGCAACCACCTCGCCAGCTTCGAAACCAAGAATATCCTTGAGAACTTCGTCTGTATGTTGACCTAAAGTCGGCGGCGCGGTTCGGACCCTCGGCCTACTCTCGCTATATTTTACCGGCGTATTCACCAACTTGATCGGTCCACATTGCTCATGTTCTACCTCGACTACCATGTTTCGTGCTTTAGTGTGTTCGTGGTTCAACGCCCCCTGAACGTCGTTTACTGCTGCGTACGGCATTCCTTTGCCCTCAAAGATCTCCAACCATTCTTGTGTCGTCTTCTGGACGCTGATCTTCTCGATTTCGGCTTCGAGCTCCACGCGGTTTGCTACCCGCTGCGAATTGATGCTGTACTTTGGATCCGTCTTCCATTCCGGCCGGCCAAGACCATCGCACAGAATCCCGAATAACCTGTCATTTCCACCACCGAATAAGACATCGCCATCCTTAGTTTTGAATGACTTGTACGGGACTATCGATGCTAAGAAATTGTTAGCAAGAATTGCGGGATTCCTATAGCCCTAAGCTTACGATGAGCCGTGCCCCATCGGCCTGAGTCCTTTTTACCGCTGATGAGGCAACTGCTGGCAATGTTTGCAAGCGTCGCGGTCTGGCAGTCGCTTAGGGCGACGTCGATGTGCTGACCTCGACCGGTCTTTGCCCGGGAGAGCAGGGCAGCCATGATGCTATTGCTAGTGTAGAGTCCCGTTGTCAAGTCAGTGACCGCAACGCCAACCTTCACCGGTGGCCCATCTCGGTTACCGGTAATATGCATCAGCCCGAATTCCGCTTCGACCATGACGTCGTAACCGGCTCGCTGAGAGTAAGGCCCCGTCTGGCCATATCCCGTAATCGAGGCGTATATGAGGCCTGGATTAATTTTATGAAGCGTCTCAAAATCCATCCCATACTTCTTCAGCGTCCCCGGGAGATAGTTCTCTACGAGAATGTCACATTTTGCTGCCAGCTTGTGTAGGATCTCCACGCCTTCGGCATGTTGGAATGACAGGCCTAAAGATTTCTTGTTGCGATTGACCTAGATGTAAGTCAGTAAAGGCCATGCGTAGTAACATTTATTTATATAACATACACCCAAGAAATAGGCAGACTCTCCCGGGCCTTCTTCGTTGGACCCGTTTCGGTATTTGGCATAAGGCGGCCCCCAAGCCCGCGTGTCATCCCCGCGCGTAGGATGCTCAATCTTGATAACTTCTGCGCTTGCGTTCGATACAATATTAGCTTAACACAGTCCTACGTCATAAAAGTGATATGTAGTTTATACCCAAGGTCGCCCAGAATTTGTGTACAATATGGCTATGCAGACAGATAAGTGAGCAAGTGGCCGTGCACATTGCCGAGGTTGGGGGCAGATCCTTCACTACATACGCCGGCCAGGACCCTAGTCATATCCAGAACACGATAACCCGCCAAAGGGAGAGAGGATTGCTCGTCATTTACAGCAGAATACCGTCGTATTAAGTCAACCGAATACCGATTTCTAAGAAACGTTGTGCCGCGGCTGGCGCGAGCTACCGTGCGACTGAACATGATGGCTGATTTGGTGGCTATTAATTCTTGAGACACAGAATGTCTGTATTAGCCGAGACCTCTCGGGGCGGACAGACAAAATAATACAGGGCAGATCGACATTTACTGAAGGAATCAATCTGCATCGGAATAATTGGTATACAAGCCGTTCGGATCCCGCAGTCGGCGTTGACAAGTTGGAACTTTGAAAACAGCGAGAAACGGCCGCTATTCCCGATTAATTGAAGTTCTACCCCACAATCCAACAATAAATGGTCTCCTTTATTATTTGACCATGACGATTTGCTGACTACGATTCCTAGGAACAACAAGCTGAGCTTCCTTCACCATGAACAACGTCGGCCGTTACTTGGAAAGGATTCGACGCTCGCTACGACCGACTTTTTGTCAGAACTCTCGATCCTCTTTACAAGAACCCCTGCAATATAGGAATGGGCGGTGCAATGATGATTGGGAGTAGCTGTCGTGCAACGCAAAGCACTTTATCTAGAGTTAACCTACCAAAATAACGGCATTGGCACTATTGGCGTATCATTCGCCAAATCAAGCCTCAAATGACTATAATTTATATTACCTCATGTACCTAAGGCAGCCGGTCGAGTAGCCAACGGCAAGATCCTGGGATAATGGTTGTTGGCCTAGGTAACTCGACAGCCTGACAAGTAAAGACATTACGATACTACAATGCCTCGATGTGGTGACATGCGCCGCGCGAGTGGCAATATCTACCATGAAGGACACCTTACGCAGGCTACGCATCAGCCTAATAGAAATTGCCTCGCCTACCATCGTCGCCATTAGCATTCGGATATGCCTACATCACCGTTTGGCCTTATTATACATCTTCATGTATTGATAAGCCTAGTCGAAGGACCATGTATCCCTTAAGGGACGAATATGTTGGCCCAATCAGCAGAGTTGCTCAGCCTCGACTGCCTACGACTGAAATGCGACTGAAATGCGACTGAAATGCGACTGAAATGCGACCGATACTACCCAAAGGCTCTCAGTAGCTAGGCGGGCGCTAAGTATCACCAGAATAGGTCTACGATCGGCGCATTCCCTACGAACATATACTTGCATAGAGGAGCCTGCTGCTCATCCTACCTAGGTTAGGTATGTTAGGTACTCACTATCGACCGCGTTTTGCAACCAAGTTAGTGTCTCAAGGCATACAATTGTCACCGAGGGCAACGTTTGCATTGCCTCACTCGTACTACAGGGATCCCGAGATACCCCGTCGTCCCGTACGGGTGGGCGGCGCACAGCATGCAGCGTGTAACCGTATGCAGATGTCAATTATCACTTGATTGGCCCAATAATAGAATCTGTCTAGGTTCCCGTCCCTCCAATTCGGCTCTTCTCGTATTCCAGAGGGACAGTAAAAAAGAACGCCTTCCCGTCATTCCCACACCTCACCGCTCGCAACTCAATTTTTATTTCCTTGCCACGAACCCATGATAGTCATCTCAAACCGCTTTCCTGGCTAAACCAACATGGCACCACCGTTATATCGGCGCGAGGAGAATGACGCATTCGATGCGCACACATCAGCTACACCAGAAACTAGAGACACCAGCAACTCAATGGCGCCTTGGTTAATAGCTGTAATCGTCATCGGAGTGCTCGTTGTAACATCGCTGATCGTATTTCTGACATTACACCTAACAAGAAAACGGCAACGAATCCCCCAAAAGGATCAGGCAGACCCGCTGGGCAAAGACTTTAAGAAACGGAAGATGAGGTCGACGGACAGGCAAGCAGTGGAGGAGATTGAGCGGGTTACGATGATCCGGAAGTCCCTAGCGAGCCGAACCTCGTCGCGGAACTCTCAGGTGTGGGGGTCTACAGAATATCAATTCCAAGAGCTGGACCAGGAAGACCGAGAGCCCGTCGCCCCGAGAGAACAGACAGAGCAAAGAGAAAATTGGAAGGAATTCGAGGCAGGTCAGATACTGGTTCCTGGTGTTCAAGACACGCAGATGGGAATCCACCCGGCTCTTCTACCGCAACCTCAATTAGCCGTTCCGCCACCGTCTCGAACCCCTTCTCCGAGTCGGGGACCGCAACCACCTCGATTAATCATCCCTTCATAACGAGAGAACGAATTTATTAGGTTATATATTTCCTACGCCGCTTTGACGCATTTTTTATTTATAGATGGATCTTGGAAGGTTTAACGGCGCATAGTAAATAATACCCTCGGAGACATCGCATAGGCGTTTTAGGGGCGAGCATTGATGGGTACTGTCAATGTCTAAGGTATCTATTCATATATTTCGTATTGAACCATGGCTATCTATAACGAGGGGTATTGGTGTTGAGTTGAAACGGCCGTGCTTCTAGCTTACCTATATTTATTCCCGTCATGTTATCAAGCATGGATTTCTTTATTACAGTACAGCCAATTTTACGGCGGCGATTGCGGGCGATTCTACCGCTTTTAGAACTGTTTACCCCTTAGAAATGTGATTAGTCTGTAGCATTTTGCGTATATGATATTCTAATGTGACTTTTCTACACCTACTCATACTAGTTACAAGGGAGAGATGAGGCTTGGAATATGGTGAATGGCATGGAATAAGGATGTGCTCGGCCACTTCTCTATTGATAGAAAACACAGACATTCGTTTAAAATTCACCAAAGATCAAGTTACTCACAACTAGACTATGGCTAGGTAGTGGTGAATCTTTAGGCACCTAATAATAAGTTTGTTGAATATGTCTGTGTTGTTGAAGTCAAACAATAGCATCAGAAATTGGGGTTAGTTACTACAAAGGTCTACAAACCATCAAAGAGATCGTACTTTGTGGTTTTCGTATAATTTAGGTATAAAAGGAAACAATCGCCCTTCAAATTTTCTTAGTTATTCGAGATAAAAGTGCTTTCTTACGCCTGCTTACAGAACTCGAGGTACGTACTGCCGCTTTCATACCTGCACTGAGTGATTACATAAGGTACATGCAGATGACCCACTATTTATGCAACCCACGCTGACATTGATAACTGGGGAATATTCTACAGGCATTTGCATTTGCATCGCGTCTTCTTTCTCTCACCTTCTTCACCTTTGTGTCGGAGGTCGCTTTCATTTTTTCATCTCAAACCTCAACAACAATAACGACGCCGCACTCGAATCAATCCATCGCTATCCCGTCATAATGGCGACCGTGGTGCCCCGCCTGGAGCCCAACTTTTCCGCTCCCGTACAAACCCTCCCCAACCAGAGTCAGACTGTCAGTCAAAATCCGAGCCAAAACGAAAGCGATGGGGGATACAAGCAGAACTTAAATCAGCGACTTCTCTGTCCCGATTGCAATGAAGATCCTCCTAATCTCGTCGAAGAGTTCTCCTCTGGAGACATGGTTTGCGGCTCCTGCGGTTTAGTCCTTGGTGATCGCATCATTGACACACGATCCGAGTGGCGTACCTTTGCCAACGACGATCAAGGCAACGATGACCCTTCTCGTGTCGGTGACGCTGCGAATCCTCTCCTGAACGGCTCCCAGCTCGAGACCAACATCGGGTTCGGTGAAGGAATGCGCGCGCGAGAGCTGCATCGCGCTCAGAGCCGAATTACCAACGACAAAGCCACAAAGACGCTCTTAACCGCCTACCGCGATATTACGCAGTTTTGCGATGCTATTCACATTCCAAAAACCATCCAGGATTCTGCGAAGCATATATTTAAGATGACCGAGGACAAGAAGTTGTTCAAGGGGAAACCCCAGGAGGCAGTCGTAGCTGGCTGTATCTTCATAGCATGTCGGCAGGCTAAGGCGCCTCGGACGTTCCGTGAGATTTACTCTCTCACCAGAGTTTCGAAAAAGGAGATCGGCAGGACGTTCAAGGTACTTGAGAAGATGTTGCAGAACAGCCGTGATGAAAACGTCACCGGCTCGTTCCTTATGGTCGAGAACTACGAGGCTACCGGTACGACCGGCGCGGCCGAGCTCTGTGCTCGATATTGCAACAATCTCCAGTTTAAGAATCCCCATCTTATGGAAAAGATATCCAAGGTTTTGGCCGAGAAGAGTTCGTCCCTCAAAGATCTGGCTGGCCGATCTCCTCTGTCGATCGCTGCCGCATCTATCTATATGGCATCCCATCTTATGGGCGACGCGAAAACATCTAGAGACATTGCCGCCGTGGCTGGTGTTAGTGATGGTACTATTAGGACGGCTTATCGCCATATGTATCCGTCTCGCAAGGAATTGATCGAACAGGATTGGCTTCACCCGAAAGGTGCTGGACGTATAGAAAACCTTCCTTCGAATTAGGGACGTGGAAAGGCTTACTATACCTCATTAGCGAATTAAATTTGCTACTGCCGACTAGATGGTTATAGAAATCTCGAGGGATCGAGTTCATTCGAAGGACGTGAGAACCTTTGCCACTTGGCAGGTCTGGTTTATGAAATTCCCAGACCCGTTCAGCACGCGCTGTCTTCATTGTCTTGACCGACATGCTGGTCGGTTTATACCGGATTTCTCGATTTTTGAGTCGGGTAATATTCCGTACGCAGAAGAGGGAAACATACTCGCCGTTTGGGTGATTTCCATAGGCCGGTACTAGTTTCTTTGACTTTCCTTGTACGCCGTTTTGCTCTTGAGATACAGAGCTCGCGCGTTTATACTTCTGCAAGCAGGTGTAAGGCCGGTTTGTAGTCTTTTCGATGGTTGATCGACGAGGGTTGCGATGCGAAATTAATTATGGTCGGCGATGATTTTATGGCGAAGAGGCATGGCGTGGATGGCGCGGATGGCTCGAATGGCAGCAGAAGGTACATTGACATTATGGATAGTGCTAGGTTGGCCTTTTACGATTCTTAGATTTAGGGATCGTAGATACAATCGAGAGCATTCCGTAGTACTAGTTACTGGATTCTAGCTCGTACTACGTCCAAAGAGAAGTCTAACAAGTTTTCAGCTTGATATAAACTATACGGGATGTGGTACGTAAGGTGAGACCTATTTTCCAGCGATGAGATACCCAATTCCCTTTTCTCCTATTTTAAGATCCAATAACTAATATCGTCATCTCACGGACTGGATATCTTGAACGCAAGAAACAAAAAAATATAATGCTTGAATAGAAATATCATATATACGTGCTTGCCCCTATCCCCATACAATCCATATACCTTACATATCAAAAGTCCCAAGGTGCCTTTGCGTGTAACCAACTGCCCCAGTGAGGTACTTAGCTTATATAGGTGAGTACATGTATTGACTTGAACCCGAGGATGCGGGTAGCGTGAAACTAGTAGAAGCTACTCGGTTGACAATGGCCCGGCATATGGAGAAAGCACGACATCGATAAATACCTAATAGGCTCTCCCCGGGACGCACCCCGCATGCCCCGTCCCCGCCGTTACACGGCTTATTAAATGTGCGGTCGTTAAGACTTTCCATAACTTCGTTTTCTTTATTACGTAGCTATTTTTATTTACTTTCTCTCTGTATGCTAAAAATCCTGACTACTAGACTTGCTACTCTCATTCGTATATACTCTTCCCAGCTTAGAAGATACATCGTCCCCTCCAACAACACCATGAAGCTCCTCTACCCCACATCTCTCAAACTCGACATCAAGAGTCTCGAGGGCTTCTCTACTTCCCTGCATCCTTACGATGTCAAAGCCCCAATTCCAGATGACCTTGCCGACGCCGAGATCCTCGTTACTTGGACAAACAGCGCCGAGAACCTATCCGACGCAGCACGTCGCTTGAAGAACCTGCGCTGGATCCAGTCCCTCGCTGCGGGTCCTAACGATGTTCTAGCTGCTGGATTTCCCTCAAACGTCCTCGTGACGACGGGCTCTGGCCTGCACGATCGCACCGTCGCTGAACATACCCTGGGTCTACTCCTCACGGCCGCCCGCCGCTTCGACCAAATGCGCGAATACCAACTACGACGCGAGTGGCCGCAACACCTAGGCGGTCCGCAGCCCGACCGCCCAAAGGACCGCTTCACTACCCTGCGCGACGCAAACATTCTCATCTGGGGCTACGGCAACATCGCCAAAACCCTGGCCCCGCACCTGACGGCATGGGGCGCAACGGTACGCGGTATAGCTAGGTCGGCGGGTGTCAGAGACGGCGTGGAGGTGTACGCGGAGGACAAGGTGCCGGAACTCCTACCGCAGACCGACGCGCTGGTGATGATTCTGCCCGGCTCGGATAGCACGCGGGACGTGCTGAACAAGGAGCGGTTGGCGCTACTGCCGGCGCACGCGTGGGTGGTTAATGTCGGCCGGGGCACGAGTATAGACGAAGACGCGCTGGCGGACGCGCTGGAGCAGGGCAAGATTGGCGGCGCGGCGCTAGACGTGTTCAAGACGGAGCCGTTGCCTAAGGAGTCGAGGCTGTGGGGCGCGCCGAATTTGCTGGTTAGCCCGCATGCGGCGGGTGGGAGGCCGCAGGACGCGGAGCAGCTTATTGCGTATAACCTTCGGAGGTTTTTGGCGGGGCAGGAGTTGAGGAATTTGGTGTAGCAATTACGGAGTAAACTGTGAGGGGGAGGGGGGGAATAGGGGCTGGGCTGGGCATGGAGAGAGAGACTCCCTTGGCTTGCAGGCTGTGCGAGGGGGATGGGGGTATTCCCCAACGATAGAAATGAAAAGAGCTAATAAATACTATGGTGATGTTAGTGTTTAAACTAGAATCTAAGATAATGGCAATCTTATAATATGTTAGATGTCCCTTTCCTCGGCCTACCCCTATTTTAATAGGAGAGTTATGGACTCTTTCACGTACATTATTTTCTTTCTGCTGTGTCCCTATTATAAACAGAATCCAACCCTAAAATCACAGATACCCATGGAGTGAATCCCTAGGAGGGGACCCCATCAGTTGCTTAGATGTAAAATATACTATCCTTCATCCTCAAATGGAGAAGACTCCCAAAAGGTCACTGGTCATTCAATGCCAAGCCAGCAGCTTGAGTTTGAAAAACTGCGGCGTTAGTGGTACCAACAGCAACGTATCAACGAGCACGGTCGCAGGCAATATCCGCATCATAAGCTGGCGTATATATACTAACGGGACTAGTCGACCGTCCGAATATGAAGCATATGGGGAATGAGTAAAAGTCTCTAACATGTTGGCCGCATTTCCTTCTTGAACCTTATCCCTGAATATCTCGTCGTGGACGACAAAGTAATGAGCTAGACAGGCGGTGCATCTGATTGTTAGAAGGTACGTATAGCAACACCCCTAATAGCTCTATCCGGGATATCGCTCGTTAGGATCCGCGTCTTTAGTATATAATCTCCATACAGCTACGCGACCGTTAGTCCGGGCTGCGGCGAAGACTTTACTACTTTCTGATATTCCACACGATACCACCTTGCCCTTCTTACTGGCGCCCTGCTCAGTCGAGAAGAGCGGCCAGAGCATGCTGTCGCTCCCTCTCAAATGACCCTCGGGCGTTAGAGAGACACTGAACACGGTGCTGGGCGCAACGCAAGTTAGCGCGTAGTTTGGATATTCTCTAGCATATAGCGTGTTGTCGGGCCCGTCGTATTTATAACCCCACGACATTAACATCCAGGAGTCTTGGCCCGAAGTCGTTTCCTTTTTCAGAGTAGCCATCACGATATTCTGTTCACTTAAGCCAATACTCGTTGGGACCCATCCTTGCCCTAGGTCTATGCCAACCCCCTTATTCTGCGAGACCTTGTAGAAATCATTGTCCAACCCCCAAACGAAGAATCGACCTTCGGAATCGATTGTTGCAGCATATTTATTGTCCTGAGAGAGTGCGACCTTTTCAAACGGGGTTTGGATTTCAACATTGGACATAAGAACTCTAAGCCTCTGAAACTTATGTGCATCCCATAGCTCCACGGTAGTCCCCGTCGTGAGCGCGAATACCTTGCTATCTCTTGAAACTTTGACGTCGTTCGCCACTGGAAGAACATACTCTGACAATTTTAATATTGTGCCATCTTTAGGAATACTATAATATTCAGCAGGATGGGCGAGACCAAAAGCTATTATGAGTCCTCCATTTGCGTCTAGTGTAGCAGCCCTGATACGATGATTTGAGCTAGGATTATCTTGACCGAATTCGAGCTTTCGAGGCAAAGAAGTAGCAGTAAGATCCCACTACAGTAATAGTAGAGTCAGTAAATACTTATATTTCTTAATAAGTGAATAAGATGGAACTTTAAATCTATAGATTGAGCATTACTTATGGACGATGCTACCTACTTCCCATGGGCAGATCCAAATCCATAGACCGGCCGGGGACTTCTCTGGAGAGAACTTACCAATATACCACCCTGATCTTCATGTAAAGTAAAAAGGAACTTATCGTCTAGGGAGAAGGCAAAAATATCTGCCGGCTTCTTTACGCCTAGTTCGCTTGGGAGAGAGAGATTCCAGAGGAGCGTTGGTGCGAAATGTGGATAACCCATTCTCTAAAAGTGAGGTAGTTGATAAGAATTAATTTTCATTCGTGATCTTTACCAAGCTATCCTAAATCTAAGTGGGAGAGGGAGTCCCCCACGTCGGATTAAGAAGTACCTAGGAGGTACATATTATAGCTATAGTGCGGGGGGCATCTTCATCTCTGCTTACACGACAAGAACACTTAAAATAATAAAATAGAAAATAAAATAACTACATTGAGAATATGTTACAATTTTCGTTTGCTAGGTACACATTATGCCAGTTATTAAGTTAAGGTCAATCGATCGATCAACAGCCCATAATTATGCCATTAATATGTCACAACGCTATCGACATCAACGTTGTTACCCCTGAGCACATATCCTTCCTTCATAGCTTGCTGCCACTGGTCCTGGACAAGCTTCGATCTACGTTCGGCACGCGGCACGAACCGAGCCTCGAAAGGTTTCGGCCCGCGGAAACTCGTGTTCTCCCAGGCGTCGTCGCTCAGGTCCATTTTGGCCTCAACGCCGTCGACTACGGGCGGGCGGATTTCGAACGCCCATAGAATGTTTGACAGCGCGATGTTAAGAGAATTCTCGGCGAGGCGGGAGCCGGGGCAGATGCGCCGTCCTACGCCGAAGGTGAAGTGGTCTCGTTTGTACGGGTCGCTTTGGTTGGCGTAGTCAGCGCTGTATTTGGGGTGACCGAGGTAACGCTCGGGGCGGAACGTGAACGGGTCTTCGTAACGAGATGGATCGTAGTGGATGGTGCTCGTGTTGGCTAGCAGTATAGTGCCTTTGGGAATAACATAGTCCTTGTAAGTAACGTCGGCATCAGCGTAATGCTTGATTCCCCAGAAAGGGGTAGGGTGCATGCGTAGAACCTCCTTAACACAGGCGCGGATGTAAGGGAGGTTCTTTATGTCATCGAAGATAGGGGTGCGATCAGGTCCTACGACGCGCATAAGTTCGTCGTGGGCGGTTTTTTGGACGTCGGGGCTTGCTGCGAGGTGTAATAGCAAGCTCAACAGCGTAACTGATGTTGTTGTTGATCCAGCCTCTACGTTACCGCCAGCAACCCAAGCCGCATCTTCGTCTGTGAGCCCCTGTTTCCGCCACGAGTCGTCGTTCTCCATCATCTCGCGTGCGTGACACACCGGTGCTTTTCCAGCAGTGACCTGCTCTTGTAATCTTCGCCAGAGTATCATCTTAGCATCAAGTAGCGGCTTTGCGTAGCCCTCTGCCCGCTTTCTCCCCGGTTGCAGCCACGTAGGAAGTTGTGCCAAGATGGGCAGCTCGTCAACGATGAATACACCCGCATGGGTTATTTTGCCAAGAATGCGGGCGCTCTCCAAAGCATGATGTACATCCTCATCATCCCACGTCTTTACGCGTAAGCCGTAAGTACTAGTCAGCATGATGCTAAAGGCGAAGCGGCGTACGTGCATGAGAAAGTCGTTCTGATCCGTTGCCAAGTCGAAGAGTAGCTGCTTGGCCTCATACTCCTGAGATGGGATAAACGTGGCTGTCATTGTACTTGAGAGAAGTTGGTGTGAGATGGTACGAAAGGCGCGCCACTTGCTTCCGTACGGCAAGGTAAACATCCGCATCCCACCGGCGACTACATCATGTCCAATAGGAGCAGGCATTTTAGACGAAGTACTTGAGGACTAAGGAGATAAGTGTTAGTATTTTTCAGTATATAACGTTCTGTGTTCTTTCAATTTATTACCTGTTTAATCAGGATTTCGTGTATCGCTTCTGGGCTGTTGATGATCACCCAATTATACCAGCCAACCTTCAACTTGAAAACATCGCCATACGTAGCGGCCCATTCTCGAAAGCGGATATGCGCCTTTGGAGGTAAGCTGGTGCCGATTCCAATTAACGGATTTCCTCTGGGTCCAGGCATTTTTTCTAGACGCCTATCCCGACGAAGCCATGCCACCGAACATACCACGGCGACAAGGCCCGCCAAGAAAAGAAGCTTATGAGTGTGATATAAGGTAAGGATGTTGGTCATGGTGACCGTTGGGTCCCTTGGATATACAATTGTCGAACTCATGTTTGAATCACAATAACTAACTGGATATGAAGGATGAATGAAGGATGGAAACTAAATACGGATTACTCGAAGGCTATTTACATTGAATCGATATACTAAAGAGAGCCGGTAGGTCGGAACTCACAGCCGCCTTCATATGTCATATACTTTATGATGCTAGCCTCGCGAGAATTATCTCCTAAGGTGCGAATAGAGCAGTTTCCTGTATTATTTCCAAAGGGTAAGTCTTTGTTACGTTCTAATTGGATGTATTCCGTGGAGAAGAATAGTAAAAGACATTACAATTTGCTCGGAGCTTAGGAGATAAGCTCTGTTCAAGAACTTGAAAACGATTCAAAGGCTGACCAAATCGTGTCTTGTCTCGCTTTCTCATTGGTTCGATATAAGTCTTATAACAATTAAACTCCGTCTCGGTGCCCGAGGCGGGGAGCGAACGCGGCTAAAGATTCTCCGTGTATCCGGCTTCACCTCGGTGTGGCTTAAAGCCAAGGTTGAATGTATGGCTTATAATAAATTGATAAAATACAAAAGACGGTCGACGACTTCACCGAGCTGAACTAAGAGCTGCAGGACTTGAACGAATCTATATTCGCCCGACGCCCGACGCGGTCTAAGCACAACGGTCTCGCCATACAACTACCTAATAGCAAGGCATGATATTATATCTAAGTCTTAGGTACCTATCACCCTCACAATATTCTGATCAGATATCTAAGAGCCTTAGCTAATTACGAAATTTCTATTGGCGGAGGTACGGTGAATTGCCTACTATGGGCCGGATAAAGAGACAGGGAGACGCCTGCTTCATAGGTCAGTCACCCCTTTCCCGTGTGCTACGCGTATAGGGCTGAGTTATTTTATGTCATCATAGAAGACTGCGCTAATTATGCTTACTACAAGATCTATTCTGTATTATTGATTTACGTGCATCTCATGTCTTTGTTTAGCTAGGTACCTAGTTTTGCTTCGTTCCCTATACGTCACCAAAATGTCCAACCACTCTGATTTATTGACTATTTCGAACGTAAGGAAGAATTGCTGCGTAGAGTTTCTCACCGTTTAAAGTCCCCCCTGTAAATTCAATAGGCTAGGTATAAAGGGGTTAATGTCAACTAATTGAATAAAAATTAACCTTGAGAAGAATATTACAGGGACATTCGTCGTATCTACACATCATATCCTAAATATTGCATATAAAATTCATCTTTGACGTGTAGCTAATTCTGTGTCCTACTCCCGTGATCATCATCTGATGTGGGTGTAGTTGCCTCTTATTATTAATTGCAGATCTACAGTCGTATGAAGGATGGAAGTTAATAACTGGTAAAGATAGACGAAAATAAAACCAACTCATTATTTCGTGGAGCACGCAATCCTTCTAGGAAGATATGTGTATCATAAGAGGTAAGCACATACTTTAGGATCATTTTTCAGCCAAGTACCCGACGTAGCCTATATCTATCTCGCTCTTTGAGAAATTCTCTTGCTTCGTATTGCGTGAACGCACTTAGGCGACATCTGGCACCGCCGTTAAGGAATAGTCATACCCGAGTTTGGCGTACATCATAATGCGCGTCGAAGCAAGAATTCGGGAGCGAGTTTTATTTAACTCCGCCAAGGCAGCGAGTATCCGGGCATCAAAAGCAAAACTCTATTGGCTTAAAAGAATATTCTCAATGTCATCATGCGGTTTGCTGACCCGAGATGGCTTACAACGGTATATGCAGAAAATTCAGCCACCACGCGTTACGCCAACGGACACTAAAATCAAGCATTAGGTAGGTATCTTCGAAGGAATAAATGAAGGAACGGGCGCGCACTACTGCAGGTGATAAATGCTTCAAATTCCAGCCGCAATGGAAAAGGAAATATGATACGATTCCCCCTTTCTCGGACCGTACGAGTTTGTGCGGCGGAATTAACGGTTAACGCTTGGACCATATCACTTTACGTACCTAAACTATACGGATTTGCCTACAAAAGCGTATTCACCTAGGTCTAGAACTTCAGTGCTTACCTTACGAGTCATGTCTTATGGCGTCAAGCCGTGACAGATCTGAGGTAGGACTTAGATCTAACTAGCTTACTCCCACTTGCCACCTGTCAGATTCTAAATGAGAGATGCTAGAATTTAGAATGGTAAAGTAGAACTAGATACTGAGTTAGGAACTAGGGTTGTTATTCCAAGTATAGTCGTTTCGTAAAGTTAAGAAACTGACGAAAGACCAAATAAGTTGAAGAATTGCTCTATGATGTCAAAGTTGCTGGAAAGGTACACCGAGTCAATTATTACAGTAATATACCTGAGGTAATTATGCATTAACTAAGACGATCGAATAGTGAAAGGATCGTGGCTTCGGAGAATTAATTGTCTTGGAAATAAAAAAATTCCTTCAAGACAATTTCGGTAAATAGTAAACTTTGTAAACTCATAATTGATTGATATGATCTATAGTACATTAGAATTTATCTAGATGCTGATATCTCTCAATCTTACTCGCATCATATTGACTATTCTCAAGTGCTCTTTTCCTAACCATGAACCCAAGCTTTTATACAGATCATCTACGTTCCCCGATGTGGATTCGTCAATACAGTTAGAACTCCGGGATGCAAATATGTCAATAAGATATCCAACCCTTTTCATCTCGCCTAATAACAACTGAATTCTTAATGCGGCCTGCACCAGATGGTCATCAATGCTGAAACAGCCCATAGTCATCTGCGTAGGAGCAAGATCTGTTGTTGCGTTTCGCGTGCCTGATGGTGTGCTTGAACCGCTGACACTTGTATTCGCAGTGCTAGCTCCTATGCTCGGCCAAGACGATGGTGACCTGCATATCGACCCGGCGGAGGAGCAAGAAGGTGACATACCATTTCGTATTGTCGCATTTGGTATAGGACTCAGTGAGGATGTCTTGGAGCATCCGGCCTCACGGCTGTACCAAAGTAGAATCCGTCCGATAATCGAGGCATAAAGAAATGTGAGATGAGAGTAGTTGGCACAAGAACATCTTAACAAACGACCGAGCCGCTCGGTAGCTTCGCGGTTAAGGTGCAATATAAAATCCAGTGGAACGCAATTTATAGAGGCAGCTGTCGTGCCTGGTGGTGGTGTAGTTCTGGAGTGGGCTTTGCTGATATTCAGGGAAGATAAACTATTCATAATTTCGTACGCTTCCCGGGAACAGTCGTGATGCTTGGTGTTGTCATGCTGCATAAAGGGGCTGTCTAGATATATTCTGTCATCCGCTGGGGTATGAGCCCCTGTTGTCTGTCCTGTTGAAGCCGGGGAGTTTTCAAGCTCTGGCCATCCCAATGCAGGGAATGGCTCAGTCTCTAGATTGGTGGATGTGAGTTCATCCCCAATGATGTTCGTCAAAACCCATTCATTCGTATCCAAAGATGAGAAATTTGTGAGTGATGGCCCTAATTGGTCGTTATGGAATTCATCCAGCACGTTAACACTAGTCATAGCATTGTTGGAATATTCCTCGACCGTCCCCCAAGGTGAGTGTATATCATTGATACTCGAACTCGAATTGGTCCTCGGTAAGATAGTGTCACTAATGGAACTACCCGCACGACGGCTGTAACTACTGTCGTCGGATCTACCCTCCTTTCCGTTGCTGTGGTAATCTCCTTTTGTGCGAGATCCGCCTAGCATGGCTGGAATCTGTAGCCTTTCTCTTGGTGGTTTGCCCATTTTCCGCGAGACCCCATAGACACAAGCAATGCCAAGAGACACGCATCGTCCACATTCAGGCTGGCCTCGATCGCATTTGAGCTTTGCAGAGCCACACCCATCGCAGCTGGATCGTAGCTTGGGCTGCCGGGACGTTCGTGGGGGGTTATTAATCATCATTAGTAAATGAGTGAACGTGAGCTTCCACGTTTCAATGTCTGAGAAGGATGGGTATTATCAAAAGAAATTTGTCAAAAATTTGTCAAAGACTCAAAGTAGAACTCAAAGAGGTAGACTCGTTCACTAGATTTCAAGCCATTCCAAACCTGCATGCTTGTAAACCCCCGTTCATGCGAGAGGGACTTCTGTTAGATAAAAAGCGATAAAGCCAACTCGGAGTCATTTTGTTTTTTTTTCCCCCAGGCCAACAGCCTCACATGGTGGCGCTACTGATAGTTACACGAAATAGGCCTTCTTACGGTTCCTTCAGACTATTTCTATGCATTGGTCAGCTTACCGCTTACTTCCGCCATTTTACCGCTCTCCTGAACGCCTCATGGTGCATCATATTACTGCATGATACGGATTGGTGAATGTTCGAGGAACGCCTTATCGTGGCACCCTTACACGACAGCATGCGCTTACAACATACGTCTCCCCTTGGAATGGAAAAACGGACGTTCCGAATAATATACCAACTGGAAGGACAAACTTTTCAAATTACAGTAGCAATTTTGATATGCTATAACTGAATATAATTTGAATTGTTGGCCTACGTATAAAAGTGAATGTTGTCTTTGTATTAGAATATACAGAGACGAGTTTCCTTTTGACGTTTCAACCGCACAATTCTGTACCTTTTCCATATACCTACCTCTCACATAGATACCTCCTACGTTACCTAGGAAAGTTGAGGCTCAGCAACAAAGTAACCATGTCACAGATTGCACGTGCTTCCCGCCTTACCGGTAAAGACAATTCCTTGTCTGACCGGTTCATACGTTCCAAAAGGGGTCAGCATAAGCTCGTTTCAGCTTATTGGACTGGAGAATGTTAGTGCTACGATTGGCCGGCAGTGCAAAGGAATAGAATCGTTAACATATCACGGCAAGGGTGAAACAACATCTAACAACCCTATCTATCTGATAAAACTTCCCGAGATCTCTTGAATAAGCCCCGACGATTACTCTTAGCTCTCCCGCAGGATTCCCGGCTCCGAGATGGGTCGAGATACTCAATCCTGAGTGAAAACTTGTGGCTGCTTATGTCACATATCAACAACTCGAGCATGCCCGAGCACAGTCACTGCTACCTTGGCAAGGCAAGAGAAGCTGAGGAGATAAGGCTTAACGGGTCTCGACTGGAGAAGTTATGATCAGCGTCATAGCGTGGTTATGTTAATAGCATCAAAGAGAGACATTGTAGATATTTAAATAAATATATATGATAGACCTCGGACATCTCTTTGATACAGAGTCTGCAGTCTACACTCTACAGCAACGGCCAAATCACCGACAAATATCTCCAAGTCGTATCATCAACATCAACATGGTTGACCAACTAAAATTGTATCTCTTTGGAGATCAGACATACGACACTCAATCGCACTTGAGGGAGTTGATGCTATACAGGCACAATCCAGTCTTGGAAGACTTCCTGGTTAAAGTATACGACACCATCCGCACAGAGATATACAAACTTCCAGCTGAAATCAGGGATGATCTCCCTCGATTCACCTGTTTGGACGATCTCGTCCTGTGGAAGCAAGATGGAAAACGGTGCATAGCCTTAGACATGGCTGTAACATGCATGTACCAGCTCGGGGTTTTCATCAGGTAAGACATACGTTAACATACGTTACCCACGCCGTAGTACTACATACATACTAAATAACATATGCAGCCAGGCTGACACGTGGGATTTCCACGCCAACAATTCCCAAGTTCTGGGTCTCTGCACGGGAGCTTTGGCAGCAGCAGCAGTTAGCTGTAGTCGCAGCACACTCGAGCTCATCCCCGTGGCTGTTGACGCAGTGGTTGTGGCTTTCAGAACGGGCGTGCGTGTAACTGATATGGCACAGAGACTCCAATCTTCGGATTCGTCAGATCCGAGCTGGTCAATTATTGTTCCCGGCTCTGCCTCTGCTGATGCCGTCCGAAGATTTTGCGAACGAACGGTAAGAATAATTGTTCCATGTTGAAGTCATAGCAGTTCAATACTTACCTATTTCATTTCATTAGACGTTACCCCTATCTGTCAGGCCGTACGTCAGCGCCTATGCTCCCAACGGCATCACCGTCAGCGGCCCGCCTCGCTCGCTCGATCTACTTACCCAGTCGGGGACTTTACATAATTCAGGCTTAAAGGGTATCAAGATCTTCGGACCTTACCATGCTCCCCATCTATACTCTTCGGAGGACGTCGACGAAATTGTCGAGAATCTGAGTTCCAGCGGCACCAATTCACGCTCTAGCTATATTCCTGTCTTCTCCAGCACTGGAAAGACGGAGGAGAGTAGCAACTTTGAGATGCTGTTAAAGTCTGCAGTCGACCAAATACTGCTGCAACCTATTCGTTGGAATGACATCCTCGAAGAGCTGCAAACTTGTCTCCGGAGAGAGCAACCCGAGTCATTCAGTATTGTTCCAATTGGGACGAAAGCCGATCAGCTGATATACACAGCGCTTAAGCAGACATCTCTGCGTTCATTGCTAACACCCATGCCAACACAGAGCCAACCGTCCGTTGCTCAGGGTAGCTCGTATGCTAGTCCCGGAAAGCCCAAGCTCGCCATCATCGGGTTATCAGGGAGATTCCCTGGCGCTCAAGACAACGAAGCATTCTGGGACCTTCTTTACCAGGGTTTAGATGTCCACAAGCCTGTCCCAGACTTTCACTGGGATGCCAGAACCCATGTCGACCCTACAGGAAAGGGGAAGAACACGAGCGCAACGGCATTTGGCTGCTGGCTTGACGACCCTGCCGGTTTCGATGCGCGGTTCTTCAACATCTCGCCCCGAGAGGCGCCACAAATTGACCCTTCACAAAGGCTTGCCCTGATGACAGCTTATGAAGCAATCGAACAAGCTGGTATTGTCCCAGACGCCACTCCATCGACACGACGCGATCGCGTTGGCGTCTTTTATGGTGTGACTAGCATGGACTGGATGGAAACGAACAGCGCTCAGAACGTGGACACGTACTTTATCCCAGGCGGAAACCAAGCGTTTATCCCGGGACGTGTAAATTACTTTTTCAAGTTCAGCGGCCCGAGTTATGCGGTTAATACGGCATGCTCATCCAGTCTTGCTGGTATCCACCTCGCCTGTAATTCTCTCTGGAGAGGAGACATCGATACGGCTATTGCGGGCGGTACCAATGTCTTGACCAACCCGGACATGACGGCCGGTCTTGATAAGGGGCACTTCCTCTCACGAACGGGCAACTGCAAAACCTTCGACGACTCGGCTGATGGATACTGTCGAGGAGAAGGCGTTGGTACACTCATTATCAAACGTCTTGATGATGCTATTGCCGACAAGGATCCCATCTTGGGATTGATCTTGGGAGCATACACAAATCACTCGGCCGAATCTGAGTCTATTACACGGCCACACGTTGGAGCTCAGCGTGCCATCTTCAAAAAGATCCTTAACCAAGGTGCCGTTGACCCCTATTCTATCGGATATGTCGAGATGCACGGAACAGGTACGCAGGCTGGCGACGCCGGAGAGATGTCCAGTGTTTTAGACACCTTTGCCCCTCCTCTTGCTCAAGTGAAGACCGGTCGAAACAGTAACGAGGCTCTCTTCTTGGGTTCTGTCAAGGCAAATGTCGGCCACGGTGAAGCTGCATCTGGTATGGCAAGTCTTACCAAGGTGATACTGATGATGCAGAAGAGTATGATAGTACCGCATTGTGGTATTAAGACAAAGATAAACCACAAGTTTCCGACGGACTTAAACGAACGAAATGTCCATATCGCTTTAAAGCCGACTCCTTGGGAAAGGAATTCCGACCCTTCAAAGCCTCGACGAGCATTTGTGAACAACTTCAGCGCTGCCGGCGGGAACACGGCTTTGTTGATTGAAGATGCGCCATATGTGCCTGAGTCTACCAACGAAGTCCCTGATACGCGAAACCAACATCTTGTGGCTGTATCGGCTAAGAATGGTGTCTCCTTACAAGGAAACCTAAAGTCTTTGCTCAAGTACTTAGAGCATAACCCAAGTGTCAACCCCGGCCAGCTCTCGTACACCACGACAGCACGACGCATTCACCATCAGCATCGTGTAATGCTTACTGGTTCAACCGCTGAGGATTTATGCGTCCAGATCGAGGCAGCTATCCGTGACCAAACGGGAATGACTAGGCCCAAGGGCTCCCCTAAGGTTGTCTTCGCATTCACAGGACAGGGAGCACAATACCCCGGCATGGGAAAGGAACTATACGACAACTTCTCTCTATTCCGTACTGAAATTAGAAGGTTAGATCGCATTGGTCACAACCTGGGCTTCCCTTCCATACTTCCCGTCATCCAATCGAAAGAATTAGATGTCAGCATTTTCAAACCTGCCGCTGTTCAGTTGGCTAGTGTCTGTTTGCAAATCGCACTCAGCAAGCTGTGGGCATCGTGGAATATCACTCCCACCGCCGTTGTTGGACACAGTCTAGGCGAGTATGCGGCTCTCAACGTTTCTGGAGTTTTATCTGACGCGGACACTATCTACCTCGTGGGAGCGAGAGCCACTTTACTCCAGGAGAAGTGTACACGAGATACCCACTCCATGCTGGTAGTCATGGCGTCAGTAGAGACGGTCCAGAGCATCCTCAAGAATCGCACGTATGAAGTTGCTTGCATTAACTCACCAACCGAGACGGTCTTGGCTGGTATCAATGAGGACATCGCCGTATCCAAGAATATACTAGCGGATGCAGGACTCAAGACGACACTATTGAAAGTTCCCTACGCTTTCCATTCGTCTCAAGTAAACCCGATTCTGGAAGACTTTAAGAAGTTAGCCAGTGGCGCAACATACTCCGAGGCTAAGATTCCCGTGTTATGCCCCTTGGATGGAAGTATCGCCATCGGCATTGAAAACTTCGGCCCTGACTATCTCGCCCGCCATACCCGAGAACCTGTCAATATGCGAAAGGCACTTCTGGCAGCAAATACTCGTCACATTTTTGGCGACCAGTCTACCACGTTAGAAATTGGTCCTCATCCTGCCATCTCTGGTATGGTTCGATCGGTCCTCGGATCCCAGACTAAAACTCTGCCGTCCTTACAGAGAGGCAGACCAGTTTTCGTGACCCTAGTAGCTGCTCTGAAAGCTCTCTACACCGCAGGTGCTGACATTCGGTGGTCGGGATACCATTCTGATTTCAAGGCTTCTCATAAAGTTGTCCAACTGCCAGCATACAATTGGGACTTGAAGCCATACTGGATACAATACGTCAACGACTGGTCCTTGCGCAAGGGAGATCCCCCTCTAGTAATCAGCGGCTCCTCGCGGCTCGAGAGCACTACTGTTCATAAGGTTGTCGAAGAGACGGGCGATTCCAAGAAAGCTCACATCATCGTCGAGGCGGATGTCACGCGCAAGGATTTCCGCCCATTGGTAGAAGGCCATGAGGTTGACGGGGTTCCTCTCTGCACTCCAGCAGTTTATGCCGATATCGCGCTGACCGTCGGTACTTACCTCCTCGAGCGGTATAATCCAAGCAAAGCGGGCAGCATTGTCAATATCTCCAACTTGGACATTGTTAAGGCTCTGATTCTCCGACCTGACGCTGCTCAACAGGCCCTTCAAGCTCATGCTGAGGCAGACTGGACATCAAACACGGCGACTGTCAAATTTATGACTTTTAACGTATGTATTTCATTGTCCTTTGTAATATCTCCTCTTCTCAGCGAACTTTCTGACAAATATAAAACTAGGCCCAGCAAAAACTACAGGAGCATTCTCGCTGCGTTATCCGCTTCACAGACAGCAGCCTCCAGCAAAAACTGCAAAAGGAAGCAGCAAACGTGAAGCAAAGATTGCAAGCCCTTCGAAATGGAATAGTTACGGGCGAGACCGCTCGTTACAATCGTTCCATGGTATACCGCGCCATCCGGCCGCTGGCACGATTCCACGACGACTACAGAGCTGTGGACGAGATTCTTCTTGATAGCAAGACGCTAGAGGCTTCTAGTCGTCTTAGCTTTGGAAGTTTTAAGAAGGGTGGTGACTTTCACACACATCCAGGTCTTCTAGATGCTTTGACTTGGTCTGCTGGATTCTCCATGAACTGCAAGGATGACAACGATCTAGATCGGGATGTATATGTAAACCACGGATGGGGATCGTTCCAAATGTTTGAGCCGCTCTCGTTCGAAAAGGAGTACACTACTTATTCTCGTATGGTTGAAGGTAAAGATCGATTGTGGCATGGTGACGTGATGATATTGCACGGCGAGAAAGTCGTCGCACACTTCGGAGAGTTTGCGGTAAGTTTTCCCCTATTTTTATATTTAGAAACCTTTACTTATACGTAACCTTAGATGCAAGGCGTGCCACGTCGAGTATTGCGGGTGATCCTATCAGCAGAAAGTGGCAAATCAAAGAAGCAGCAGCCTGTTCAGCCGCCAGTTCAGAAGAGCCAGATTGCTCCCTCAGCACCCTCTCAACCTCTCGTCAGCGCAGAAAAACCTACCCAAGTAATCGCAGAGTCTTCATCCTCACCAAATGTTGCACGAGCCTTGGCCATCATTGCTGATGAAAGTGGTATTGCCGTATCGGATTTAACCGACAACACTGTCTTCGGTGACGTCGGAATCGATTCTCTCCTGGGCCTAACCATCTCGGCTAGATTCAAGGAGGAGCTTGACATGGATCTCGACTTCAACGCACTCTTTTACGAGTATCCCACCGTTGGGGATCTTAAGGGTTTCTTTGGAGATTCGAAATCGGCCAGCACTACTGGTGCTTCTACTCCGAGAACAAACGACGGAATAGATACACCAACGCCAAAGGCTAGCACGACAACCTCTTCTGTCGTAGATGAGCCCTTGGTTACAGTTAAGGTCGACTTCAGGCGCGCCCTTGAGATTATATCTGAGGAGAGTGGCGTTGCAATTGAGGACCTTACCGACGACACCAATTTCGCCGACTCGGGCGTGGACTCGCTGCTATCGCTCGTTATCGTGAGTCGATTTAGGGATGAACTTGAGCTCGACATCCAACACGAGTCTCTCTTCCTTGAATGCCCTACTGTTGCCGATCTGAAAGAATTGTTGCTTGGAACCACTGGCGCAGAAAACACAACTCAACTCTCCGCTGAGGAAAAGCCAGAACCTGCCATTGTCACTAAAGCACCGCGCTTCACAGAGAGCGAAAATGCCGAACTGGCGGCCCGAAAGGCGGCTGTTGACGTATATGTCCGGAAGTACACTGCCGGATTTTCGGTACCAGTCTCTTCACCATCTGCCATCGCTATAACAGACAATGCAAAGGTTGTTCTAGTAACAGGAACATCAGGGAGCTTGGGAGGTCATTTGGCCTTTCAGCTGGCGCATCGCGCCGACGTAAAGACGGTTATCTGCCTTAATCGCGAGAACAAGGCCGAAGCCTTTACGCGTCAGAAAAAGGCCATGAAAGACAAGGGTGTCCATTTCCCCGAAAACCTTCTTTCTAAACTGCAAGTATTGCAGACGGACAGCTCGGCCCCTTTGCTTGGTTTAACGAAGGGAGAATATGAGATGTTGGTGGGCTCCGTCACACATCTTATTCACAACGCGTGGCCCATGAGCGTGAAGCGACCTTTGGATGGCTTCGAGCCGCAGTTTAGCACCATGCGCAACCTAATCGATCTTGCTTCTGCTGTTGTAGCTCGTCGCCCTGCTAGTTTCCGGTTTGGCTTCCAGATGATTTCATCGATCAGCGTCGTCGGGCACTACAGACGCACAGAAGAGCGCGTAGTAGTGCCAGAGGACAGGGTCAACGTTGACGCGCTTCTTCCCGTGGGTTACGCGCAGGCCAAGTGGGGTTGCGAACGGATGCTCGACGAGACCCTGCACAAATATCCGGAACACTTCCGTCCTATGACCGTGCGCCTGGGCCAAATCGCCGGGTCCAAGGTTAGCGGATACTGGAACCCCATGGAACACTTCGGGTTCATGATGAAATCCTCGCAGACGCTAAACGCCTTGCCCGATGTTGACGGCACCGTATACTGGACGCCTGTCAACGACATAGCCGGTGCGCTCGCCGACCTTGTCTTGCGAGCACACCCGAAACCTCACTATCCCTTCTACCACATCGAGAACCCTGTCGGCCAACCCTGGCGCGAGGTTAACAAGATCCTAGCCGACGCTCTAGGTATCCGGGACTTGATTCCTCTAGAAGAGTGGACGAAGCGCGTGAGAGCAGCACCACAGCGCAACAACCCGGCTGCTGCTCTGGCTGATTTCCTAGACAGCAACTACCGGCGCATGTCTTGCGGCGGACTCGTTCTCGATGCCAAGAAGACGCTCGAGCACTCGCCTACCTTAGCTGCTGTGGGCCCGGTAAGCGAGGAGGTTATTCGGAGGTACATCTATGTTTGGAAGGAAATTGGTTTCCTGAACTAAAGGATGGTTTGGTTTATTGATATACTTGGAGGCTTCGCTGCAGAAATTTTAGAGCAACTAGACTGAGATATAGAGATTTGTAAGATAGGAGGAATGTTATAGTTATAGAATAGGAATACGATACTTTCACAGGTTACTTGAATTAACTACTTGTACGAAGTTTAGCATTAACACTTGATATTAACACTTCTATCTTCAAATGGAATCTATTTGATAGTTAAAGCAATTTCTTAGTTAATCGCCCGATTATCTATCTTGGGAGGTTATAGTGACCGAACCTCACCAGACAATAAGGGGTAACTTAGAAACTTGAACATATATAGATTTCAGGAAGCTTACAGCAATGACTCAAATTTAGTATTAAACAGTGTGCGATGTGAATGTTGTGCGAATGGTTCGAGCATCGTTATGTAAATATAAAATAGTATTACCTAGTCGGAAACCCCTTTTTCAATTCGACTTCAAGTTATCAAATACTCTAGTGCGGGGTCCTTCAAGTCTTTACTAATCCTCAAGATGTCGACATAAGTCTAGAATTTTATCAATCCAAGTCGAATGCCTTCTATGTCTCAAATAGGTTGACTAAGATATACTAGTGGCACATTCCGGACTCCTTCGGCACAGGCCGAATCCTCAAACCCCCTCGACATTTTTTATACCCGCGATAGGGCGGCAAAATAGTCGGGAATTTCTATTGACCATCCCACTTCATCCCACTTTATCCCACAAGGTATGATCAACATCGTGCCAACATTATAAGCAGCTTAGGAATGAGAAGTGTATAATACAGAGAAAGGGACTGAAATAAATAGAATTCGGCTTCGGCTCGTTTCCGCGTCACATGATCCAAGTGGGAGGGTGGCCCGGGAAACATAAAGGGTGTAAGGCGGAAAATGATACTCGTTCGGGTCAGCCTCATACGTCATTAACTATTAGATCTCACAGATCTTTGTTTAGATCCGATGGTATAATCGCGGCTTACTCAACTTTAACATCCGACTCTAGTGTGACGTCGGGTTTGAGGAATTAAGGATTATGTCCGATAGCGGACGCAAGACTCGCGAGTCGGGGCCAAGAAATACACATTACCGTTTCGTTCTTTCTCATTCTTTTCCCGGTGATACGAGGTGGTGACACAAACATCTTACATTCTAAGTCAAAAACTCGTTGGTAGAGTTGAAGCTTCAAAGGGTTCCCCTATTGCGGGGTATATATGAAGCCTTGAGAGCTTGTTAAATTTGTCAAATTATCATTTTGTTATTCATCATCTCAACTACAATAAGCATCTCAAGAATAAATATCTCAAGAATAAATATCCCAAAGAAAATATCATCATGTCCACCATTCAAGTTTACCAGGCGACCAAGGTCGGCGGACCCTTTGAGCTAATCACGGCACCCAAGCCTACACCCGGCCCTGGTGAAGTTACTATCCGACCGAAAGCCGTTGCAATCAACGGAATTGACTGGAAGAACATTACTTTCGGTGCCACAATCCAATCTTGGCCCGCCGTTCTTGGCATCGACGGCGCCGGCATTATCGAGGAAGTCGGCGAGGGAGTCACAAACTTTAAGCCCGGTGATGAAGTCCTAAGCTACGCTCGTGGTATCTTGGGCAAGGGTTCATTCCAGGAGGTGTACGTTGCACCAGCAGAAGAGGTTACTAAGAAACCGTCCTACTTGAGCTTTGCGGAGGCTGCTTCTCTATCGTAAGTAATGCTGTTTTGAAACCCCTATTTTATATAAGCTGACTTCCGATTTTAGAACCTGCTTCCTTACCGCAGCGGGTGCTATTGCTGGTGGCCTCAAAGTAGGCATACCCGGCCTTTCTAAGATAGAAAACACAAACCCGCCAAAGTCGATTCTCATTCTCGGTGGTAGCTCCGCCGTAGGAGCCGCTGCTATTCAGATCCTGCGTTTTGCGCTGCCGTCCGTTACCATTGTGGTGACCAGCTCAAAGCCTCACCACGAGCACTTGAAATCCCTAGGTGCGAACGCGGCTCTTGAGCGATCCGCTCAGCAGGACAGTGAAGTTCTCAAGGCTGCGTCACCGGGGGGTGTTGGTTTCGACGCCATTCTAGACGCTGTCGGAGCTGGCCCTGATTCACCTGCCGTCTATGACGCGCTCAGGGCTGACGGGCCGAAGCTGTACTCGCTGGTTCTTACTCGGCCTGACGCACAGCCTCCCAAGGAACTGCAGTCCACACTAGTCAGTGTGTTGAACGCGGAGCCAGGCGCCATGGCTTGGCTAGGCAAGCAATTGGAGGAGCGCAAGTACAAGGTTCCCGTCAAGGCCGAGGTTGTAGGTCACGGATTCCCTGATATCCAGAAGGGTCTGGCCAGGTTCCCAGCCCAGGTCAGCGGTGTGAAGCTGATCGTCACGTTGTAGACGTGAAGATAAGATTATAAGATCAATGGGAATCTTGGATAATTCAGGTTAAATACAGTTGGCATAGATAGGTCAGCAAGTGAGCTACAGACACGAGTCCATCGTAATGCTTTAACGAAACGGGGAAGTTAATGAAAAAATAGACTTACTATCTTAAACAAATTGAAGCCCATATGTGATGTGTTTTTGACCGGAAACAATTTATACAATTATATAGTACGGGTAAGATTATTCCTTAGCTCGGGCTTACATGCCAACATACCTGGCATTGGTGTAGCCCTCCCCCTGGAATCCGGTAGTTGTACCTGGTTCAAACTCCCAGATTACCTAGTTATTCATAATAAGTGCATATTCATAGCTCAAGTACAGGGACCTGTCCTGTAAGTAGACGCCTGGGTAATGCCACATGCCTTGGACATTTCCTACAATCAAATCATGTCCTGCCCAGCCTATGGGCCGCAACCACTTTGCGCATTTAGTGAAGGCGCTTCCCATATTACTCACGAATCGATATCGTTCCAATGAAAATGGTGGTTAGCCGCCTGTAAAATCTTGGTACTTCTAAAAGGGAATTGAAAAAAGAAAAAAATAAAAATAAAAATAAAAATAAAAATAAAAAGAAAAAGAAAAAGAAAAATAAAAAGAAAAAGAAAAATAAAAAAAAAACCTGCGAGCAACTTTCTTTTGAAATGCTATTAAAAATCAGATGAAGATGCAAAAAAGAACTCCTCGGGAAAGGCTCGAACTTTCAACCTCCTGATGGCTCTTAATAACGTTGATTATTAACAGTCAGACGCGCTAGCCAATTGCGCCACCGGGGAGAGGATTTAGGAATTGTTGAAAATTTGGCTTGCTTTTGTTCTTTAAGTACCCGGTTAGCGGTGTCCCATCTTTACCCGAACGACTTTGACTAAACTAGCGCTAGCGGCTAGCGGTCATGTAACTTTGTAGGTACCTAGGTATCTAAGGGACAGTTTTAAACGCATTCTCACAGAAATTTTAAAGAATGGAAAGAGAATATATCGCACTATATGATATGTGGTTAAACATTTGGGTTTATTATCGACAGCGTGAATGAATTGAGTGAAATCGTCAATGCTACATACATGTAGCTAAGAGTCCAGGCTTTAGATCCATCAGAACCAAATACAAAGCTTGGTACCTAGGTTAGGTACTTATCCTACTTGTAGAAGACTTCTAAAGACCGGATAACTATATTGAAACGATTTCCGAAAAATATCTCAATTGCACAGGCATTGTATTTTTCGAAAAAGAAATCTATGACAAAGTATACATTGGGCAAATCATTCTATGGATACAACAGTGACACCCAACCCTACCACTTGGTTTCCCCGCCACAAAGTGAATAACCTCTAAGAATACATGCGACCAATAAGCATCGTAACCTACATAGAGTAAGAACCAGGTGCAAAATCAAAACTGCTTGCATCCATATATGCCACATCATAGAACCGAGTTGTAAAAGTTGAAAAATCCCTTGGGGTCGTAGCGGCGCTTGAGGCTACGAAGGCGCTCAAGACGCCACGGTTCGTAACCATACATAGCCTCTAACTTCTCGTTACCGTGGGCGTAGTTCATATATACGGATTCGATATCGTAGCCCGAGTGCTCAGGCTTGATTACCTCGTCTCGAAGACCACGCGCCCACGCATCGGCCGCAGGAGCGACACTCTCATCCGTATATGTGGTCTGGTAGAGAGCGAGAATGTTGGCGTAGTTGCGGTTTCCGACTGCTGTCTGGTCGGCCGGCTGCTCTGTCACGGCCTTCTGGCCAAAGATCTCGTAGAAGATGATCGAGTTGGATGCGAGAGGGTTCTTCTTGATGAATTCCACATAGGAGTTGTAGAACTGTCGCTGCTGGGGTATGTCGAATTGCTTCAAGTTTGCTGTGTAAACATTTTGGTTTGCACCGTCGAGACATGCCAAGTCGATCATGCCCCCAGCGGCGACGTGTGTGATCTGGCTCCAGGGGGCCATCGTCACGTTCAAGGAAGTACGCTCAATAGGTCCCGTCGATTTCTTGTTCGTAGCAAAGCGGGCTGTGAATCGATCTCCCTGATCCTTAGTGCCGGCATACACAATGTTAAGATAGGTAACAGTCTAATAATATTAGCTTTATTCCGACTTCCAACAGTTTCTTGGGTGACGCTTACTTCGTGGGTAGACGAGTCCGTAAGGATAAAAAGATCTAGGGCAAGACCAGGGTCCTGGTTCGGGATAAGTTCGTTAATGACGCCGAAAACACCTTCCAGAGAAGCATTGGTAAAAGTCATGTCTGCGTTATAGGTTAAGCCGTTATTTTGTAGAGGCCAGGTCTTGTATGTGAAGCTGAGAACAATTCCAAAGTTGTGGCCAGCTCCGCGCATAGCCCAGAACAGGTCTGAGTTCTTGGTTGCGGATGCTTCAACGATAGAGCCGTCCCATAGAGCTACGCGCATGCTAACGATGGCATCTACAATCAAGCCGTATTTTCCCTGAAGTCTGCCGTGGCCGCCACCGAGACTCGCCCCGCCAACTCCGACACAAGAGCAAGAACCGAGAGCTGCATCGGATTGTTAGTTATTGATAAAGAGGGTTTATAGATAACAGTGAGTAGTTTCAAAAAAAGAAATTAGTACTAACGCAATTCTCGACCGGCTCCGTAAGCGGCTGTGTAGACATCTCCGAATTTAGCTCCACCGCCGACGGTGATGGTCTTATCGGAGTTCACGGTGATCTTGTTAAGCTTTTCCAGGTTAATGAATACAACATTCTTCGCTTTGGCCAGTGTAACAGTATTCCCGTGACCGCCGCCACCTGCAAGGAACTGGATATTGTGCTTCGTCATGTATTGGAGCTACATAATGGTGTCAGCTTATATAGGTACCTAAGGTATATAATCTCTCCGGTACGGGATGAGTTCAGCCCACTTACACCAACGGAAACATCCTTCTCTTCCGCCGGAAGGAATGCGACGCTGAAAGTCGGCGCGCTCCACGTGGACCAGCGGGTCGTGTCGTCTACCCACTCAGGAGAATCAGGGGTAATGATCGAAGCATTGGAAGAAATATGGAAATTTAACGTGGGGGCAGTAGCCCTCTCCAAGAATTTCACAAGATCTTCACCTCTGCTAGCGTGCCAAGTAGGCCCAGCTGCAGCTGTGGAGGCAAAGATCGCCAGTGCATTGAAGATGGCGCGTGAGAGCATGATGATCGAGTGACACAAGAGAGATAGGTCTTGTCTTGAATGAGGAAAGCGAACAAGTGTCGAATGGATGCTTGGGATCTTTCAACTGGAATTTCTTCACGACTTCCTATATTTTATATTTGAAGAAAAGCTCATGACCCTTCTCTTCGCATTACGCCTGGAATCCTATTGTTATTGTCGTCCTATGGACCATGGTTCGCCCGGCCAATACGCCTCCAGTCCTATTGCGCCTCTCATCCCATCACGAGTCACACCCGGTCACGAGGCGTATCCTAATGCAAGATAAAGTAAATATAGACTCGAAGGCCTAGATCTGAAGCCACAGCCATGTTCTATAGGTTACGACAGACACGGATAAGCAAGCACCCGTCACAGTAAGGCTCCTGAGAAGTGATGCTGAAGCTGAGGCTAGAGCTGAAATGATTTCCCGACGTACACCCTTATGGAAACTCCCGAGAGCCCCTGAAAGTCCTGTATCGCCCCGATATTATCATCGGATAATTAGGCAAACTGTAAGGCTTATCGTTGTTAGCCGACGCCTCTTAATTTATTTTCTTTGGGATTTATGTAGGAGCTGACACAAAGCTAGTAATGTTGTTGGGATCCTATTCTACTCATCGCCGAAACTAAGCACCTTATTACTAGGCTACAGCTTTGACTGAGACTGGATAGTTAATAAATCCTCTCAAAGGAGAACAACCTTTCCAAAGTGATAGCAGCACAACAACATTCGTGATATAAGCCTCGAAATTGATAAGATCAACATACTGCTATATAAATTTCGAGACCCTTTTGTGAGTGACACAAGATATCGTCTGGTTATCTGGTAATCTTCTCGCTAGGCTACATTCTCAACTGGTGTGGTAGCTGACTTTGTAAGTAATATAACATTACCACCATCTATGCGTAGGACAAGCATGATAGTTGAAGAAAATGGGGGCGGCTCAAAGTTAAAATAGGGTTCGGAACGTTGATTAGGGTGTAGGGCTGTAGAGTCAACCAATCAGTTGTCACGGCATAAAGCCATAGCGTCGCTTTAAAATGTGTCTTATCTCCGCAACCCTGGAACTGCAGAGAGGTACCAAGATGGGACATAAGATTCGACGCGTGCCCTATACTATATAAGGAATAGTAGATTTACCTTAGCCAATCAGATTCAAAGAGGCTTTCCATTGTAGTATATGTACATTAGGTGGTACCTATGTCAGGTAATTATATCGTTTAAGCCAAGTATGAATAGCATGACTTAACGGCCCCTTACATTTCTGACTCCCTGACGTTTCTCTTGTATATATCTTTGAACATGGAAACTTAAATTAATGAGCTTCATATGGCTGAGATCCTAAAAATTACATGTGTACCTAAACAGTAAAGCAAACACTAATGCGCTGTGTCATATAAAATCTGATATATGACTGGCGAAAGGGTTACACATAATACGTGCGTTGGCGAGAGCTGCGCCAGCTGGTCCTTGTTAAAGCCTTCAAAGCTAAAGAGTCCTAGCTGTAAATACGAGACTCCTTACAGCTTACAGCTAATAGGTTAGTATGCGGCACCGCAAAGACGGGAGTTATGCGCCGGAGTTTAGATGTCGCGAACCGCCCTAGTCAGACTCCCTTCTTTCGCGCTCCCTTTGATCCTAAAACCGTGAGCCTTTCTCAGCTCGGCCGGACTTATTAGGTACCTAATCACCCGGTCTCTTTGAAACCCGAGGATGTCGTACAAGCCGAAATACTTTTGTGCGACATCTTCCGCTTCATCCCTTCTATGACGAGGTCTTCTATGAAAAGTGCCCAGACCATATAAACAGTCGAGATGATCTCGTAATGGCTTTGAAGAAAACCCGGATTCGTTCGTTCATCTCAGCTACCATCTGCAACCCCTTCCACAACTTTGCCCATCGCAAATCTTACCATCTCAACAAAATGTCTTCGACTTCTGCTGCCGTCTTCAGGCCTAGGGACGTTACAGGCTTCGGGCTTATGGGCATGACTTGGCGCCCTAAGCACACGCCCGACGAGCAGGCCTTCGCAACCATGAAGGCAGCTATCGCTCAAGGTGCCACTTTCTGGTCTAGTGGTGACTATTACGGCATGCCTGAGCCGACGGCTGGCTTAGCCCTGCTGCGCCGCTATTTCGAAGCTTACCCGGAGGATGCGAGCAAGGTCACCCTATTCATTAAGAGTTGCGTCGACTCCAAGACCATGGCACCTAAGATCAAACGCGAGGAAGTACTTGCTAGCGCTGAGAACTGCTTCAGGGTTCTCGGCGGCGCGAAGAAGATAGATATCCTCGGCCCGGCCCGCATGGACCTCAGTGTGCCACTCGAAGAGACGTTAGGAGCATTCAAGGAACTTGTAGATGCTGGCAAAATTAGCGGCGTTGGAATAAGCGAGGCCGGCGCCCAGACTATCGAGAAGGCCAACGCCATCTACCCGCTAAGCTTGGTGGAAATCGAGTTCTCCCTATGGACCCCTGATATCCTAACAAATGGCGTAGCGGCTACGGCAAAGCGTCTTGACATTCCCCTTGTCGCTTATTCGCCCCTGGGACGTGGCTTCTTGACCGGTCAAATCAAATCCGTCGACGACATCCCCGAGGGAGACATCCGTCGGCGTTTTGACCGCTTCCAGCCCGAGGTAAGAATTCTTCATTTTACCCCGTCTAGGGATATTCTTACGAAGCTAACTTCCATCCCTTAATTAGAACTTTAACAAGAACCTCGAGCTCGTGGACAAGCTAAAATCTTTTGCGGAGAAGGCGGGTGTTACACCGGCTCAACTTGCGTTGGCCTGGATTCGTGCAGTTTCCAACTCGCCGCAAGCTGGCACTATCATTCCCATCCCTGGTGCTACAAGGGTTGAGCGTGTCGAGGAGAATTCCAAGAACGTTCTTCTTTCGCCGGAGAACAAGACGGAACTTGATCAGATTCTCGCATCGTTCACGATCCAGGGTGGCAGATACAACAAGGTGCTCGAGGGTTTGCTTTGGCGTTAGAAGGTCTATGGGTTATGAGTTAAACGTTATTATGATCCGCGTCGGTATATACTAAATAGTAATTAAACACCGATATTCCACATGCTAGATGATATCATGTAGCGAAGTGACTACATGCGTGTAGTGGCCATCAAATAGGCCAAGTGCGTCAATCTCAAAGCGTAGCTCATCATTCGGATGTATATAGTTCGTAGTAGTGAGATAATGAAGTTTTAATCGACTAGAGACGTTGATGACGGACTAAATGGTCTTTGAACGCCTTGCCATAGTTTAAAAAGATACGTAGGTCATGCCTAAAAGAGCCCAGCGATTTTCAACGTAGTCTTCGACCCCTTTTCTTTTGCAACGGGATTCAATCACGTAACCATAAAACGGGCAGTTATAACCTGTTGGTATCTTGTTTGGTGAAATGGTCAGCTAAGTCCTAGTCGAATTGAATCCTATCCAGATTCTGAATCACATAGCTTTATGAGCCAGAACAAACTAACACTCTGTGTTTCAGCCAAACAGACCCTCGTTTTGTTCACAGAAGTTCACACTCAGAAAATACAAACAATGTGAATATGCTAACTGTGGGTGTAATATTCTCGGTGAATGTTGTTTCTATTAGACCCCACGGCATTGGATAGGTAGGTAGCTTATGCCAACACCGTAGACTTAAATACAAGACGACGACGACAACCTGAGGAACTAAATTTACGGATAATAGTCATACGCGAATAGGTGTAAATAAATTATTACTACGTGATATAGTCTCACGCTATGACTCTACTCCAGGTGTCCATCAACACTGATAGTTACTGCTGAGAAAATAAATTCTTATAAAATCTCAGTCCAACTCGCTTCAGAAGTATCTCAAGTCGACTCCAACGCTACCTCATAAATAAACCCATCAATATACATTCTTAGGGCAACTCAGCAGGGCTTAGCTTCTGTACGGTACCCATTTCCGCAACTATATTATTTTGCCATTCTTCCTTTGGGGGAATTGGTTGTGGACTTCCCACAGGTTCGTCAATGACATGAGGATTCTGCTTCTTCGATTTTCTAATATAGAGCCCGGTGCATGCAATTATCGCCAGACCTATTATGCCAACGGAAATTCCTATTCCAGCCTTTGCCCCAGCGCTCAGTTCGTTGGAATCTTTCTGGACAGGCTCATTCTGGCTACTTCCCGCAGGGGAATCTAAATTGGTCGAAGATAGTGGTGCTTGACTGGCCGAGGTGCTCATTGGCGTCGTCTGCGTTGAAGTGCTAACTGTGGTTTCGTTCGATAAATAGAAAAATGCAGAAGACATTTGAGGACTTGACCCGTTGCCTTGTAACGAAGGGTCACCCTCGAACATCCAGAAAAAGAATACGTTCGATACGGTCAAGTTAAAGTCGTATGCCTGAACAAGCCAAGTAAATTGAGTCGCCGCATTATTTACAGTCTCTTGTAGCGATTGTTTAGTAGATGACAAGACCTAAGTATCATGTAACTTACGAAAGACTATAGGCCCGAGAGTTGCTGAGCCTCCATGAGGAGCCTCTTGCCAAAGAGCGATGGAGAATTTTTTGAACTTTGTTTTGAAACTGATACTTTGTATCTCACCGATCTTCCAAGTTGCCCGACCAGGAGGGGGGTTCGAGAATTGTGCAAGCGCGAACGGGGCTATTGTGAAAATAAAGAAAAGACTTATCATATCGAGGAGCTTCGGTTGGTATATAGAAACAATACATGAAAGCCACAAGAGGTATAGTATAATAAGAATGTAGATGAATGGGCTATGAACTGTTGAGAAGAGAAAGGAAATTACAACACTATTACCTGAACACATGGAAACCCGCCATCTATTGAAAGCAGTTAAGCATTTGGTCTTAGGGTATCAATCACTATTAGAAGGAACATGGGTTTAGGCGGTGTCCAATAAGCTCCTTTCGGCATGCTGGGGTATAGGTTCGGGCCGTGGTTGATTATGCAGACGAGTAGGCCGAAGTGAACCAACTGCATGATCAATGTCGCATCGTTTCGAGTAAAAAATAAAGACCCTCGTCGTGATTTGCCAGTTGTACTAGCCGTGCCGAATCGTCGGGTTCAAATAACTCGTCTCGTTGGCCCGTCACAGTTAACGTAGTATTGAAGCTGAGATAACCTCAATGTCGGGCGCTAATTCATCCATTCATAAAATAACCTATTGCAAGGTCTATTTCTTCTATAGGAATAACCGCCGTACATCCACCTTGCATGTATCTGTTGGTTATTAAAAAACTTTTTAGGAACTTGGTATATCTAGGACACTGGTAATATGGTGCCTCTAACCTGTGATGCCCAAGATATTTTAGCAACGCTCTTTAATTCAGACCGCTACCCCTTTTTATTGTTTGATTTATTCGTAGACCTTTTCCAAATGGCCGCGAGACTTCCATCAAACCGTGTAATACACATAGTTGTTGCACTTCTCATTGTCTTATTAATATATTTCAACTTACCACGATTCAACTCCAGCGAACACATCGGTGGATTACTCGGCGACATAAATAATAGCACACTTGGAGTATGTATCGATAACCAGTCATATGATACGTGGTACAGCATTATTAACGGCCGTGATTGTATAGTTCCAAGAGATCTTCGTTGTTGGCTTGCCGTCACGGACAGACCGCCGCGATGGCATGTTCCTACAAGCTGCCCTTAGCGATATAAGAATAGAATTCGTGGATGGTGTAAACGGAAAAGATATACCCGACAAAGCAATTCCTATGACGTTTGAACGTGAGAGGATGAATGATGCTTCTCTCGGATCGTGGCGCGCACATATAAATGCAATTCAAGAGTAAGTTTATTAACATGTGCCTAAAGCTTCCTTGCTGATTCACAATTGTTATAGGGTCGTTCGAAGAAACTTGACTTCTGCTCTAATATTAGAGGATGATGTTGATTGGGACGTCCGAATCAAACATCAGCTCAAAGACTTCGCATTGTCTGCGCGAGCTATTACACAACCCCTACCTGGCTCCAAGTCATATGCCGATTCTACCTTTCCAAATCCATCTGAGGGATCCTTCACTGTCGTTCCAGATACTTCATTTCATTCTCTTCCCAGCACCGAACCCCCGAGGTTGTCTCCATATGGCGATAATTGGGATCTGCTATGGATTGGTCACTGTGGCATGCACTTCCCGTTCGAAGACAATCCCCTTATACCAAAAGGGCGAGTTATTCACCTCGAAGATGAGACTGTTGCCCCAAAACAGAATCTATGGACTTTTAACGTGCCTTTCACATTGAAGGATAAATATCCAGAACATACAAGGGCAGTACATCACGTACAAGAAGGCGTCTGTACACTTGGATACGCAGTAAGCCAGGCGGGTGCGCGAAAGCTTTTGCACGAGGTAGGCCTGAAGGATGTTACAGACGGATTTGATATCCTCCTTCGTTTCTTCTGCGAGGGTGTGAAAGGACGCAAGTATCATAACTGCTTGACAACCCAACCAGCACTCTTTCACCATCATCGGGCGGCCGGTCCTCTTAGCGCATCAAGTGATATAGGAGACCATGGCAGTGGGTTTAGGGAGAAGAGCTCAACAGATATGGTTAGGTGGAGTGTTAGATTAAATGCCGATGTATTATTAGAGGGACGTACGGACTTTGTTGACCAATATCCAGACAATAGCCTTTAATTCACTGTAGAATTATGTGTAACACTACCTAACATTAACATTAATGATACGGAGAGTTTTGACTGGGCCTGTATGTTAGCTTTACAGTTATCCCGAACAACTAAGTGCGTTTCTAGTCACTTAGATTTTCATTGCAGAACGATAGCATTGTATGATGATAAACCCCAACAAGTCCATCTAAGGGAAATATTGACCCCATACCGAAACTACTTCGACTATGAAAATATGGAACCTTGCCCATGGTGATCGCCGTAGTGCACTATAGCTTTACCCGATGCCTTGTTCTTCTCATACAAGCTCCCAGCTCCAGTAGCTACCAGTTTGCCCTCGAATTCGTCTCCGTACCTCACTCGCACTTCGTCGCTAGCAGCATTCCCCAGAAACTTATGTTTTCCTTGGCCAGCCATAGCCTGCGCAATAGACTCTCGGAGAAGCTCGTCTTCGCCCTCATTCGCCTCTTGTAGGGCACTTATTCCCCTCTCTGCTTGCAGTTCCTGTGCCTCTTCAATGCTAAGCTGTCGTTGCTGCTCCTTAACCGCCGGAAACATCTCGACCAAGTCTTTAACTAAAGGTTCGAGGTCCTCAATCAGCCTTTTGAAATATTTCTCTTCATAGAGTGCCCACGACGCTTTCTGCGCGAAGCTGCTTCGTTTCTGGCGCTTTAATGCAAGGCTCTTCATCTTCTGGTGGAGGGATTCGATATCGGCGTCGGGATAACCGCCAGCAGGCACACTGGTAATATCTATTTTCATACCCTTGAACTTGGCGGACTTCTTTTCCGTCTCTTCAAAGAGATATATAATTTGGCCCAATACACTTTTCACTTTGTCGATTTCCTCTTCGGATTGAACGGAGATGCGTGAGTCGGATTGGTTTATGCTATCGGCCCATCTAGATAATCGAAGCTTGAGAAGATCAAGTTTTAGGATAGACGTTTGATAATTTTTACCGAACTGACGGCCGAGTTGGATGTATTCAAAACAGTCGACACAAGTTGTGAATAGTCCAGCCAGGCTCACGCCGCCGACGACCAGGCCAGCAACTTCCATCTAAACGAATAGACCTTCTCTATGGTAAATGGGATGAGAATGTAGGATATGGATTTGAGAGGGATTGTAAGTAAGGCATCAAGCAATGGGCGTTGTAAGCACAGCCTTACCCTATTGGGGGGCGCATACGACTGTTACCCTCCAACCCGAACGCCAATCTCAGCTCGTTAACAATATGCGCGTGTGCCTTGGCTCTAGGAGGCTCTGGACCCCGCATCTTTTCTGCGAAATCTTATGCCTGTATTATCATAAACACGAGTTTCAAGAGCCTACCGACTGCGATGGCTTCCATACAGAACCAGCGCCATGAATACTCTCATAACTCTCTTTCCGTCTCCGGTGGCGACGTCCGCGTCCAGTACGGAAACATTTACAATGGTAAGAATTGTGACGCAGGACGATTGGATAGTGTTGCTGACTTATTTAGGGTCTCAAGCAACAGGACCTAACTGGACGGACATAGCCAAATGGATTTTTGGGTTAGAACCAGTATTTTCGCAACGAGCATTCCAAATCTCATTACAAAGAAGAAGAGTAGAAAATTGCACAGGATCATGGTTCCTTGAAGGAGAGCCATTTTGTCGCTGGAAATCCCAGCCGGGTTCGTTTCTTTGGTTGCATGGGAAGAGTTAGTATATATCACACACCTGGGTCTTGTCACATCTACTAAACTATCATTTAGCCGGGTGTGGTAAAACAATGTTGTGGTTAGTGACCTTCTATATACCTGTTAGAATGTTGGGATTAAAGCATCAACTTACATATCAGAAGTTCGTCCGCTATCAGCCGATTACAGTGTATTGATTTGCAACCTTCCGAGCATATCGTGATCTATCATTTCTTCACGGTCACGGACCGACAGTCTCAGACATATGACACCCTGATCCGAACTCTTGTGTATCAGCTTGCAAAACACAATGATAAAACGCGAGCTCGTGCGAAAAAGCTTTACAAGGAAGCACATGGAGACAGCCAAGCCGTCGGTCATGATCAATTACTTCATATTCTTGAGGACTTGCTCAAGGTCCCCACAGTCATCTACGTCGTCATCGACGCCCTCGACGAGTGTGAAGATCAAGCTGCGACCTGTAAATTCATCACTCAAGTATGCAACTGGGAAATTCCTGGCGTCCGTATTCTCGTGAGCAGCAACACAACCCAAGCCCGAGAAACGGATTTGGCCCTGACAAAACTTCAAACGCATAAACTATATGTTACCGCTGGCGCTGTAAAGAACGATATAAAAGCACACCTCAGGAAATTAGACATAGGCCAGTGGGAAGATGACCAGCAGGACAAGATTATTAGCCATATACTTGCATGGTCTAACGGCTCGTAAGACTTCCTTGGCCGTTGGCAGACTTTAAACTCACAAATTTTCTGTACCTAGATTTCGATGGGCTATTGGCCAATTGATGGAAATCAAGAAGTGCGATACAGAGGAAGAGCTTGAAAAAGCTCTCAAGTCACTTCCTAGAACCCTCGCAGAGACTTACGAACGAATTCTCTCACGCATTAATACTGACTCCGGAATCGAAAATCTGAGAACTTTACTGTGCTGGCTCCTATATGCCCGCCGACCACTTCGTATTAAGGAGCTTCGAGAAACGGTCGCTATTAATTGGCTAGAGATGCCATATTTTTATCCCAAGAAGCGGTTTAACAAGAGACCAAGCTTCATTGACCAGTGCGGCTTCTTGATTGCGATTGACGAAGATTCAGACGACTTATTTGCTGTAGACGACGATACTGCATCCTCTTATGCATCTAATACGGATTTGACTTGGCACGATGATGCAGTTCTTAGATTTGCCCATTCGAGCGTTTATGACTTTCTTCGAGAGACAAAGGAACTATCCTCCCATGCTAGACGGTTCTCCGTCAGCAAACCTGCGGGACATCTATTACTAGCTCAGTCTTCCCTCGCATACATTCTCCATTCGGATTCTACCGACTCACATACGCAAACTAGGGATGATTACCCCCTGATTAACTATGCAGTTCAGTACTGGTATAGCCATGCACAGAACGCCGGCCCTGATAATACCCAGGTACTCGCAACACTAATCAAAAAGGCCCTTAATACCGGATGGGATGTTTACCGGCTGGTAACATACCCAAACCCTTCGACAAAATACAACCCTTGGAGGGGCCCACGCGTGTCTACGTCGCGCCGCGCAAACCATCTCCATCAAAAGAAAGACCTCTGTAAGACGTGCCAGAAGATTCAATACCATCAACTTCAAACACATCTAAGGATCAAACACAAAAAATATGATGACCTTTTAGCCTCGTCTCATAAGTGCAAGCTCTGCAAGATGATTCGTTGTGCACTTATCCAGTTCGGTATTGCTCGATATTGTCAACTATCTGCAGACGTCGTTCTATCCAAAGACGAGTCTAAAGCCATCGGCCTCGGAATAGAGGAGGAAATCCATCGAAATGCCGGTAGTGTGAATGTCTTCCTTAGGGCAGAAACTCGGGACCCGTTTCTCTTGATTAGCTGCTACTGCTACCTTGGTCGTTTGCATCTGTTTACAGATCCAGGTACGTTTTATGCGGCTTTGACTTGGTTTTACGGCTTGAAACTAACGACAACGAATCCCCTATAGCGGGTAAGATGTTAGGGAGGCCAATACATCTAGACTTTGGGGCACCCGGTCTCTTAGATACGTGTGCACATTGGCTTCAGGCGTGCGAAAAGAATCACCCGAAATGCCATAGATACGCCCCGTCATTTCTACCTAAGAGGGTCATCGACGTCGGTAACGACTCTATACGTCTCGTAGAAGTAGATACGCTACAGGAAAATAAATATGCAACAATTTCTCGCAACCGGGGGAGGTGGATGAGGGAAACTATGACGGTGACGGAATCGATAGGGAGGTTTAAGCAAGGCATACAGCTTGACGAGTTGGAACCCACTGTTAGAGACGTAATTACTTTGATACGTCGTCTATGCATCCGCTATCTATGGATTGATAACCTATGCATAGTATGGGACAGCTCGGAAGGTATTTCTCTCCAAACAAAAAAGATATCAGAGTACTACACAAACGCCGCCTTGAATATCGTGGCAGGACATCAGAGCTCATCGATCAGTATGTTCACTCCTAGGGATGCGCCGCGATTCTCACCAGTTTGTATAAATAGATCGGAGAGTATGTTCGCGGGATGGCTCGGGACAGATTCTTACTGCGACCCCCGTGGGCTTAATGTGGGATCGTATCCTGACGGCTGGAAATACCAATCCCGTCTTCACACCAACACGGAGTCTATGCAAGAGATGCCTTTTGCTCGCCGTAACCTTGTCTTCCAGGCCGACGAAGATTCGTTGATAACTTCTCAGCTATACATGCAGTGCCAAGAGGAAGTCCGATGGGAGAACGGTAGAACAAGGTCGGGGTCATCAGGTATTTTTGCAGATTGGTACAAACTAGTGGAAGAGTACTCTAGACGGCGTTTTGTTGCTTTAATAACGAGGCTAAGTAATTTTGCCAGGATCGCTAAGTATTACTCGCATACCGTACAAGGGCGATGTGGAGATCATATCGCCGGGTTGTGGTATGGCGACCTATTCCGCGGCCTTTTATGGCGGGCCGAAGACGGGGAACACACTCGAATCACCAGGAAAACCAGGAAGAGAGTAACTTGGTCATGGGCTAGTTGTCCTGGGGCCGTCAAGCACGTATGGCCCTCAAACGCGATCGTGTGTGCCGAGGTTCTCGACTCTTCTATCGAGACATATAATATTGACAACCCATGCGACGCAAATTATGACGCCTATATCGTGATGCGAAGTTCGTTAGCGAAGTTCAAACTTGTCAATGAGAACCTAACGGCCTGGACGGATGATGTAGAGGTTAACGTTCAAACCGAAGACGAGCCCCCAATAGGGATAAAGATACGTTACTTTATTGATGATTTCGACAACCTCGATATAGGAGCCATCGACTTGTTCAGTCTCAAGATCACTCGTCGAGTTGCACTCTTACTCACAAGAGCTAACGACCATTGGGATTACAATAAAAGGGCTTATGATACTATGAGAAGGGTTGGGCTGATGATTGTCGCCAAGCCAGATACTCAGAAGTGGGCGTCGGTGGTTAATCAATGCGATGTGAAACTAGTGTAAGCACGAAGAAAATGGTTGCCTTAATTTTATTAGGATTCTAGACGAGGCATATAGAATAAAAGATACTTCCAATTTATATAACTTAAACTTCCATAATTGAGTTAAGAGTTTCTTAAGGGGTAACAAAGCTGTTCCCATATTTTTTACTTCTCGTGATAAAATCTTTTCGTTTACTCCAACCATGACGAAGTGTCTAGTGAGTCAAACTTGTAATAAGTTATAACTTCATTCACCTCTAGTTTATAGCACGAGTTTCATACAGTATATTATAAAGTTCTGCCTTTGCTCATTGGATAATGAAGAGGTTCTCTGTATATCACTGTTACGTTCAACTTGAACTAAAATGCAAAGTAATCATGATCAACTATATTCATCAACTCCTATATACCTAGAAGTAGCTTATATTACTTTCCTCTCGTATATTTCTTCTGCTGGGATCAAGTTGCCTATTAGGACGGGGGCAAACATATTCCAACAGCAGATAGACTTAACCGGCAACTAAAGATGGGATAGTCTACGTAGATAATTGAAGACTACGAGCTAGCACAATCAAGATTCGGACCACAATAAGCTATCAGATGCTATTATCGCCTAGGTCTAGATTCATAGCTTCGTCCCGATGTGAATAGCTACCAAAGCATCTGTTTGATATCCCATCTCAATTGCCGAGGCTTCGCAGCTGGCTGATCTATTCTAAGAGGGGATCAATGATACGCGGTACATCCATGTAGCGCACGTGCCATATTCTCGCTTTAGGAAGGTGACAAGAAACACGATCCCAGCTTGGATATTTACGGCTTTTACTGGAGAGCTTTACTAGGTAGGTATATCTTGATATGAGTGTAGGGGTTGTTGTAGGTAAACAAGGCCAAGAAACTCGAGATAAGGAGAAAAGAATACCGAATTGGAAAGTTGGAAGATCCTGTAACTAGTGGTCTTTAGTAGTCTTTAGTAGTCTTATCTGCGAGGCGTATCTCGCCTTATTAGATGATGCATGGAGGCTGATTTCAGCTGGGATGGTCAGCTTTCCAGTGGTGATTTGATTTCCCTTATCTTTAAGACTGACCACTCAACTGTCGAATTACTATTGTTTCACAACAGATGTACTTTGGTGTATTGTCGTAGGAGGTACCTAGTATATACTGGATGACTCCGTGACGAAAACGGCCTTTAAAGACTATGTAGTTATTCCAAAGTATCTACATACCTTTACGATGTTTATATATATACCCCAAATACTCATGAGCACCTCGACCCAATGGGATGGTTGGAATGAATAGAAGCTGGAGTTGGTGCGGAGAAGCGATGTAATACAAGACTTTTACGTCCATTTCGGGGAGATCGCAGTCGGTGTTACCGCATCCTGGAAGCTTACGTACTTTTGAGGTATCTAACGAGTACTTACATACATGTATGATATCTATTCGCTTTTGAAAAATGGTTCGTGTATCGTGCGCTACTAAGCTGCATGTGCTTAGTTCCCGAGTTCCACATATGTTATACCCGCGCTCTCGTGATCGTCGCTGATTCTTCGTATGATCTTATCAACGTAATCACTTCCAAGAACATATACAAGAAAGATCGGTGCGGCTCCGGCGCGTTATATCCAAATATATACTATGCTTCCCCGGAGCTTTCATACCAGTACCTGCACGATACTTAACCCTTACAGACGGTGTACTTCCACAGGCGAAGTAACGTCGTGTTCGTCTATCTCGTTGATGGATTATGCCGTTTGTGCGATGTGTGCAGGGTGCTGTGCCCCGTGTCGGATGCGCCTATCAGTACGTACTTTGGCCGGATGAGGGACCCCCCCATTCCAGGTTATCCCCGGCTTATTTTAACAGTTAACTACCAAAAGAAGGTTACATCACAATTCCCGTTATCATGATTTTTCAGCCAATCAGAGGTTCGGGCCTTGATCTTTGGCGGAGACGGGAATGGGAGAAAAAACTCTCGGCGCCCCGTTCCTTTGGGAATGCCGATAAAACGTTAGGTCTAATAACTTACACTACGTACATGCTAGTTAAGTTGCTATTTTCTTATCATCAACCTGTGGATATCGTGGCTACGAACGATAGTGTAATACTTCGTAGTTGTGGTTATCTAAGTTTAATACAATGTAGAATCTCAATGGCTATTGTCTTGAGGCCCCCTGATGGGTTCTTATCTTGCCCCTGTCAGCTGCGGTTGTGGCTTCGGGATCTTTTCATCTAGTCGTTGTTGAACCACTTACAATTCGTCAAACCATGAGACTACGCACCAGATGCATTCTTGGGAGCATTTATTATGATATGATAGGTACCAACTTGGCGGCTAGACTATCGCAGGGGTTGAAAAAAAAAGAGATAACATCCAATGTGTCTTTTAGATAGGGTTGCCTTCCCCTTCTAGAAGGCCTCCATACTCTAGCGTCGACCGGTTTTATCTAGACCACGCGATCGCCACCACTGTACGATTTGTCCACCGAGGCTGACCTTGAAAAAGTATTAAAATTCTTGTCTCTTCCAATCTGGAGAAATGTAGATCGATCACTTGACGCCCCCGGCCCGCATCTCGCTAATAATATAACCTCTCTTCCCGATCTTTTCCTTTTCCCTTTCCCTCCTCTCTTTGACTTCCTCGCGCGTTAGGTCCTCGGGAACGTAACGTGGTCACCCCACACTTAGTTGGGACGAGGATTGAATTTCTCCGAGTCGAGTTAAACTTACAAGGGAGAAGAGTGGAGGAAAAGAGAAGGAAGAAAAAAAATTTGCTAAAAAGGCCTTCTCAGTCTTGAACTTCGATCCGATGAGTTCTCACGAGAACAAAGGCCTCGCCGGCCATAATTCATCGCTCCGAGAAGGCGTGCTTTCAAAGTCGGCCGATCATTCAGACGAGGTCACTTACTCGGCTAGCACGCCGGATAAGAGTTTAGAGAAACCTCACGACTATGCTGCCGCCGAGAAGTCGATTACTGACGAGGAGAGCGCAAATATAGGCCAGATAGCCAGCGATGAGAATGAAGTACAAAAGAGCTTCCTCGCTATTTATTATCGAAGATATCGGGCCTACATCCACATCTTTATCTGGCTCGTCTTTACGGCGTAAGTCTGGCGCGACCCCCCGATGAACCCGTCGCAGTCGCGCATCGAGTCGCAGAGCTGACATAGCTTATCCAGATGGTGGATCTTTGGCCTCGTTCGTTTCCGGAACGAGAAGAACTGGCTGATCCCGTTCTTAGTATACCTGGCGATCACGCTTCGTATCATCTTCCTTTGGATCCCAGTTAAATATGCCATGATGCCTGTCAAATTCGTCTGGCGTCACACTGCCTTCAGGGTTTACGAGCTGATCCCGAAGAAGCTCCATCGCCTACTTGCCGCCGTCGTCACCGTTGCAGTTTTCTTAATCGGTTCTATGGTACCGGAAGAGACTGGCGATAACACACGCGCCCGCCGTGCGCAATCTCTGTTTGGCCTGGTAGTGATGATTGTTATATTGACTGCCACTTCGAGGGACTGGAGGAAAATTCCTTGGCACACTGTCATCGGTAAGCGGCCATTGGGTTTCCCCATTTCTCATACCGATTGACGATACGCTGACTCGTTTCTCAAGGCGGAATGCTCACTCAGTTCGTTATCGCCGTCTTCGTCTTGCGATCCCAGGCTGGTTATGACATCTTCAACTTCATTTCTACGCTGGCCCGAACCTTGCTAGGCTTCGCCGCCCAGGGTGTCGCATTCCTAACGGAAGAATCAGTGACGAAACTAACTTGGTTCTTCACCGGTGTCGTGCCGCCAATCATTTTCTTCGTGGCTCTCGTATCCCTCCTGTATCACGTCGGCCTTATCCAGTGGTTCATCGGCAAGTTTGCCGTCTTTTTCTTCTGGAGTCTCCGCGTTTCGGGTGCCGAAGCCGTAGTAGCCGCTGCGACCCCTTTCATCGGACAGGGCGAATCTGCCATGCTGGTACGTCCCTTCATCGCGCACATGACCATGGCCGAGATCCATCAGGTTATGACGTGTGGCTTTGCCACCATCGCCGGTTCCGTGCTTGTGGCCTACATCGGGCTTGGCCTAAATCCTCAGGCGCTTGTCTCTTCCTGCATTATGTCTATCCCGGCATCCCTGGCTGTCTCTAAAATGCGCTGGCCAGAGACGGAAGAGACCCTAACATCCGGCCGTGTCGTTATCCCAGAGACCGACGAGCACAGGGCTGCCAACGCGTTGCACGCCTTTGCGAACGGTGCCTGGCTCGGGTTGAAAATCGCCGGCATGATCGTAGCCACGCTTCTCTGCATCATCGCCTTTGTTGGTCTGATCAACGGACTTCTTACATGGTGGGGTGGTTATTGGGGCATTGAAGAATTGACCATTCAGTTTATTCTTGGCTACTGTTTCTATGTCGTATCCTGGCTACTTGGCGTACCGAATGATGATCTCTTGCTCGTCGGAGAACTTATCGGTCAGAAAATCATCATCAACGAGTTCGCCGCATTCAAGGCCCTTCAGTCAGTGGCCCGCTACAGGGACTTGAGTCCGCGAGCCCAGCTTATCGCCACCTATGCCTGCTGCGTAAGTCCTACCATATATCCTCCTCTCGCTTCTAGATAATAATTGTGTTATCACTTAGGGTTTCGGCAACGTCGGTTCTCTTGGTACTCAGATCGGTGTCTTGTCTCAGCTTGCCCCTGAACGTGCCGGAGATGTGTCTAGAGTTGCCATTTCGGCCCTTATTTCTGGCATTATTTCAACTCTAACATCCGCTAGTGTTGCCGGCATGCTATATACAGACGCTATAGGAGCACCTCTAAGTACAGTACCGGTAGCATCGTAGTCATATACATAATACCAAGATTGAAGTTCATCCTGCATTATCCGAACTTGGTAACCGCTGGAATCTTCTTGATTGTATTTACCGCTCTGGTAATAATGTTACTTATTCATAGCCCAAACCAACAAACCCGCTAATACAACGCTTAAAATTAATATCAATATTCCTCCCCAATAAAAAACGAATATTAATGTTTCGCGCATGCCTAGGCACCTTCTTACTACTTCTCCCACCAACACCCGGTCCTCTACACCCACCCCGGTTGCCTCCAATGGGCTGCCCTATTCCGACTTAACCCAATACTGATTAGTATATATAGATATTTGGAAGTTATTCTGGATCCTCGAAGGGAGGGCTCGGGGTCGAGGTGTGAGGGGGGGATGGGGTGTGTTGTGGACTGCCTCGGTGTTGGTGGAGGTGCAGATGTTTGGGACTGGGAGGACGGCAACCCCTGTAATGATGATGGTCTATAGATTTTAATTAGCAACCTTTTTTTAAAAAAAAAGAATTTTGACAGAATGACATACGTCGTGGCGTAGATGAAGAAATTAAGAAAAATGTAGGTAAAGCTGCTAAAAATACATGTAGCGAGCGACGAAACGAGCGTGGTTTTATCCATAGAGAAGAACTTTTGACCCTTCCCAACGAGAGTACAGTTTAGGTAATAGATTGTTCTTGCACTTGTATCTACGGCAACGAAACAGAGTCACAGCCTGCCAAATCTTGAATAGGTACGGGATGATTTCCATGGGAGGATGTACATACTGCCTTCTATACATGCAGGCAGTTGCTATCATTGCGCAACAAGTCAATCGCATCTGAGCGCGAGTGTTAGTTTATGTTAGGGGCTAGCCAATGAATAAGATGTAAAAAGTGCCTACCTACCTAATTTACTAAGTTACAATCTCATACGTGCACTTGTGGCTTCTTCACGAAGAAGCAATACCCTTCTTCTACCTTAGCGCAATCTAATAAACTCTTTTCAACAGGTTCATCATATTTGAAACCTTGCGAGGGCCCGAGAAAATAGCGTAATAGTCAAAGTTACGAATTGGACATATATAAAGATAGGCACGTCCACCATTTACTCGCAAATGCCTTTGAAGTCAAAACCAACTGTTCCTTACATCTTACATATTACTATTCAAGCAAGAACACCCTACAAACACAGCAAATTACCTACCTGCACAATGGTCCTAATGCCACCAGAGAAAATGGAGAAAATGAATTCCGACGAGCCGGAAGCTGCATCTCCACCGCCATATGAGAGCCTTAATACGAGCGCCCAGAAACCACACCGAGTAGTACCACCACCAGCAACCAACGGAAAGAGCTACTTTGAGAAAGAAGTGAAATCCAATATAGCACTATGTTTCAGTCCTGACCCTACTAAGCCCTATAGCACACAGTTATGGTGTGCTCAGATCAATATTAAATGCGATAACGTACCGCAACTCATGCTCGAGGGCCTCCACTGGACAACGGATAACGTCCTGTGGGAAGATGGATATTTTGCTGAGATTTCTGCCGCGTACATGCACATCGATACTTTCGAAGATCTTTGTAAAACAGGACGGACTAATACGCGTCACTACTTTCTACGGGACATGCAGCAGGAACCCCCGAGATGGATTGCGCACTTACAGGTTCATGCTGAAACCTACAAGACCTTGGCCGGTATTAAATTGGGAGAGTTTTCTATCCAGAATGTGCTCTCTGCATATGCTTGGGGTAGTCGCGGGCAATATATCTATTCGTGGGTTAAAAAGAAACCACGGGAGGCTTATAATGCCATATATGACGATATGCCCATGGACGGCTGGTGGCCATGGCCCAAGAGAGAGAATATGTAACTGCAGGAGGTGGGGATGGTTCATAGTTACTCACATATCACCATCAATATTGCCTATTTGTTATGTCCAGATTGTGGCTACCCGGGCACGTATAGGATTAGGATAGTAATCAGGAAACTGAACCCGTGCTATGTAAGGTATCTAGTGATCGATGTAGGCACCTTTGTCTATCGCTATTTCTGATTCAAGAACCGGTAAAATTGGGAAGGAAAAGTAGCGACCATGTAAGTAGATAGATATATAGAGACTTGCCGGACTGGTTTCTATTCTCTTTCTTTACCTAATATACCAACATCTACTACAATATTAACAAAAATGGATAAAACCACGATCGTTTCGTCGCTCGCTTCTATCGCCATATTTATCCATATCATCTTCAACTTCATCCTATCCGCCACATCGTATGTTATTCTATTAAATATTGTAAAAAGGGGTTGCTAATTGAAATCTATAGCCCGGCATCATTATTCCAGGGACTGCCGTCCTCCCAGTCCCAAACATCCACACCTCCACCAACACCGAGGGAGTCCACGACACACCCCATCCCCCCCCCACATCCCAGCCTCGAGTAAGTGTTTATCATATTTTCGAATGAGCCCGAATACCTTCCAAGTATCTATATACTAATTGATATTGGGTTAAGACAGCCTCGAAGTGGAGGGGCCAATTGGACACAACCGGGGCCGAGGAGGGAAAGGGGGTGGGGAGTGGAGGACCGGGTGTTGGTGGAGGATGTGGTAAAGCAATGTTTGGCTATGAGAAAAAATATTGTTTTTGCTTTTTTGTCTGCATTTTATGCATCTATTATAATAGCGGTTAGTTCAGCTTGCGTTTGGGCGTGGCTGAACATATTATAATAAAAATAATTTCAGCGGTTCCTAAAGTTCAGATGATGCCTGGTGATCCTTACATGTAGGTATCTACACATGTGTGATTAGAAGGTTATTAATTTACCTGTTGAAGTTTACTTTGAAGGGTGATGCTAAGACCATTGTGAGGAATATCCCGAATGCCTTCCGAATATCTGTATATACTAATCAGTATTGGGTTAAGCAGGACTCGGAATAGTTGCGCTTGCGTTTAGGCGTGGCTGAACATATAAAACCATACTCACCTAGAAACACGATCAGTCATATGGGGTGTCAGAGATCCAATAATCTCGCCGAAGTCTTGGGAACTATATTAGCAGGCTCAATGATTAGCGTAGATGGTTGCAACATCAAGCAACCCGGGACTAGAGACGCGGATACTGTGCCCGATAGCGAATTTGAGGTTGGGAAGAAGTACATACGTCTTTGCAGGAACCCTGTGGCTTGTAGAGAATCTCAAGCACTCGCTTAACAACAGTGTTGGTTAAGGAGCTAAGATTGAGCTCCGCTATATACCTCCTAGATATAGGTAGTTTAGAGAACGCCTTATAATACTTAGCTTAGCTGGTTATGTATTATGTAATACAATAAGCCAAGTTGGTATCTTACTTTCAACAACAGCATCCACTAGGTCAGTTAAATCTACAATGCACTTTCGTAATACAGACCAGTCCACACTATCTTAATAATTGCTAATACCATTTGACACCACATATATACGGGCTCAAGACTAAAAGAGGCAGGAGGGGTGCAGATAAACCTGTAGCACCTGATTGGCTGGCTCTTATACAGGGTACGATAGGTTGTCGGCCGTGGGCTCGTTGATTTTACCTAATTACACACCTTGTGATAACATCAAAAATACCCCAGTTTGGATAGGTACAGATAGGTACCTGGGAGATAGGTATACCTACCTGGTACTGCCCCGGTGGTAACAAGGGGTTAACCGGGAAAGATAGATAGATAAGATTACAGAGGTTTCCGACATTAAAGATTTAAATATGCAAGACATGGGCGCATCAAATAAACCCTATGTCTTTCTTGTCATCTGTTTCGATCTCGGGATAGGTCTGTTTGCGCCATGCCAGTCAAGAGGGATATCATCATACCAGAGAAGGGGGTCAGCGATATCGACAAGAAGGCCAGTGATGACTTACCTCCGGACCACGATATCGAGGTTGCAGAGGGGCACCTGGCTGATCTGGAAGTCGACGTAGGCAAAGTTCTTTCTAAAGCCGAAGAGGAGGGAGATTGGGATGCCGACACGAGCCCATTCCCCGCCGTGCGGGCCGTGGTACCTGAGACGGACGATCCCGACATGCCCGTGAACACATTCAGAGCATGGTTTCTCGGCATTGTAAGTTTTTAACCAAGAACCGTTCGAATAGGTAGGTATCGAGTTAACAATTGTCAGTTTTTCGTGTTCCTAGGAGCAGGTGTAAATCAGTTCTTCTCGCTGCGCTATCCGGGAGTTCATATCGTATCTCTTGTTGCAGAACTGCTGGCTTTCCCTCTCGGAGTCACCATCGCCAAGTTACTACCTATCAGCCGATTCAATCCCGATCACCATTTCAACATCAAGGAGCATGCTATGGTAACCATCATGAGCAATGTCTCCTTTGGATTTGGTTCTGCCGATGCTACGAACCTGATCCAGGCTTCCAAGTTTTATGGCTTCGATATGCCACCTGGATTCTCGGTCATGGTCGTTATTTGTTGTCAACTGTGCGGATACGGCATTGCTGGCCTTTGCAGAACGCTACTCGTTCAGCCCGCCACCATGATTTGGCCAGGCGTCCTCGGCAATGTGGCACTATTGAGCTCGATTCATTCTCGAACCAACGCGGTGGCTGACGGATGGAAGATAACTCGTATCAAATTCTTTATGGTAGTGGGCACCGCTGCTTTTGTGTGGTATTGGTTTCCCGGTTTGATATTCACCGGTTTGAGTTACTTCACGTGGATATGCTGGATTGCGCCCAACAACCTCGCGGTAAATCAAATATTCGGCATGGTAACAGGCCTAGGACTATTTCCATTGACCTTTGATTGGTCTATGGTGGTATACAATACGAATCCCTTACTTAGTCCCCATTGGGCTGCTGCTAACGTCTTCGTCGGATTTGTCGTCTTCTTTTGGGTCGTCACGCCGGCTATCTATTACACTAATACGTGGTTTACGTCCTACTTGCCCCTTTGCACTGCGGACGTGTATGACCGTTTTGGGGAGCTCTACGACACTGCAAGAGTCATTACTGATAACCTTTTCGACCAAGAGAAGTACGAGGCATACTCACCACCCTACTTGCCGGCGACTTTCGCGTTCGTTTACGGTCTCTCTTTTGCATCAATCACCAGGTGAGTTTTGGATCCGGATTTCTGCGCACTTCATAACACAATTTCTGACGAGAAATAATAGTGTCCTGTCGCATGTCTACTGTTTCCATTGGGAAGAAATCATGCATGCGTTACGCGGATCTCTCAAGCTTGATATTCACGCACGGCTTATGAAAAGATATAAAAATGCTCCGTGGTACTGGTGGTCTACGATAGTTCTCATTGTATTTGGAATGAGTGTCGCCATGACCGAAGTATATCACACAGGGTTACCCGTGTACGGAATTGTACTTGCGATTGTAATTGGCGGCATTTACATGGTCCCCTGCGGCATAATTCAGGGGCTGACGAACGTAGATGCGAACCAACTTAACGTCCTATCCGAATTTATAGGTGGGTATATGTTTCAGGGGAAGCCTGTGGCAAATATCTTGTTTAAGACTCTATCGCAAGATGTGGTTGGCCAAGGGTTGTATTTTGCCGCCGACATGAAGATGGGCCATTACTTGAAGATTCCACCGCGCACTCTGTTCTGGGCACAAGGCTTGGCTACCATACTCGGTGCTATAACGCAGGTGGGCGTCACGCTGGTAAGCAATTTTCAAATCATATCCGCATTACTCTTCAAAAGGGGTCGCGCGGTTTATCACGATACTATTCCGCATAGAAGTCTTGCTGATCCTAGATAATCTAGTGGATGTTGGGGAACGTACCTGGTATCTGCTCGGAGGACCAACCCAACGGCTTTAGCTGCCCCCAAGGCCGTACCGTCTACAGCAGTTCTGTGATTTGGGGTTTGGTTGGACCCGCGCGCCTATACTCTGTTGGCAAGATATACAGCGGCCTCTTACATTTCTTTTGGATCGGGCTAATTCTACCACCGATTACCTATTATATCTGGAAGAAGACCGGAAACGAATTCGTCCGCAAGATTAACTGGCCTCTCATATTCGTCGGCACGTACAATGTCCCGCCGGCAACGGGCATCAACTACAGTAGTTGGTACATTGTCAACCTGATCTTCAACAAAATCATTTATAAGAGATTCTACGCTTGGTGGGCCAAGTACAACTACGTACTTGCAGCGGCATTAGACACGTACGTACCCCTTTTTGCCTGTCTTTAGGGTCACTTCCCAGTCGAGGCAACTTCAGAGTTGCTGCTCCCGAAACAGACTTAGGCCCTAATATTCTCCTCAAATGAATTAACCATTGACTCGTTGTTATAGTGGCCTCGCGATCAGTGGCATCGTCATTTTCTTCGCTGTTACATATGGACCCAACGTGCAATTTCCTGACTGGTGGGGAAATACGGTGTAAGTACTATAACATACTTCTGGATTATGCAGTTATGGCTTCGCTAACATACAGTTTAGATGGCAAAATACTGCCGATGGCCAAGGTCTACCGTGGTTACAAATGCCGGATGTGGGATACTTTGGCCCACCGAACGGAACTTGGACCTAATATAAAAGGAGTATTGGAAACAATTTTGGAAACAGCGCGACTATTTGAGCAAAGTAATAAGTATACCACAAATTTCCCGTACCTTAGTAACTGAGGCATGCGTTATATAAAGACAGTTTACAAAGGGTGATTAAATACTATTACAAACGGATGAATAAGCCTTGACTCTCACAGCACTAGAGAGCGGATCTGTTGTAAAGACTCTTTACCCTATATTTGACCTGTTTCTCTAACTTAATAAACACTAAGGAACTCCTATAAACATCTCGAACTTTTTTCGCTTATGTGAATGAGTTTAAGCCTTATGCGAATCGACAAGGCCCATTAATGAGTAGATACGCCAATTTCCCTATACTCATATTATAAGTCCCTTGCGTCCCTTGGTATTACTGAGGAAGAGGATAAGCAGAAACTGTGAGTTCGCGGATCAAAATATTATATCGCTTAGAGGGCAAGTAGTTCGCTGTCTTTATATACCAGGTATGATAATAGTTGCATGTAACACTTTGTAGAATGTAAATGAATCTACTCAAACACCTACTATTCTTAAATCAATTTATACTAGTTGTTCTAGTTAGCAAGCTTTCGGGTTGTCATGTTGAGAAACACTATATCTTTGACGGCTGATGCCTAAAAGGGGTAATGGTTAGATACGAGGTAGGTTGGAATACCCAAGTATCAACATCTTTCACCTTTTAGTTGAAGTTTTACTATAGGCCCTAAAGATCTTTCCTAGTCATTCTCTCCTATTCTATTCGGATAACTCTAGCCCTCATAGCTATAACTTAAAGGGCTACTCGTATCTAACCACACACTTCACAGAGATAAATCAAGAATTCTCTTCGATAGACATGATATTACGCAGCGTAATGTAATGCGCCAGACACCATACCTATGTCAACTATTATAACCCCAATAAAGGCGCAGGAAGAATTAATTTTCATCTGCAATCTCTTCCCTCTCATCTTCCCATCCATCTTCATCCATTTGATCACCGATTGCTTCTTCCGCGTCTCCTGCTAATCCTTCGCTGTCTATCTCGTCTTCCTCCATCATTTCGTCGAACAGATCACTGTTATATCCATTCATCTCGACGTCCTCATCATCCTCCTCTTCGCCGGCTGCTCCATCCTTTTTGCTCTTGGTGCCGTTTGCTTCGCGTTCCTTCTTTTTCTTCTCCACGTTGGCCTTCTGCTGCTTTCTTCTTGCTTCCTTCTCCTCTCTGCGCTTCTCCCATCGCTGCTCGAGATCCTGTATCTCCTGTCTTGACTTGTGGATATGCTCGTGCCACATCGTCTTGCCAGAGCACAGACCTTCCTCGACCTTAGTCATACGTAACTTCATACGAGGTCCAAGTTCGACTAGGGTGACGCGCCGTCGCTCTACCTTCTCGTCACTCTCTATAGGTGTATCTCCACTTTCCAGCCTGGCCGCGCGAGCCTTGCTCGAGAGCACTCTGCGCGGCGCATCCTCTAGAACCTCGACCTCAGCATCCGTGTCCATTTCGCTTCCACTAGTGCCGTCCGTCACGTAGCCCTCGCCATTTTCGCCTCCTATCATGTATTCGGAGATATCCTCCAGCTTTCCTAAATTCGGGACGCCGCCTTTCCGGTTCTTGGCGCTAAAGAGCTTCTCGGCAGCGTCGAGCCTACGGAGTTGTTTAGATACTCCAGCAGGCTTGGTAGATATAGCATAGTGCCGAAAGTTGAGCACAAAAGAGCCATCATCCTTGTCCGTAGCAGGCTCTCTGTTTAAAAGCAAAACTCTCCTTATCGACTTGAGGGGTGTGGTCTGTGGGTTGATGCGGGGGAAAAGCGACTGAAATACGGTGGTAGTGAGCGTCTCGAGGTGTTTAGGGACTTTAGAATTGGCGTCTGCGCCTGGCGTGGAGATGTTATTCATGATCAACTATAGATGGGTCGCAAGTTAGCAATGCGTACAAAGGTAAAGTTAAAAAGAAATAGGATCATACCAATGGGGATGTGGTATACTCTTTCCCTCCACCTCTCGGATGTCTCTGCGCTTTGCGTATATCTTTGCAAAGAGAATACTTCTCGACACGGAAATGTAAGGTAGGGCCACGCGGGGTGGTGGCTATACGTAGATTCGTATTCCCAGACTCGGATCGGGAGAATAAGAGTAGGTGAGTGACGCCTAGGGGACCGGTCATAGTTATATAGTCTCTTAGACGATTCGCACGACGCTCTTTTAGACGACTAGCTGTGCCGGGTTCCATAACTTGGCGCACATCTCTTGCCAATTGGCTGATACTTGACCCAACCTCGCCGGCGCCGATACGAATGACCATGCTCTTAGGATCTTGGACAGCAGAGCGGCCTACCAGAGGGGCCTTGTGCTTAGGATTGCTGGCGCCGACATGGGTGCGTTTCTTCGTCCGACTCTTAGCCATTGCGAATACAATTTATATTGACAATTGGGTATTTCTGTGCGGCTAGATATTCTAGTATTATTTGCGCCTTCGTTTCGAATATCAATCGTCTTGTAGGTGGGATGAATGTGTAAGCTTAAGCGCAGAATGACCAGAGAGTTGAGATCAACTAGAGAAGCTGCTGTATTTTTTTTCTTCGTTGAACGGCAGAAAAAAGGTAGCCCCACAGATATCAAGTATCGTCTACTAATTCTAACGCTAGAGTGTGCCGAAGGACTTTAGTACCTTATACTATGTGGAGCTTTGCGCAGATAAGATAGCATACCAAAAAGAGAAAGCGGTCAACTTTTTGCAGATGCGGGATGCGCACGCATCGAATCTCGTACCCGGATTTATCAACTTTTTGCCCGATCGCGAACTTTATTCAACACAGCAAGACAACCTTTTTTTTCTGTTGGACTAATAACATCTTGTAGTATTCTGCAAACTTGTCTCGCCCGAAATTTTACCTCTGCCGTACGAACATCTACAACCCCCCCCCCCTAAAAATGTCTTCTCCGAAGAGGCGAAAGCTATCGCCCGCCGCTGAAGGCCAAGATGAAACTCTCGATTCCGAGACTGTAGAGGGTTCTGTTGTCGACTCTACCCCGAAAACCTTTAAAGATTTGGTACGTGCACATCCAATTCTCAGATTACAAAATCACCGAACAATCCCCTAACAGCATGATATTTAACAGGGCATCGTTGATACTCTAGTCGAAGCATGCCACTCGCTTGGCTACAAAAACCCCACACCGATTCAGGCGCAATCGATTCCCCTCGCTCTACAGAATAGGGACCTGATAGGACTGGCTGAGACTGGTAGCGGAAAGACGGCTGCATTTGTATTGCCTATCCTCCAAGCCCTCCTCGAGAAACCTTCACCCTTCTTCGGTCTTATATTAGCTCCTACTCGCGAACTCGCAGCCCAGATCGGCCAAGCAGTAGATGCTCTCGGCGCCTCTATATCAGTAAGATGTGCCGTCATCGTTGGTGGTTTGGACATGGTCCCCCAGTCCATTGCCTTGTCCAAAAAACCTCACATTGTTGTGGCCACCCCGGGACGACTGTTGGATCATCTCGAGAAGACGAAGGGCTTCAAACTGTCAAATACGAAATACTTGGTTATCGATGAGGCCGACCGACTCTTAGACATGGATTTCGGTCCCATACTCGACAAACTGCTCAAGTTCCTCCCGAGAGAGAGGCGCACGTTTCTTTTCAGCGCTACCATGTCGTCAAAGGTCGAAAGCCTACAGAGAGCCAGTCTACGAGACCCGCTACGTGTCAGTATCAGCAGCAACAAGTACCAGACTGTCTCAACTCTACAGCAATACTATGTCTTCATACCACATATGCATAAGGACGTATACTTGATATTCCTAGTAGCAAGCGAGTTTACTGGAAGGTCTACCATAATATTCACACGGACTGTCTACGAAACCCAGAGAGTCGCAATCTTCCTTCGATATTTGGGTTTCGGAGCAATTCCTCTCCACGGTCAGTTAGAAATCACTTCGGTTGCTATTTTAGACTATTGCTGACTTTCTGTTTTGCAGGTCAATTATCACAATCTGCGCGATTGGGCGCTCTGAACAAGTTCAAATCCGGATCGCGTGATATCCTAGTCGCGACTGACGTTGCCGCACGAGGTTTAGATATACCTAAAGTTGATGTTGTAATCAACTACGATTTACCTCAAGATAGTAAGCTAACCTCTTCGGTACCCCCTATTTACCCCTTTCTAGGGAACCCAGTTCGTTAGAGCCTATATGGTAGTCTAAATTCATACCGGATTGTCTTACATTTGGATCTTCGGATGTTTGCTAATGGTGACTTGCAGGTAAAACATATATTCACCGAGTCGGAAGAACTGCGCGTGCTGGAAATGCTGGTCAAGCTTTAAGTCTAGTCACGCAGTACGACCTTGAAATCTACCAGCGGATTGAGGCAGCTCTAGGTAAGAAATTAGGAGAGTACGAGACTAGTAAGGAAGAGGTTATGGTCTTCAAGCGTCGAGTCGAGGAGGCACAACGCCACTCGCGTAATGAGATGAAGCATCTGCTCGAAGACCGGGGTAATAAGGGTTCAGTCCTAAGAGGTCGCCATACCGCCAAAGGGTCCGGGAAACGACGACATGACACCATGGACGCCGAGGAAGGGTAAGCAGCGATATACAATTAGACGAATGATAACTTTCAAGCACAAGAGGTTGGCGAAACATCCAATTAGATTACTGTAGATACCCAACAATTAAAAACCATTACAATGTAGTTTCGGTCGGCAACGATGATATTACTGTTAAACACGTGTTGGAGATTGGCCTACTAATCATGATAAATGTTGCGTAGATAGTCTAAGTAGTCCACGATACATATAGTACAAGGTGATATTTACTCTTGTATAGATGTTTTACTTTCATACTCCATCCCTATTGTCTCTAAAGTCCACCAGGGAGTAAAGAATGGATAGTTGAGACAAAAGGCGCACTACTAACAAGGCGTTCGCTGTAAAAATATTTCGTACCTAAATATTTTAATACAGGGAGTTGTCCATCTCCAAGTCATGTCTCACACCCAATCCCAACTGAAGGGTTTATGAAACGGAATAGGAATGGGTACTAATAAGATGTCGAGCCGGGCCGACTGCATAAACTCGTAAATAAGATAGAAAGTAGGATGAGATCGCCTGGTAATAAGACGCTTACCTATGTCGGCGGCAGGACTTCCCTTGCCTTCAATGGCATGCCAACGCGGCCGATCTCGTAGTAGTCGCATAGCGGTAGTCGCTCGAATTAGTTAGTGAATTAGTTAGTGCTGACTTGCTCATTTGCGTGTGCCTCTTGTTTCCGCAGACGTACTATTGAGACGTACCGTAGGACTAACTTGGGTTTATCTGTATCTAAGAGTTGAGCGCCGCGGTAGAAACAGGCCGAGGCTCATATCAGATGATTAGATGTGTGATAGTTCTCAATCGTTGATCTTTCACATTGAATACTTGCACACCCAAGGTACGAAAGCTCGTTGGATTTGATCAAGCCAGTCACGTTGTATGCCAGATGAATTTCCTTGAATTCTAACCACAATTCCGTTATCTAGTCGTAGCCTACCTGAAGATAAAAATAAAGTGAAGGTTATGCTCATTAAGAATCGCTCGTACACAGAAAACCAACATCATCCAGTGCAGTTGATAGTGAAATTGCTTATATTACCCGTGCGCGCAAGTAGGTATAAGCGATACGACTAAGAGCAGCAATCAAATGCGCTTTAGAGTCGCTCTATAGATCTATAATTTACTACAGGTCCTTCGAGGTAAGGTAGACATAAGCCCACGATGTCTGTCAGCCCAACCATCCCATCACCAATTACTCACCCATCTCTATCGACCATCACGCGCATCATAGCCTTCAATCTCGTAGGTGATACGCTAGTATCTCTTCGCGGACGAACATTACGAGTGGGTCTCTAGCCTTTCACTCGCTCAATCGAGCTCGTTTCTTCTCGTCAGGCCGCATTCACTGGTCACCTCCGACCAACCGGAAGTGGATGAACACTTGTCAACCGCCCCCTTGGTCCTAGTTCAAGCCGAACGTGGGGTTGTGGGGTACGAGGTCGAGTCGAGAAAAGGCATGAAATGAGATATATAGTATCGCAACCCCGTTCGCGAACTTACGTGTTAACTGTCTGTACATTATGTGGTTGATCTAATGAGATATAACGCCTATTGCCAAAGTTGCTCCGCGCAGAGTTACAAAGCGTGCTATAAATGCACAGTGCTGGGCGAACCACCTATCATAGGCATCGAGACTACATGTCACTCAACTAAACGTCACCCAAATGAATTCTTATCGAGAATTAACGAGAGCAAAAATCTTGACCCCTTTCCATTAAATGTGCTATTGAATTCACACAAGAATCCTTCTATGCCATTGACGAAACAAACAGTGATGAAATAGGAAAAGGAATATCTGTATCATGGGAATGGGTTGGCAGAAGATCGTAGTGAAATGATTGAGAACCGAGGACAAAACACCGGAGCAGCTCGTGGTAGCTACTGGGCTTGACGTCTGAGTAGATGTCAAAATTGTCATCTCCGACCTGGGGCAGAACGGTATGAGGGAACTCAATCGTCAGCCTCATCGCCGTTAGCAGCAACTTCTTTCACTGCATGGGTCTTGCCATTGGTAGGCAGATCGACGTCGATACCCAATTTCTTAGGTTCCTCGACGCCGTTCTCCTCGTCATCTTCGACATCCTCGACATCATCGACATCCTCTTCGTCATCATATCCTTCTACATCCAAGTTATCCTCGACCTCAGGATCGTCGTTATCGAACTCCTCTTCCTCACTCTCCTCCTCACCCTCCTCGCCATTCTTGACGATGGGAATAGGCTCGGTTGGGGCATTTGCCGTCTTTAGCTTCTTCTTTGGAGGGGCTTCAGGTTGAGCTTGAGCTGGTGCTGCTTTTGAATTCGTTAGTCAAGACGGGTAGGTCCCATCAATCATCAAGGCTATACCGCGGATCAACTTACGCTTTACACCATTCTTCTCTTCCTCTTCCTCCTCAGGCTCGACTATTTCGTCATATTCTTCTTCGTCATCCTCAACATCGTCGGCATCATCATCTTCATCGCCTTCCGATATACTATTGGATAGAGGGTTAACATGTACTCTCTAGTAGGTCGTGCATCTTAAGCTGAAGAATTGGTCGCATTGGATAACGTGGCATCCAAGGCAAGATGTTCGCGACATTGCGCACGTATGCGCGACGATACGAGTAACGAATGCGATGCCGGCGCATCTTTTGCGACAAGAAACCTTCCTTGGCGAATTTTCCAACATTGCGCGGCTACGAAGGCAACACCTGGTGAAATATAATGAACAACTTACTATTCCTCTTCCTCTTCGCTTTCATCGCTGGGTAGAGCAACGAGCTCTTCTTCCTCCTCTTCCTCCTGCTTTCTCTTCCGAGAAGTCATGTTCTAGGGCTTGAAATAAGCTTTGGGAGAGTTTCTCGATAGAAAACTAGAATCCGGGCTGGCGGATTGATGAACACGAGAAAACTATGGATGAGATTCGTACGAAAAAGATGGGAAAGGAGGAAAGAAAAAGGAGGGAAGAAAGGATAGAGAAGGGGGAGAGCTGGGGTGGTAGGGAAAAACGCTGGTCGCTGTGCTTGGGGAAAGGCTGCTTAGGAAGGATAGAGTGTGAGAGGGGAGGGGACTGGTAAGCTTGGAGCTGGGAGCTTTGGGGGGAATGGGTGAGGGAAGAGGGGGTCGGACGGGGGAGCTCTGAGAGCTTCTGCTGCTTGCTACCGTATGCCCATTCATGCTTCTCTCCCCCTAGTTGCAGGATGGGTGTCCGTCATTATGGACTAGCATGCGCATCCAAGAAGCCACCAAAGTCAGTTAAGCTCAGCAGGTAGCAGGTAGAAGGTAGCAAGTAGCAAGTAGGTAGGTGTGGGACTCGGACCATATCCTGGTCATGGCTCGATCGGGTCCGGGAAGCTCAAAAAGAATCGACTTTGCTGCCAATTTGACCGATTGATGACGATTCCGCGAGAGAAGAGCTCCGACCTAAGACAACCCAGCCACATTCCTCCCTCCTTTTCCCCCTCATTTCATAAGCCACTTGGTTTAACCGTGAACCGTGAAGCTCAGGATGCGCAGCCTTACTGCGTATGCTGCCCATGTACTGTAACTTGGAAACGCATGCGGCAACTTCGTGAGCGACTAGGTTTCTTTTCTTCTTTTCTTCTTTTCTTGGATACCCACGAGAGGGAATAACGAAAAGTCGATAATGTGCCCACCACGGCTAATTCTCTAGCAAATGGCTAGAATATACCTGTGGAGAGTCAAATAGATAATGTAAATATACCTACCTTGGTTTTGGTACTCACCTTACTCAGATGTACTAGTTATAAGTAGAGAGGTATATACGTATATTTGCTAGCCAGCGAGATAATTGATGCGACATATGAAAGGAACCTATTGTCCTGGATATAGTATGTGTATAGTATATTCGCGAGTCGCATAGGAGAACCTGAGTAAAATTTCACGGTCGCAACGGATGCGTTCCCCTAAGCGGAGATCGGACAGACTGTCCCGCCGCATTTCCAAGAGAGGACAAGTATGTATTGTACCTAAGCAGCAGAACTTTGGCAACGGATTGTGATATTGATTGGTGTACGCATCACGATGGAACCTATAGCGAAAAGGGCCAAGGAAACGCGTAAAACACGCGTTGAATATCCAATTTCGAGCAGACTGCTATCACACGCCATCGTCGGAGCAGATAAAACGGAGGCATTGCAAGTAACGCTTCATAATAGCCAAAGTAACACACATTACTACCGTGGGTAGGTTGTGCTCTTTGTTGAAGACAACGTCAAGTTACCGGGAGAAGGCGTTGAAAGTATGCGGATACGGTTGAGAATGTTGATAAGCAACCCTTTTTACATGGTCCTAGAGCTGAATAATATGGGAAAGTTTGTTGTTACTGTTGATGATGGCGAGATGAAGATCTGTCATTTGTCATTGTAAGATGTTAAATCCGGATTCCGCTGGTTAAGCCTAGGCTAGGTCATGTACCTAGGTACTTCATAGTTGAGGTCGACTCCCGTCTTCACCGGCTCGTCTAAAAAATTCCACTGTAATCCGTACCTTTCTCACCCTCACCCCTGCATAATCCATGCCCTATGTACATACATAACCCATGCATAGTGGATGTACGTTGCTAAATAAAGTGGGTAACAGCTGCCGGATGCTCAGCAAAAGCGCTGCCAGCGCTAGGATGCTCAGCTGTGCCCCTGACCCATAGCCTCGGAAATCCCTAAACCAGGTTGTTGCTCAGCACCTAAACCCAGTCACTCAACTAAAGCCAATACTTGAACGTGCAAATTTTGTGATTACCTACCTTGATATAGCCGTCTTACTTTGAAATTTCAAATTGGGAAAGTCCGAAACTACCGGCCATAAATCCCGTAACATTCTAACAGCGTATTCGTCATGGTGTTAATGGTTGATCGAATTATAACTAGATGATGTTTAATATTTTGAGCATATCATATGCATGTGTTCATACCTACTTAGGTAAGTATACCTAGGTGTAAGGGACTTATATAATCTGTCTACCAGAGACACTCTTTAAGGTGATAACTAAACTGCGCAATAAAACGGGGGGCTCGGATCGCTAACGAATCGAAAAATATTGTTAGCTCGGGTTTGTCGTCCTCGAGCTCAGGCATTTGCTATGTATTGCTATGTGTCAGACATGTTTATATAACAGACATTGGGAAATTAAAATGTTTCCCAGGTCAAGGTATATGATGTCAGCCTAATCAGCTCTTTCTAATGTTCTTTTTCGTTACCCTTTTTGTTGTTCCCAAGACCAAGCTAGCCAATGAGAGGAGCCGGCTCGGTACCCGCTAAACAACCTTGTTCCTTGGACGGATCACAGTCCGTTCCGCGTCCGCTAAGACTAATTTCGATTACAGTGCCTGCCACCTGGGCGGTACCCACGGCATGAGCGGAGGATTTGGTCAGAAGAAGATTTAGACATTTTCGATGGATTCCACCGAATCGAAGAAACTTCATTCTTAAAAATTCTATTTTCGAATCTGAATGTGATTCATAATCTTTATCGGGACCCGTTGCTGTTGGTAGTTCTCGAGACGTCTGGCGGTTATGAGCTTAATGCTGTCTTATTAAAGGGTTCACCTAGGCGAAACCTTATATTCTTTAGGTACCTACCTATAACTAATACCTTTAAAGAACTACCTACAGCTGCACCAACGGGAAGTAACTCGACGAAATGCAATCGTGCAGTCGATAGCTACATCCCTAAACCTAACTGGAACTTCTGCCGGGAACAAAAGGTATTGTACCTTGGGTCACCGACGGAAGCCACCGACCGTCTGTAGAAGTACTTACAGCATCCACTCCAGACATTGCCGATCTTTGTACCTCGTACCTGCGTGCTGCTTGCTGCTTGCTGCACGCTGCATGCCTTAGGCAAAGAAGTACCTTAGGAGGTAACTTTACCTTAAAGTACATACAATCCAGTCTCGAATACAATCTCCAGATTATTGGTGTCTCTTCTCATTCAATTATTTTCGACAATAAGACACCAAACAAAAACATATCCTTCCATAGTCGATCATTTCGTCTCGTCTCGTCTCGATCGTAGGGACCAATCAAAGATTCTGGATGGAAAGGACAATATCTAGGCTACTCTTCTGGCTTAGCCAAACATTTACAGAACCGATCCCACCGTCTCGTTACATCGACTTTACCTTGAACTAATCCGAGTCTTTCTCCAATCTGCCCCCAATCTTGACTCCAACGCACGGGAGGACGCATACTCGAGAGAACCAGCACGTCTCATTCACTTGTACCACGCCGATAAAGCAGCCACCACCGGCATGGAACGGATCTGAATCCCATCAATTATCTCGCATCACGTTCTTTTCTCCTGTAAATGCCAGGAGGCTTCTAAACAACATTCGTTCAACATCCCCCCGACCAATTTCATTCGTTCGATCGATCCTCCTCCCTATTGTCTCGAATATCGGTCACGAGGATAACTAGGGGTGCCCGTGCGTGCATACCCGATTCCCAATTCAACACTCGCTCAGCTAGACCTCGTTCGTTATTGTGTCGTTTCTGCAACCGGAAAGGCACCTACTGTATATCATCTTTATGCCTAAGCAAAATCCACTTTAACGCTGCGTTGTATCAGCCTGCTTGGTTGCTAGCTGTGGGATCTCTAGGTAAAGTGGGAATTGCATAGGGGAGCTACTCTTTTGTAAGGGGAGCTGCCGGTGTTCTAGACTGCTTGGCCCACAGGCCAATGGCGCGAACATTTAGAACTATGGCCGACAATTCGCAGCAAGACGGTCCTACTACAATGACATATGATATTCAGCAACGACATAGAAAGCCCGGAGGTGTGACGCAACCTAGCCCCAGATCAGATTTGAGATCAGACGTACTATCAGCTAGGGTTGGTGTTAGACCTGAGCGCGGCATGAAGTTACAAGAATTCGGCCTGCATGCTTCAAGAGCCCAGGATTCGAAACACACCCCGGTTCGTCCAATTTTCCCCAACGCCGGCAACTTCAGTCATCATTATAGCGACAAAGATAAAGATGGCTACGATGCTGATGAAGACAATGAATTCGAAGATTCAACAATCACCGCAAACCCCCCTTGGACTACCCCTTCCACTGCCCATTCTACCCCATCTACCGTCCTTACCTCGTACTCGCATTTCAGTCATACCATAGAGGATCATTCACCTCATATACCAGCGTTACCAAACTCCCCATTGTCCCCTCGGTGGGATTCTCTAGGCTACGACCGTTCTGCCACTCTTAGCCCTACGTCTCCGGCTGTCAGCAGCCTCCATAGCAGATCCTCGAACGCGACCGACGAGCTACACTTTGCTTCCGAGATAAGAGATGAATTCCCCTTGTCGCCCGTTAAGATGAGCACCCCCGAAACACCACGCGTAGATAATTTCTCGAGGCCTCGAAAACCGAGCATTAAACAACCTTACAACGAATCACCTCGTGCCATGGCTGCTAATCACCTTCCAACCGAACCGAGCCATCTCGACATCTCACCCAGCCACCCTCTATCATGGACACGAGAACGCGGCCAATCCATCTCGTCTAATATTTCTGCTGCTACCTTTTCCTCTGTTCCCGGGCGACCTCCTCCTGAAATGCACAGCCGAGAGCATCTTCGGAGCAGAGGCCGACAGCCACACCCTCCACCTACTCGATTCCCCTTATCGTACAATCGTGCCGAAAGTACTGGACCGAGTTTCTCTAGGGATCCTATCCATCGAATGGCATCTTTGCCGAGCGAGGAGCTTAGATCAAGTTATCGATCCCAACTCTCGGCATCTACGGCCCAGGGGACGGTAGCAACTGAGAGGAGTAGCGTCGCGACTAAGAGCAGTTCTAGAACCTCGGTCTACGGGGCGGCCGATGATTCGCTTAGTATTAACGATATAATGGGAATGTACGAGAAGGGTTTCTACGACGACTCAGCTCCCGAGGACAATAATGAGATGGTAGACTCGAGGCCGGGCACTGCAAAATCGGAATTAAGCAGGAGGAGGACTGCTATGCTAGACGCGATGACTATCTTCCTGCCAACCCCGGAATCACCAGGCGCGACCTCTGACTCTGGTCAGATCGAGCAGGATTCTGTTTCTATTTCTCATGACCCTGATGAACACGATTCCTTGCCTGGAGAGGTGTCTAGAGAAGTATCCGAGGAGGTGTCTGAGGAAGTGTCCGAGGAAGGGCCTGGGGAGATGTCTGAAGATATGTCCGAAGAGATGCCCGAGGAGATGCTCAAGATGCCCGAGATATTGGAGAGCACCCATTTGGATTCCCGTTCTACTCGTACTTCTACTCGTAATTCTACTAAAACGGATAGCGAGGCAGTTAATATATTAATCGACGTGGATGCGGACGTGGATGCGGGCGCCGAGACTGAAGATGATACCGAGGACGGCTACAGTCCTTTACCCCCATCGCGCCACCCGACCGTGTCGACTATCGCGGAGGACGACGACGAGCGGGATCGCTACGGGTTTCGGAAGAGTAATCAGTACGTTAACCGGGAACAATACGATAACTGGAACCAAGGATATACCGAGTATCTAGAGAGAAGGCGGAAAAAGTGGACCGCCTTTCTTAGGGAGCATGGGCTGATGACTGACAATCCTAACCGATTTCCTCCTCGATCTAACAAGACGAAGCGATTTGTACGCAAGGGAATACCTCCCGATTGGAGGGGCGCTGCTTGGTTCTATTACGCTGGGGGGCCTGCTGTTGTTGCGAAACATGCCGGCCTGTACGATGGCCTTTTGAAACAAAAAGCTAAGGATGTGGACGTCGAGGCGATCGAGCGCGACTTGCACCGTACGTTTCCGGACAACATCAAATTTCGCTCTTGCCCTGCTTCCGCCTCTGATAGCAGCCAACAAGCGCTTGCGAAAGAGACCGAGGGCATCATCCCCGTTGCCGAGAAGCCGATGATCGTATCTCTGCGCCGCGTCTTGCACGCCTTTGCCATCTATAATCCCAAGATCGGATATTGCCAGTCGCTCAACTTTTTAGCAGGTTTACTCCTGCTCTTCGTAGAAAGCGAGGAACACGCCTTCTGGTTACTAAATATCATAGCCCGAGTATATCTTCCCGGGACGCACGAAACCAGCCTCGAGGGCGCGAATGTTGATCTCGGAGTGCTCATGTCCTCGTTAAGGGAGTCTATGCCCAACGTCTGGGCTAAGATCGGAGGCGAGCTGGACGGTACGGACGTCGTATGGTCAAAGAGCTGGAGGCACAGACATCGAGCCGAGACGACTCGGCTTCCGCCGATTACCCTTTGTATGACGGCTTGGTTTATGAGTTGCTACATCGGCACTCTACCCATCGAGAGCACTTTACGCGTATGGGACGTTTTTTTCTACGAGGGATCCAAAACGCTATTTCGAATCGCTCTAGCAATCTTCAAGATCGGCGAGAACGAAATCAGGGGCGTGGGAGATCCTATGGAGATCTTCCAGGTGGTGCAGACGATTCCTCGCAGGCTTATCGACGCCAACGGTTTAATAGAATCCTGCTTCAAGCGTCGTAACGGCTTCGGCCATCTTAGCCAAGAAACAGTGGAGCAAAAGAGGCAAGAAAGACGGGTTCAAGTTAAAGCCGAGCGAGAAAAGCAAACGGGCAATATCGTCTCGATAGATTCAGACTTCAAGAAGAAGGGAAACCTTTTCGGCCGACGTAGATAACGGAGTCAAGCTCGTGGCGAAATAGTCTACCACCCGCATCGTCGTTTTTTATTACCAGGGCAAATCCCTTTTGTCAATTCTGTTCGCCTACCACGGTCAGACGACAACCCCGAACCATCCGGGTTGTGACAGCAAAACCACTTTCAAACGCAGCGGGAATCTGCAATCTTATTTTGTCTATCACGGCGTCTCTTCATTTCATTTTCAGCATGGATAGGCATTGACGACATCTCATGATACGACAGTTTTTTTCTTCCAGCGGAGGAATACCATAGAGATAGGAAGCAGACAATGCGTTACCTTTTGTGTTCATGGTCTGGACATAACAAGTTCATTTGTATAAGGGAAGGGATACAGGTTATATTTCATTGGAGGCCGGCTGATCCTTACGCTCTCGTTCCCCGACAGGGCAGAGCTGGAAGTCGCAGAGACCTCATATTTTTCGGGAGGACAAGAAACATGTAAACCAAACTGATTTGGCGTGGGTAATATGGATACCATCGATGGGCCTATCCATATGATTGCATTGTTAAGGTTCGGAAAAACTAGACAGAGCATACTGCATTGCAAAGGGGCAGGTTATATAGCATCGAATGGCGGCGCATTATATGCATTCACTGAATACGCAAACCATAGCCGGGAAATCCGGCTAGCAGAAGCATTTGCTCCAGAGATCAATACAACAGATACGTTGAACATCAAATAACCTGTTAGTGACTAGCTTATCATAATTATTTTACCATATTTGCAAGGTGTTTTTAACGTGTCGAATATCTTCATGAATCGTTAGAGGTTTCCCATAATGCTACCGTGCCTAATTCCTGCCTCCTGCCTTATCCTCCGTAAATACATTTCTGAAAATGGTGTAGGAAAATGATGGGTTTTGAACGACCCTAGCCTTCGGATTTTAGTCTCGTCGTAACAGGTAACAGGTACCTAGGGCTTGCGTCTGCTCGTCTTGTTTTCACAAGCAACTTCTCCCTTCCCCGGATCCAGATGTAACCACCATTCCTGCGAGAAATATTCCCAGGTTATCTCACTTGTTTACTCACTCGTGGAAATGGAAAACGGGGTATCTGTTCGTCCACCTGTCCAACTAATAATCCTCCCCATCAGCCTCTCAGGCTACCAGATAATTACCAGATATGTAAGTAGCAGCCACTTATTTCTTGGTAGGCTGCTGGGCATAGCGGGTAACGTAACTACGAGCCGTCTTCTCGAACTCGCGGAGATTATTCTTATACTCGTCGGCGATACGGGGCTCGAGGGGGTCGTCGGGGTTGGGCTCGATGAGGAGCTGGCGCACGGCGTCGAGCACGGCGCGGACCCTACTCGCGGGCTTCCAGTTCTCGGGCTTTAGCATACCTAGGCAAATAGACCCGACACTATCGTTGGTCACGTTGGGGTGGTAGATGCGCGTTGTGAAGGTTACTAGCGGTGCTTTGAAGGGGTAGTCTGGCGGTAGGACGATGGATAGGGCGAAGATGCCGCCGCTGTAGACGGTGCCGGGGGGGCCGGCTAGGGTCGCGGTCCAGTGGTGGATGTCGGATTCGGAGGGGAGCGTGATGACCATTCCGGTTGGAGGGGAGGACATGCATTCTTGCAGTTCCTGGGTTGGGAGATACGGTTAGATAAGATATTCGGATGGGGATTTGGTATAGATCGGATGGATAGTGTATTTACCTTGCCTATGCGCTTTTGCGAGGAAGTCATCGTGGCTGGCTATCTGGGTGGTGATTTGGAATATGTAGGTGTAGATGTTGGGAATATGGTTCGAACTGGTGTTGGTTGGTGGTGGTGACTGATAGCCGGCAGGAGAAAGGAATATGAATTATGATTTCGACAAGATAAATAACAAACTAGGTTACTTGTATCGTGACACCAAGGTACTTTAGGCTGCAGGTAGATACATACAGGAACTGTCTTAGGTAATTGGGTTGTTCTTTGAGGCCGCAAAGTCGTTTCAATAATAGTTTCGGCTAAGAGATATTGTTATCAGACATGGAAAGCAGTGATATCATCGTCAATAAGGTACCTCCCTAGCAGGTCTTGCCCAGCCTATTTACAGGTAGACACCTGCAACTACGCAACTTGCTAGCATGGGGGAACAATCCCTCATGTAACACAAGCTGAAGCGGGGCAGCTGAGCAGTTAGGAAATGCCCCTCGTTTGTCTCCATATATTGATTACAGGGATTACGGCGTTCATGTACATCTTTCCGTACTTCTCCGTATGGCATCAGAGGGTCCAAGTAAAAGGGGCACGATACGGCTTGACGGACGAATAGGGGTAGACAATGGATACTTCATAATATCTCAATCATAAATGTGCCTTATTGTTTCAACAGTTTAATCCTAACAGTTTAATCCTAACAGTTTAATCCTCAATGTCTAATTCTGTTTTATGACGGATATCATCCAAGTTTTGCCATCATTTGTCCCATTTGATAGACAACCTCACAATCTCATCCGTCAGTCAACACTCTGGTCCAGTCAAACTTCTTCCAGCGCTTTCTAAACCCCTCTACCCTGTTGTCAGACTTGTGCCATCGTCCCTGCTTCTTGATCACATCCGGCTCCGCGTCTAACATACCACCCAGGATCTCCCTTGCGAATAGATCACCCCTAGGCCACCTGTTAGAATCTTCCACTACGTGACCCAATCCTCCGTCCAAAGTAAACCATGCGTGGAAATATGGCATTTCTTTAGCAATAGACCTCCTGAACGCTAGCTTTCCCAACCCCTCTCGAGCTCGCTTTCCCGTATCGATAATCTTCTTGTGCTGCGCCCACTCCTCGTCCGTCGTGAGCATCGCCTCCTTGAAAAAAGCCGGCGCGGTATCTCCTAAATCGTACGGTATAGGAACGGCTTGCATGGCGGCATGCATGTGTCTGTGAGGCGCTGCCGCATTTTCGTAGAATATCACCTCACGGCCCTGTTCGTGGTACATCCGCGTTAGACACTTCATAAAGTTGCGGATTTCTTCCCATTCGTCATCGTCACACTCTAACAGATTAGTCCGGTGCTGGATGGGAACGATAACGGCACCCCCCTCGCCCAGCTCCGGCTCCGTAGACAGTGTTAGATAGACCCGCGTAGCCAACGAGACTATAGGCGCAATGGGTGGCTGATTGCGATCCTCGTGATGGCAGAGTTGGCAGTTATCTAGGATTTTGTTGACCCTCTGAAACTCGCCGACGGCCTGGTTCTTGAGGTTGATCTCGGATTTCTGCACGCGCTTGGCCAGCTTCTCGGCATTTTCGTCCATGTATTCAAGATCATCGTCGAATTTAACATCCTTGGCAATTCGTTCAGCTAATCGTAACCCTTCTCCTCCTGCCTGTCCTCGTGTTCGCCGCTCCTCCCGGATCATATCCTCTATTGTCATGTCGTCGTTTTGCTCTACATTCCCTCTCTCGCGGCCTCGCTTAGTTTCGATAGCTTTGGCCTCGCCGCGTGTTCCTGCTAACATGCGATTCTCCATGACACCAAGAACAACTGCTTCTGGACCCTTTGATGCGAATGCTGCGGCGGCCTGGTTGTACTCGGCTTCCAGCTTAGCAGCATCTGGTGCCTTTTTCAGCTTTGCTTTCATCATCTGTGCTTTAAGCCGGTTAAGTGTAGTCTGGTCGATTTGGGTAGATATGTGAGTCGATGCATCATCAGGAATAACTATGCCTTGGTCGAGGCTCGTCGGCGCCGGCGAGGTTTCTCGTTTCTCGTGAACACCCTGACCCAACTTCCTCTCCTGAAACAATTCACCGCTGGGTTTCTCCTTGCCGACATAACCATCGCCATAGACCTTGCGTCGGTCTACCTCGATTTTCTCCTCGCGCGCATCATCAAAGTCTCGCAGGTTACCATACCGTTCTAATGCCACTTCATCCACAGACCTTCCAGTCTGTTCGGCTGTATTATAGACACCATTTAATTTGGTCATCCTCCACTGCGACCCGCCATCGCCGAATGTGTAGTCGACTTCGTGCTGTGCTGGTAGCTCAAGATCCTCTACGGACTTCCCGCTGTTCAATTCCTGTAGATGTATCGCATTGATCTCTCTCTTGTGAATTTCCCTTTGTGGCGCCTGACTGGGCGGTGGTGGAGGTTTAGAAAGTTTCGAGCCTTTCTGAGTATAATCAATGTCCAACGCAGACGGCGCCGTCATCCAAGAATCTCGAACCAGACTTGAAGTAGCTTCTTCCGGTTTCTTATAGTCTTCTGTAGCTAGCTCCTCATCAGGTAGTGGTAGATCTTCTTTCGCGTCCGAGACTTTCACGTGGCGATCTCGTCTGTCCGAATCGCGATTGTCATCTTTATGATGTTCGCGTCTGTGGTGACGCTCATCATCTTTAGAGTGACGCGATCGCTTGTGTCGATGGCCGTCGTCGTCTTCTTCCTCGTGACGATCGTGCGACCTACGGTGGCTATGGCGGTGACTATCGCGGTCGCGTTCGGATGATCGATCTCGTCGGTGATGTCTGTGCTTCTTATGTCTTTTTTCGTCTCCGCGTTCCCTCTCGGCTTTTTCTGCAGCGAGGGATTTTTCAAATTCGTCGAGACCGTCCATTATTTATTTGATGGGAATTAGCTGCTCTAGGTGAGAGATGTCGCAGCTTAAGTTCTGGTGATTGATATGACGACACCGGACGACACCTCGAACGATTTCATAAAATATCTCTTAGATGAATGAATACGACGAGAATCGTTTGGGTATTAAAGATATGCATATAAGGTGAGTTTTATTTCATCCAAGCATTTTCATGCTATCAAAATTCCGGGTTAAAATTATTTTGATCAGTATATTCGTTATCATCATATCAGTACCAATTCGGTAGACTTGCAAGAAATTAAGGCGTAGATAAAAATCAAACTCTAATCTCGTCCCCAACCGAATTCGAACCGTAACTTGTTTGTAGTTGAAACCTGGATGAGTCAGCTAAACTTTAGCGAAGTTAGGTGATATCTTTTTAGCGCCCTTTTTTCAATCAATTTTGGACACCAGACCCCTTGACCACACGACCCCGACCGCACAACTTCTTTCACCTCCCCAACTTGGTGACCCACTAAATCCGCATTCGCCTTTTTTTCTGACTACATCCCCCAGCTTTTAACGGCTTTGACCATCCACTCTCACGACTCACGAGCAACTTACAAGCCAATCCTATCAATACTAAATCGAGTTCCTCAGGATATTCAAATTACCTATATTCGATCCTGCATTCTAGAACGATATCTTCATTGGTAACGCTCTTCATTCAGTCGATCCAGTAATTCCCCCAATAGGGGATTACATTGCTGGATTACTATTGGACTGCCTCACCTATTACTTTCTATAAAATCACTTATACACTTTCTTATACCATATTTCCTTCCACATTCCCCAATCATGTCGTCATTTCTAAAATCTGCGAAGGTGTCTTCGCGGAAGACTGGCGTCCAGTTCAGACCCAGGGGGGTTGGCCCTGGCGATCGCATCAAAGAGGTTCTACAACGAAACCAAATGAGGGCCATGGGAATGAGTCCTACGCCTATGACACCACCTACTACACAGAATAAACCTTCCTCGGATCGGCAATCCTGTCCAAATCCCCACTGTTCTAACCCGTTAGCACCAATTACTGATGGCTTCTGTTCTGCTTGTGGTCGTGAAATCGATTCTTCCAACATCGTTGCTGAAGTCCAGTTCGGCGAAAATTCATCCGGTGCTGCTGTTGTCCACGGAAGTTTTGTCGGGGCCGATCAAGGGAGTGCTTCTAGAAATTTAGGGTCGCAATATAGACGACTCGGCGGTAGTCTCACGGACGCTCGGGAGAAGACTATTCGTGAAGGTATGTTTAATTTTAGACGAAGTATATCGAAGGCTGTGCAGCTAACTTTGGTTTATAGCCAAGAATATGATGGTCGGCTTTGCACATCAGCTCAAGGAAGTTCCTCCAAACGCTGTAGATGCCGGCATCCAGATCTTCAAGCTCGTCATGGAGGAGAATTGGCTCCAGGGACGAGGTATGGATAAAGTGGTTCCCGTATGCCTCTACACTGCTTGCCGCAGAGAGGATCGTTGTAAGGTCATGCTTATCGATTTTGCTGAGCTTGTCCACGTAAGTATTCTGCGACATATCTCATATTTACTTCCATTTCCTTTTACTTACAATGTCTAGGTAAATGTTTATGAGCTTGGCCATATTTTCAAGGACCTCAGCAATATCTATTCCTTCCACAGCAACAATGTCAAGTCGATCATCCCGGAAGATCTGATATATCGCTTTTGCTCAAAGCTCGATTTTGGTGACTTCACCAACAAGGTTGCAGCTGATGCAACTAGGCTATGCCAGAGAATGGGTCGTGACTGGATGGTTATGGGCCGCCGACCTTCTGGCATTTGCGGAGCTTGTATTCTTATGGCGGCACGCATGTGGAATTTTAGGCGTACCGTCCGAGAGATCGTCTATGTTGTCAAGGTCACGACGCATACGATCGAACAACGTCTTGACGAATTCACTGTTACGGAAAGTAGTGAACTGTCTATCGAGGACTTCCTAAATCAAGAGTTTCTCGAGTCCCGCCACGACCCGCCGGCATTCTACAAATCTACCGCGGAATGGCAAGAGAAGATGGAAAAGGAGGGCAGAGTTAGAAAAAGGAAGCGTGCGATCGAAGACATCGATGGTGAGGAAGACCAGTCAAGTTCGAATGCTGGAACACCAGCGCCCGACAGCTCTGCTGCCACGCCAAGACCCTCAACCGAAATGCCGCCACCGCCAGTACCTCGCCCGCACCCGGACACCTCTAGGATGCGTCAAGTCAAAGACTACCTACCAAGATCCTTCGATAACTCCGAGGGGAGAGAGTTGGTTGCCCCTTTCGACCCGGAGAAGATTCCGAAGCCTGCTCCCCGGAAGAGCGCAGACAGGGATGTTGTAGAGGGCCTCGCGGCCGAAAACCCAGAGGATGATAATGCGATGGATGGGCTAGCAGCGACGTACGGCGCTTCGGACGACCAGCTCGAAGGCGAGGCTCAAGATGAAGAGGAAGCACCATCGCAATCAGGAAATCGGCGGCGTGGTCGCAAGAAGGGGGCTCCTGAACCGTCACTCACTTTTGACGACGAATGGGAACGTGACGAGGCCGTACTGGAACAGCAGATTAACGAGGTAATCAACGACCCGCACAGCGATGAACACGGCAAGGCCCTAGCTACTGCTGCACATCTCGCGCACATCAAGGCAGAGTGGGCGCGTTCTCTTCTCCCACAACGGGCGACGAATATGGACGAAATCATTGGCGAGGATGAGTTTGCTGACGACCCCGAGGTCCAGTTCTGCAAGCTCTCTCCCGAGGAAGTAAAAATCAAGGAAAGCATATGGATTAACGCGAACAAAGATTGGCTGCGAAAGAAGCAAGAGATAATCTATCGTAAGCAGATGGAGGAGCTGGGCCCTCCAAAGCGGAAACGCAATCGCGTAAAGAAGCCACGAATCGGTGAAGGCCAGCTCACACCTGCTTCTACCCCGGGCGAGGCAGCCATCGAAGCACTGAAGAAGCGGGACACATATTCAAGACGTATCAACTATGACGCCATCGAGAATCTCTTCACCAGCGACAAAGACCGAGGACCTGGATCGGTAGCGTCTCGTAACGGAAGCGGCCCCGCAAGTCGTGCAGAGAGCGTTGTGGCTACCAACGGTAAAGCAGCACCCGAGGCGGCCGTCAATGACGAGGGCGTAGAAGACGGGAATGAAGAGGTAGAAGAGCAAGTCGCGGAAGAAACGTACGACGACTACTACGATGATCAGGAGCAGCCAAACTACGACGAAACAGGGTATGACGAAGGAGGCTATGGCGGAGAAGACTATGGCGATGAGGAATATTACTAGTTGAGAATAATCCCGGTGGAAAGCTAGCTGAGCTGATGTTAAATCCGAGCTCGCGAGCTGTATTTTTAGATCTCACGATGATAGCCCCAGTTGGCACATCGTTTGGGCTGCGGTTCTGTATTTTAGTGTATAGATTCTACGCAGGTCTTACGTTTAAGCGCAGGAAAAGGACCTGTAAGGTTACAAGATACATGTTCAATCGGTTGGAGAATACCCATAGACAATCGTCTTCACAGAATCTATTTATTCCTTGTATCTGACTGCCGAAGCTATGGTAAACTGTAAAAAGCGAGTCCATACCTATTTAGCGAATGATTCTGTAGATAGGATACATTTCCCAGTAGACTACAAGTTTCAGATGAATATACAGCCGGCGTTTTAAGAGAACTTCATGATTGCTAATTCCCTAATTCAACTTCAAGTCTTTATCCCAGTACAAGTCACGACATTGTTTAAACCAAGAGTGGCATTAGCTAGTCCATGATAAATACTTTATTTGAGAAGATAGCCTCTAAAATAGCCCCAAATCACAAGCCGACATTAGGTGTTCTTTTCCAACGCCCCCCTTTTTCTCGTAGGCATGACTATTCCCGCTGCAGAACAACTAACAACCCCATAATACCCAGCATAACGGTCTTGAGCCAGGGGTGTTCGCTCAGCATAATCGTGACGTAGCCTACAAAAGGAATGTACGCAAATACGCTGCCGATGATATCCTTGCGTTCGAGGTAGTCTTGGCCGCGTGCGTATAGCTCAGTATCGTCCGCGGCATTGTTGTCGCCCTTGGTGAGTAGACGCGCATGGGCGCCGGTGCCGAACTTGCGAACTACGCGGTGGACAATGGGGATTTCCTTGTCTCGCACGTTGTAGACTACCACCTCGCCTACGTCCGTCTCGGCTAGTATGTTCCGGTTCCAGAGGAAGAGCAGGTCGCCGCGCTGGAAGGCGGGTTCCATGGATCCGGAGAGGACGACGACGATGGGCGAGGGGGAGTCGGCGAAGACGGAGAGACCTTTCCACATCTGTGAGGGGGGGAGTTAGTTGGGATATGCGATGTGCGACATGCGACAATGGGTTCGAAGAGAGGTTGATAGACGTACCATGAATGCGGTGGAAAGAATCAAGCCGAAATTTAACAGCTGAGAGGCTGCTTGCCGGGGATTTTGAAGACCTGACAACATTTTTTTCTTTTTCTTATTTCTTTCTTATCGGGGATATGTTGGGTCTGGTGGTGAGGCTTTCGGTGCTGGCCTCGAAGATTTTGAGGCCAGCTTAATGGATCAATGGAATTGGAGCTGCGAATGAGACGACGGAGCTTCTCAGGTGAAAGTGGCCTTAACTTGGGCTTGTCAGCGCTATCGATAAGAGGCGGCTGTTTCACTGGTTGGAGGATGGACTGGCCAATAAGGTTTGGCATATACGTTAGTTTGGCTTGTTTAGGCAGGAAGGTTATAGAAGGTCCACTTAGCGGTTAGGTACGTCGATACTTGGAGAGCTTCAGTATCTGGTATTAGTTCTATATTCGAAATAACTATATCTTATGAATAGGTATATGTTAGTATTTGACTTAATTATATCCTTAGTCTTGACAACAACAACAACGTATTGTCAACTGGGTATAGACACATAAGTCTTTCCTAGATCTTAAGGATAGGATAGTACCTTCACGTCATTTGCTAACACATCGATGAGGAAATATAAGTCGAGCCAACTTTTTACTTCCTTGCTAGTGAGAGGGACCTTGTTGCTCCTTCAATCTATAATGATATTTAATATTAACTAGACATACTTTCCTAGACATACTTTCCTAGACTTCATCTCCTACCTTTCGCCCATATCCTCAATCGTTTACCTCGTCGTGTTCATTCTCCTTTTGAGCCTCGATGCCAAACATTCTATTTATAACACCTCTTTATTCTGGATCGAGGATACAGGACTATTCTGTATTATTCGATCATCGTTTCAATCAACATTACCTACTAACACCTCTGAGCCTACATAAACATTCATATTCCCATCTCCGCCATGTCAGAAACGACGGACAGAACACCTCTGCTCCCACAACCGGTACAGGTTCAGTATCGTAGCTATCCTAGCCAATCAAATAGTCATGTAAATTAATCTCCTTGATACCTCTTACTACTATCTACTTATAACGAAGGGATAATCTAATCTTTAGTAGTCTATCTACCTTCGGGCGTGCCATTCGTCTTGCCACTTCATCAATCAGAAATTCCTCTTATTTCTCCGTTTCGTTTTCGCCGCCTACCTCTCAGCCGTATTCGGAGTGTCGCTCAAGTATAAGCTCGAGACTGAAGACAAGCATACTTTTTGGCATCTCCTATTCCAGTTCTCGACCGTCTCCTTCTGTATACAATAGGCATGGCATCTGCAGGTGACGGTCGGTTCTACCTTTGTCTTGCTATACCCGTCCTCCGATTTACGACTATGCTGATATGTGGCAATTAGCTCTGGACCGCTATGCATCTTATTTCTCCGAAGGCAATTGAAATAGATTCCGACGAATGCAAGGGGCACAAGTTCAAGGCTTACTGTCTCCGCTTCCTGTCACCGCCGAATAAAGCTACCTATCCTATCAGCCGGTATTGTTTTAGCTTATACTATACGATTGCTCAAATCTTCCCCATCATGAATACGCTGATCTATTGGGGCTGCCTCGTTCCCTCAGGACGTGGCGGTTTCAAAGCGCCGACGCTACCGCATCACGAGACAGTCGGACACCATCCAGGTATGCCGAATAGCGACTATCTTCCCTAGTGATTTATATAAGTGCTGACGATAGCAAGAAGACAAGGGGCTCTTTGAACAAGACCCGATCGAAATATTTAGTATTATCAACATCTGGACTATCACAACGGTTATCGCATTTACCGAAATCTGCTTCCTCAATAGCATCCGCCGACAAACCGTGAGCATCGTCTTTAGCTTTTCATCATTGTAGCCTATCACTAACTGAGAGTCAATAAATAGCCTATTATAGGTCATGCGGTCGGAGTCATGTTCTGTAGCGGTGCGTATCTCGCCTGGTCGGAGTTGGGCAAACTCGTCACAGGGCGCTCGGGGCTTTTCTTCCTGGACCCTGATATCATAAAAATCCCGGAAGCCATCATCGCAGCGTGTATCGCTTTTGTCGCGATATCTCCAGGAAGTAAGAATCTCAAAACATTGAAATTTCAAAGGAAGGCATACTAACAACACTTCAATGGCAGTTTTCACGTACATGTACGGATTAGTCGCCATGCGCGAGACGATCACAGCGGTGCGTAACGATTCGTCTGGCTAAGTAAGGCATTGCTCTCCATTGGATTGAGTATGCTCCGATTGCATAGTTTACCAGAATTAGACGAGATTGGTATTACTTTGTGTAAGATGCTTGTAGATGGCTATCAGGGCCAGAGATTAGGCGCCCTTTTGACTTACTCGATGTTCACCTATGAACCGCGTTTAGAGAGGCCAGAGTTTGGTTGTGAGAGTGAAGTCCGAATATACCTGGTACCTAAAGATGTCAATGGGAAGTAGATTGACGATGGTCATCGAAGTGCTGCCCGAAAATATTCTATATTTGCATATTGTACTTGGATGCATGACACGTTATTCCGATATTGACGTAGCCAAGAATCCTTATCGCGTCTTACCCAACCTTTTGGACCACTACGCCAACCCCACGCCGCCTACCGCCGCCCATGCTAAACGAAACATTTCAACTCGTTCCCGTTTGCTTTGCACGTTTTCGATCTTAAGCGAGAAACATCGCGGGTAAACGCTTATTCGTCAAAGGCACGAAGAGGAATGCGCCAATTATTAAGCTTCGAGGCAGTGTATTGTAGTGCACTGCAATATGATAAGTTGGCGACCCGCCGTTCATCTCATTCGACCCAACGAAGCCGTGAGGATTCGATGAGATCATCGCTGAGAGTCTATTTGCCCGCGCTATGAATACAATATCTCGAGGGAGCACAAAGTTTAGCATACAGCCATTCGATTATCTTGGGATAACTTCCGTCCACATGATCTTTATACTACTTGGATAAATTATCCGAGATATTACTATTATCACCATGCCTCACATTGAACCCTCGACACGTGCTAACTTGTCCGGTTCTTCTACGACGTACCCTCCCAAACTGCTGGAGTCACTAGCATACATCCTGGTCGCACCCACGATGAGGCGGGACGTGGAGACCTAGGCAGAACAGGGATGGTGACTTGTCATGCTGCATCTACACGTTTATTGCCTAGCGGACCAAGTCTGGGGAAGTATTGCAGCTGACCAAGATTCACAAGTTGACCAGCAATCTAGGCCAGCAATCTATCCATTAACGATTAAGACTCATATTAGGTATCTGCAGTAGGGCGCCATAAACGCAAATCGGGGCGGAGATCTGAGGTCCAACCTAACGAATCAACATGCGGGTCAGGGGTCAAGGGTCTTCTTTGCCGCGCTGTCATGGATTGGCAATTGGTGGGTGGGATGGCGGCTTGGAGGAACAAGTTTACCACAGCAGAAGAGTTAAACCCCAAGGCGGCAGAGTGCCGGTTCAGCCATTCAACTGAATTTGAATAAGTCTCCGTAATGGAGGGTATGCGGCTAAAATATAGAATAAAATATAAATATCACCAACACCCCTCTTCCGTTTCTGCCCCCCTTTCTCCTTTTGTTCTCCCTCCCCCCACCACAACCATCAGGGTCGCAAATCTACCTCAAGGATATCTCCAGATACGTTCGTTCACTTTTTCGAATTGACTCTGGGATAGACTGCCTGGACTCCTGTAAATCCTTTTCTTTTTTGTGCGTCAAACTCTCACCAACTCCTTCACTCTCTACGTCCACGGAAACCCGAAATTACTCTACACTCTTTTCGTCACTCTCTAGCCAATTTACACTCAGAAGAGGGAATTTTTCGATAAATTTCCCTCATCAATTATCCCGAACCAAACTAACAACAAAACGACGCTGTCTCGATTTCTTTCGCCACTCCGAAAAACCACCGCCGCCATGTTCAAACGCTCGTTCCGGTCCGGGGACCGAGTCGACAAGTCGGCGAGGCTGAAGAAGTCTAACAACAGCAACAATAACAACAACAACAACAACAAGGTTCGGGATCCTCAGAAACTAGCGAAACTGCAGCGGTCGATCGAGGAGATCCTCCCCGCTAAGAGGACCCTCAACTCTCCTATCGTCACATTAACGATCGGGAGAGAAGCACGACTGTTCGCGGCCCACGAGGAGGTCCTATCTCAGTCGCCCTTCTTCGAAAGGGCGTGTCGGGACCAATACCTCGAGGCGCAGAGCAAGAGGATTTCACTTCCGGACGAAGAACCCGAGATCTTCTCGGCCGTACTCGAGTACCTCTATAAGGGTGACTACTACCCACGCTTGGTACATAACAAGCACCGAAACTCTTGGGAGCTCGAGGATGCCGTGGGATCACCCGACCCTTCAGAAAACAACCGAGCTGGCCGCGGAGCTGTCGAGGCCACAATGCACGTCGCCAGCGTGGGGCAATATCTCTTGCGGGATACCGTCGTGTACTGCGCCGCCGATAGGTACGGACTCGAAGAGCTCAAGCGCCTAGCTCTTCGGAAGCAAGGCCTACAGAGCGGAATTGACGTCGGAACGATCCTTAGATCGGCGCAGTACGCCTACGACAACACGCCGGACACGGACTCGCGACTACGCGCTCACTATCTCGCCTTAATTATCCGATGTCGCAAGACATTTAAGAGGAGCGGAACCATGCAGACGGAGATGGAACGGGGCGGCAAACTTTTCTTTGACCTATTCGTGGCCATGTGCAACCATCTCGACGACGTCGTGGATATGAGCAACGCTCGGACGCCTAAGACGATCTAACGAGCTCTCGGATTTGCACTAACAACATATCCACTAAACATCGGGTCACTTGGGGGAATATGGCGTTGGAACGTGTCTTGAATTTGGCGAGGAACGAACGGTCACGGAGTTGAATGATTATGCTTTTCCTTGTCTCTGGTTTCTTCCCTCAACTCAGTCCCTCCCAGATATTATCATCAGATTGGAACACCATTTGGGAGAATATCCACAACTCCACTTCTCATCGAGGTTGGCCGACCATTTTGATGAAGTTTTTTTTTTATCCGGGAGAGGTAAGGGGGTATGAACGTACTCGGTTTGCTCATGTTATCACCCATTGTGACTTTTCTATTTCTGATGACCCAAAGGAACACACTCCCAACTCAACTCAATATTCACAAAATCAAAATACCCCCATGGTCTTTATCGGTCTTTGAACTAGGCGTTATGGATTACTTTCAGTCGACTTGTCTTAGCTTCTTTGCTGAGCGAAAAGTCAAAAAGAGAGAAAAGAAACAATGCACAACGGTTTAGAGACCAGGAAAGAAGAAATGTTTGCGGCAACACACTTTGCGGGTTTGTCTTTTTACGACGTTGCTTTTTCATTTCCACAGCGAGTACACACGAACACGGCGCCATGATACCATCACGACTCTACCAGATTGTCAAATTTTTGGAAATAAAACTCGCAAAGAGCAGCCGAGAGGACAAATTGGAAAACGCACCACAGGCTGGCGCGCCTCTTCGCCGCCGTCCATCTTCTATGTCTTCAAGCAAGCAGAGAGGAAGAAAAAAAGAAACACAACACACATACACACAGTCGCCCATATAGTATCCTCCATCTCCCGGAGAGAGAAATATGGGCGTGGCAAGGCAACGGAAAGAATGCTGCTGAAGCTGCAATGGTTCCGCTAGCGCTTTAATGAAGCTGCTGGCATGACGAAATGACAAGATCCATCTAGTCTTGACGACTAGCACAGGTAAAAAAACAAAAACACAATGCCCCTGTCCCTAGCGGATAGTTATCACAGCTCAAGCCCTCATTGGGGCGAGAAAATGAGAGATTCGGCCACCTCAAATATTTGTCTTGTCTTGCTTTGTGATATGTTGTGTTCTAAGTGTATGAATATTCGTGAGAGGTTGTTATATGAAGACCTGAGATGAAGACTGAACAGGTCTTTATATTTCAAAAAATAAGCCCAAGTAAGTTGCTATTAGTTTTAGATACTACATAAGGTGAAGATAATCATAGTTTAAGTAGTTCTGCCATTGACAAGTTGACTTATAATTGACAAGTTGACTTATAGATGTAAGTCAGTCTATTATATGCACATAACGATATGTGAATAATCAATGGAACTAGGAACTAGTAGATCTATCGATAACCCAAGAACCTTAAAGCTAGAGCTATCTGCCCCGCCACCCCGCAATCATCAACCTGATTATTCAAGTCAGAAGGACGTAACTTATTAATATTTTCCTACGTAATCTTTTCACTAATCTCGACGTTTCTATTTCTCATCCTCTCAATATCATCTACAAGCCAAAGTGTACGCGACGAGAATGGCCTCATCTTCCACGTCCGAGTCTACCTCGGCCGCTGCTGCTATGCCCTCAACGGCAACAGCAAACTCCTCAGAACCTGTCGCCATCGTGTGCGTGGGTATGGCTGGATCTGGAAAGACAACCTTTATGCAACGCATCAATGCACATCTACACGGCCAGAGAGAACCCCCCTACGTAATCAACCTCGACCCGGCTGTGCTTAATGTTCCTTTCGAGAGCAATATCGATATTCGCGACTCGGTAAACTACAAGGAAGTCATGAAGCAGTATAACCTTGGTCCCAACGGCGGTATCTTGACTTCCCTGAACCTATTCTCGACGAAGGTCGACCAGATCTTAAAGTTGCTTGAGAAGCGAACTAGTTTAGAACCGGAAACCCCAAACAAGAAACCTATCAAGAATATTCTTGTTGATACACGTATGGCTACTTAAAGATTCATTAACAGCGATATTACTGACTAATATCTTATTACAGCCGGTCAAATTGAAGTATTCGTCTGGTCTGCCTCGGGCCAAATCCTACTCGAGTCCCTCGCTTCCACATTCCCGACTGTCATTGCGTACATCATCGATACCCCTCGAACCGCTTCGACCAGCACCTTCATGAGCAATATGCTATATGCCTGCTCGATTCTATATAAGACCAAGCTACCGATGATCTTGGTGTTCAACAAGACGGATGTCAAGGACGCAGAGTTTGCTAAGGAGTGGATGACGGATTACGACGCCTTCCAAGCCGCATTGTCAAACGACGAGGCTTCCAACGCGTTTGGTGGCGTCGAAGGCGAGGGCGCAGGTAGTGGTTACATGAGTAGTCTGTTAAATTCGATGAGCATGATGCTTGAGGAATTCTACACCCACCTAAGCGTCGTGGGAGTTTCATCCATGACGGGAGCCGGCGTCGACGACTTCTTCGCCGCCGTAAGGGAGAAGGCGGATGAATTCAAGAAGGACTACCGTCCCGAACTCGAGCGCAAACGCCAGGAACGCGAAGACCAGAGGCAGAAGGCCCGCGAGAAGGAGCTAGACAAGATGATGAAGGGCATGTCTATGGGTGCGAATAATACCAGGGATACTGCTGTGAAGCCACCTAAAGCAGATGACGATGAAGATATGCAAGATGATAGCGACGAGAAGGACGCAGATGATTACGATGACGACGTAGATGATGAAATGGACCGCGAGGGTTTACAGGCTAGGTATGAGGCTGCGACGGGGACAAATGCGGATTCGGTCATGGACGATGCTAGCTTTGCCAAGTACCTACATACGCAGAGAAGAGGATAGAAGGGATTTATCTTACTATTATTCACTATTCACTATACATGATAGGGTACAAAGGTTTCAGGGTCTAGGGAGTTACGATCGCACGAGGGCATAGACGGGTGCGCAATGATACCAAATTTCTGATTTTCTCGATTCCTCGAGACTTGAATATCTTTGTTCCCCTAGTAAACTAACGCCCAAACTCCAGGTTACATGCTATGAGCTGTAGCGACACAGACAGAATCCTATCGAAACCCTAAGAACGATATCTGTCCTGCTTCCACATGTAGCTCACGGCGTAGTATCTTCGCCGCGTAACTGTTTCTGAGTCGTGTGACTAGCCAAATGTGACGCCCAACCATCAGGGTTCACTATTAAGGATCGGGAGCGTATCTATCATCTCGTTCTATTTCGTTTTATTCCGCGTAGCCCGTTACCGCGCCTCGAACTGCACCATCCTGTAGCCGTCCCGCATTAGCATTAACGTGCCTTCCCCAACGAGAATGTAGTAACAGAAAGGGAGAGGAAAGAGAGAGACTTACCTCTTAGTGCGCTCCTTATACAACACGCGGCACCCGCACTCCTTGCAGCGAATAGGGTCGTTGCGCTTCAGCGGAAACTTGGTCCCGCAGTCGCCGCAGATGTAGTGCATGGTCGCGCCGCCGTCCATGTCGAACGCGCTGCTCCGCGTGCCCGAGGCTGCACCGCCGGGAGCTGCGCCGCCGGCGGAGGAGGGGATTTGGTAGGCTTCGCGTGAGGTCATTGCGTTTCGTTTTGGGTTGTTTTGGTTTGTTTGAGGATTTCTGCTGCTGCTTGGGTTTCTTTACTTTGGCTGTTGATGTATTTTTGGTACGGGTGGATGGAATAGTCTTTGGTGGTGGTAGAACGACTGCAATGGCCGGAATCGATTGACTGGCAGTGGCTAACAATCAACTGAAAAAAAGGCGGTCAAGAGGCAAAAAAGCGGCAGAATTAGAACTTAGTTGCCGATGATGACAAAGTCATAAATGCAAAAAGCGAAGGACGGCTATCTGTGGGGCTTGGCGTTACACGGAACCTGTACCGCGGTAATGCTAATACTGGAGCTAATATCATGCATAATCTCCCAATTGGAAATACGTCAAGTCTCACCCGCCGAGGCATCAACTCTCTACTTATTTCCTAGAAACCACGGCGCATTTGTCGGATTGCTTGTCTACTTTCCCATTTATTTCTAAATTCATTCTTTTTTAATCAACATAGATAAATCCCCAAACACAGCGCCTTGAATTCATCGATAGATTAGAATTTGCCTAACTCACCTCAACCTTTACCGCGAACCCAAATCAAAACTTCGTTCTACCATGGCAGAAGAACCCAAAATAATCCCACCATTCGATCCCGGCACCTCTCCCTCCGCCACCGATCCTTGTCCTTTCTGCTCTATATCCTCCAGCTATTCTCCTTTCCCTCCCGATCAACCTCCCCCAGCGGAATCCCCTTCTATCGACCCCTTCCAACTCGCGCCCCCGGCCTTCGTCGTACTTTCAACGCCTACGCTCGTCGCTTTCCTCGATATATTACCCCTGTCCAGGGGCCATCTCCTATTATGCCCTCGCGCCCACCGTTCCAAGTTAACCGATGTCACATCTCACGAAGCCGCCGAGCTAGGCCTTTACCTACGCGTACTATCCGCGGCCCTCGTGCGCGCCACGGGGGTTAAAGATTGGAACGTAGTACAAAATAACGGTGCCGCAGCCGCGCAGGTAGTTAATCATGTGCACTACCATCTTATCCCACGACCCGAGATACGCGCCAGCGGGAGGTTTAGGGAAAGTTTTACGATGTTTGGCCGCGGAGTGCGCGAGGAGTTAGACGATGACGAAGCAGTTGCGTTAGCGGAACAAGTGAGAAGGAGTGTAGCTTTGGTCTTAGAGGAAGAGGCTAGGAAGGGGAAGTTATGAGTACGGCTACGACCCTATTACGTTTAACCCACGGTCAAATCGCATTAAGACGATGGTTGTTGCGATTTTACTTAATCAAGATCTATCTGTCTAAATGCGCCAGGCTTTCTAACCCGAGTCGTCTCTATCAGGAGCTTTAAAATTCAAACCATTACTCGTCGTCACCGAAGAAGACCTTAACTGGCAACCAGTCGTCTCCGCAGACCTTGAAGCGGTCCGGCAGGTTGTTAAGCTTCTTCATTTCTTCCTCCGTCAGCTCCCATCCGTCGAGGGCAAAATTGCTCTCGATCCGCTCTGGCGTGACTGACTTGGGAATAACGTCCCAGCCGTTTTGAATTCCCCATAGCAGAAGAACCTGCTGCGGCGTCTTGCCCTTGCTCTGGGCGATGGACAGTAGTGTCTGGTCCTTGTATAGGGGCGAGTTGGTGCTGCCGAGGCACGAATAGCCTGTAACGTGGATGCCTTTCTCCTTGCAGTAGGCGACTAGCTTCGGCGAGGGGTTGTTGGGGTGGAGCTCGATCTGGTTAACTGCCGGCTTGACCTACGAACCGTTAGTCACTACCTATTTTTCGTACAGAAGAAACAGCGAGACTTACCTTGCAAGAGGGGTCGTTCAGCAGCTTCTCGAGGTTGGTGATACCGAAGTTGGAAACACCAATGTTGCGGACCTTGCCGGTACCAAGCAATTTCTGCATCTCGCGCCAGGTATCGATGAAGTTCCAGTCGTCGTAGTGTTTCTTGAGGTCGTCGGGACGGGTAGAGCTAGGCCAGTGCATGAGGTAGAGATCAACATAGTCGAAACCAAGGTTTTTCAAGGAAGCGTCGATACCCTCGGCGACGCGCTTGTGCCAGGTGTTGTCGAGTTTGGTGGTGATCCAGATCTGCTCGCGAGGTACGCCAGAAGCTCGAATTCCTTCGCCGACTTCGGATTCGTTACCGTAGGCAAGGGCCGTGTCGATATATCGGTAGCCTACGGAGATGGCATGCTTTACTGCCTTGGAGGTTTCATTCTTGGGAGATTGCCAAGTTCCTAGGCCGATGGCGGGGATCTTGTCGCCCGAGGCGAGGGTATAGGTCTTGCTAATTTATAGTTAGAATATGCTTGTCTTGTCTCTAGAGATCAAAGTCGATAAGCAGCTTATACTGACCTAGTGTGGTTAAGGTCTGTCATTGTTACGTTTATTCGCGCCTAGATTAAAGTAGAAGAATGTGTGTCCTGAAGGCTAAACCACCAGCGAAGATGTGTCTGGTATTTGTATGTGACATAATCCGGGCTAGTTTTCCTAGCTAAGAAACGCCATGTTTTCTAGCTACTTCCATTTCATAGTGTATACTTACACGCATGTGTACCTATTTTGTATACTAAGAAGGCGGGATATGACGCAAGGCAGTCCACATTTCCCCGTAAGAATTGGATATAGCCAGTTGTACCTGCTTGACGTACGCTAGTAGGGCGTTATTTACCCCTCCTACCCCCACTGCAGCTACTACGAAGACGCTAACAGTGCCCCTTTGTTTAATTGCAGGTGCTCTTCGTGTACCTAATGTACCTAATGTACCTAAAGCTTGCCAAAGTATGTCTTATAATCCCGACAGTCTTAAAAGCAACTTGACGTTTGTACAAACAGAGGGATTTACTCTTCAAATAGGCTGATAGGTACTTTATGTGCCTAAGTTTTGTCCGAGTTGCCCACGTATAAACAGTTATTTCCACAAATCAAAACAACTACGTAGCTTGGTACAAGCTCTTAGACTTGCCTAATCAGACCTAAGAGACAATCATCGACGAATCACATATTCTCCGTAGCTGCTAATATATACTATAGTATATGCGCGCCAATAGAAACGCCGCGCTTAGCCGTTTGAGTAGTTAGCATTGTCGAGGCGGGTTCTATTATCGTAAACTTATAAGATTGTCTCAGACTTCGGGAATACCTACTCTTAGCTAACCGGAAATACAAATATTAGACTTACCGATCCACATGTCTTAGGTATAGCTACGAGAATAGATGTGATGATCTACCTGTTTAATCCTAACTGGCTATACCTTTGTAAGGGAAAACGCCGAGGGACCATTATACAAGTTGTCCATAAAATATCTACTGAATTATAGGTACCTAGGTAGTTGAAACATGAGACTTCTAAGCCCTTACTCTCCAATACCATTGACATGTATCAAATATTAGGTAGATATGATCGTACTTAGTTAAAACTTAAAGCTCGGAATACAAGTACTTGCTAAGCCGCACCCTTTAGTATATCTAGCTTGCTTTGAACAGCAGATCTATAACATACATACCTACAACTTTGTTCACGCTGAATCAAAATAGCAGATACGATATGAGTTTTCGAATTGAGTCAACAAGACGATCCTACAAGGCTATCTTCGGGCTGTCTTATTTACTCAAAGACCAAAACTTATATTATTATGGACAACTCACTGTGTTAGACAACACCAAGTCGAGTTTATGACCAAGACTATTAACTTCCTGATACCCCATCTAGGTCTACGGCCTAAAGATCCTCTCGTTAAACTCCTCACCACCTTTCCTTATCAGGCCTACCGCAGCCATACGCCACCCCTTCCACACCACTGTATCCAACGCCTATCGAAACATACTCCAATTACGCTCAGGGGTCCACGTAACTACCAGGCTTCGGCGGCCCAGACCTTGTCGATCCATCAATACGCTTAATCTTCAGCTCGCCCAAATCGATACCGTCCATAACCCGTAGGTTGACCGGTGACCAATCCAGATGATCCCGGGCCCATTGCTGCTGCTCGACAGGCAGCTCCTCGATCTGCGCCGGCGTGTAGTCCTCGATGCGGTTATGCACCGGCACCCCGCAGGTCCGGCAGAACGACTTGCGCCACACGCCGCCGCCGAACGAGTAGTATCCCATTCCTGTAGCTCCTACGATGGTGACTTGTGGTTTGTTGGGATAGATCCAGCAGTATGCGTTCTATGGAGAGGGGAGTGGTGAGATATTGTATAGGATTCGATTATAGATAGTTATTATGGAATAGATACGGGTTGATTTGGGATGTGTATATAGAATAGGAAAGATGTTGGACTAAAGGGAAGAGGGGAGAAAGGAAAGCATACTCGAGTGCATATGCTGCAGTCGCATTCCATTATAAGTCCCTCGTATGTGCTATCAATCGGCTTTGACTTCAGAGCTAGAGTGACGGCTCCGCAGTGGCAACCTCCCGTGTATATTTTTGCGCCCTCGATTTCGGCTGGGGGCTCCTGGCCGTCGAACTTGGGAGGGCTCCATGCTGGGGGTGTAGCCTTGTCATCGAGCCTGGTGATAAGGGGAAAAGCTAAGCTTCCTACCGTTTAATGGAAGCACGTATAGGTAATCGACTCACGGTTGCGTGCCTAGATCCCATGCTTTGATTTTTTGGAGTGCCCGCAACTGAGACTGCGTTAGAGTTTATACGATATAGTTAACGAGATATTTAAGTAGGATGGTATAGGACTTACATTTACGTATTTCTTGGTGTCAACACGGAACAGAAAAGTACAGCAGGTTGAGCAAAACTATAACCAAGGTGTTAGCTAACGCTTCGATATTTGTTGATTTAATTTCGCATTTAAACTACATGCTCCCAAGGTAGCTCACCTGATGCTTGACGCCTCCGAAGTTGTAGTTCGATAGCGCGGTCGGATCGCCCTTTACGAACTTGATGTCGTTGTTATTTTTCGGGGCCAGGAAAACGGCGCCTCTTTTGCAACAGTAGCTGCAACTACACTGCAGACCATTTTCGATATTCTCTGGAAGGTCAACTTCAAACACGTACGCGGTACAATGACAGTTGCCGCGATACTTGGTAGGTTGATTCTCAGCCATCGTGGTGGTGCCCTATTGCGCTTTTTATCTAGGACACTATTGAGAATGAGTTAGTTAATTATATACACGAATGAGTAGAGCGAAATCGGTAAGGCCAGATGAGTCGATAGGGGTCAAGTATTATAAATTCCGAATTCCTGCGAGCGGTAAGATGTATCCCCCTTAAGTCCTTATGAATCAAAAGGGGGAATCATTCGATTTGTAGATCTTAAATTGTACTTTGATAATATTTGGTAACGAGTAAACGTCATTAATTAGTCTACCTGATTCGTTTAATATTGCCGACCCAGCGGTCAGGGATTTAAGGGGATAAATCCGGCGATTCCGTTGGAATATAAATATTCATAACTTCGATGCGCGGCAGAGTGACGATACAACTTAGATACAACTTATTCGGATTGCATATCTTCTAGAAGAGATATGGAAATCATACTGGGGATATGGTTGGCTGATACTTGGCACATTACCCACTTACATACCTGAACAGCTTACCATGGTAGAAGCAAAGAGAGATCGACTACACATCCATATCTTGGAACCTACATTGCTATTGATGATAATCACACAACCTTTTCACAATGATGATATCTTCTTGGACATGGACAAGAGGAAACGTAATAGAACTCGTAAGTGAATTACTACCAGTCGCAGCCTAGGGTAAGAATACCGAAGACGCCAAATCGAGGCGAGCTTCATAGGGATAGGGATAGGGACAGAATGACCCTCTTTTTAACACACTGTCCTCGCAAGCCCATCTCATGTCTTTTCGCGACACCCGGAACTCCGCCATATAACCCTAACGTAACCTGATAACCTGATAACCTGCCTAGACGCCCGCTAATCGTACTCATAATGTTAGGTACTCATAATGTTAGGTACTCATAATGATAACACCGACGGAGAAGAGTATCCTCGCATTCCCGAATACACAAGACAACACAGTTGTGCTTTAGTTCTTCCGCCGCGTCTCGTATACCGCGATGGCAGCTTCGAGCTCGGTAAGGCTCGTGCGATCCCCGTAGGCTTTCTCTACGGCCTCATTCCGACTGGTCTCTGCCGTAGGTACGGGTATGGGCACGGTCGCTGGAATGGTTTCTGCGCTGCGGAACAGTTGTTCCTGTTGGACGTGGTGTTCCTGCTGCCACTTGTTGGCCTTAATGGCTTTGTATTTCGCCAAGCCGTATCCTTTGCGCGGGGAAGATGTTAGCTAATCTCAACGGTAGACAGAGATGGAATGAGCTATACTAACCAATTCCTACGGCTGCGACTGTCGCGGTGGCACTGCATTTTTGTGTTAATACATATTGATGGCTACGGGAAGAATTAGACTTACATTGTCCTCTCGATGCGCCCCGACTTGTGTAGAGCGGGGAGATAGCTTGGGTAGACTGGCGTCGTGGCCGAGAAAGGTCGTGGTGCGTTAAAGTTGGCAGGCATTTTGATATTTTATGTATCTGGAAGTGCTACAAGAAAGGTACGGATCGAAGGGACACAAGCGTTTAGGAGTTTAGGAGTTCAGGTAAATGGGTTTCTCGAGTTTGGTTTGATGCTAGTTATAACTAGCAGGACTTATTGTTAAGGAGATGGCTTATAGTTAATAGTGTCGAGTGATAAAATTCCTGGTCAAAAGCAACAGAGTAGTTCTAAACTCAAGGACAGATGATAGAAGTAGCTATCGAATATATATATAGGAAAACTAGCTACCTAGGTCCCTTGGCAGGCACAGACGGGTTTAGAAGTATAAATACTCTTTGGGAGGTGTTAACGATCCAAGCGGGCTTCAGCCAGAAAAGGCTTCGACGCCGGTACGTAAAATCATGCTTTCGTTCGATTATGCCGCCAGAGTCTCGAACGGGTATGAGCCGAGATGGAACGATGTGACGCACGAAACATATGGCCCAGACCTTTTTTTTACGCCAGTTTCTCTAGTTCTTGTTTAAGACATGGGTGCAAAAAGAAAAGAAAGCGGGGGAAGATCACCGAGGCGCATATGCAATGTCGTGTGATCGTGGGGTCATCACAAGCTTTTCTCCAAATCGTAAACCATAAGTTTATAATAAATATATTGGGTTATGCGGTAGATGGGTTAACCTAGATGGATAGGGGGGTGCCGGTCTACCGGGATAGCCCGAGGTTTTTATTTTTTATTTTTTTTATTTAACTATGTATTTACGAAACCCGAGCCTTACTCTTGTTAGCTGTTCTCCTGAAAAGCCCCGGTTAACTTGTTATTAATAGGTACATATTGTTAATACATACATATTAAACATTAAACACATAACCCGGTAGTTGATCATACGCTTGTCTTCTACGAGACGAAACAGAGGCTCTTGCGAACCTTGACCGAACTAAACATAGAATCTTAGATTAGCTACCGAGATCTCCAAAGACATAATGAATATTCGTATATCCATCCTTTACCACATTGCCTTGGGTATTGCTTCATAACCACACATACACCAATCCTCCCACATTCATGCCTAACACCCTACCAACCAAATCTTACATAGGTACCTACGTCGACATTCCCGCCCTGCAAGTGACGAGATGCGCTCCCCGTCGAGTAAGCCACCTATGCATGTGCCGAGCTGAGCGATTTGCCGCCTATACATGCCCCAGGCCGTTAGCTTCGCGATAGAGACATTCTTCCCAATGCAGATAGCAGAAGCGCGTCTAATAAATTAATGTCTACCCCTTCAGTATACACTTGGCGGCATATCCAAATGTCGATGAAGGGCTTGTCGTTTGACAAACAGCCAGCGGCCGTTTTAAAACGCGGTTGAGGTTCCACGCCAGCACGCCAAGCTGCTTGACACAACCATATGCATGTTGCTGCTGCACAGTTCGTGCGTGAGAAACTGCCAAGGGATATAGACTGGTCGTGTTGATCTGTTTGGCTTAATTATTTCCCCCCTTTTTATATGTATAGAAATATAGTAGTAAGCTTCGTGGCACCAAGCACTATGCAAACAACAGAGGCAGATAACGAGAGCAACAAGTTACTTGTCCAAGTGTGGCAGGTGTTTTGTATTAGAATGAAAATAGATTATTTAGCCAATGAATAGCATCTTACTACTCAATCTAAGGACCACATCACTACAGGTTACAAACACGTATAGCCGTATGCTTCGTCGTAATAATTTGCATTGTCTAAATCATAGCCGAGGTACCCCAGCACCTCGTCTTTGGTCCGTGCTATCTCGACACGAGCATTCATTCCACTTGCGACATCAATCATCTTGGATATCACTACTCTATCGTTTTTAGCCTCCCAAAAGACCCTCTTCGTCAGCTCATTAACGACTACGAGTTACCGTTGCGAGACGGGAATTGGACTGCGCTGAAAATTATATACTCCTAGATATTCCCCTCCCATCAAGCAGCCGCTGTACCAATCTTGTTCAAACCCTTAAGGGATCCCAGACTCAGCGCCAGTCCTTGTGACCTGCTTCTTATGCGGACGAAACCTGTGATTGGCCCATCCTCGCCTTCCTTTTCGATACTCAGATTTGCTAGAGCATCCTCGCCTGCAAATAGTTAGTTGGGATTATCGAATAACTGGCTGACAGTGAAAACTTACCAAAGACACTCTTGGCGTATAGATTGGCGCTCAGGAATTGACAGTCGCCCTTCATGCTGGCTTCTGGTGTCAAGCAGTTCATATTCGTGCAGGCCATCAATTGTTCCAGGAATTCGCGGAGGCTCTTGGCCTTGCTGTTGATGTTGACCTTGTTCTCCCACTCGAATTCCGTCCACATGGTGCGGAACTGCGTTTCTGTACATGTTGCCGGCTGGATATAGTCCATGATATCGACATGTAGATCGTTAAGAATAACGACGTTGGTGTCTGTGCTGTGAGCTCCGTCGTATACTACGTTGCCAAATATAACTCCGGTATCTGTAGATGAAACCTTAATCGTACATTGCACGTTGTGGAAGTCGTGCGGGCCAAGGTTCTGCGTAGTAGGTCGTTCGACAACCTTGAGGTCGCCGAGGGTAGCGAACTCGACTGACAAGTTCTGGAGAGTCTCGGTGGTTTGGTTGACCAAAAGAACATCCAGGACGATGTCGAACTGATGTACTTTAACATACGCCTCGGCGTATACGGGGTCGGAGAAACCAGTAAGCTGAACGACACGGCTTAATTTCGACGAAAGGTCCTCTGATACGGACTCTCCACCAGTTGCTTTCTCGAGGTCAAGCTCGATCTCGTCGGCACCGTCCGCCACGTTCTTCTTGGATAGCTGTCGAATCTGAACAACATCATCGACTTGGACGGCGGTCTTGGCCTTTTCGAAGGCAACCTTTGCCGCCCGCTTCTTCTCTTCAACCTGCACCATAGCACGGAAAGCCTTCCGCGTATCGTCGAGGAATACCGTTTCCAATTCCTTCCTGTCGGAGAACTCCGCCAACGACCGAACACAGGACATTATCCTGTCGACAGAATCCTCGTCGATGGGGGCCTTGACGAATTGCGACTGACCAACACGTATGATGGAAATCATGATCAACATAGCTTCGGCCTTTAGAGCATTCGTTCGGGCCTTGTCCGAAGAGATCTCGGAATGACGCATGACCAACTTGGTAAGAGTCGCCGAAAGAACGGCGGCCAAGTAGTAGTCGCCCTCGAGAATGAGCTGTCGTAGTGGAGGCTTCTGAGCAGCTTTGACAGCCTCTAGTTTGGCGGCGGCAGCCGAGCCGCTGGTAAGGGCTGTCTCGGTGGCGTACGTACCGTCAGCCAGGACCCTCCTTGAGCCTGACGGCGCCGTCGACTTCGAGTGACCATTGACCTGCTCCTTTTCTTTCTCCTCATCGCCGTCGACGTTGTCTAATAGTCGCTGTTCGGAGGCGAGGATAGGTATCTCTCCTAGACTCGCACGTATCCTCTTCCACGCATCTCGAATATCGGATTCTTCCAGAGAATACTCGCCAATGATCCAGATGATTCCACGGTAGACTTTGCCTGCTCTGACCTCGCTGAGAGTGTCGACCAATCGCGAGACGATAGAGGGCCGTAGCTTAGGGAACTTCTCGACTACTTCCTTGACGAAGCTGATGACGTCGACAGCGGAAGTATTGCTGAAGTCGGCGATGAAGTCCATGAGTAAATCAACTACGCTAGCTGCTACTTCCGAGAATTTGATAGCACACTGGTGAATGGAGTGAATGAGGAGTTGTCGGTATTCGGCGTTCTTCTCGTATTCCTGATCGACAGTTTTAGACAGCTCTTTCTTAAGCAGTAAGATAACCTCTTCGACATTCTTGCTCGACACCATCTCTAGCGCGATAGAAAGGGCCTTTCGTCGGACATCGATATCGGGACTAGATAGCGCACGTAGGATCTCCATCACTAGATCGTCTAGCACACCCTCATTCTTCTGTCGCAGTTGGTCTACTCGGTCGAGAACGATAAGTTTCACATTGTTGTCGGCCTCTTTAATGCTAAGCTCGATAAACTTTGCCGCGGCCGCCTTTACCGCAACGGGGTTGCTGGTCAACGCTGTTAAGGACGAAGCAGCTTCGTAAACGACAGTTGAAGCTCCGGCTTCAAGTAGATCGAAAATGAGTCTCAAATAACGGGCCTACGATTATTAGTCGCTAGCCCACAAACTTGGATTCTGGGCTGTTTTACCTTGTGCTGGGAATTCTGAACTGCATCTTTTCGGATGAACTCGAGCTCGACCAACTGTAGTAATTCCTCGGCGTTTGGAATCCCCTCGAAGACGGAGCTTAAGTACACTAAAGCCTTCTCGTGGTCAATGCTAGCCAGAGCAGCAAACGCGTTGCGCTTGCAAGTGGCATCGCTTTCTCCCTCGAGGAAGGCGGCGATCAGCTCGGAAGCATCTGGAATGAGGGACGGCGAATGTAAGAAGATGGAAGAGATGGCGAAGACGGCATTCTTTCGGACGTAGGCGTGGCGATGCTCGAGACAAGCACGAGCCGATGATAGTAGGGGCTCGATCAGCTCTGGTTCTCGTAGCTTGCAAAGGAATCGCAGCGTATTTCCCCTGATGTACTCGTTCGGATGTTGAAGATCATTTCTAATGCCATTGCTAAACCCAGAGCTGTCAGCAACCGAGTTTGTATGCTATTCACAACTTCTTTCTGTACTCACCAGACAAGAATCATCTCCTGCTTTAGTTTACCGGTGGAGTCGAGCTTGGGGCAGATCTCGTAGTAGAAGTATAATAGCTTCTTCAAAGGCTTATATTTCGAAGGCATAACGAATCGAATGATGTGCATAAGGAGCTGAGGCATGGGATCGCCGTTCAACATGACAGTTAAGACGCGCTTCATAGTATCGACCTTTGTCTCATCTGTGCCCTTCTCCAGCTGCATGCGCAGATCCGACATGGATGGGACATCTGCGGTATTGTCCTGGTGGACCAAGCTGTAGGCGTTCTCGAGGAAAGTCGTCATGCTGGGCAATTGTTGCGGCTTCCGCCGGCGTGGTGAACTCGGGGAGATCTATGAGGGTGTATGTAGGTGGATAGACCGACGAGAAGAAGGAGAGTTAGATAAAGCTTAGGTGGACAGTTGAAGTATTATATTGGAGGTCGTGTTCGGGGAATAAGGCTCGAGGGCTCGTGTAGATTCGTAAATACAAGGCCGAAATAGAATTGAACAATTAGAAGAGCCGTCCCAGCAGTTGAAGAGGTGGTTTAACGAGGTCAATGCGATCATGCATCCCAGAGGAAGTTGGGCTGGGTCGGGAAAGGTGAACGGCGGTGATGCTGTTATGCTGTTATGGAGTTGATAACAATAATCCGTCCAGGCTGGCCCCAAAATCCAAATGTCCAGCAACTGCACAGAAATCTGTCCCTCCTAAAATGGATTGGGTTTGAAGAATACGGGGATTTGATTGGTTCATATGCAACGTTGAATTAAATAATCCGTAACCCGAATATTAGCCAGGTTAAAGTCGTTTAGGTATGGGACAGCCTCAACTCAACTGTGGCTTACGCTCTTTGTTAAGTACATGTACCTATATCGGGTACCTAAGTACTTTATACATGTGCTTCTAGTTCCAACACTAAAGTTCCCACATCTTAGCTGTCCCCTGCCCCGCCGAAACTTTCTAGAGCTGCACTGCCAAGCCATCGTCTAGTGAAGCCTCGTCGCAACATTAACAAGGCTAAATCTAGTAACACCCTCTGGAACGCAGTACTACCGTCATCAAACTCACCAAGCCGAATCTGAGACCAAGTATTGTCTTTCTGTACTCGTACAGCTGTCTTATTCACAACAACAGATTGACTACCAACATGGCCTCCACCGGTGAGCCTTTCTACATCCGATATTAGTACGTGCAAGCTGCAAATAGACGCGAAACTTGAAGCTTGAAGCTAATTGACCAATACAGCTCAGGTCACTCCGGTCGATTCGGTCATGAATTTCTAGGTACGCGTGCCCACGATTCCCCTGCTCTTCTGTCGCCCTCGTTACCTATCCATATCCCTATAGAAAAGTAAATAGAAACTGACAATAGCATAGAGTTCGATATTAGAGTAGTAGGCGATGGTCGAAGCGCCGTAGCTCGATATGCAAACAACTCCAACTACAGGAACGACAGTCTAATCCGAAAAGAGAGTATGTCAGCACCTCTTACTACCCTATCTACCCTATCTTCCTCGAGCGAACTACCATTCCCAGAGCCAAGAACCCGAAGTAGCAGCTAGAAATAAGGCTAACGAAGAAAACAGTGTGTGTCAGTTCGTTAGTAGTAGATGAGATCAAGCGCATCGTCAAGTCGAGCGAGATCATGAAGGAAGACGATGCCAAGTGGCCACAGAAGAACAAAGATGGTAGACAGGAATTGGAGATTCGCGTGGGCAACGATCACATATCATTCGAGGCGAGTAGATCCCCTTTATATTCTCTGCGCCGTAACTTAGCCTGGACAGTATCGTAGAACGAGTGCTAATGCCAATGGCAATTATAGACAGCCAAGATTGGTTCCCTAATCGACGTGACGGAATCGGCAGACCCCGAAGGACTACGGGTGTTCTACTACCTAGTGCAGGATCTAAAGGCGCTCGTCTTCAGCTTGACATCACTTCATTTCAAGATCAAACCCATCTCGTGAAGAGCTAAGATAGATAAGGCGCACAAGTGCGAGTTTACGATCATCATTATGTATACATAGAGTAGTACGGCATTTCCCCCCCGAACCCCTTACAATATACCCCCTTGCCGCGAAGTTGTGAAATGCTGCAGTAATCCCGTCTGTCGCGAACGTGATGTGATACCTCCCTAAAAAAAAAAAAGAAGACCAAGACCCAGACCGCTGCGCTGGACTATGCTCGGTGTCAAGTTCCGTACTCCTCCCTATTTGCGTTGCAGAAATTGAGATGCCAGTTTATACCATCCCGTATGATTTCCTTCGCCTGCCAAAAATTACTTACTACTACTATTCGAGCGAGTGGTCGTTGCTGTATGCTATTCTGACGTCCACATGCCGGGCATCAACTATCTTTTCATTCATTCCGTACGTAAAACCGTATACGGCTATCGAAACTCCACGGCGCCGAAACACCCTCTATCCTCTACGTGCTTAAGCTCCAGCTGCTGGAATCTACGATGGAAACCGGTCGTGTTAGCAACAGTGCTCTTGTGTTTGTGATGTAGTAGACACGGGGCAGAAACGAAATAAAACACGGCATTTGATGCACATCAATGTCTACACGTATGTGCATATATGAAGCATAATAGGTATAAAAGATGACAGGTACAGGGGGGAAAACATACTTCTCGCTCTTGGAGTGGAAATATATACCACTAACGCTTCCTTCCTTCTGGTTGAAACAGATATAGTAGAAGCCTTCGAAACTGGCTCCATTAATGGTGCGGACACGATGGTCGGGAACGAGGAAGTGTTCCTTCCAACGCATGAAAATGTTCTCTCGCTGAGCCAAGTTCGGGATAGTGACGGGTCCCTTTCGTACTTGTTTGGCGTATTGTCGGAATGCTGTGAATTTGCTCCAGTGACTCAGATCGATTTTATCCGTTGCACCCCAGCCCGCGTGCTTTGTGATAAATTCGTATTTACTGCCGATAATCTCGCCCTCGAAATACGTCGTCAACGTCGGGTTATCTTCAGTTAGGCCTGGAGGTCGTACGTCATGTTAGCATATGTGGTCTTGGGTCCCGAGGTTGGGGGTGGTGAGGGGGTGATGCGCCACACCGACCGAGTCGGTGAAAGAACAGAACCCAATGGAACGAGATTGGACAGAAGTGGTAAATCAGCTGGTTGACTTACCCTGGATCCTGAGAAAGCCGCAGAGGAATGACTCCCTCAAGTCGACATATTTTATTTCGACTTGCACGTCGTATACTTGCCGTTCCGATTGTTGCGTGCCGTGGAATTTACTGCCCGGCCGTAGGAAGGATGAGGGAGATGTCGGTATTATCTTGAACGACGTCAGCATAAGTTCGTTACGGTAACGGGTATAGTCGCTTATTCCCCTTAAAAATAGGGGCGTAACTTACTCGAATGTTGGAATGGTCGTATCCCATCGAAGGCGCATAAGCGTCCCCCGGTTGCAACCGACCGGGCATTACGCCGTATTCCAATTTCTCGCCGTCTGCGCCGATGGAAGTTACAATATCGTAATTACCACTCGATCGCTGCAGCCCTGATGGCGCATCTGTGTCACTTCTGGCTGATGCATCGTGGTCTGCATCGGTGGGCTTATGCGCTGACGTGGTCTGGGATAGGGTACCGGAGCGGTCAGGAGAGAGTGTAGTGCGGCTCATTAAGCCCGGCCCAGGGGATTCTGTGGCGGATCGCGAATCTGATGTGTCGTGTTGAATATTGGCGTGGAGTGGTGCGCTGACTGGTTCAGGGGATGACGACGTTTCTGGAGTATCGATATTCATCTCGAGTCCATCATCTTGGCTTGATCGCCAACTACTAGCCGTAAATCGGAGCGCTTCTTCGGGGTCGGGACATGACGAACTATGTGTTCTCGGAGGGAGTTCTGGGGGCGGATTACTAGGCATGACTGTTGATGTTGTGTAGTTTTTGATGGGATTTGTGTGGCGACTCTTTGTCTCCCCTTTAAGTGAATGTCTCGTAACAACGCGAAGGGGCTTGCGCGTAAGGTTGGACGACGAACCCAAAAGTGTACAAGCAAATTAATGTAAGATTGGTCCAAGTAAAATAATAGAAAAAAGGTAAGAAGCCTCGCCGAAAAAAAGAAGTATCTCGTGATGTCAATCAAGCAAAGTTAGAAGTTGGTTTAGCAGTGAGGAAGATTGAAGATTGGAGAGACGTCCCAAAAAAAGGGTCGAAGAACTAAAGCCGTACGTAAACTCGTGAAGGTCGGCTTAAACTTGTTGCAGGATTGTAGCAAAGGCGTACAGTGCTACAGTGCCAGAGTTGCCCAGGCGTTGGAGGTCTGGGGGTGGAGAAGAATTAGGACCCAATAACTAGGGTGGACAGGGGCGGTGAGCCTATTATTAGACCCGTAGTATAGCCCTTGGTCTTGGTCTTGGTACCTTCACCGCATGAAGCGCGCATATGTAAGCTTTTATGCGACTGGGAACAGGAAGCACATGGCAAGAAGGAGAGATAAGCAGAGCCTGATAGCGACGACCGTACGATACCGACGATATAATATTAATAGAATCCTTACAGAGCAGGATTCTAGAAGCCAGGAACAATATTACTCAACAGTCAGCAACAAATTTTGAATGACACGCAATAATCCTCAACACCAAAAGTAGTTTTTGGAATAAGAGAGTTGCACCCGATGATGCAGGAATTATATAATTGAGAATTGGATATCAAATATGCTAATGCCAAACCCACTACACGAGCAATACTTCGGTTCGCATCCGGAGGTATCGAATAGGAATGTTCACTCGAATTCTATGATGCTTTTCCTATGAGAGTGCTGCCTCATGCGTGTCTTAGACATCATGTGCCATGTGCTGCATACATGTACACATCGTGCATGCCGCAATAGTATCTTACGTATAAGTTCTGACGGCAACACGGGTGGCGCCGACTAAAGATTGTGTAGAGAAGCTTAATTAAACGGCGAAGTAGAGGTTGACCATATATTTTATAGACTCGACCTACCTTCTAGTTTGATATAGGTATCTACGTTACGATCATGACTTTCTCATCAACTCCGAGTTACCGAACTTGCGGCGCGTCGCGTGCTGAATCTTCGGTTCTATAATACACGTATGTCGCCAACCTCCACTTAAGCAACCACGTGAAGATGCAAAAAGAACCTTGCTCGACGGGCTGAGCGGGAGCAGTGGATATGAGGGGAAGAAGTCTAGACGAACATTGGATACCTCATAATGTAGTTTCCTGCACGGGGCTTAGCGTTGATGGGGGTAGCTGCTGATTGTCAAATGAGTAAATCACCGAAATTTCTTAGCAGTTAGTCTAGTGCTTGGTATAGAGAATTGACATATTGGTATTCACTACTAACGGCATGGTGTTTTCAGAGTTGAAGATCATGGTATTGCTACCCCTGAAGAGTCAGAGAGGTATATGTACGTATCTGGTACTTGTCTAAGGTTAGGTTAGGTACATACGCCCAAATATAGGGGTTTTACTTGGGAAATAGGGTTTGGCTACGATTAGCGCTATCAATCCTAACCTTTCCTTGTAGCGATACAAAATATACCAAGACATATCGATTTTCGAACAAGGTTATCTGATATTTTAGACTTCATCTTGAACCTCAGCTGCGCATACTTAATCCCCGCAATCAGCTTTGGGATTACCTACGTCGTACTCAAAGGATTCATCTTGTCAGCTTGGTACCAATGGCCAGCATAATGAGTATCCACTTTCCCTCCTATTAAAAAGGAGGTATGAGAAGATCATCGAAATAGGATCCCTCTACTAATCACCCAGCCACGACATCTGCGCTCGCTTCCTCTGGTTTGAATCCCCTAAAATACGCCCGGCGGAACGAATTTAAGTCATCTGCAGTACGGCCCTTCACTTGCTCTTCCCGCTTCCTTTGGGTCAACGCAGCCACGTCAACATCCGAATCCGGTAGACGGCGGTAAGTAATTAACCTTCGTGACCCTGAAGAACCTTGTCAGTCGAGACACCCACAAAAGTGGACATATAGCAACCATACATTTATTGAACACCTGCGAGCAAATGACCACGACGCTCAGGCACGGGTGCGTTGGTATAGGAATTTCTTGCTCTTCGTCATTAGCCGACGGCATCCAGAAAGACAGACGACCGTTGTCCACTAAGGTATCTGAGGCAAAGTCCAATATGTCATCTAACATAGCTGTGAAACTGTATGGTCTCTTCGGAGGGACAAATGTCGGTTTTCTGACTTTCGTTAGCGAATTGTGATCAGGTTTTCTGGGAATGCATAACTAACTGGTACGACCGCTTTCCCTTCTCCACGAGCCAGGCGTCCTTCTCCGGGTCTCTACACCCGAGAACTTTTAATCCCTCCCTCACGCCGTATGGTGGATCACAGACGATGCCGTCGAGTATCTGCGCTCTTCGTACGGGGCTGTTGGTCAAGTCGCTAACGAAAACGCCACCAAGTAGACTCTCCAGCCCGTATTGCTTGAAATTACCTTTTAAGCTCTTCTTCCCACCTTCGCCCCTGACGCTACGGCCATCGATATCGCTTCCCAGTCCAAGAGCGCCAAAATGCGCACATGCTATGGGAAAGCTGCCAGTCCCGACAAAGGGATCGTAGAAGATCTTCCCCGGTGCGGCAAGGGAAATGTTGGCCGTAACCAAAGCTAATTCCGAGTCCATAGAGGTCGTGCTGATATATCCTCGCTTTTTGAGGTCGTAGGTTTTGATTAACTCGCGCACGCTATGGCCCACGAGACGGCCAAAGTGTATCTTTAAGGGGTTAGGTAGGTTACGCGGTACGGAATCAAATTCCCACTGTTCGAATATAGTAAATTCCTGGTCTGGAGACTTTAGAAGAATTAATCCTTCAAAAGGAAGATAGGCAAAGGTATTTATGAGTGCCAATTTATTCTTATCCGTTCGGGAGCCCTGGTAAGCGTCTATGTTAATCTTAAACGAGACATCTTTATATTTAGGCCATAAGTGAGCAGTGTCACGTTTGACGGCGGCGTGTAGTTCGTCATATGTCTCGGCAGTACCCCAATGCTCATGGATGGTTTGCGCCAACACCGAGCGCCTTAGGAGAGCTTTTGCAGCGTCTTCGGACTCTAGCCGGACTATGCAGAAAGGCGACTAGAGAGTTTTGTAAGTAGAGTCTTAAGTAAATCAGTCATAGATTATTACCTCGTCGCTATAGGAAATAACCTCCAGATTAAGACCTTCGACGATAGCGAGCGACTGAATTTCTGGTAAACGGAAACTCTCATGAGACTGAGAGAAACGAATAAGGTATTCCATTGTGGACTGTGAGCCTTGGGCGTTTCGTAGTCGCTAAGGGCAGATTAACCTGAATGCTTTTGCTTCGTCTCTACTTATAAGCCACTCCATCTGAGGTTCAGAAATCCTGCTCGACAGCTGCCACTTGAGTCACCAGGTAACGAACGAATGAATCCGTGTGCGGGTTTCACAAAAATGAAAAGATGTTATGGTAAAAAAAGAGGGAGTGTTTCTAAAAGAAAAATGGCCGAGTGCTTGGTATGGCGCTACTATTGATTTCTACATGGCCCGCTTTAGTGCGATTTACTCGTTCAGATTGTTTGACATGGTATTCTCTAAAACATCGTAGTGCTATAAGAGAGACCATAATTAATTTTACGGTGGAGGGTTATTGTAACTTGAAAGTTCACGTTTCTGCCTCGATATCTCAATATCTCAATATCATCCTCCAGATTCTGGGCAATATATGCCTGTTCTATATAAGTGCGGGATCTATTATTCACGGTTTTAATATTCCCACTCTATAATGTTTTCGTTTTCAGCGCCGAGCGTTTATCAATCCTCAAAATGCTTCGTCACATACGGAGTAATGGGCCATCCTGATCCCCAAAATCTACCAAGCAAAGGAAAGCCATGGACTACGTTACTAGCGCAAGACTTCGTGCACAAAGTATGAATACCCGCATCTACATGATCCTATCGAAAACACTTGCTGATATGATATAGGTGGATCTAATCCTCCCAGCGGAACTGGTACAGCTCGTCAAGGACAAGATCATAGGTGATCCGAGTCGAGCACCTGTATTTTACAAGGTTATCATGACAGTTGGACAAATCTTAGAGGGCGACTTCTTCACCGAATACATCAAGATAGGTAATTGAGTTTCCGACTACTATCACCTCGCGAATGTTAAAATTGACGTGGTGACAAGGCAATATCATGATGCTCTCGGAGGGAAGAATAGATTCCGAGAATGTGTTTTTGCTGAAAGAAGGTATGCAAATCTTCCGATCCTTTTGCAATAATAGCTATAATTCACATATGACTAATAAACACTCTAGGCATGCTCACGATGTATCTCGACAAAGAGACGTATGAGCGAGCTGGGCTTGTTGGAAAACCACATGGAGTCAAGGGTAAACGAGGACTTAAACCGAGATGGGGTACGTTTAGCTCAATCATGTCTTGATCTTTGTCGCGACTGCTAATCAGCCCCTAAAGTTGTACAATTCGATCTCCGGAGTCCCTCGATGCTCCACGGCAAGAAGGGCTTTGACAGATTGGCATATGCGTGTAAGAATGTTTTCAACGCACCCGTCACCTGGCTTTTTTATAATCTTTCGAAGAGTGAGTTATCTATAACGTTTTTTTGACTTTTGTTATTACTGATAGTTGTATGGTATAGCACCTGTCCCTGATCCTCTCTCACGGCACTATCCCGTCAAGTATACGTCACACCCCAAGGTCTCTGAGGATATTTCTACAAAGTTACCATCGTTAAAACCCCCAATTGCTATCCTATCGAGCCAAGGCCAGTTAGAGCTGGATGAATTCGCTACAGACATATATGAGTGGCTATCTCTAGTCCGACTTGAAAGTCCACGAATCAGCATAGATGACAAGATCGACCCATATTTGTCCAATTACGCCGTTCCCGGTACTCCCGACGACCTTCAGGAAGGCAAGCTGTGCCGAGTTAGCTGGCAAGGTTTTATTCCGCCAAGGTGGACTCGACAAACCTTGGCGGAGGTAATACTCGCTCTGCCAGCCAAGTCATGGTTCTCGCTAAGCACTACAACATTCGCGAGGGATATCGTAGGGGACAGCACCGACTGTACCATTTTAAGACCACCTAACTCGCCAGGGGAGTATCTTCTCTGGGATGTCAGGAAACAGAATTGAAATACGTATCGTATTTCTAGTCGAGGAATTCAATTTAGTTAGTCTTGTCTTGGACGAACGTTACGATCCGCGGGATTACGTTCCGCTATGGCATCTTGGATTAGTTGCCTGAGCTCAGCTTGGCCAGCATCGGAGTGGAAGTCGTCCCGTTCAGCCAACTGTTCTATCCTTCTTCGAAATTCGGGATCAACTTCGAGTTCGGTCTCCTCTGCATCTGTGACTGTGCTAAGGGATATGCTGAGGCCTTCTGGTACGGGCGGCGCGGCGTTTGTGTCCCCATTGGTCCCATTCAACAGGGCTTGCGCATGACTGGCCTCTTCCTTGGTTTTTAGGTACTCGGCAACCTCTGGGTAATCGCCTTCTTCAACTATTTTCTGGAAAGCCGTATATCCTTCAGAGCCTTTGATCGTAATATCAGCTCCTAGCTCCTCAACTAGAGCGCGGGCAGCCTCGACAGTCTCAACCACGAAGAGAGCTGTCTCGTCGTCCTCGTCGCGCAAGTTGACATCCACATTAAACTCGCGGATTAGAGTACGAAGGAGGTCGAGATGATTATAACTTGCCGCCGCATGAACGAGGGAGTAGCCGTGAGAATCCTGTTCGGAAGCTAGACTAGGGTTCTCTCGAAGGAGAGGTAGTAGAGCTGGACTATTGTCGGCAGCTAAGAGGAACGGATTGGCAGACATGGCGACCAGAAAATTAGATACTCGGGTAGTTGAATTGAACGAGGTTATTTGGTACTATGTAAAAGAATAAAAAAGAAAAATAATTAGAAGTCTTTGCTATAACGACTGCCTTAGTACCTAATAGGCCGTATGCAAAATCGAGATTGACAAATTGAGAGTGGGTTAAGGATCGGCATGACGCATTGGCAAAATAAAATCTGAACCCCTCAGCCCCTCGCTAATAACCCCGCCATCTGTGTAAATAGGTAGTATTGACCGCCTTCCGTTTTAATTCAATCCCTCTGTGCCTACCTAGGGCAAGTTTACAGTATTTAGCTGATCTCAGTGTAGGTAACTGCCCTAAATGTACCTAAGGTAATGACTCAACGGCGAAGGTTACCTATGCCATTATTACCTAAGGTTTCCAAGTTGGTAAAGATATGGTACGTTAGGCTGTTACATATATGCACATAAGTCTAAACAGAGAATTTAAACAGAGCAAAGGCGCATCTAGTAAAGAGGCGGTGTTTCTAAAGTATTGGCATCTGACTCAGGCCGGCAACCAAATAGCTCTCCTAAGGCAAACTTTATCTTATAACGTCTAGGCATCTAATACGCCCTTTACCAAATAAAGGAGTTTCTCGGCCTATTATTTAGGCTTGGATTCTACAGCTAGAGATTTAATCTTGGAAGTAGCTGATGAGACGCCATTGCAACATATCTCGACTTATCAGTACTTTCACAAATCCACTACCACGATTTACTCTACGTCCCGAGTTCCATAGAGTACAGCCGCCCTCTATTGGGCACACGGCTCATTTTAGCGGAATACCCGAACTGGAATCATCGTCTACCACTCATCAACAATCAACCATGGAGACCCCCAAAGTACCATATCGTGACCAAGATCCCCAGGAGGTATCAATTCTAGTTCGCGGTCTAAGCAACAAGACCAATACTGGTATCAAGGCAAAGAAGACTACATACGAAGTTAAGGGATCTCCTGATGGCATCACCGTCGACTCTTGGCGCCTGCACGACTGGGACTACAAAAAGAAACACCTGCCTACTTATGCTAGGGGTCTCTTCACAACCAAGAATCGCCGAGGGGATCATGAGATTGCAATCAGAGGTTACGACAAGTTCTTCAACGTCGACGAGGTCTGGGAAACGAAATGGGAAAATATCTTAACGAAAACCCAAGGCCCATACGAGTTAACCCTAAAGGAAAACGGCTGCATTATTTTTATCGGCGGTCTCGAAGACGGGTCTCTTCTCATCTGCAGCAAACATTCGACTGGAGACCGTAGCGATGTCGAAGTAAGCCATGCTAGCGCCGGAGAGCGATGGGTTGACAAACAGCTCGCCACCATTGGCAAGACTAGAGAAGAATTCGCCCGGGAACTGAGGCGAAGAAATGTGACCGCCGTAGCTGAGCTTTGCGATGACGAGTTTGAAGAACACATCCTCGCCTACGGCCCCGAAAAGGCTGGCCTCTACCTTCACGGAATCAACATCAATATTCCCGAGTTCGTGACATATTCTAGCACTCTAGTCCAGCAGTTCGCCGACGAATGGGGATTCCGCAAAGTTAGTCTCAAGACCTTTGACGATGTCAACTCTGTCAAATCCTTTTTGGAAGGGGTTGCCGAGTCGGGAGCGCATGAGGGCCGGAACGTCGAGGGGTTTGTCATTCGTTGCAAAATGTCCCCCAAACCCAACGAGGTACCGTACTCGGACTGGTTTTTCAAATACAAGTTTGAAGAGCCATATTTGTTATACAGACAGTGGCGAGAATGCACAAAGGCCCTAATCGCCGGCAAGGCTCCGAAATTCAAGAAACACGTCAAGATTACCGAAGAATACCTCATGTACGCACGCAAGAGACTTGCTTCGGATCCTAAGCTGGCGAAAGCCTACAATCAGAACCACGGAATCATTGCCCTTCGCGACGATTTCTTGGCATGTAAGAATATGAAGGGCTCGGACGCTGCTAATGTCGAAAACGAGTTCGGAAGCAACGAGTTCGAATCCGTCTCCCGCGATGTCGTCCTAGTCCCTATCGCCACTATTGGCTGTGGCAAGACTACCGTTGGCATTGCCCTGACACATCTGTTTGGCTGGGGTATCATCCAAAACGACAACATACAAGGCAAGCAGCGACCTGTAAAAATGGTCCAATCCGTCTTATCCCTTCTCATTGAACATCCTGTCGTTATAGCAGATCGGAACAACTCAGAGCGCCGGGAGCGAGAACAGATCATCAAGGATATCAAGTTGCAACACAGAGAAGCCCGGCTCGTTGCTCTGAATTTTACCCACGGAGACATCGACGAGACCCGAAGAGTAACCAGGGAACGAGTACTGAAGCGGGGAGATAATCACCAGACCATCCAAGCCGCTTCGGACGAGGCTAAGGTTATCGGGATTATGGACAATTTTATTCAAAGATTTCAGCCTTGCGATCCCGACAATAGTCCTGACGACGGATTTGATTTCATCATCGATCTAGACCCCACCAAAGATAGCCGTGCCAACGTAGAGACGGTAGTTAGGGAGCTACATCGGAAATTCCCATCGTTGGTCACTAAAGTGCCTGCCGACGAAGAAATAGACGAAGCCGTCAAGGCTGCTATCGAGAATTACAAGCCCGATTTGAGGCATATCATCCCGGACCGAAGCAAGAAGCAAGATAAGAAGCAGATTCAGCAGACGAAGAATCAAGAGCCGCAACCCCCGAAGAAGAAACCGCTAGAGTATATGTCTATCTCTGTACCCGCTCAAGACATCAAGGTAGCTCTCGAATCTGCCTTTAAGGGTGCAGATGCGCAGACGCAACGATTTTACAGACAGTTACAGCAGACCCGCCGCGTACAGGCGCTCTTCCACGTAACGCTGATGCACCGCGTATCAGCTAAGGAACACCCAGAATTATGGCAGAGGTATGCATCGCTGAACGCGGAAAGCCAGAGCCAGGACGGGAAACTAGGGGAGTGCAATATCCAGCTGGAGCGCGTCGTATACGACGATCGTATTATGGCTATAGTTATGCGCATCGTCGACGAAGAGGAGAAGTGGACCTGTGTCAATAAGATACCGCACATAACGATTGGCACACGCGACGATAGTGTCAAACCCAAGGAGAGCAACGACCTACTCAAACGGTGGCTCGAGGTTGGCAGCGGAGCCGACACGGGCATCGGCGAGCGGATTATTGAGGGTAAACCCACGGTCAAGGGGAGTGTCCGCGGCGTGCTGTCGAGATAGGAACCTAGGGAGCAGCCATTGTCTGAGCTACGAGATGCTCAGGTAAATCGGGGTAGAGGCGGGAGAAAAAGAGGTAGAGGGGGCGGCGGTAGGGGCAGGGGTCGAGGGAGAGGTACGGGTGGTGCGTAAAAGCTATGATATATCGCAAAAAGCATGGTTCCGGAGTTGAGAAAATAGTAATTATTCGCATAATTTTATCTTCATTGCATCTCAGAGGATCGCAAGACCCTGGAGTTGTCTAGCTAGGTATCTAGATATGTTGACGGCGGTTTTGCATGTATTAGGGTTGCCATCTGTTCAAGTAGCCTCTATCAATTGGTAAATCCTCTTAACATACCTAGGTGTTTACCTTGACGTGTCTTCAGTCTGGTTTGACTATTGTGATAGACGGGTTTATGCATACTGATATATGACCACTGATATATGACCGATTTGACCCCTTATAGAACACCTGTCGTCAGTGATATACAAAGCATGTACTTCCGTCTCTTATCAGTAAATGCCACTGGAATCCAAAGAGTTAACCAAAGGAACTTATAAGTATATTAGATATAGGTATCCTTCTCGAGTTAAATTCCTCTTATACCCCTTTTCCGTGCCAAGTTAATGTGATGACCTTTTTCTATCCTTTCTTTCCCGATTTCACATCCGTCCCGTCGTAGACATCAATTACAGCTGATGTAGCCCAACATGCTTATCACTTCGTCCTTGTTTCTGGTATCACAACTTGAAACAGAGAAATCAAAAACATAAGTCTTCTTATGTCCTAAAAAATCAGCGTCCCTAAGAAACAGCACGAGTCTTAAGCGGGTAGGCTATTCGTAACCTCGGCAAAAGCACTCCACTGCTTCCACGCTTCGCCACTCTCTATAGTCCATCGCGCACGGCGTACACCCTCCTTCCAGCGACCGCCTCCTGGCCCGCGCTCCCTAATAACCTTTCCGTCATCACCGGATCCCATGGCGCTTTCGTCCGCCTCGCAGATCCCTGCAGCGACTAGGAACGCAGCCGTGTTGATTAATACAAACTCGAGGATCGGGTCGTTAGGTGGTAGCTCGTTGTTTAACAGGCGCCGTAGGATTTCAGCATTCTCGTGCGGCTCGCGACCGGGAGACACGGTACTCAGTGGGTGCGTGCTTAGCCCAAAATCGGCGGGCTCAAGTGTAAAGTGCTCGACGTCTATAGTCCCGCTGGCATGTTCTATCAACTGCCAGCATAGCGTGGGTCCGGCGCACGACACCTCGTCCAGCTGCTCCTTGCCGCATACGACGAGGCCCTTCTTAGCGCCGGATATGCGTAGAGCCTCGGCAAACACAGGGCCCAAGTCATCGCGGGCAACACCCAACATACGGGCTTCGATAGCGTCGCCAAGGGGATTGCTTAGGGGCCCGAGAAGGTTAAAGATGGTACGCCAGCCGAGCTCCTTGCGTACGGACGCGACGTGCTTCATGCCTGGATGGAAGACGGGGGCGAACAGGAAAGCATAATTGGTGCGCGCGTATACGTCGGTAATGGTAGAGGGGTTTATGCGGCCTAGCTGCGCGGGCGTCGGTTGCATGTTCATAAGTAGGTCGGCAGAGCCGGATTTAGATGTCGACGCACGGTTTCCATGTTTGGCTAGTAGAAGGAGGGAGGAGGCGAGGATAGAAGATGTGGTTGATATGTTGAAGGTATTGTGAGAGTCACCGCCCGTGCCAACTATGTCACACTATATCCATTAGATTTTGGTTTTAACTAATATTTGCTATAATAGTCGCACTGCTTTGGAAATAGAGAAAGACTTACTAGCCCGCCATTATACTTGCCCTCGGGTCGCCGCCGCTTCGCAATGACTTCGTCAAGAGCACCGGAGTCGATCTTGGCGGCGTGGCGGCGCATAGCTGCGGAGGCCTCGGCGAGAACATCGGCACGGCGGTCCCAGCCGGTGAAGTGCAGAGCTGTTAGTAGCGAGCCGGTCTGGACGGGACTAAGCTGGTTGGTGAAGATGAGAGCGAGGGCATCGGCAATTTCTTTAGCGGTCACTTTTTCCTTAGCTGGGTCGGGCCATAGGCGCTGAAGCAGCGGCCTGATATCCACGAAAGTTTGGTCTTGCTCGGCCATAGCGTTATCGACTTTGAAGCTATTCGGTGACCCTTGTCTAAGCTTGGACTCTCTTATGCTTGGAGGGTAAGTTGTTACAAGATAGACTGAACCTTTCGACAAATGAGTGATCTACTACCTCAATTGAAGTAATCTGACTTGTAGCTTTAAGGATTATTTACGTATAGAACACAGAAAAGAGTTAGAGGCCGAATTGGCTTGCAGAACCAAAGCTCCTTGCTTCGTTTGTGACTCAAAGCCGTTTGCGAATTGATAAGTAAGATAAAACGGAATAGTACCCCGCGAAATATGTACCTATTGAGCCGTTCTATTTATGCAGTATGCGCGCGCCATAGCGGGACTCTTCCAGCGGGACCCTTGGCCTTGGCGTCGATCTACAGCTTAGGTAATACACCTCATAAGTTCCGAGTGCTAACTTCGTTTTTTAGTGGGGTTAGCCTTGAGCACAGGCCTTTAACGCCTTTTGAATTTCAATTGGATCAAGTTTTGAAGCTCTCGCCAATCTTCAATTCGGGGCAAAATTATACCAAAAAAAAGGTAGCACCGCACCCGACGATAGGGCAACGTCACTGCGACTTCTCGAGGGCATAGAAATTGATAATACGCACGAGAATCCTCTAAGTTGTCATAAGAGATGCCGCCACGAATCAATTGCTCGGCGCGGAGCAGTGTTAGTCGAGCGCTTCAAAGGACGACGAACTGTCAAAAGCCTACGATTATATTACTACAAAGCTCAAGGGGCGCATCTAGACACTATGCGAGCGCCTCCGCTTCACCCATACCCATTGGGGCCTTAAGACTTCCCGATAATTATATCCCGCCGACGCAGCCCCCGAGCGCACGACGACCCGACCAGCGGAAATCGCAACTCCTCAGATCTTATACGGCTCTACTCCGTTCGACACCCCTAATCCTATTCTTCCAACATAACAACCTCACCGCTATAGAATGGGCTGCTATCCGGCGAGAGCTGCGCGCGGCCCTTGCTAAGGTTCCAACACCCGTCGTCGGGCCCGGCGATAGCAGCAGTATACCTGTAGATATTTCATCGAGCATCGAGCTGCAGGTTCTTCGTACGCGTATCTTCAACGTCGCTTTTAAAGTAGTCGAGTTCTTCGACGCCGACGCGCAGAAATCCAAGTCCAATGCCTACACGCATGACCTGTCCTCCACGGCCTATGAGGCTATCAACCAGGCCGCCGCCGCCGTCGATGAGTCTTCGGCGTATGCTCAGGTTGCCCCGCTGCTTGTCGGACCCGTTGCCGCCATCACTTTCCCGGCTGTCTCTCCGGCTCACCTAGCGGCCGTGTTATCAGTACTAGCACCTTCGCCTCCTGCGTTCCCCGCGCCCTCGCGAAAGAAGAACCCGGGATACTACGATATTACGGCGCAGAGCGGATTGCAGAAGTTGCTCCTAGTGGGTGGCCGTATAGAGGATCGGGTATTCGATGACCAGGGTGTCAGGTGGGTCGGCGGCATCGAGGGTGGCGTCGACTCTCTGAGGGCGCAGCTCGTCGCCATGCTCCAAAGCGCCGGACTGGGTCTTACGACGGCGCTAGAGGGTCATAGCAAGGGATTATGGCTTGCGTTAGAGGGCAGAAGGACGCAGCTTGAAGAGGAGGCCAACGGGGGTGCCAAGAAGGAAGAGACAAACGAATAGAGTATCAAACTATTGATCGGATGTGTGTGGCATTACGCTGCTGTATATTTATCGTATCCTGGATTTGCTGCATTTCAGTATCTAGGTATCTACATAAAGTATCCCATCACTTCGAGATCACGATGTTGTCTAGTTGTATACGTCCTCAAATGATTACGTCCTCAAATGACTACGTGCCGTTAAATAGGCTACACGGCTGTAAAATGAGGTTTTACGTATCTTAAGGGGGATTCTACTCAGTATGTACTTAGTACGATACCTTATACGGCTTGTTCATCATATATCCAGACGTCCCAGTACTTTGAAACATGTGAATATGAGAATTCATCTAATTTGATTGGATGCATATATCCCATATAATATATAAATGCATATCGCACTAGTGGACCTTAGGTGTTTCAATACCTATGCCCCTGTTACACGTTTGACCAGAGCTTAAATTTAATAAGATTAGCTGCTGCAAGTCGCATTGCGTATTGCGTTCCAGCGTCTTGGGATCTTGGGTGACCTCGATCAACATTCAATTACATCAAATAGTATATTATACATCTAAATATAACCCACCCACCCAACGTCATTTCAACATTAGGTATTTCACCTACATATTCAAAAGCCAACCATTTCGTCTACTACTCCATTCTTATATCGAAACACCCCCAACAAACCTATCGCGATGGATTTCGCACCCTATCAATCCTCTCCGCCCGAAAACAGCCGTCCCTTCTCCCCGCCTCGGTCCAACGCCGCGTCGCCGCGTGCTTCCTTCGATAATCGTCGGCCTTTCTCCCCTTCGCAGCAGCAGCAGCGCGGCTTTTCGTCCCCGCCGCCTTTACAACACCCTCAACCCCAACGTTCGTGGCAGTCATCGCTTTCCGGCGCTGGTGTCGGTAGCGGCTACGCGCCTGAGACCGGGGCGTACGTGAGCGAGTTCGACACTAGCCTTGGCATACGGTTGGATTATGAAGCTTGTCTAGCGTACCTTGCGCTGCCGCCTCTAGGCGCAATAATATTGCTGATAGTGGAGCGGAAGAGTGACTTTGTCAGGTGGGTTTGCCTATTCTTTAGCTTAGCTGTGTCTAGCAAATTAGATTTGCTAGGACGACGACATGTTTCGAGGTCGCCTGGGAAGATCGACTGAAATGCTAACATATTTCCTAGGTTCCACGCGTGGCAGTCCAGTCTGCTATTCACCGTCGTTTTCATCGTACACCTAATCTTCTCGTGGTCGACATTCCTAAGCTGGGTCATGTTTCTTGCGGATCTGGGCCTGATGGGGTGGCTAGCCCTGCGCGCATATCGGGATGCGGACACGTTAGATCGGTAGGAGCTTAACCTTTTTGATCTTTTCCAGTTAGGACATATACTTATGTTTAACAGATTCGAAGTTCCTATTTTCGGCCAAATAGCGAGTCGAATACTCGACGACGAGTAAAGCACCTATGCTAATTCACCTATGGTTGGAACGGAGTTCCGGGACTGATATAAAGTCAGGAGAAGGCTTTATTTCGCTGTATCATATCGATTACTGTGGATGATGTACATATACCCCAAGTGCCCTGAGGCCTCTGTTCTAATACTAATATCATATGCTTGACTTGACCTTAACACGACGATTATTAGCACCTAATATAGTATGTCGAATACGTACTCTAGAGCTCTTGGGGCTACTTGGTCGTCCCATAGGTTCAATCGCCTGACTTGATATTAGGAATATTGGTAGGAATTCTAGTAGTCATTGATATGATGTCGAGTCTAAGAACAGGTTAAACCAAGGTCCGTGTTGGAACAGGCCATTCTCAATGTTTCCCCGGTCAAGATCAGTCCTATTTTGCATGTCTTGGACTTTACAATTATCATAAACCTCTACTTCAAAGTTTGACGAGTGAATACTTGCCGTAGAATTGCTATAGACTGGTGGTGTAGGTGAATACTTCGGCAGCATTAGTTAGCGAATTCATTACAAATTCATTACAGGATCAACGTAATAAACATTAGCATTCCACGGAGACTTTAGTTTTGATCGTCCAGTTGCAGTAACTCTACGACTACTTTATTGCACTCCGCAAGTACTTCGCTTCTTGCCTGTTCAGGTAGGAGGGCTGGCAAAAATGACTGTCCGAATCGGGATATAAGACCATCCATAGTAGGTAGCCCCTTTTTTGCCAGAGGCTATGAACCTAAGGAAAGAAGATTACCGATAGTACGAAAAGTATCGTGCTCAAGCTGATAGTCAGGAGAACGCCGCCGAGATATGTCAAAGCAGGCTGGAAGCCGCACGTAAGAACGCTGAATACGTAGACGAGGAAGCCATCCATGCTGCTACGCAGGCATTTCTGGCCATGCACGATATCGGGGCGCATCTTGTAACGGCTACCCACGAACGCCTTTTCGTGTTTGACTATCGGGGTTTTTGACATGCTGTCGACGCCGGAAGCATAAGAATAGGAGGGTGATGCAAGAGATGTTGTTCCTTTGAGGGCCAAGACACAGGGTGTACTGGTGTTGCCTAGTTGTAATGAGGTCGTGCCGTACGCAGCGGGAACGGTAATGCGCGAGGTTGCCATCGATATGCTTGCCAAAGATGTAACAACTAGAGCATAGGTTTTATTAATAGGGGAAATTATTAAATATTAATATGAGAAGTTGTTAACTTACCCGATTGCTTCTGTTGGGGAGGTCTGGTGCCCGTCGACACCGGATGGCTTCGAAGGGGCACGCCTTGGTAGATAACTTTGCCATACAGATGACTTCCATCAAATCCCAATGAGGTGGGAACACTAAATGTTGCTATTAGTTCACAGAAACTATTCTAGGGTTAACAAGATATGCATACCATGATTCAACGCGATATAGTTTCTGGGGGTATCGCCCATTAAATGACTTGTTGACGAGAAGGGAGGTCGCTCGTGAGAGGGCCGCCATGATGTCAAGACCTACTCAGAATGAAACATAACTGATCTCTTCTGTGGTGGATAAATTTGATTTGTAACTGGTTTTGGAACGTTTGCACTCTACCTAAGTCTTGGGTATTGCGAGGAAAGAAAGCGTGGAAGGCGTACACAGAGAGGAAAGTACTCTAATATGCTTAAGTACCCAGTCTAGGTATTTATCATATGCACACTTACACGCAAGTAAAAGGTATATACCTAGAACATGAGAATTAGAGGAATTCATTGGGCAAATATCTAGAAGGTTGTTGGGTTAAGTGCGCGCAAATCGAAGCCTAGTAACCACCATATCGTCCGTACAACGCTCTATGATGGGGTAAAACCAACATAGCCCACTGGAAGAAGGCAAATATGATTCTAACTAGACCGTTTTCTCCTTACTCTTCGTAGTACTAAGCTTTAGGGAAGTCCTGTCAGCCTTAGTTCCAAAGCTATCTGTATCTACATGAGAATCAGTCTGGCCGTTTGTCAATGAACATAGACTTCATGACAACGCACTGTCCTTTCACATCTCACAATAGATCTACGTAACTGAGTCGTTAGCTTAAAGATATTACCTCTGTGTTAGATGCATTGGGATCGATATACGAACATTGTGAAATTTATCATCCCATTGGATTTAGTATCGAGATATCCTACTCAGGTAGTAAGAGATAATTCACAACCAAATTATTCTTAGTTCAAGGCTTCCTTAGGGATGACATTGGCCGATTAATAGGAGCACTGCATTTACATTCACCTAGTATTTAATTTAGATAGACCAATATTCTCTAGCCTACACTAACTCATCCTTTTGACAAGGTTTCAGACTTCGTGGCTATCTCATCTACTGCAGCCAGGCATGTGGGTGTAGTAAAGAGACGACAGCATCGTATAAGATTTTTATTCTCTACGAGGAACCAATAATTAATAGCCCGATATTAACCCTCAAGACTCCCGCTGCCTGGCTCCCTTAACCGGCCTTGGAAGTCCAGAAACCAGAACAAGCAACACGTCTTTCGAATGAAGTTTAGACTTGAGTTTCACTATCCCACCTACCTACCAGGTATGTATCGTCCTCGATGGGAAGATTATTCTCCTCGAAGAAGATTACCCGACTTTGCCATATCTGCAGGAGTGGCACCGGGAGTTGTTGGGTCTACCGGGGCCCCGATCGACATGGCCTTTTCCATGAGCGGTGACATCACAGGAGGCTCCTCAACGATCCAACCGTCTTCCTCGGCCACCGCCCAGCGTAAGGAATCGAGCATGATTTCGTTCCAGTGTCTGTGCGAGGGCAAACCCACGAAGGCATAGAAAGCGTGGGGGAGACCTGGGAAGATATGGACTTTTGTCCGGACACTAAAAGAGGTTGACGGTTAATGGTACGATACGAAAATGAAAAATTACCTTTTACAAGGAAATAAGAATGTTTCTTACCCAGCATTCTTCAACTTCTGGGCGTACCACAGCCCTTCGTCTCGGATTGGATCCCAGCCGGCAACCAAAACAGCCGTGTGCGGCGTGCCTCGCAAGTCCTCTTCGTCAACAAGCCCTGGACTCCAGGTCGGATTAGATGGATCGGCTTCGCTGCCTAGCATATCGGTGAAGAGTTTCATACGCTGCCTCGGGATGACGGCAGCATCTGCGCACTGCTCGGGTGATGTTTTCTCCTTGTCAGCGAAGAGGTGGTAAGGAAACGCATTGACGTTGACTAAGGTTGGAATGCCTAAGACCTGACCCTGAACACGGCAAGGCGTGCCGGTTTCGCGTGCCCGCCGCACCTCGTTCTGCACTACGCACGCCGTAAGCGAACCGCCTGCGGAGATGCCGCCTACGACGATATGGGACGGGTCGACGCCGAGCTTCTCCGTATGTGTAGCGACCCATTCAAAGCCGTCGAGGGCGTCATGCCATGGTGTCAACCCGCTCACATGCGGCGTGTGACGATAGCAGACATGTACGACAGTCATAGACAATGCGTGTGCCAACCATGAGCAGTTGAAGAGCTCCGTATCCAACGTGCCGAAGAAGTAACCCCCGCCGTGGAAAAATACATAGCCGGGAAGCGGCTTTGATCCTAACAAGATCGGCCGATAATTCCGCACGGTGATAGACTTTCCATCCCGAGTCGACACGACGTAATCCTCTGTAGCCACAAGATGACCTAGACCTGTAGTAGCGACGAGCGTCTTGGCGATTGTGGTACGCGAATGATTCGTCTTCTGTTGCAAAACCAGCGGCGGCAGATGGTCGTCGCTCCGTGCCAGAAGCGCCGGGTTTGCCGCTGCGAAGGCGAGCCATTCTTTGCTGGGATTACCCCACTGACTGAAATCCATGGTAGACTAAGGATATAGATATATTCTATGTATACTAGAGAAAGTAGAATAAAATGACAGTTCTCGTTTAGAATTTAAATAAGACTATAACGTGAATATGAACAAGCCCCTGGTTAACGGGCTGGGTTGTGGGATTCGGACGCAAGAAGAGCGCGGAGTATTATACACATTAACCTTAGAGGCTCGACTATAAGGGACGACACGGATTATAGGTTGACGTAGGCAGGAAAACCTGCGTCGGATACGGTTGGGGCCGGGTACTCGTAGCCGCGGCTACATAGTCCGGAGGATATCTATAAAGGTATAAATATCGAAGATCAATAACGCGTAATCAAGACTCCCGTCTGGCCGCGTGGACGTCTAGTTCTTTAAGACCAATGGCGTCAAGATTATGGCCAAATTGACTCGAAGATATTCGATTTAAGAATGCTATTTGTTGCTAATTTGTTGCTAATTTGGTTTGATGCCATCCTTCGGGAAATTACCCTCTTAAAGTGATATACCTGTTGAGGAGTCCTTCGGCGATGTGACAAAGACGGATTTAAAGAAATGATTTGCTAACCCCCACACGCCACAGTTTTTGAATGGACTTCCTGTTTCGGACCTTTGAATGCGCGAAGGCCGGTCGGTGTCTATCGTCCGCGAGGAGTTGAGCTCTGGCGGTTTTACGACATGTGAGTTGATGTACGACATATGATCTTCGGGTGGATAGATACTGAAAGCTGGAATAGCAAGCTGTGAATATAGTAATTCCTTTGAGTAGGTACTATGTATAATGTCAGAATTACACGGGCTAGTTGAATTCTGACAGGGAGGCCAAGCTCTAAGATCTGGGGACTGGGGTCTTTAACTAGCGCGACCTGCTCGTTCTTGGCAACGTATTATATAACCATTTAAACATTAGGAAACAGGGCATCTATTGCGTAATCTTGAGCTAGCGTGAATGTTAAGCATTTACATCCATGTACCTAATGATGTACGTACATAGTACAAGGGATGAGGGCTGAGGGCTGAAAACCATATTGCGACGATAATGGGGTCATAACAATATTTATACGTTAACACTATTTTTCTCATTTTATTCGTTTTCGTGTCGATTGCCTCAATTGGCCATGTAGCGAAACGAATAGCTTGTCATATAGTTTAGGAGGACTTTGGGTTTAAACTACTATAAAACTACTATATATCACAATGGGCAAAACAAGAACGAACTCGGATCAGCATCAATCTCAATCTCAATCTCAATCTCAATCTCAATACCAGTCAGATCTCAGCCTATATCAGCCGCAGCAACGCTCTTCAGTTGGTTTTATCGGCCAGTCATGGTCAGCGAATAAGATTGTCCTAGTCGCTTTATCTATAACATCCTGCGCCATCGTGCTAGGCATCTCAATTGCGCTCGCCGTCGATCCCGATATCCAAAGTTACATTGTTGTCTGGACGGCTCCGCAGGCCGGCGCGGCTCTGCTCTGGTCCGGTATCGACCTCGCTACAACGTACGCGGGAAGAATAAACCACCGGCTAATCCACCCGGGCGCTCAAGTAGCAGTACAGCTCTTACTATGGATGGGCTTCTGCGTTGGAATTGGTTTGACGGCGTATATATTGTCGTGGGCGCTCACGTTCGCTAGCTCGGACGATCGCGATGCTTATCCCGAATACTACGAATATTATCATGGTGATAATAACGACTATTATGAATATTATAGTAAATCCTACATCCGGTCAATGGAGGCCCTCGTAGCGTTTCTGGCTCTTTTGATGTGAGTTTAATTTCGATTTCTCCTGCCCGCTCGTAATTGGTTATAGTGCTGAGTTTGTATGCAGAATTGTACATTTCCTCTTATTTTGTTCAGCCTGTATAAAAGTTGCCCAGCGCAAAAAGATTAACAGCAAGCCTATCACCATACCTCTTGAGCGGTTGGGTCAGCTATCATCCGGGGGACACGAGAAGGATAACGGAGACCAAAACGGCACTATATAATTAGTTTGAATCCTGGGTATACGTAGATATCACCAGGGAAAGGCGTTGTATGGGCACTAGTGGAATTAGCTATTTCCCGAGGCAAAATAGAATTTCATCTTTATATGGGATGGTGGTGTGGTGAGCTTTAAAGGAAGGTTATGGATATCGAAGACACTAGGATTATACTACCTTTACGAAACTCCTCTTGATACATTATCTAACATATCCGTGTCCAAATAGAAGTATCCCTTGAGGTTCTGTTACAAGACTAGTTAAGTGGTTGCATAGTCGTAAAGATGAATCTATAGATAATACTAGCAACTGACTATTATACTCGAATACTTGATACTAAGAGACGCTTTTATTTCATAATCTGCCTGCTATACTCGTACGATATTCCATTTAGCAACTAACGTACAACCCTTAAGAAGATGTAAATTCTGTAGAACACGTATATGATACCGTTACCTGTACCTGACGAATCTACATAATAAATTTCGACGTAGTTATTGTTAATGATGTAATACCGTATACGGTGTACGCATAAAAGCTAAGACGGCACATTATCAGGTTCACTCTAATGAGATAATAATCGTTAATTCCACCATATAAATATTTGTGCTAGCTAATGCGGTATACCAGCACGTAAGAGAGGGCGACAGCGTACCTAGGAGTTGTCAATTATAGCATTTAGTTTGAGCCTCGAGAGCTAACATCTGGGAAGCGAAATATGAAACAAATGGTGTACTGAGACAATGCTCTTAGTACTGGCTAATTAACTACCAACCTGTGTCTCAGTGAGCAGTAAGTTGTGATGGTCTATCCACGGGGAGGTTACCTGGGCGGATGCAGGCGCAAAACAATTTAGGAAACTTGGTAACCATGATATCCTTCGTAATGACAATATTTTACGTTAGGCCGGCTTCGGGAATATTGGCATCATACACTGCCATGATCTACGTTGTTATCGGGCCTGTTGACTTATACATTATGCCCCTAGTTGTCGTGATGTCGGCACTGCGATATGTGACTATGTAGTATTTCTACTGGGTTTCCGAGTTTGACATAAGCAATGGCATTGCGGATCTTGGTATGCTCTATTTATTCGAATGCTACCGTAGTGACGTCCATGCCGATAATAGGCCGTTTCCAAATGCTCAAGTACTTGGGGATGGGTTTTGGGATTCGGTCGAAAGAAATGAATCTCGTTACGTTCTTAGAGTGGTAAATTTTATGTCTTCGAGATTAACCTCTCAAGCCTGGTTGGCAATATCCAGTGTAAGGCACCGATGCTACAACACGTACTGACATTGTCACGATAACATGTCATAGATTATTGCTGCGAGGTTATGCTGGTATTAGTTGAATTTAACCAGTCCAATAGTCTGCGGACCGAATTGATGTCAAAGAGATAATTAACATGCTGCTCGGTGTATTCGGCCATAACAAATCTACGCATAAGGGCTAAAGTGAGCTAGCTGGCCTATTGTCAGGATGACGTGCAGTCAATGGCGGTAATACTATGGGGAAACTTGACATGTCAATAGGTATCAACTGTACGTATGTCAAGTTGAGCTCGAAGGACCGGGAATTCCGTCCTGATCCCGAGGATGTAAGGCCTGTCCTCGACGCGGCTCGGCGGGCCGGTTCTCCATAAATGCCCGGCCAACATCAGCGGTCTATCGTACAATGTTTCTGGCTTTTGGCTGAACTCCAGTTAGAGCTCTGGGGAGATGAAAAGGGTCGGGTAGAGAATGTTTGTGAATAGGGGACGAGTGTATTAGCTAACCCTTGGAAGATCTGAGCAGGATCTGGGCCGTATTCGCTACCCGCCCTAAGGGGGTGTGTCTGGACGTTGTGACGCACGACATCAAAAAGCCTAATGGACAGGTAAACATCAGCCAAAACCTAGCAATAAGTCTTCAAGTTAAGATGCTGCACTTCTTAGTGGACCCGATTTTCTGTGCTGCCACATGGACGCAGATATGTTGATGGCTGGCATTGTGGTTGAGTATTTTCTCTATTGCGGAAAGGATCGCTAAGATTCGCTTAAGAGCGTGAAGTAGCCGAGTTGAAGAGAATAGACGAGACGCCGCTCTCGGCCCCGGAATGAGACCCTACAAAAGATTGCATGAGAGGCGATGGTAATAATTGCGTCATGTAGCTTTGCGTCGATATAGATTTTCAGAGACAGGCGTTGTAGACGTTGGAATTACAAATTGTAGGGTGTAGGATTCTCTTTGGAGAAGAGTATATAAGTGTCTTAACCGTTAGACTACGTAAACCTCGGAGTTGGATGAGGAAAGCGGATAGCGGATAGGGCAATTCTAAACGAATACCCACTCATACATAATTCTGCTTTTCCGTAAACAATTGAGCGGCCAATGTTATCGGGGACGGACTTGGGCATCAAAAGGAAGTTTCTAATGCTACCGTGGGGACTCGAAAGGATCCACGGTTCTCCCGTTGCAGTCTGAATAAGCTATGCATAGTTTTAGAACTCGATACCCGAGAGTGGAAAACCCGCCGGTTAGATCGAGCATGGGGGTGATCATAGGGATCGACGCGGCTGTCTCCTCAATAGTAAGGAGACAAAAAAGAAAATAAGAGACGTGAAGCCGGGGTCCACTACAACAGGATACATACACTACCTCGAAGTATGGAGAATGACCTCATGCCGAATCGTCAGTGAACGACAGCGGGTAAACTTGAACATGTAGGTACGTATCTAAGTAAAGATGAGATGTTGAGGGCGCTTCGAAGCTACGATTATCCTATCCCGTTCGTGCGAGGAGACAGTCCGGTTATTTGCCGAGCATCCCACGCGTGGCTGCGCCCCAAATAGGCGTAACCCCTGTTGATCCGGGAGTGAAATTGAAAAAGACGAGCCTGGACAAGCTACTATGTAGATAGGTAGAGTGGTAGAGTGGTAGAGTGGTGGTGGCGGCTTGCCTTACCTTTTACATAGTAGTTGTACGCGGCGAACAGCTGGTATGATGATGATATATGGACAATTGATATCAACTGCATGGATACGACAGCGCGCATACATGCCGGAAATGTAAGGTGTATGAATGTACGTGCATGGTCAGAGTAGACGTAGGCCATCGAGTAACGAGTAGTACATGTTCGTGTATTACATCTCCTGACGTATCTCGAGTCCTTCCTAGATCTTCGCGAGAAAGATATGATATGTTGGTGACATGAATAGACAATTTCTATTTATCGAAGAGGATTGACGGCTACCCAAGCGGCCAAGCCTGTTGGTGGTTGCGTAGCATCTGGGACCGCATCCTTCAGGGTTAAGCTGTGAACCTGTTGACCCCTTTCTTTAAGTACCTCTCGAGCCCTATTGCTATTTTTACTCATACGGGTTATGTAGGTAGGTACTTATACCCTCACATCATACCTGGGACCTATGTATGTAGGTCCTCAACTACACACTTACCAACTGTACATGTATACTTCGGTCCTAATAACTCGATGGATGTCCATTAATCTGCCCTTATCAGACAATTTTCTTCCCTCCCATTCAATCTCAATCATGAACTCCTCGGCCCTTCTTGACTATTTCTTGTCCGTATGCATAGTACATACACACCTGCATTGGCTTTTATAACCCCGGTCGTTAGGAAAGAGAAGATGGAGATAATCGACATCGTGGCTTTCTAACGCCAACTGCTTTAGCCAAAGCTGGCAAAGATGGCAAAGATGGCAAAGCTGGCAAAGCTGGCAAAGATGGCAAAGCTGGCATTACATATCTGAGGCACGCTACTACAGCGTAGAAACTGGAAAGTCACAGTTGTCTTTTTGCACGGACGCGTCGTCGAGCTAGGTTATTGGATGGTGTGAGTGGGTGCCCTGGGTCTCACCGAGCTTCCTTTCCGGTCTATTGACGCCGTCGAGTTCTCGAAAAGTGCCTCCTTGTTTGAAGGCGACCTGCGATAGTTACGGCATACCTGCCTATCAAAGACGCAAGTATCGGGCTAATTCAGAAATAAGTTGATCGCTCTATAGGGGCATATCTTCCACCTCGCTTTTTCCAGCTTCTTGCTGATACCGGCATCGGTCTTGCTTCTATTTTGCTTCGTCAATCATATCCACGGATGTACGTGCCTATCATGTCAGACTTGGTAAGCATGCATGTGGTTATTAGGGTCTGTTCCAAGGATCGATCTATCGCTCTGCATGGCCAACACTACAAGCAGCTATGCCAGCCAGCCCAATGTCCATAGGTAATGTATACTTACCTATATAACGTATGTGAGGTAGCTTGAAGGTATTATCGAACAACGCTAGTTTACAGGCCCCTGTTTGGGTCTCTAAGAGATAGCGCACGAAGTTGTTACCTACTGTAATTTTTTGTCTTTACTTTTTTATGCTTTGCTGGCAGCTGGCTGATTGACTTTAAAGATTAGGTACATATGCAGAACATCACTAGGTAAAAGCCACCAGTACCACCAGGGGGTTTAGCTGCTTACCTGTAGGTACCTAACTCGATAAGACGACGGAATAAAGTGCGTACCTAGGTACTCTGTAAGTAAGCCAGGCTTGATCAGGTACCTTGCGTCTTGCTCCACACAGTATACAATAAACTGTAACTACACCACATGCATCTTTTTTTCTTTTCTTCTGCTTCAATACATATGTTCAGTACGTACCTACGGTAACATTCGTCGACACTACACGGCGGACCGCCAAAGCAGCCTCAAGGCTCCATCAGGATCCAATTTCTCCAATCTTTCCCAATTCCCCTTGGTCCTCGAATTTCTTCAGGCCGGGCAAGCTTTTTGCAGGACCGGACACTAGGACAAAAGGAGCAACGAGTGGCCTCTTTACGGAGAAAACGCAACAAATGTGCCGACGACTTGAGCTAACTGGAATCTCGGCCCAGGGTCGCGTCGAAACACCTCGAACATCGCACCACCACTTGCAGCACAACACTCAGCCGTTCCTACACTAGCATCTGCTGGATGCTGGCTACTGCTTCTACATTCTGATGTATGTACGTCTGTACGTCTGTACGTCTGTACGCCTGTACGTCTGTACGCCTGTACGCCTGTACGCATCTATGTTAGGTATGTATATTGTCTGTTCGTGTGCTGAACCCCCCACTCCCCCTTCTCTGGGATCTGATCCCCTTGTTCCTCTCGTCTCGGCTACGCATAGTCACGTACGTACATACATACATACCTACATACATCCATACATCCATACTTCTATACATCCTATATACATAATATACAATACGTACGTACTGTATGTACATCCCATACCATACTTACATACAGATATACAGAAGCTGGCAGACGGACGAGACAGTACACAGCAGGTAGCTAAAGCTCGCTGGCTGGGCCACGCCCACCGTTTGAGGCGCTGGAACCAGACCAGATAGGTCCCGTCCCCGTCTCCGTCCACGTCCACGAACCACGACCCCCGTCCCCTGCCAGCCCTAGGTCGGGTTTCGTGACTTGGCCCCCCCTTACGCAGCACATTGGAATCGGCCTGCCCCTGCTCAGATCGCGCCCCCATAAAAAAATTGCAAATTAAATTCAAATCAAATGGCAGAGGCACAACAGGAACAGCCACAGGCTCATCAACCTCAGCCTGAACCTGAACCCGTCTTTGCCGCCGCTGAAGAACTAGCCCATGCCCTCCCACATCAATCGCGGGCCAAGTCTCCATTATCACAAGCTACGCAAGAGCAGGAAAATACCCAAGGGGCGCAGGGGCAGGTACAGGTACGGATAGAGGCACAATCGCAGGCGCAGGCACAGACACAGACACAGGCACAGCCAGATGCCCACGATTTCGATTTCGATCACGCACACGCACACGCACGCGCACGCGCACCAACTTCAAACTTACACTCCGCAAATAATGCAACGACGACAGTAGCCGCCGCCCACGCGCAGGAGCAGGAGTGGGCACAAGAAAAGGATCGGGAAAAGGAACAGGAACGGGGGCAGGGTTACCAGCTTCTTTCGGACCACTCCACCACCGACGGCTTCAGGCCAACCTCGACACCAACCTCGATATCTACGCCGGCGACAGCCTCACCCGCAGCTGATCCCGTCGCGACTACACTCGCTGCCGACCAGGCTGCTCTATCTTCGGCGACGGTCGCCTCCAACGGCGCTCTGCCTGACCAGCAAGAGCAGAAGCAGCGCCAGCACCAAGAAGCCGTTGCGCCGTCACCGGAAGTCATGTCGAACAACTCACCTCACCATCCTCAGGGGCCACCTCGACAGCCCGCTAGCTACCCGAATCCTACGGCATATGCGACGTCCGCCATGGCGGCTACGCACTATGGATATGCGAACCCGGCGGGTCAAGGACCGGACGCGTACCGGGCGAGCGTGGGCGTTCCCAGCAGCGCCATGGCATTGCCGAGCATGCGCACGTTCGACCCAGCTCAGCAGCAGCAGCACATGGCGATGGCGATGCCTGTGAACCCCGTCCCGTCGGTTCCCTCGATGCCGGCTCAGCAGCACATGTCCTACTTCGCACAACAACCCGTACCTATGACTGCGAATAACCCGTACGCCCTACCCCCCGACGCTCTAAGACCGCAATATGCTCTACCTCCAAGCGGACCAGGTAGCGTGCTAGGCGGTCGACACAAGAAGGTAATTGGAATAATGCTGTCCCCTAGGATATTATTCTCGTTTAATCGGCAACTGACCTGGTAATGTTTGCTTGCTATCGTAGGAAATAAAGCGTCGAACAAAAACAGGCTGCCTGACGTGCCGGAAAAGACGTATAAAGGTATGTGTCTGTCGAGTTTGCTTTCTTTGATTTTCTTCTCCTTTCCTTTCCTTTTGGTGCGCACGGGGAATTCATGGAACGAGGAAGGCATTTGAATGTGGACGAATAATACAATCAGAAAAATAGGCGAAGATGAATTGATGAGCTAAAGATGCTCGAGGATTTTTGGTCAATTATTTTGGATCGGGGTTTCGCTTAAGAAAAGGAGCTACGGACAAGCGAGCGAAGCAAAAGCGAGCAAGCGCAAGCGCAAGCAAGCAAAGCAAAAGCATCACGCCGACCCCGAGCAACCGAGCAACCTAAACAATCAGAACAAAAAAATCAGGGGTCCAAAATTATTTTTGACATCTGTCAATCGCCGGGAGCTACCATCAAACTCCAAAAAAGCAAGAGCTTCCCCCCCCTCCCCTCCTTTAAAGTTTTAGATAGTCGATCCCCTAACCCCAAAACTCCAAAGAGCTCTAGGGTAGCTCACTTTTATTTTCCCCACCTTTGGTCTATCACCACTTGTACTTCCTCACAACATCTTTCCACGCCGTTTGTGTACGCGCCCCTTAAGCACACAATTGTTTGCTTCTCGTTTACGCACTTTACTACATATGCAACCGCTTTTCCTTTTCGTCTTGCGCATTCAAACGATATCCACCGTTACAACTGAGTTCGGTTGCTAAATACCAAATCCAAATTCTACAGTGCGACGAGCAACATCCCATCTGCAAGAACTGTCAGAAATCCAAACGCGAATGCCTGGGCTACGATCCCATTTTTAAGAATCAACAGCAGCAGCATCACACCAACATTCGACCAGCTCCCAATAATTCGTCGGCCTCGTCTTCTTCCGCACCGTCAAGTCGACCTCCCGCCTCATCCACGCCCGTGTCTGGCAGCGCGCAAACCCAAACCCAAACCTATGATACCCTTCCCCCGGTAATATCTAATACCACTCCTACTACCGCACCATTCACCGGGAACCTGACAGCCGCGGGAACAGCTGCGTCGTCGGTCAAGGGCGAGCCCGCTCTCGAATACCCAGCCGCTATCGATCCTACTTTAGACACCGTATTGTCCACAACGAGTACGTCGCCTTCTCATTTCCAAGCCATCGCACCCATTACCCCAATTCCTCCTCACAGTCCGTTCGGCATATCCCATCTTAGAGGTGGCCCTCCGTTTGTTCCCTTCTACCGCTCTGCTTCGCATTCTGTGGTCTCTCCCTTTCGGCAACAGACTTCGGCTTACTCTGGTTTTCAGCAAGGAAGATGAAAGTTCACGAGCTCGTGGGCATGACCGGCACCGTGCCCCCGGCCCTCGACTCGCCCCTCACCGGCGACAAGCTGGCCGACGTGAGGGATCTATACGATCAGGTCTACGCCCCCGGCCTAGAGAAGTTCTTCGAGACGGAATGGTACACTAAACCTCAAGGCGTCGGCGCGTTGATGTCCAGCACGGCTGTCAACGAGATGCTGGCGGGGTTTTTGCAGTCCATGGCCAAGACGGATGCTAATGACGTCGCCGGGATGCAGTATTCGGCGAACCTCGAATTCAGAGTGGTCTGGGATTTGACCACGTTGGTATACACGTCCGATTACAAGATTAATATCGGGGAATATTTACCACCCCCCGACGACGGGTCCGAAGCACGAAATCGAGTGGCGGTCTTCGAGGCCCTGTTATCAGGCGACCACCTCGACCAGAACCCTCTTCATCCGCCCCCCGCGATCGCCGATATACGGCTTCACCGGATTAGGGAGTTTAAGTTTTGGTATTTCCTTGCCGAATTCCTCCGCGTGAGAGATCAGCCGGGCGTGGATGCTATGCGCCAGCGCGACTATATTCTTGGGCAATTGCGCGAGCTGCTAGACGGGCGTGAAAACCGAGACGTCCTTTACTCTCTCGCCGTCATCCGAGCGCTCGCGCCAAACTTCCCTCCGGATTTCGAAAGCACCTTGCCCCCGCATCTTGACGAGACCGACCCCAAAAGTAAGCTGGCCGTAGCTCGCAAGTTCGTCCAGGACGAGTCTCAAGTAACGGGGGGCACCACCAATGTCGTCCGCCGCTTCTCCGAACTTGCGGTTAGGGCTTTTATCGCCCCCGGGAGCAACATCATGCGGAGATAACTACACTACACACAATTCTCCATACCACTATAACGATGTATTAATACGCACGCGAGGGACATAGCAGCTTTTTTTGATGTAGCATTCGGAAGCGCGGAGTGTTTAGATGGTAGTGTTTCCTCTTCGTTCCGTGTCTGATCTCCTCGATGACCCGCCATTTTTCCTATCCTCGCCTGTACCGCTTTTGGGATGTGCTACGGGTGGCGGCGTAATGACCCAGTCGAGGAATCGTAGCGACCGGAACAGAATAAGGGGTGGGTTTTTAATCGGCGTTGCGGCATTCTACGAAGCACCCCGAAAATGAGACTACGTTTACGTCTTTTATTAGTCACCGAGTACGATGTACGATTAAGTGTTAAAAAGTGTTGGCGACAAAAAGCGACGGTAGGATACAGGGCATTTTCGTTTTCTGTTTCTCTTCGATTCGATATGATGGGGTAGGCAGAGTTTTGATGTCCACGGCGGATATTTGTTGATAGCAGGGACGACGGATCGAGTGTTCCTAGGTATGATATTTGGAACAGACTTCTTCTAGATGTACGAAGAAGATATGCCCTCGCGTGTTGGGCTTCGCATGCCTCCGCGGAGCGAGCTCGACCAGACGGGCAGCTATAGAGCTTTCGACTAATGCGGCATCATAGAATTACACGGTAGATAAAAGAGACGGATTTTATACAGTAGTTGCGGCGTGTAGTATATAAGAATCGACGGAACGTACCGACGAAATGCAGTCTCGATTAACCGATACAAATGAACTTGAGATTAATGACCAACGTGACGGTTTGAACGGTTCTACCAATACTCCATATAACTTGAGAGTGGACGAGTCATGCGGTAGACTGTAGATATAGTTTCATGGTTGAGGCGTGGTTTTAGTAGATGTTGCTATCTTTACATCACAGGTCAAACAAGTAAAGTCCTTAGTATAAGGGTGGTTAAGACGCTATATGGTATTTTGCTGGCTTCTAGCATTATTATACATGGCTTAGGCAATCATAATATCTCTAGCCCGTTTAAGCCATTTTAATTCCCACGTTATCTCGAGAATAGCAAGGCTAGATCCCTGGAGTTGTTGTTGTATGCCTTTAAACACGAACCTCGAATCAGCCTGTTCAAACAGAGATTTCCACTCATCGAGGCCGCGTTCTTTAGCGTTGCCAATTTCAAGCATCGTTAGGTCCATAGCTCTGAGAGTTGTTAATCCTATTCAGATAATCGAGTTGCCGGATACTAACCTCAACTTTCGTTCAGCGCTGTTTGGTAAGACACGGCGGAGGCATCACAAAGTCCATAACAGAAACCCGCGAGCCTGGCTTCAAAGCTGGGATCAAGGCCTTAAGAATTCTGATGCAGTATTTATCCGGCCAGTTATGAAGAATCCAACGGTATAGATAAGCATCAACATTCTTGATCGGCTGTTCGAAGAAATCATGTGCCATAAACCGAACGTTTAGCCCCTCTCGTTTTCGAGTTTGCAACTACTTCGGGAATCTCCTGAACTATCAAGTTTAGGTCGGGATATTTACGTGTTAGAGCGAATGCCGCATCGCCATGGGACCCGCCGACATCGACGACGATCCCAAAGCCCAGCGAGTTCCAAGCAAAGTTATCTGTTAAATGATGTAGAGAATATCCAGGGCCTGTCGTGAAAAAGCTCATAGCTCCGCCGAAACGGCGCGCTCGTTCAGGATTCTTGGAAAGCTCCGTATAGAAAGAGTCATCGGTCTCGTTAGCTAGCAAGAATCCCTATAAGCTGTAAGCCGATTGTAGTCACGGATACGGAGAGTCGCTTACAGTCTGAGTCGGTTCATCGGCAAGGGGCCATCTAGCCAGCGAATCGACTACAATTTGCGCTGATAGCCACATATCATCTACATTAGCGCCAACCCAGTCTGCAATACCCGAGTCCTTCGCGATCTGCCTAGAAGCTGCAGAGTGCGCAATGACACTAGGTCGAGGCTCTCTAAAGATGCGGTTTGCAATACCGGGGCGTGCGATACGACTAGCTGCAGTGCAGTCGACGCCAATAGTAGCTGCTAGGTCCTCGTATGTAGTCTCTCCGCTCACGGGTATCTTATTGGCGATATCGATCTACTGCAAGTCACAAATACTATTCCAGCGGTGGACGACGTTTAGACAGAAAATGCGCAATGGCTGCTTCTATTTCTATCCAGATCCGGTTGACGGATATTGCTCAGCTCTTTCTCTAGCTGCACGAACCTCGGTCGACTAGGTCCTCAGTCTTTGAAATCTCAAAACGCCATGAGGGGAATCATGTTATAGATAAAAATGCCAACGCCGTTTTTGTTGAAAAAAATGACCTGCCGGCACTCCTGGCCCTTTTTGATTCCTCATGCCCTATTTCCCCAATGCCAGTTGATGCGTAGACTCATGCTTGTTGAAACACAGACCAACCCCTACTTAATCGAGGGGGTTAAGCGAGCTATATATGAACTCGACTGTAGATACACAATGTTGACAATCGTGCACATTAGTAATTCATGTACAAGGCTGAAATTAGTATCGGTAGCTGCGAAATCTTGTTAGCAAGGCAAGCAAGAAAATATGTGGCAGGATAGGGAACGTACAGGTCGCTCTTGAAGGGACCCTCAAGTTCCAATCCAAGGTATTCGCCTTGCACCTTGGTAAGGGTAGTGAGCTCGGCGTTGACGTGGCTAAGGTGTAGTCTGGCGACCTCCTCGTCTAAGACCTTAGGCAACACGTAGACGCCGACGGGAAGCTTCTCCGTCTTGGCGAAAGCGACGTACTTCTGGCCGAAAGCTTTGTCTTGAGCCTTGAACAGCATGATCTGCGCCAGAACCTGGTTGCTGAAGGAGCAAGACATGACGAAGGACGAGTGGCCGGTGGCACAGCCGAGGTTGACCAATCGGCCCTCAGCTAAGAGGATGATGTGTCGGCCGCTGGCCATGACGAAACGATCTACCTGAGGCTTGATGTTCTGGACGCTCTTCGCGTTCTTCTTCAACCAGGCGACGTCGATCTCAATATCGAAGTGGCCAATGTCTAGAAAACGGTCAGCTACTGCGCCACTAAAGCTATTAGCACGGTGTATACATACTGCAAACAATTGCGTCGTTGGGCATGGCCTCGAAGTGAGAACCAACAAGGATATCTCGGCAGCCGGTAGTGGTGACGAAAATCTGTCCGACGGGAGCGGCCTTTTCCATGGTGGTAACCTGGAAGCCGGCCATAGCAGCCTGGAGGGCGTTGATGGGGTCGACCTCGGTAACGAGGACGCGAGCACCCATTCCGTGAAGAGCCATGGCACAACCCTTGCCGACGTCACCGAAACCAGCAACGACAGCAATCTTACCGGCAATCATGACATCGGTGGCGCGCTTGATACCGTCAATTAGAGACTCGCGGCAGCCGTATAGGTTGTCAAACTTGCTCTTGGTGACGCTGTCGTTGACGTTGATGGCGGGGACGAGGAGGGTGTTGTTCTTTAGCATTCGGTATAAGTGGTGGACACCAGTGGTGGTCTCCTCAGAAACACCGAAGCAGTCCTTCAGCATCTCGGGGTACTTGTCGTGAACGAGGTGAGTCAAGTCACCACCATCGTCCAGGATTAGGTTAAGCTTCTTGCCGTCCTTGAAAGCCGTGAGTTGCTGTTCCAAGCACCAGTTGTACTCCTCCTCGGTCTCACCCTTCCAGGCGAAGACAGGGACACCGGCAGCGGCGATGGCGGCGGCGGCGTGGTCCTGGGTGGAAAAGATGTTGCAAGAGGTCCAGGTAACCTCGGCACCGAGAGACGTTAAGGTCTCGATCAGGACGGCGGTCTGGATAGTCATGTGTAGGCAACCGGCAATGCGGGCACCGGCAAGAGGTTGGTCGGCGGCATACTTCTTTCGGATAGCCATCAGACCGGGCATCTCGTTCTCCGCGAGCTCGATCTCTTTGCGGCCAAAGGCGGCAAGAGAGAGGTCGGCGACCTTGAACTTGCTAGCGGGAGCAGCCATCTCTAAGCGATTGTTAGCGGCGCTGCTACGGCACTATTATAGAGTTCACCAGAGGTAGGAAGACGTACTGAGATAACTGATGTGTGTGAGGGGCGGTGAAGGAGGATGAGCAAGCGGGAAGAACGGATGTTCTACGTAAGACAAAAGTTAGCAAGTAAAACTCGAGGTAGGTAGCCGTAAGTAACCGTATATAGATGGATGCGTATGACTTTGGTGTAGGACTTACAGATGATGCCCGAGGGGAAGTGAGATAAACTGGAATTGGTGAGGGAAAGGGAGAGATGAGGAGAAGAAGGGAAGGAAATGGACGGAGGAGAAAGATACCCTAAAATACCTAAAATACTGCAAAGTACCTAAGGTAAGCTAAAGTACCTAAACTGCTAAGCTGGTAGGTTAGAGCCTTATTAGAGCCCTAGAAATAAGATAGAAGGTACTGTGGTAAGATTAGATAGGTTAGGTACGGATCTAGTGAGGAAGGAAGGATGGTAGGCTAAGTATTTTGGATTTTTTCTCTATCGGCTCCGTCTACCCCTCAGCCCCTCTTTCCAAAGTCTACGGATCCGTACTGGGAGACGATAGATGGATTGTGGAAGATTGAGTGGTTGTCGCTGATTGTTGACACTAACGCTAAACCAATCTTGGACTAGAGGATTTGGTCCCTGAAAAAATGCCCCTCATCCCGCTTCATCCATCCACTCGGCAAATCTTTTTGCGTGCGCTGTTGGAATCTTAGTAACTCCGTGCAGTACGTATTGCCTCGTTTCTCTTCTAATAGGTCCATGTGTCCGCATTTCCCACTCGTAGTGCTTAGGTAACTCCTGACAACGGAATTCGACCCTCAGGGTAATCCCACGTAGGATTGACAGAGTAAGACCTATTAAATTGGTGGCGTTGCCTTTACTTTTATTGCCCGCTCCCCCTTTAGATAACTACGACAATCACGGTTTATAAGGGTATTGCAATTGCAATTGATAAGTGACAGAAGGAGAATCGAGATACAATTATGTTGTACGAATTTCTCAAATATCTAGGTAATGTACCTCCTAACATGAGTCTTGAGATATACGTGTAGACTATACGTGAGGATGTAGAACGTCGGCCGTGAAAACGTCGGCCGTAAAAGATCGGAAGTATTATTCCTAAATCCCCGGTCATGGCTGTTCGGGTTGCTTCAGCAAAGGCATATCAATGCTTACGCTAGCATCCTACAGATACTCTAGACATGGCCCTAGACAGGACAGACATTATGCCTTGACTTCAGCTTCATGTGCTTGAATTCCTATGCTACGTATGAGCTCCGCCCCGCAACAAGTCAAACATAGATTCAGAATGACTCGATGGACTCAGCTCTACAGACCCGAAGTAGAAACCCTAAAACGCCTCCGGACGCCGGGCCACATGCATCTATATCAATTACCCCTTTTCCCCTCTTTATAACCCTTATTCGGGAAGAAGATTGCCCCTGACGGCGAACATCTTTGCGCTGACATTGGCCGTGAACCCGTCTATTTGCTTGCTGTACTGTTCCACTTGTTTCGCATTCAGCATGCCTTCCAATCGGCTGGGTTCCTGAGGAAGTTTGAAGATTCGCTGCCATTCATCTTCCGGAAGAGGCTGCTGCTTAGCCGCAACACGCCCCGCGTTCTCCGCCTTTCGCTTCGTCTGCCACGCCGTGATCTTAGTTTGCTCGCGGGCAAGCTGTCTCTGGTAATACTGGTGGTTGTTCAGCTCGGTGTAATGAGACTCGATACTATCGAGTAGAAGATCGCACGTCTTCTCAAGGAAAGGATCTATCGAGAGGTCGAGAATGTCGACCGACGGATGAAGCGGCATCTTGATAGGTTCGCCTTGTAGATCGGAAAGAGATGTTGGCATTGTCACGTCCGTCTCCAAAGCGGCAGAGGGTAGCTGGTGGAGGTAGGAAGTCAGGAGATGCGAGTTGTGAACGTGGATAGGGAATTCGACAAGGATATCCTTGAAGGAGAGTTTCGACTTTTGTAGACTGTTCTGTGTTAGCATATGTTCTCTTACTTAGCTGCCGTTATGATCTGACCTCTCAGTTGTGAATTTCCCCTCCTTGAACGCCGTCATGAAGTTCTGTGTCAACTTGAATGCGCGAAGACTTAGCGCACCCTGCGAGCTGCGGCTAACGTCGTGGACTAGGGCGACGGTCCGTTCGTTCTCGCGTTGATAATGGTACTGGTTCTCGATAAAGCTAGAGTTGACGAAGTTACCCATCGTAGCACTCGTATACCAGCCCACGTTGTTGGCGTCGACGTTGACCTCTTTGAGATGTCGGATCATGTCATTCTGGTAGATAATGTTTGCTTTGGCGCGCGGCGCGGCGGCGGCGAGTGCAGACGCGTCGTTTTGGTGGCCGCCCTCGACGTTCGTTACGTCGACCGTAGGGAAAGGGAAAGTGTTTGTGATTCCGAGGATACCATCCTTGTCCATACCAACGATGGAACCCGTAGCAGTCGAAGGGAAGCTGTTTGAGCAGTGCTTAACTATCTTCATCACAACCTAATACGACGACGTAGCAGTTAGTTAGCGGCTGGATTGTAGGTCGATCCAAAGTTGAACGGAGGGGTTAACTAGTAAGGAAGACGTAAATACTAACCAGAGCCTCGACCTGAACCGTCTTGAACGGCGTATCCTTTAGAGAGTCGGCCATGATCGCGAACTTCTTGACCGGATAATTATTCGCGTCTTATGCCGAATGGGAGGGATCGATTCGGATTCGGTTGTTGCGGGTGACGAAGTTGCGAATCTGTTAAGATTTTGAGGTTTTAGTGGGATGCGATTCTTGTGGGTTACAAAATGGGAAAATTGGGGAGGGATCTATGCTGCTGCTGCCAGCTGGGGGGCACCTGTACTGAAGGAAACGGCACAACATTAAGCCTTTTTTTCTTTTTTTTCTTCTTTTTTTCTAGAGGTCAGGTACCTTAGGTAATCGGACATATAATCCGTAGGTACCCCGCAACTCCCGGTATCTTGATTAACCTACATAGGGCAGGTACTAATAGAAAAGTCAAATAACGTAAAGAATCAATTCAGATATGCAATTAAAGGCTCTACCCCCTGCTCAAAGAAACACGCTGGCGTCGGCATCAATGCTCAGTTGCTGATGAAGTAACAAACATCCCACTCTGGAACCCCCACGCCATGTTGTCATTTTCCATGTCGACATTCCACAAAAACATATTTAAAGAGCCTCAAAGCAACGTCGTCTCCTTCCAAGATTTATACTCTTTCGCCATATGCTGGCAGTTTTATCCATATACGATGAGGGTTGTCAAAATACTATAACCCAAGTGGATTGACCATCACCACCCGAATCCTAAGGACACAAGAACACAGGACACACATACACTAGGATCTGACTAGCCGGGAGGGAAATCATGTTAGCTCTCTTTTATCGCCACCGGAAGAGAAACAATGCTGGTTTTCGTCGCGGGTCAAAATCTCGATTAGGAGAGGGAAGCTAGACTTCCGATGTACGGAAACGCATATCTCTTTTCTCTTGGTCCTATCTAGACGCCTTACGCCGGGGGTTCTATCATCTATCTATTGCCGTCTTGCACGACAGCCGATAACCGATACCTGGCTGGAAAATCACAAGCAAAAACAAAAAGCAAACGCTGTCGAGGGTCTGCCGGCCGCGGACCGCTCCCATTCGCCAAACGCGGCCGCCTCTCAGGCACATGAGGACAAACATGCCGGGCGATCACCGTGCAGTCTAGTGTAACCCTACGTCCTCATTCCCAGTCAATAATTTCCCAGCTTTTCACGTCATCCCGGATGATAAGCCTATGCCGGTCAATCTTCCAATACGAGTACAACGACCGGGTGGCCGCTGCCGCTTTGCGATGTCCACGCCCGACTCCTCCCTTGACTGCTTCTTCCTGCGACCTCCACACACAGGTCGCAAGGTTTCTGCCGTCCTTATCAGGATGTCCGAACCAATATCTGGAGCTTGTTAGCGCATGTCTTCCGTGATCCTTGCCGGGACGGACACCTACTTGAGAAAGCCACCGCTGGCTATCGCCTCCGCGTGCGCTACCTTGTCCAAGGCTCCCAGATCCTCGTACACAGTTGTCGGCGGAATCTGTGACCGGAAAGCTACGACGAAGAAGGAAGTTTCCTTCCACCTGTGGCTGCGTTCTCGCACGAGTCGCGTCAATTCCTCGATGATCTCATCCCAGTTAAAGGTGTCGGCGTAGGGCGAGGTGGCATAGTCTGGCCGCAGGCTCCTCATGCGAACGAGCGCTTGTGCGAGTAAAGCGTTCTCCTCGTCGAGAGTTCTCAAGTCGAGCAAGTGCTCCTTCTCGGTATATGGCGACTGGACTAGGAAGTGCCCATCGCGTACGGATCCGTCGGCGCTATCGCTCAGAGGCGCCGCAATCTCCTGCGTCGAAACCTCCAGCGATTCCTTCCCTCGAGGAATGCCAGAGGGTATCTCCGCGAGGTGTGGTAATACTTGGTCTACGGCCATAGTAAGGGTGTTGGCGTATTAGTCCCTAAAATGCTAGGTCGGCTAAGAGGGCAGAGAGGTAGAGAGGGTGATAAGTCGGGTTTAGAGGTACAGTGTTTCTTAAAAATTTCGAAGAGATGTGGCGGGTGCAAAGTAGGGCCCAAGGCGGTTTTTATCCTAGGGGACCGCTCAGGATTTCAAGGTGATGTAAGGTTGGCTGTCAAGAAACATGACTATCAGGCTCAAATGGACGGGTGAGTGTATCACAGTCACATCGACAAGGCAGAGCAAGGAGATCTACCCAAGTTACCATCGACCAGCGGTATGGCGAGCGGACCCAGCTGCATGATAATGCGTATGTCTTCTTTGTGTGAGTTGGTAAAAAATTCTGGGGCATTTTCCACCGCGGAACTGATCGCGCCATCCCGCAAACCTTTGATACCATCGGCCACAACATTTAGCCAGGTAAGACAATCCCAGTGCTAAATTATGCTAGGATTGCGAATGTCGAAATAGTAAAAGATGACATATAAACCACTCACTTTCCGTTCCCAACTTTGACCCTAGAAACTAGGTGACCATGAAAACTTGGTGACTACGGACCCTGGGACATGAGCCAGCATCTAGTCAATCAATCTGATGTATCATGCAGCCCGCTTGAGCGAACAGGTCAAGCATGCAACCGCAGCGCGACCCACCAATGCGGCCTCGATCTTGATAGACAACGTGTTTGATAGGGCTCATTGCGATATGCCTACCTATGTAGGTATCTTAGGTATCTGTATCTACTTAGATACCAGGTATCCAGGCTAGGTATCCATGCTTAGATCATCGTGACGGAATTGACGAATCGGAGTCGATCGGGTTCTTCACGCTTCTCGGCTGTTACATGAAGATAGGAGCAAGATGATACGATGATATCGAGCAACCATCTCATCGCAAAGTTTCACGACTATAATGACTAAATCGTGCGTTGGCGGGCCTTCGTTTTATCATTTTGCAACCCTCCAATCTCGACATGTTATTCCTTTCGAACGCGAGTTTGGCTGCCGTCATCCCCGACGTCTGTCATGCTCGTATGCAATATCCAACCAATTCGATTATCATCCCGTTTCGCCGGATTACAGCGTTGCGCACATAGTCGATAGGTTCTAGATAATGCGAGGCGTCAACCAAAGAAGGAAGATCGCCACGGCGGATAATGGCCCTAGGTAGGTGGTAGGTATAACACTAAGCCTTGACGGATTATCCCCGAGGCCTCTGATACCTAATCTGAAAGGGTCCAAACGCCAAGAATCCCGTCACAGGGAATGCGGCGCCGATGCCGATGCCGGTAACAAGTCTCGGAGCGTCCTAGATTCTCGAACCCCCCTTGCAGATGTAACTTTAGTCAATCCGCCTGAATTGCCCTTGCGAATTAGAAAATGCGATACTCGCTTCGCGGCTGATCCAGGTCGTTGGAGTCGACATACCGTCGAACGAAATGCAATACTAACCAATGTTCGATAGTTATAGTTGCCGAGCGAAAGACGAGATCTACTATAATGATTGCCGAATGCCCACGGATCGTCTCAGAATAGCGACGATGATATTCAAAAGGGAGAAGATATATACTCTAGCAGCTCCTAGCCCGGCGGATTTAATATAATATTTCACCGCACAAGTATCAGCCTTGACTCATCACATACCAGCGTCTTTGTCGTAGATCCAAGCTTAAAATATTCAAATTATATCTTCCGTCTTACCTTTTAGCTCGATCTTCAGAAGCGCAATTGTTTCTTAAACAAAAGGCCTTGTACGAATGATATTCTCGGCTACCTCTCTCTATTTCAAGCCCGGCATTAAATAGGCCTGTTCTGATGAAACCATGACACAAAATAGCTCCGACCTTCCAAGCTTTCTAGTTCGCTTTTAATTACCTGGCCAGTAATTAGATGAATACCCCTAGATATCTTGAACCGGGTTGACAGGGGAGCCACGTGGTCTTCGCTTCTTGATTCTGACTACCGATTCGTCCTTGCTGTGTAATATCTCAAAATTGCTGTCTCACAGGAATCGTTTTGCCTGAGACTGGTGATTACCTATGTATAGGTATTTAATAGTTGATATCGATATCTTAGAAAGAACTTGTAGAACATGGACATTTGAAAGAGCCGGCTCTGATAATCCATACTAGATAGAATCAATTTGAGCTATTGAATAATTATATCCAGATAGGTACCCCCAAAACCCAAGACTAGACCAATGAGCAATCGAAGGCAGGTCAAATATGTTATCTTGGAGTCTTGAAACAGGCAGCTTATAAAATGCCAATATTATAACCTAATTCGCTTTCTTCTACTTACGTCACCAGCAATCTAAAGAATGTCAGCAATGGAGTATCTTACTGTTCATCTTAAAGTGTGATTTTATGTAATTTATGTTATAAACTTGTGCTCGTGTCTGCTATCTCTCGGTGTAGACACTTCATGTTCTTAAGTTCCAAAACCCCGCGCTTAATTTCCGCGTGTCTGTATGGTTGGTAAGTATTGGCCGGCTCGATGTGTAAAATGTTGAGGGACATTGGTTGCTTATTGCTGCATATATCAGTCTGGCACGTTTACCTTTGAGTAGGAGTATCATACACCGATGTTAAAGCGAAGATGTTGGGCTTTCCCGCATAGTTCCTCGGAGGTCCATTATTTAGGTACCGAATTTAACTACTGCTAACCTAGTAATCTTAGAATGGGCCCATCATATCCTTTTCCTTGCTACACTAGACGAACCAATCTTATGTGTGCTATTTAATATTTAAAATGTGTTTGGTCGTGGATTTCGACGAATCCCCTTTATCGTTAGTTTGCGGGGTTTAGATGTGTGAGAGTTGTGTTGTCGAGAAATCGTCACGAAAGAGGCTCGGTGAAGAGGATCGTCGTTAAATCCCCGACACCCTAAATTCTCTCCACCGTCATGGCACGTGGTTTTTGCCCTATTTTTTATCTATCACGGTTAGCTATCTAAAGCACACACTATGCCTAGAATATACCCCCTAGAATCCTTCTAGATGCTGTGGATGTCTAGTAAGTATGGCTAGTGATAGTTAATCTCATACGGTGTGAGCTAGCCTCGAAATCTTAAATTGGTATCCCGGCCTGGCTGTTAGATAAAGGCAAACTCGGCTCTCATCAGAACGTATCCAATGCATTTTTAAACAAGGTGGGTATTCGCAGGATCTTAACCCCACGGGGAAACCTCAAAGCCAACATAACTGGCTTATACTTAGGCGTGCGTTATGTTATGTAGAGATGACGGGACAAATCGAGTGACGTAAATTGTCTTGTTAGTAATAGCAAGATAGAGCTGATATCTTGCTACTTTTGAAGTAACAAAGCAAACAAGAGTTTTGTCTGAACCGGTGCCGGCGTTTTAGTGCCTCAACCATGGAATCTCTAGAGAAAATAGGTAGGGTTCAATGGCGCAAACATAATATTCATAGAAACGATGATAGGAGCTATCAGTCTAACGTAGGTATAGCCATGATTTAAAATTACACCGAGTTAGGTCGAAGCTGTACAACGTAGGCCATACGGCTCGGTCAAGTTTCTCCACGTCGGGACGAAAATAACCCTTATGCTAAGACGAATAGTTTTCGTCGTATTAGACCCAGTCATATTGTCATCATCATTCCTCGAAATCTCGTTGGGTACCACAGTCAATAGAAATCAACTCCACAGATACTAGAATCCACAGCCTCCCCTATGCCCCCCATACATATCTTAGCACCCTGTTTAGTAGATCACTAGGAGATCACATAACACAAATCAAAGCCTCGAGAAACGTAGATCCACTTATTGTCATGAAATGTCCCGCGTTCATGTTTGCCCATATATGGGTCGTACGGTTACAACTCTAGACTACTTTGACGGACTATCTTATGATGTCAATTCCTTACCCTAATAACCTATTGAGGTGTTACCTTTGAGGCAAACGGACGATGCAAATGATATTTCGATTCTATACGAAGGGTAACCAAGGAGACAGCCTTCGAATATGTCAAACCAGTGTACCGTAGTACGGCTCTGGAGATAGTATATGAAGTGAGTTCGGTGGAAAATGTAGCCCTAACCCTAACTATCGTACAAATGTACCTCTGCCATCCAGATCCGCGTGGATTCTGTATTGTGAAGTTCTTCCCCAGGTTTCCACGATGTGGGCGGATTGCCCAGAAGCCCACTTCGCACGGTTTTTGCTACGATTCGAAGTCCAATGAGGGGTTCGAATTTCGAAACGTACTTGTTATTAGTAAGAATATTGTGAATAGTAATAAGATAAGAAATCGGTAACGGTATGTCGGGTCGTAAGTCTGCGGAGGCTGGTAGCAAACTACGAGAGAGAAGCTAAGGTATACTCGAACGGGCGATCATAATGGATACACCCACAGTTAAGAGCCCCAGCCTTCTGGGTCATCATCTTAGTCGGCTCTAAATGTCCAATAACCTAACTGCGAGCAAGAACCACGTGCGTCGATTCTGTAGCTTGGGTTGTCAGAAGAAGATACACAGGGATAACACAGGGGCAGTTATGGGTATCAGGTTCGTCGGTAAAGCTTATTCAGGGGACATATCGAGGGAAAGGGCCCTTCCCGATTTGTTATCTGGTGTGTCCCGGGATTTCCCATCTGGATATCGAGAGCAAGGCGTTCCTGTGCCTCGTACATCCGTCGAGATGGATATATAAGAGTAGGGAACTCCCAATCCGACATTTCGAAAATACTTCACCTTCATGAACTCAGATCAACAAAGATTCCAACTTGGAGCTGTAACTACCTAGGCATACTATACAAAAGAACGCTCTTCAACATACTTTCAAGATGGCTTCACCAATAACTTTTCTTTCCCTCTTCCTGCTCTTGCCTGCATTCACCTCTGCCCAACGCAGCTTTGTCGCGTACAAAGAAAAGAGCTGCAGCGAGCCTCTTGAGATTTGGACCGACGGGATGCTTATCGAAGACAGCAAACTTCTCATAGACCATTCCATCAAAGAAAGGGGGGATTTCGACGGTGGTCACGCCTACAACAATATAACATTCCCAGCCGCGCCAGCAACCGGCGATTTCGACCAGGATGCGGGGACTCAGTTTGTGTATTGGAAAGTGGAACAGCCAGACCCGACTTGTCAGTTTATACTGATGAGGGATACTCCGAGGGAATGGCAATCTCTCAGCCAGATGCCCGGAGATGTGATGTTGAGAGTAGCCGAAGAGGGCTGCTACTATACCGCTCTGAATGTAAGTCTGGAGGTTATAGTGTCCACCGAATCTGATTATCGGGACGTATTGTTAACGAAAAAAGCCAAACGTCGACTTGATTACCAGCTTCTGCTGCGGCCGCGACGACTGCGCTATTGCGGAGATCGAAGTTCAATATCAGAGCCCCGTCGAGAGCGTCAGTGGCGATGCCCCGAACTGCACAGTCAAGTCTTACGATGCTACACCTACTGTCGAAGACGGTCAGCAAATAGCCGTTACCAGGCCGCAGACCTGCGAGGCCCCGCCGACTTGCACGCACTCTATATCCCTGAGCAAGATGGTCAGCACGGCAGTGTCGCATTTCCAGTCGTATTCTTGGACCACCGAGGAAGGAGTTGACGTATGTTCACAACCCGTCCATCTAATAATCGAAGATATTGATTTTGCTAACGCGGACTTCCCCCTCAGGTCAAGATAGATACTGGCGTCGACTTTATCGTGGATGCCAAGGTATCTGGGGGCATAAGTTTCAACATCGCGCAGGGCTGGATGGACGAGACTGGGACAACTCTGACGCAATCCAACATTACGGCTTCGTCGGAGGCGGGAAGGCAGGAGGTGGGAACTATAGCATTCTACGCCTTCACGCCGCAGTACGACTGCTGGAAAGGCGACGTTAGCTGCGGCTACGACAACAGTGGAAACGAGGTCGTACTTGAGGGTGTTAGTTTCTGCCAGCCTCGAATTGCGAGTACTGGCGACCCGGCTGGGCTTTTTAGGATGGTGTATACTTCAGGATGAGGGATTAGTTTCCGCCGAATGGATAGGGTGTCCTTTGTTTTCATTTTCGTTATCAGTTTCTTACCAATTTTAACAACTTGGGGATTTTATGATTTTAGAATAGGATAGCACAGGATAGGGGATAGGGTACGAGGGATAGATTTTGGAATTGACCGCAAGGAATAGGGTCTATAAATGCGGCTAGAGACGCGGGTCGATACTCATTAAATAAAGGTATTATCTTCGCTACTTTGCCCTTTTCTTCTCGAGAGCCAAACTTTTGCTACTTCGTACGTGCCTAAGTAAAGCCCGCTACCGACAAGAGTCCATACGGCGCGAAGAGCCGAACCCCTGAACAGCCCCGAGATACCCGTCTCCGAAACAACTTCGCGTGCTACGGCGAGTCCGCCCCGTACCTTGTATCTGGTTGCGCCTTGCGACGTATGCGTCCGGTCATGAACACCTTGGTCTACATCCTGGCTACTCCCGGCCGCAAGCATCATCCGCGTCTTCACCACATCCATAGGAGTCGTGACAATAGCAGCTAAGCTACCCGCCAACCCGGCACTTGTCCCCGTGATGACGCCCGTCTCAAGTAAAGTCTGCTTCTCTCCCGCGCCGAACCCCGCGTTAGATTGGCCAGCACGAGATCGTTGGCCCCAGATCCTAGCACGCAGATATTCGAAAATGGGAAACTGGATAGCCGTAAAAGGTAGGTTTCGGGCTACTAGAGCCGTGTATCCCGATAATAGCTTGCGTCCCACGCCCGTACCGCTTACGGTTAGCTGCTTTAAGGCTTGAAGGGAAGCGGACCTGCGGGAGCTGCCGGATTTTTGCTGCAGCATCTGAGCATTTTGCTTGATGACCTCGGAAGGAGTAAGGACCAAGCACGACGCACACTCCGCTATGGCCGATGCGCCTGAATGCACAAAGGGTTGCGGGAGACCTAAGGGGGACCCGTGACGGCTAATGAACGACTTGGCCGCTTCATAGGTAGTAAAGAAAGTCCCTGCGGCAGGTAAAGTGGCAACTATGACTATCCCGATACCCTGATATAAGCCCTTGAAAAGCTGCCGCGAAGGTAGTTTAGTCTTGGTAGACGGGTTGGCAAATGTCTTGACGAAATCTCGACTTTGCTGGCGGGTTTTCAAGGTATCCAACGGGTAGATAATCAAATCCACGACGAAAGCTGCCCCGCCGCCCGCCTACAAATTAGGGAAATATGGTTAGAATATTGCTTAGATTCTCGACGGTTTACAGCAGAGTATTTGGAAAAGGGGATTTGGAAAATTTAAAATAAGTAGACTTGTGGAAATGAGAAAGACTTACCAGCATAACGTCGAGATTCGAACTACTCCCCATCGTGGTAACTCCTTATGTAGCAACCTTGTGGACTTGAAGTGGTCGGGTATGGCGATGTTGAGTTCGCGCCTTTGCGATTTTGATCCGAATCTGATTAGATTGATAAGATTATGCAAAGATCAAGTTCCCGTAGGGATGCATTAGCTGCTCTCCTATAGCGATATGAGGCTATAATGATCAGAGCTACGTGTACGAGTGGAAAGTCATTTGAGGTGAATAGGTACTGATTATCTTAGGTGCCTAAGGTAAGGTGTCGAAACCATTGCATCATAACAAGATTACCTTAGGTACTCATAATCTAATCATCATATATGATTTATTAGAAAGCATTTCTTTGATACCTTTGTAAGTAGAGCTACATTTGCGATATTCTTCATGTGGCATGTGGCATCGAAATTTTATACCTACCTTGCATATCACTATAGCGAGGGTTTGATGCTTGGTTTGATGCTTGGTTTGCTGCTCGACATCAGGGCTAATCAATCCTGGGCGTTTAATCTCTGGCAAGATGGGCATCATATATTAATGGTCTATGTCTTACACCGAAACGCGAATAGATGGATATCATGTCGAGGCATTACTTCGTCCCTAAGTATTTCAATCCTCATGTCAATAGTTAACCGTCTGTGCCACTGCTTCTAAACGTGGCGCATAATGCGGCATAATAGTGCGTCAGATCCAGCACATTTTGCGGGAGGCTCGTCGCCTGAATGATCGACCGAACCTTGACCGCACCCTCTTCCTCGATCAAGACTCTTATCGTATGGAGAAGGTCGGGGGAGAATTCCGAGTACCAACGGTACTGCCAGGTCACCAGACGGATAACGGCAGCTATGGTATCTCTCGTCAGCTTCTGCTTCTCGAACGCTCGTAGGATTCCCGATAACGCTTTCGGGCTGAACCGCGCGGCGAGACAAGCCCGATAGGCCTCGACTGCTTCGTCGTGGTGCTGGAGGCGCTCTGCTAGCGCACCTAGAATCTCCCACTCCTCGGCGGATTTCTTGTATTGCATCGACTGAGCTCTGTATTGGGCCATCTGCGTTCTCCATATCGTGTATACGCGGAGATCTTCGTATAGTACCATAAAGAGGCTGTCGAGCCATCTTTCGCACAGGCGCTTATTATTCAGGCGCGAGAGATGCTCGTCAGTGGTTGCGCTCTGTAGATTTGTCAATACTAGCCCCTGAAAGCGGAAGAAAATTACTTACGTTATCTCCGTCAGCCTTAACCTCGCCGGGGTCGATGGTATGAGTCGGCTTCTCCACTTCGCCTCCTACGCCGTGGCCGTTGGTTAACGTGGGCGCTACAGAGTCGGTATCGGTTGCGCTCTTCTCGTCGTCGGCCTCCTCATCGGTCTGATCACCGTTGGTTGCGGGCTCGGGAGTTCCGCGTAGCCCGTCGATACTCGGATTGCGTTTTGTCGACTGGGCCTGCGGGACGCTATCCTGCTTTTCTGTCCGGTACTCGTCCTCCATAACAAAAACGTTACTCCGTATTTTAAGGAGTTGGTCCCAACCAATCTTTGCCGTCATCCCCGTGAGAATCCCGTAGGCTAATTTGAAAGTACCGCGGTACGACGCGGCGCGGAGGTTAAGCAGGCTCGGGTCTACCTGTTCGGCGTATCTAGACTCTGGCTCGCTGTCGATCTCTTCTAAACGCGTCTCGGGTAAGGTGGGGAGATAGACATCCTTCGGCTCTGGCATAACCGGCGCGTCCTTGTCCTGGTAAGTGAACATAGGGCACGAGTTCAAGATGGTGAGCGCGTTCTCCCAGTCTTCCATAGCAACGTAAACCTGCGCCAACCTCGCCCACGTGCCGAATTCGCTGGGCGCGGCGATCGTACTGCGGTCCGCGCAACCTAACGCCATCCTCAGTCTTTCCTCCTTTTGCGCCGGGGTTTCGGCCGCCGATGCTTTCTTGAGGAGAAATTCAGCTTGGGTATCCAACATGACATAATCCATCGGAGAGTCCTTGAGAGCCTGGTATAACACGCGCACACCTTGCACTTCCTCGTTGCCCATGAAGAGAACCTTGGCAAGCAGCGACGACACCTCAACATTCTGACTCCTCAACTTCTCGAAAAGGTTGATGCCAGAGGCAAAGCGTCCGGTCGTATAGAAATATTTGAGAAGGCCGGTGGTTAGGTGGTTCGATACGTTGTTCGGAACCTGCACGACGGAATCGGAACCTAGCTGCCAACCTGCAAGGAGTTAAGGTAAGCATCTGAATTCTAATAGATGGTAGGTTTGCGTACCTCTAAAAAAGAGGCTCTCGGCGGCGCTCAGAAATCTGTGTTCGGTCTCGGTGTTGGTAACGGGGTTAAAGCGTCTCACGCCCATGATCTTCCTGATAGTATCGCCGCTCCCATCGTCGGCGTACGAATAGGCACGCAGAACGCTGCAGAGATATGTTTCCAGCCATAATTCGTCCGTGGCCTTTCGTTTCTCTCCCCTCTCGTCGACACAGTAGGCTTCGACTGTCCCGGGAATGGTGACGTGGACGCGCATATCAAGTCGGGAAAATGCGTTGTAGCAGCAGTATAGACCTTCTACGATCTTGTGCGTGGCAACGTGACCATGCTCCTTGTAAGTGAGGGTGTTTATATAAGCGGCGAGACTAGCCGACGAGGACGCATCGACACCGGTGACATGGTGGTATACTCCCGTCTGCGCCAGCAATTTTAGTATTGATCCCTGGGAGGTTGATTATTCGGCATACCTGTTTTACGGTGTTTCTGAGGTTTTGTTTCAGGAGGTGGACTAGATCGGGAGGGCCAAGCTCACGCAACGACACCAAGGTCTCGGTACGGGCCTCGATTGATTCGTGTAGGACCTCCTCCGAAATCCTACAGCAACCATTAGCGCCGAGAATGCAATTGGAAAAGAGTATTATTTGGAAGTGGCTTACTCTGGAACCGCCGGCGGAGGCATATCGACGGTAGCAGAACTTGATGGTGAAGGGCGTGGTACCGCTGTAGGAGATGCCAATCAGTGTTCTCGATGTTATGGAGTGTCTGATATATTAGGAACGACCAGATTCGATTCGTAGGAACATAATAGTACAGGGAGGATTAAAGAGCGAATGGCGTTACGATTGGAGATGGCGCGGCGAGCTGTCTAGGTCCGTACTTACGGATAGGTATGATACGATATGAATACGATATGACCTGTAATAGGAAGAGTGTTGTCAGGGTCCGAATGGGGAGCTTGTTTTTTGGTGTACTTGAATTTCAACTTTTTTGAGGTTTGGCGCGCACGAGCCATCAAGAAGGTGTCTTTTTCGTTTTGGAACCTTGGGCTAATGAATTGGTACAGCGGGGTAATTAAGGGGGGTAACTTCTAACGTAAGGGTGCCGCTTTGCACAGTGGGGTACCTGCGACTTGTTATAGGTACATGATGTACCTAGCTGTAGCTGTACCTAAGCTGTACTAGCGGACTTAGCTGTCTGCAGCTCCCCGGCCTTGCGATTTATTTCTACGCGATTGTGCATCATCTCGGTACCTATTTTCCCAATTATTCTCCCATTGATAACGATAACAGGCACGATCAACAATTGTATTCTCAACTCTATTCCTATTAACTTCCACATTCGCGAATTAGTACAAGTAGATAGATACCAAACGACTAAATTCCGTATGCGATATTGCTATTTCTAATCCCATCAGCGCGATAGGCGCAAGTTCGCAAGATGGCCTTCTCCGCCATCAATGTCGAACCAGAGGAGAATATCGACGAGGAGATCGACGATACCCGCGAAATCCAGATCGACGAAGCCCTAAAGCGCTTCCAGACTGCCCTTAAGCTTCACGCACAGGGCCCTAAACATTACGAAGAAGCGTCGTCAGCCTACGAGTCGCTATTCGAGTCTGATATATTCCGATACCCCGAGAGTACCACCGAGTTCGAGCGCGCCGAACGTCAATCAGATCCCCGACACCTAGGCCTCGACGTCCCGTTCCCTCAACCCCTCGATGTCGCCCAAGGAGATATAGACGGGAGTGGTAGCAGCCTGCCCCAGACCCTCTATCTCGCTTATAAGAATCATGGCCAGTTTGCCCTCGACAATATTAGACATCTGGTCAGGGCGGGAGGAGATGCGAGATCCGTGCTACAAAATAAAAAGGTGCTCGCCGCCGCTCAGAAGGCGCTTTACGAATTTAGTACAGCTCTAGATTTTGATCCGTCGGATGCCGAACTATGGAGAAGGGCCGCGCGCGTCGCCGCATTTCTGAACAGCGCTAGAATTAGTCGGTATTGCCTCGAGGCTGCCATCGAACTGGACGACGATCCGGCAACGGAGGAAGTTGAGCCGCCCTCTCTAGCCGAGGGATTCGCCGGCGAACAATTGAAGAAGCAACTTGACGTCTTGTCCGACGATCTGGCACTGTCGCACCCGATCATGGCCCCGTTCCTAAAAAAATCGATACCGGATCGTCTCAAGAAACATCTCGACCCTTTTCCATTCCTTCCGAATCCTACCGACTCACTCGCGCCGTCTCCTGCCCTCACAGCCTCGGCCGATCAGCAAAGGCCCCAGCGCCTTATTATCGATGTTCCCGTAGCTTCGTGGACAGATTTGGGCATGTCGCTTGTGCAGCTAGTCGCAGCCGGTGGTATATCCGGAAAGGCCGTAACTCTGAAACTTCCAGAGATACCAGATGCCGAATGCGACGTTGAGACGGCCAGCAATAGGCCAAACCCGATGTTGCCCGAGGATAATGGAAGGGTCCAGCTGGTTTCGGAAAACAAACCTCTAGTGCAATCCAAAGATGACCAGAGCGATTCTCCAAAGGAAGTCGTTGTTGACAATGGTATCGCTACCGAAGATGCGCGGGCCGAACGTAGCGCCTCCCTCCCTTCGCGGAAACGTTCGCAGTCTACAGCAGGGCTTCCCGACGGAGTTGACGAAGAAGTCTTGGACCAGAAGAGGAGCAAACGTATTCGACGCCGGGAAACTGCCGGGGAGGTTATGGACACAAACACGCAATATGCTACCCAATTGCAGCCGTTCCAGGCAGCCGACCAGAATCTCTTTCAGATGACGCGTAATATGATAGAGAACTTGGGAGTCACCGACCGCGACACCCTCGATCGACTGGCCGAGATTCTCGACTCGTGCGCGTCTTCTACTCGAACCGCTAAGCTTGAACGGTCGGCCATGGTAGATCTGCGCGATTCGCTCGTGAAATTTGACGAGGAGAGCACTAGAGTGGTTTTCAATAAGAAGGAGGCGTCTACCGTCGGTTTCTCGTCTTTCTTAGAGCACTCAAAGCCCGGATCCCAAAATAAACGCGAGACACCCGTGTTCCACGAGACTAAGGGCTTAAAGGCCTTCGTCCAAACTATCAACGACAACTGGATAGGAATCCAAGACGTTGCTTTCGAGTGGGTCAAGCATGTTTGCGCGACTTACCTTACGAGCAAGTGGCCGGATTCCATGAAGACCGCAGTTGTCCAAGTCATTAGCCATCTCGACGAAGATATCTGGAGACGCGTGCAGTACGAACTGACATATCATGTCGCGTCCGAAGATCCGGCCACGACGTTGGCTACGATTGACGAGATAGTCCAAATGTTGTTTGAGCTGCACCTGGACGTGTATGAACGGATCACCAACCCCAACAGCGCCGTAGAATACGCAATTCGCGTGGAGACCAAAGGAAGACTAGGACGCTGGTTCACGTTTGCTTCGCAGATGAGTCGGGATCGCCCCGAAAGTGCGAACCGTCTGCTGTCCATCCGATTCTTATGGTCTGCCGTTTTCGCTGTTACCCTGACGGAAGGCGTATCGAGAGACCATGTTCTCCAGTGCTGGAAGAGTCTCCGCGATAGGATCAGCGAGGAAGACGAGCCTTTTGATGTCCGACTACCAAATAATGCGATCATGCCTGAAGTGTCCGCCCGCGCAGCCGATAGGGAAATATCTAAACTGACGACTATGGATTTTTTCCTCGGGCTATTCCAGAACGACCTTAGCGACCCCGTATCTATCATCGAAAGCCTGGAGCCGGTATTGAATCCCTCTTCCGTCTATATAGCAACGAACGATCCCGAAGCTATGGTGGTCGACGAAGATTCCGAGGCGCCGGCAGCTACCGGCAAAAATCTACCCATCTCGGAGGCTGCGGATCAGGGTCTGCGAGATCTCTGGAAATTCTTGCTGGGGGCGAGCACCGAATTAAGATTGTTCTTGTGGACACGCCTCGGGGAAGCCTATAGCGCTATCGACTACACGACGAAACAATTTTCGTGCCTTCTCAAAAGTATCGAGATGGTCGTCGCCGATTTCGAGCAGGATTCTTATCTGACCATGCCTGCCGACGCACGCCGTCCTCTCTTCTTGAAGATGCTCAAGTTTCTAGACGAATTGCTCATCCAGGCGCTTTCGATGGCGCTCAACGATGTCAAAGCGTTCGATATCGTAGACGAGGAGCACCTAAGATCCAGTATTTCCGCCTTGACGAAGCTTTCCTGCCTGCTACACGTATCTTGCATGTACGAAGACGAGGTGCGCGTAGGCATGAAACAGCACCTCTCGGGCGGCGCCACTTTCCAGTCCTTCTTAACTAAACTTCGCGAGATGCAGGTTAGGAGCTGGTCTCTCCTGTATACGATGCTGAAGGCTGGTATCGCACAGAACAGGGCGGGCTTTACCACTCCCGACAACGACCTCGCGGACTATCTAGCAGCTATCCATCAGGTCTTGGGCCTTAGAAAATTCTGCAAGGCGTCCAACAAGATCTTCCTCAAGATGATGCGGGTGGAGCTTTTGAAGCAGACTCTCATAGACAACTGGGAGGATTATCTCGGACAAGTTCTTTACGACCTCTACGGCTTGAAACTAGGAGTCGGCCTTAGCGAAGTGCAAGACCACGGATGTCCCGCCGAGAAGCTGGAACGGCGAAACACGACGGCGCTGGTCGAGAGGGTATCCGTCTTGGCTAACCGCATGCCGATGAAAGATTTGCTGAAATCGGATCTCAAAACGACGATAGAGCACATGCAGCAAGCTATAGGGCAAACCAAGTCGAACCAGCAATTCATACAAAATCTGAGGATCTTTAATCAAACTTTACAAAGGCCTATCCCGCCCCTTCGCTTGTACGAAGCGCTTAAGGGTAACATTTCCATCGACGCGGTTACCGTCAACACTCCGGATAGCGCCTTGGCCAAGCACGGATGGTTCTTCCTCTTGGGCATGATCGCCTTCACCAAGTTCAAAGGCGTAGATCTTAATAGGAGGCAGACGCCAGGCGCTACTGACGACCTTCGCATCGGCGCCACGTTTCTACGCCAGCAGCTGCAGTTCACTCCCGATCAATGGGATGCTTGGTTCAGACTTGCGGAGTGTTTCGACTACGAGCTTGACGAGTCCGTGCTCTGGACGGCAGATAAGATGAACAAAGAGAGGGCAGAACTGGTAAAGTACCAGCGCAGCGCCATCCACTGCTATACTCTGGCGCTGTCGCAATCCCGGAACACGCCACCCGACGCGCTCAGGGAACGTTCCGACGACATACACGACCTGTATCACAAATTCGGCATGCGCATGTACGCCTCCAGCCGAGAACCGTTTGCGATGGAACCTTTTCATCATTCCGAGCACAAAAGATTCGTTATTCTCGAATCCGGCGTGGAGTCCAAGGATCTTCATTCTCAAATGGAAGACTACAAAGTATGGAAGTATGCTGCTAGATTATTCGCCAAAGCCATGGAGGTCAGACCAAAACAGTGGCAGTAAGTATGTCTTAACCGCCGGACACAGCTTGGGCTAATAGTTTTTGCAGGAATCCGTACATGGTGGCCAAGTGTATCTGGAAGATGTATCAGAAACCCCCAACGTCGCTCGACCATAGAGACAGACGAGATCGGCCTACTATGCAAGCCGTCATAGACGCTCTCGAAAAGGCCATCGAGGTCGTGTCCGCGTTGCCAAAGCCGCGTCACGGCCAAGATCCGATTCTGGAGCCCCATTACAAGATCGTGTCGATCATGCACAAGCTGGTGATGCGAGGAGATATAACGCCGCAAGAAGCAGCCGACGTACTCCAACGTCAACCGTACGCCGTCGAGGACGGGGAACACGTCGAGATCGCGGAGCCGGAAGACTGGGAACCGTACGTAATCAAAACGCTAACCCACCTACGGGAGAAAGACAGATCAAACTGGCAACATCGTATTATCATGCGCCACGCCCGAATATTGTTCGACGAGAACTCCGAAGAGCAGGGCTACGTTCAGGCGATGGCTGCCTTTGGCGTGCTAAGGGAATCGATGCTCACCAAGACCATGGTCATGAACGTATGGAAATGCGACGCCGAGCGGCCAGGTCGGCATCACGTTTACACGGAACAATACGTTCGGTTTGCCGTCAAGCTCTTAGTCGTTCTAAAGGACAGGACGAACTTTGAGGCTTTGCTTCGTCGTTTACGCAAGAAGGGGGCAGACTTTTATCATTTCAACGATCTCTGGCAGACTTGCTGCATTGCGTATCTGCGACTCATTCGGCAGACATATCAGATATCCCCAGTCCTCGAGGATGATTTTAAGCCCATCAGCCCCGACGAGTTCGATATCATTACCTCCAGGATTAGCGAATGGTCGTCGGATCCGTCTTCCTCTCACCCCGCGCTTAGCGCTTTGCAGGAGGCGGTAGAATTGAAAAAGCTCAACGCTGGCTTGATGAAAGCCGGTGCCATCGACGACCTAGTTAACGACTGCTATACGGCATTGTATTTCGAGATCGGGAAGTCTTTACCGGGCCCTGCCGTGTCTACTTTAATCGCGGAGCGGGAACAGGCACGTCTACGGGAAGAATCTCGGCCGTCCGATAAAGTAGCAGAATCCAAGCCGACGAACTCGTTAAGCAGTCTCTTGAACCCACAATCGCACGAGAACTCGGGCGGAGAGGGCGCAGCCGGTGATCTGACATCGGCGAATGCGGAAGGGCCACAGAGACCCCGCAAAGTGGGAATAAGGAGAGCTGATATTCTACGCAAGGCAGAACAAGCAGTCGTGCGCGCCCAAGAAGGTCCGAAGCCCGCCGGTACCAAGTCGCGATGTTCCGTCTCAAGCAGTAAGACGCCCGCGGCAGAAGAAGGGAAACAAGACGACGTGGCCGACGACTCGAGAAGTGACGATGGCGCATTGGATGAGGACGTGGAGATGAAGGACGAAGAGGCTGAGGGCGACTTGAGCTCGGCACCGGGAAGCGTTCACGATTCTGCCGACGACGAGAGCGATCTGAGCGACGCCCCACCGGAAGATGTGCTAGACGAGGACGAGCTTCGGCAGCTAATGTTTCCGAATTTAACTAGGAGGAGTATGGATACGACGATAGGTAATTCCGAAAGCGAGGGGTCCCAAGACGAGGAGTCTTCCGACGAGGCTCAAGCCGAAGAGTAGGCCGCCTAGGTCAAGGTGCTTTGTGTATTATATGTTTCTCGTTAAGATGCTGTATTCTACGTGGGAAGATGCGTCTGGATTGACCTATGGTTATTTGTCTGGGCACTGGAGTTGAACCAATATTTTCAAATGCATCAGTTACACGGGATTTTCATACAACTTTTGGTTCAAGACCAACAATTATCGTAGCCTCTAACTACGGGTGCCTATTTCATTTATATAAATCGGCATATCAGGTTCATCTCGCTAGTTATGCCTTAGATTCCCCACGCCAGCCCTGCTGCGTACCTCTTAGATTATTTTTTATTTTTTAAGAAGTATCGCCATCGTGATCGTAGAGACCATATCCAACAACCTCGACATCCTCTCCCTCCTCAGCTCCACTGCCGCTCTTCACTCACATTGCGCTTTAGCCGAAGATCAATATCTAGATCACAACTTCGCAAACTCTTCCTCTCACGATGTCCGGGATGCGCGCCGGCATTCGTGGCGCGAGGCGTAAATAGCGTCTCCTACAAATACATTAGTATTTAACTCCGTCACGAGTAAAACTGTCCCCCCGTCACCCAGGCATCCTAGTCGGCGTGCGCGCCGCATGGTTAATACTCAAATTTCCATCACTCATATAACAATAGCAGAAATGGGTTGAGATTAGCTCATCCCGGTGTTAAGACAACAGGGGATAATCCGTATTCCCATGTCCTTGTCTCGGTCGCTAGTTATGCTTTGGACTCTCGGAGGCGAGTAGGATAAAAGACAAAGTCAATATTTAGCAAGGATATTCGTAACAGCAGAAATAGCAAGCGTATTAGATTCACCATTCACCAACCGGACCGCGATTAGCGATATCATCGAGCAGTAGATTTTGACCAGTCTAACGACTACATCAGACGTCACATTTCGTCTACGTCAGCATAAACAGCATGCTTATGATCAGTGCATAATCAGGGCATGGCCGACTATGGGCGGAATCGGCGACATGGAGTACATCTCCCCCCGGTTTGGCATCGCCGTCGGTCAGGAGTTGTGTTCGATGACTCTAACTCTCTTGGCCTTACCTATGTTTAATCTTACGTCCTCTAAGTGAGGAAATCGTCAAACCCATCTGGAAATACCTTGGATAATGATAACATAGCCACTGTCAGCGGAACCGTCAAGTTGTCGCAGGGTCTTTTAAACCAAACTAATTTAATGCCACTTATAATTTTACCTCACCAAAGTTGTAAAATGACAAAATAACATTTGATCTAACACTTCATATATACAGCTGAAATATGTTAGCATCGCTCGCACCTTAGCAGGTATAGTGTCTTACCATTAGCATAAAGCGAGTAACTGTCTGCGTTAAGCAGCGCCAGTTCAGGTGATAACGCCACGCTCTCGTTATACCCGTATACGAAGTCGTTCGTGTGCGGGCTATATACGTCTTCGCAGTGCGTCATCTCGTGTATCGTGGTCGTGGCCTGGCACTGGCGATGGCAGCCTTGGGGCAGCGCAGGAAGCGTATCGTAGAACAGCGGGCACAAGACGACGAAATCAAAATCCCATTTAGTATATGCGTTCAGAGGTCCCTCAGTCTCGCATAGTTTGTAGTAGTCGTAGCAGAAATATCGCGACGGTCCTGAATCGGTCGTCGAACACTCTTTTGCTGCCGCCGTTAGCCTGTCGACGACGGTCTGCCGCGTCGTCGATGAGTTGGTCTTGAAATACTCGACAAATCGAGAGGATGACGAGTCTGCAGCATCAGCCGCGGCTGCTAGAGCTAAGGTTTTGCAGTTGGCGAGGGCTGCGGTGCTGGCGGCTAGCTGCGTGGCGTTGCAGCCGTCTGCTACATTCGTGCGTGCTTCGAGGGGATTCAAACTCGGAAGTTTAGGGACGGCCGCGGCACTTTGAGCATCGACGTGGAGACTTATGCTGTTAGAATGGATCAATATCGCCGGGCCGGACAGCTCAGTAGACCCAGCTGCTGCTACCGGGATCAATCCCGTGGCCCTGAACGTATATGTTCCAGATTTTTCGAACTTGTGTACAGTAGCAGCTTTGACAACCGTGTCGAAAGACTCCGACGCCTTTAGTAGGCGGAAGTTCTTGGCTGCAAGAGCATCGTGCCGGATACTCGCGTGGATTCCCCTGAAAGGAGCCTCTACGCCTATGAATTATCACTATTAGCATCGTTTATACTTCATCGCCGTGTATTTCTAGGCTGTGGTACCTGATTCATCTACGACGGAGACTTTTTGGACTGGCAATACTTCGTCGAGAAGAGTACCAACTCGTAGCAGATTAAGGTCCTCGGAGCCGACGTTTTTAATAGTGGCAATTAACTCAGCAGCCTCACCCGTCGGCGAAGGAGTCAGGGTAACCTCCAGAACCGAAGCCTGTCTGCCGCGTATGGGATTTAGGATGTGGGCAGTCGTCGTCGCGGTCAGACTAGCTACAGCTAGGAGAATCTCGGTAAGCCTCATCGTGATAAACTGAACAGTGTTCCTGGTCCTCCGCAAACCAACTGCTAAAAAGCTTTCCTATCAAGCATCTGCGCCGTACGTCGTTTTATATGCGATTGACTTTCTGGTTTATTTCGATTCCTTAGTCTTTCCCAAATGAGGATTCATCTCCGAGTGGAAAAACCTCGTATTCGGTGCTGGGACGCGTTGGGGTGTTTGGCTGCGACGCTGCAAGGAGCCGGGACTGGTACATAAATATTGATATACGAGATACCATTGTAATATATCAACACGAGGAATGCGTTTACATGAAGCCGTACGTGTCAATAGCATTGTTAATACAGCCATTGTAGGTTGACTACTAGGTAAAGTTGGCTTTAACGCCGAATCATCTCGATGAGAAGTCGACTATATTCATCGTAAGTTACTCATATTTCCTCTTCTATAGTTGATTAGTAGAAAGCTGTACCTGGCTAAATTCAATGCAGATTCGCTGCTTTTGTATATACGTCAGCCTGGGAGACATTCGAGATCAGCTGTGGAAAGATACGATGAAGGAATTTCAATTTGCGGGAGTTCAAGGAATGACGAGTTCAGTAAGTAGTGCTATGTGGACCGCTCAGGGCCAGCACAGTTATAACCTTGTAGGTTTTGAATAGTTACCGTCGAAGGCAAACCAAACCATACTCAAATGAAACCTGTGTGAAACTCCCCTTCGATTCTTTCATGTTCTTCTAACCTAGCGTTTCCCTAGGGACCAAATAATAGTATGAGGCCTCTGGGATCAATGATGGTTGTCACCAGCACCAAACCGACCAGCGACGAAGGTGCCAAGGAAGATGCCTCCAAGAACAGACAGAAAATATCCCACGTTCATAGTCATCACTGCTAACATACTGTAAGGGTAATTAGACACATTGATTGGAAATAGGCCGTATAAAAAGGATGGCTTACAGCAAGTATCCGATACCTCCAATTACGACCTCGAGCAAGGCACGAAACGTCTCAGTGGCAACCTTGAACGGGTGACTATTCCACTGGGTCCTGAATTGACCACCCATTAACTCCAAGTCGCTTCTACTACCCGGGTAATCGTCCGAATCAGAAGATGAGATAGCTTTGCTATGACGATGGAGTCCCGGATTTGAGTCGAAGATGATAGATCTCAGCGCGATTAGAATGCGGTGCAGCAGAGCAAGCACAATTAGAAAGATACAAGTGCCGGCGTAAGAGCCCTGTCCCTGAGGGGTCCACGCGATTGAATAGAGAGGAGTTGTAACGCTCTGAAAGAATACCATCGCCATCTCCGCCGAGGACATCATAGACGACCCGCCCATGTCCATTCCCATATCCATCCCGTCGGTAGACGACGGCATCGAGTTCCCGCTCGTCATTGTCATCGTACCAGTCGTGGCCGCGGGGGTCGTCATTGTCATGTCGTCGTGATCCATTTTGGTTCCCGGGAACTGATATACCTAAACACTGGCAATATTCAAACGACAACGAGAAAGGTATTTAGGAATAAAACTTTAGGGTTGATTAGTTAGTAAACTGTATGCAAGCATAAAAGGACGTGAACGTTAACAAGCTATTTGAGATTGAATGGTAACGTAGTCTTGTCTATGGTGCGGGATAAGACGGACCTATTTCATACAACAAATCAACGATTGATATCGGTGATATTCCGGAGACGTTAGAGGTTCCAAAATACGGACGCTACTGATACCAACTAAGGATTCTCCAAATTGAGCGAATAGATACTTGCTCAGGTATCAAGATGTATCTATAAGATTCATCTCCAAGCATATGGGGTGGTATGGTTAAGCGTTAGCAGCGTTTGGGGGTCCGGTGTAATACGGGCGAATGATGGTATTCATTGGATTCTGTGCCCCTTCTCATACGACTTGCCATCGGTATCACATAATCACATGGTGTTAGAGGTTGCGTACTTTATTATTAGAGGCTCATAAAGTATCCAGGACCGTGGGTCAGATTTCCTGCTATGATGATTGCCTAACTGCTTCTGGAAAATATGGGATTAAAATCTGCTCAAACTCTCTCATCCCGCCCGGACCCGAGCATGGATTAGAGGGCTGGCTGGTGTTGTTACTATACCCACCCCCTTTCTCTGATGTACCTATGACAAGGTCAAGGAACGCACTACTTGAAGTTTTAGTTTTATCTCGACTAGATGACAGCTCTTGATACGGAAGTAATTGGATACGGGATATCATTCGTAACATTACAGATTATCAAGGGCAATAAACATACCCATATACACTTGTGGATTGGCTGTTAAGATAATAACTCGGCATCATTCCGTTTGTACAAAGCCTATAGCGAGCTTATTCTATTTGAACATATTATCTGGATGATATTTACGGCTATTTGGTATCGAATTTTAGGAAATAGGTTCGTACTCGTTGCACAAACGAGACGGCCTCTGTATGGTTGCTAACGGGCAAAGGCTATTACCATCTAGATAGGCAAATAGATTAGTACGCGCAGACGATTTTGAGTGATATAAGACTTACGAGAATATTTCAGAATGCAAGTAAACCTCGCGTGCGCTAGACTTCGAGCTCATAATTCGTAACTGGGCGGCTGCTGCCTCGTCTTGCACAATTTTCAAGACTTCCCGAGGACCACAAGCAGCTATGCCAACAGAAAGCCCCGACTGGCTAGTAGCATCCCTTATTATAGTCGTGATATCCGGACGCCCGGAAAATACATTAATAGGTAGGCGTCTGACCACCGGAGAGTTTCCACTAAGCTTCTCGTCAGACAATTCGGGGTCTTTAACCGTGCTGTTGCTTTTAGACTCGAGCCTCCCAGTTTGGTATATGGAGATGTCGATATCGTCAGGTACCATATCGACGCCGTTCTCCTCTAGATGTTGTACTATTGCCTCCTCGTACCACCGCGGTAGCTGCGTATCCCTTGTGGCCATAACAACTTGTATCTTTGTGCAAGGCTTCTTATTGCCAGCACGTTGATTCCAAGCCGACCGAAGAAGACTTTCCAGCACGAACGGTAGGGAGAGGCCAGCACCGGCGCCACAAGCGATGACGAGGTTATAATCGTACGTGGATAGGGATCTTCCTTGAACCCCTCCGTACGGCCCATCTAGCAAAACCGGAACGCTGAAACCCGGTCGCAACGCAGCAGCCTTGGCTAAACGACCTGTGAGCCCACCTCTAGGTTGTACGTAAAATATGAGCTTTGACTGTCCGCCACTCTCTCCTACAACAGGTAAACTGCATATAGTAAAGGGGTGAGCCGTAAAGGCGTGCATTCCCATATGAACGAAACGAAGGAACATATGCTGACCCGGCCGCCACGTTGTATCGATAGGAATCGTCACCTTCAAAGCTAGATCCGAAACCATAGTGAAGCTAGCACGATTGGATACTCCGAATTCGAAGTAGGTGCGAATTTGAGGGTAGAGGAAAGAGAGCGTGTAGAGGACTCCGGTCGCGATGAAGTAATCCCTAAAATGGTGAGATCAATTAGCTCTTCGCAACAAGCCAACAAGCTTAGGCGAACTCACCAGGAACTCAACCGAAAGTCGCAGTGAAGAAAGAAGAACACCACAAATATTGCCGCTGCTAAATAATGCGTTAATTTGAAGAATTCGTAGAATCGATCCCTATTTCTCATGAGCCTCAACCATTTACCGTTCAGAACAAACAGCTTACCTGATAAACCGGAGTGAAAAGACTTGTAGATAGGCTTGTGCGATCAATGCGACAACTCCTGTCCAGTATACAACGCTGGTATTCCACACGGTGACCATGTCTCCTTTCCAGATATGAAAGACGATGAACGGAAAGGTATGTACAAGAGCGAGGGCGAACATAGCCCATCCGACCCAGTTGTGGAATATGATAAGACGCTCGTGAGAAACCCCTGTCAAGGAAGCGATCAGGTTGGATTTAGTCGGAAGGATCATCATGAATGGTAAACAGGCCAGAGCCATCCAACCGGTTCTAGTCGCGATAGGAGGCGAACTTCCATAACTAAGCGTTCGCGTGTTTGGCCAGTAATACGGCTTTGGACCTAGCGTCATCGCTACTCAAATACGTATCAGCCGGTAAGTCGAGAGGTTCGTGATAGCCTTCATAACGGATGTGGACTTACACAAGAAGAAAACGGCGCCGGAAATCAGCAGGAAGATAATTCCTAAAGCCGGAGTATGCCATCGTATTGCAGAAACATCGTAGCGGCGATATGATAGAAATCGAAAGCTAGCTATTAGCTTCCGCCACCACGTCTTTTCTCTAAGAGACGTAGGAGCAAGTCGTTGGGCGTAAAATCCAATAAAGCAAACGCCAACGACCGCCACGAAGAAGTAGATCGTCCCGAGAGCATATACATGATCTGCATGGTACCTGAGAACTCAACTTAGCCGATCGAAACGTGATACGTGACGAAAGTATACGGAACATACCAATATCTCCAGTAGCCACCGCGATATTCACATTGCGCCGGTGTAAGCTTGCACGTGTCCTCGCGAGACGAGTGAAGCATTACTGGCTGGTCCAGCCATGGTGTCCCTGACATATGCCCGTGGTCCATATTTCCTATCCGATTTCAAAGCAGACACGTAGTTCAGTTTGGGCGTCGGGGAAAAAGCGACATGATTGCAAAATAGTTCCTGTAGGACACTGCGATTTATGTAATACAGTCTTCTTGCCTCGTTCGAGTTCCGTCTTGCTGCCGAGGGGCTAATGGGAGCCAGTAGGCCTACAGAAAAGGTTCAAGGTTATCCCTAGTCGCATAATGGGCTAGTTCCGTACAAACAGCCAATCAGTTCACACTTAATACAGATATTTGTCTCATATATTCTCGCGTTGAGTACATATTGACTCTGGAATCACGACGTAAGGACTTAATGGGAGCTAGAGGGGGGTGAACGTAACAGCCACCCTACATCTGCAACGGACCTTTGCAGGGATACTAGGTGCGGGTACAATTTCGCCCACGTTGTGATGTGTCGGAAAGATTCATCAATAGCGGTTTGCGGTAAAGGTACATGCTCAGCTGCAAGATTAATAACTTGCTCGTGAGCAGTTTGACACGACCGGGCAAAGCTTGGTGTTTTGCTTGGCAGATAGACACAGGATTTACTTTGATGTTATAGAGGGACGTTCATTGGGTAACTAAACGTAACGATCGTGTTCATTTACTGATTTACGGGAAAAGAAATTTATAATGTCCTGAATTGCTCTAACAGTTCATGGGCAGGGAACGCCAGAGTTCTAAGCAACGCCGTAAACCTCCAGTAATACTCCTATTAGTATTTCGTTGATATTATGAAACATTCTGCTATGTTGTCCTACTTTATGAATCCTACCATTCTATTCTCGTATGACCAATTCCTAGTTCAACTTTCCTTTTTCCCTAGACTGGTACGTATTTTGTTTCCGCGTCGCAAACTATTTCAAAGTGTCCCCAATAATAGGCTAGACGAAGGATAGAAAAAACAGACCGTACAAAGAAGAATGACCTAGGGTATTGTAACGTTCAGTTTGGTTTAGCATTCGTCGGAAAATATTTGGTAACGAACTCACAGCGACAGAACCGAGAAGAGGAAGCAGGTCCTAGGAAGTAGGCAATCTCCAACTATCATCGAATTCAATGTACCACAGCTCTCTATATGCCAGGGTGTTACTATGAGATGATCTGGGCGTGTGAGATCGTTGGAGCATTGTGCGGCAACACTGTAAATCCAGAAACCCGACAACATTATATCATCCAGAGTGTCAAACAGACACGAGTAGGCAGTGACAGTGTTGAAATAGGCCAACATAAGCCGGGCCATACATGTAACCGTAGCAAGCACAGAAATCGCCAGATTAGATTCGCTTAGTCTCCTAATACCTAGTCAGTTTGAAGTAATGTCTTGGAATATTGAGACTCACTGTTGTTGAGATCTGGAATTCCAACTGTTTTGACCGCCGACTTCCCACGACGACGCTTTTCTGAGCTTCTCTAGGTATGCAAGACACATCAGTAACATAGTGATCAAGACAAGTACTATCTCAGCTGTAAGGGAGATAGTCCGAGGTAGGCTCGCGTAGACAACTCGATGCTTCATATTTCCCCTTTGAGTATTCATAAGCCCATCAACAGTTATAGAGGGTAGTAAATAGTTACCTAGCTAACTCAAGGGTTATATACATCAATGTTTCCTATTCGTGTGCTGTACGTATTATAGGCGAGAGTAGGTTTGAGCAAGTTTACCAGGAGTAATCTTCCAAGAATCGACTGGAACCGCCGATGGATCATACGAGCCAATCTCTCCATAATTCTCCCAGTCTGCAGTTCCTAGATCTATATGTTTACGAATTCAAAACTACCTAGGTAATCAATATCCCGGATTCTCCATTGGGCAAGTATCAGTAGTCTGGGCAATTTGCCTCTAAGGATAAGTTGGAGACCGTTGCAACTCTAGATATTGGATTCGCCTGTCTCTCTAGTATAGGTAGGGTATAGCAGTATTCTCCTATGTATTACGTGAAGGGTTCCAACGTATCGGCTTGGCTAGATATGTACACGGATAGACTAGCAAGCTCACCTAAATCACGTCCTATTCCAAGAGAGGTCCCGGCCAATCTGGATGGGTACTCAGCTCTATGACGGTTTTATAATTTTACCGGACCAAAACCATATAACATATTTGCTTTTTAGTACCTCATCTCAGCTAACACCGTCTCCATGTCCAGGCCCATTTCTCGCTGACAGTTGAATTCTTTCCTCCGCCAAAATACCCGTACGAGGCGCTATTCGGCGAAGCGATCTTGTACACGGAGACCAAATAGCGCTTTCTTTCGGGATACTCGCGTGGATCGTAATATCACGAGCGAGGCTCGAGTTTGAAGGGCTCGTCACGGTTTGTGCCGTAGAGATCTAAAATCGAACATTGCATTAGTCTCGACATAAAATAGCAAAGGAGTCAGGGTTGAGAAGTACGCCGCGTACCGTATTTGCCGCATTTTGGCTATAGTACGTGGTGATGTATTGCGTCAATTTCACTTCTGGTTCCAACTCTATGTGGCCCCTAGTCCAAACGTCTTTCAGCGCAACTTGCCAGCCGGGTTCACCTCCTTCATGTGAGCTTGACAATTGACAGACTTCGGTTTGCTTCCGCCGTAAGAAGCCGCGAAGTCCGGGAGGGTAAACGCAAAGTGTTGCCACCCGCCCGAAACCTGCTTCTTTCCGCCATCTTGAGGGCAGCCATTGCCGGAAAAGGAGACGGACTGTATAGTTGGTGGTGAGAACGGAGCTTCCGAAGCGTCGGGAAACGTCATAAGCTTCTGCGGCGCAGCTGTGGAGCAGGCCGCGAAGAATAGTATAAATGGACCGGCGAGACGCATGTTATCGTTGGATAACCTTTAAAGCAACGTTGGCTTTCAAGAGGTCTATATGGTATCAGCCAAACTTATAGTATGGATATACAAACGTTGGCTTACAACACCAGACACCTTTATATTTACGCCCCCAGCACTCTCGTCAGTGTAATCACCGTATAATGGCGCCACTAGTAATATACAAATGGACAAGCGACTTGATTGATTGGTTTCTATACATGGTATTCCTCCGATATTCTAGGATTCGAGCTCTAGATCACGACCCGAACGACTTTAGCCATATTAACTACATAGAATCATATTCCGAAAACCTGGTAAAGACCCGCTTACTTAGATCTCTTGGGGTCTAGAATAGATCAAAATAGAAATAGGGTCTGTCTTATCATAAATCCCGGTTGCCGGGTAATAACATATATAGCCCACCTTGCTCCAGCGAGATATGATGACATGCGAGGTATACATTTGACACTCTTAAAACTTGCTTTCAAGTCCTATATCTTTCAATGCAAATTTTACGTTCCATATACCATAAAGTGGCTCGATGCTGAACTGCCCTGGTAACTACAGCCAACATTGTGGATGATATCGAAAATGCCGGAAAGGCGGAATAGCAACCAGTCAGCTACTGGTAATTTCTAAAATAAACCAGGCCACTTCAATCAACCACATTGGCATACGCAGTCTCAGACGTAACTGCGCGGATCAATCCCATAGTTATGATTAGATCCCTATCGCTACTTCATTGATGATTCCGATTCGCGGGGATAAGCGTAACATAATTGCGTCAAGTAGACATGTTGCGATGAATGGACATCAGTCACAATTAAGATGCATTATATATATCGCAGTACTCGACTCCAACTCGAGTCTTGACAGTAGGTATTAGCTTTCCCAAACAAAGCCCCGTTACCCTTATCAATTCGAAGGATTCGTTATAATTACACCAAACTCCAACAGCCCACCACATGCCAACACAGTTAGGCACAAAATATTGGGGTATTATCCAGAATCCGATGTAGAATAGTGGTAAAGTAAGGAACATAAACGTCAGGAGAATCCAAGGATTGACGCTCCAACAATGGGTATTTGGAATCCAAATTAGGCATTGCGGATTCGGATCCACGGAGGTGGATGAGCGTTGGTGGTGTGAGTACGTATAGGACAGCACAGCGCCGGTACCTGTCGCTACCGGTTGAACACTAGAGCGTTTACTACATGGCCCTTCTTCCAGCCCTGGCTCTGCAGCGACGAGTTCTCCTTAAGGATTTTGCCCATGTAGGCTACGCGGACGCGTCTTGTGGAAGGTAGCTATGCTAGATTGTTAGAAGCCACACTTACGACAGAAAGAGGAACGACTTACCCCGGATTCTTCGGCTACCCTCTTAGCAAAAACTCTCACGCTTTCATCAACACCAACACTAATGACCACATCTGGTAAATTCTCGCTAAGTCTAGCACGAACTTTGACCATGTTCTTGATATTAGCGACACCTTTCCCCTTCTCCTCCCTCCGTCGCAAAGCTTCATCTTCGTCCAACTCCTCTTCGCTATCTTCCTCGCCAGCCAACTCGCCGTCTCCTTTCCGCCTCGCGTCGCCATTGTTTCTCTGAGCGCCGTTTTCTTCGGTCACATTCACGGGATCGCACACGATCCATTCCGGCAACGCGTAGTAATTTCCTAGCGAATCGTACACCCCGTTCGATAAGTCGCCTGTGGGTAGGGTGACTTCGGCTGCCTTCAGCATGCTCTGCGCCGTGGCTATCCCATCTGTCCCGTCATCGTCTTCCCGCTCGCCGCCAGTCGCGCGAACCAAATCCGCCTCCCATAGAACTTCTAGCGCCGCCTTCAAGACCTGCCACACCTCAGCGCGCCCGGTGACTCGCGTATCGAAAAAGTCGGCTCGCTCCGTATCTAACTGGGAACGGGTCCATGACCGATCGCGCGCGACCCACTCGTGTCGCCGCAGGGGCTTGTCTATATGTTGCGACAGCGGCCGCCGACAGCTACGCCTATGGTGGGAATGGGTATGCGACTGCTGCGGATGAGGCGACTGTGCTGGTTGGTGAGAGCGGGAGTCGGCACGCGAAACCGGCTGACTGTCGTCTGTAGCCGAGGGGTGCAACGGCGGGGAATTGATGGCGCGCGCAGAGGGTGATGCGGCGCTGCCACCCGGATAAGGGGCGTTGGGGCCGGCGGGCCTTGAGAAGCAGCAACCCTAAGAAACCAATCGTTAGCCAAAGATCGAGAAGACATGGCTGGTGGCGCTTTCTTGAAACCACCATACGCGCTTCTTAGAAAGCTTTCGGGGATTGTCGGACTACGCGGGGATAATAGTAGAAGAAGTGCATTTTCAGCGACAGTACCATTGTGCGCTTTTGGGAACTGGTGCCCACTTTGGACAGTGATAGGACACACCGGGCGAAGATGACCGTTTCAACGCATTGTCTTTTCTCTTTCTAGCTGCGATAATCTTCGAAGGGCGATTCGGGTCTCGATCGTCGGCGGACGCTAGTCTGAGGGATTACGTGCCGGAGGTTTGGGATAGGTATGTAGTTGCTCAAGGATAGGTTGATTGATGAGGCTCAGCAACGAAATATGGGGTGGATCGACAAATGGACTAGGTAAATTACGAATTGATCTGAGATACCGCCAAGCATTTCCCCGCTAACCTTATTATTATTAGCAACCATGCAGCCATGTCAACCATGTCAACCTGTCACATGGAATTCATATTAATCCATCAATCAATTGATTGCATTATTTCGGTATTTTGTAGGATCTTGCAAACGAGTGACATGTACTGCATTGGAATGTCTGTATTCTTGTGATATGTAGCCACGTGGTATGTTCGTCATTGTCTGATCTTGTATTTCTCTGATGGCTATCTTGTAAATAACCCGAGCCAGTCGTACCGGTGAACGGGGTGCTACACCCAACGGCATAAGGCAGGTAGTAACTTACTATTCACCTCACCAACGGCATACTTAGTAGCCCTCGTCATACCTATATCGTCACCAGAGGTAACCTCTACAACCTTTGCTTCCACACAAACAACGTGTCATATCTTTCTGCTTCTCCGGATCTAGAGCATCTTTTTCTGAATCATCCACCCCGTCCACATAATCAAACGTTAGCTCTTCGCCCCTGGGTATGTCTCTGAGCGCAAACAATGCCAGGTCGTGTAGATGCTTGTCCGCATGGTCCCCTACCCGAGCAAAGATGCGCATGTTCGGCTCGCAAGAGTGATTGACAAATCTGGTCGGGCCGGACATGAACTCACCGTCTACTTCTAACGGGGCTCCGCGCAGGCGGTCGTCGTAAGAGTCCGGGTCGGAGAACTTATCGAGCGCGAAGAGGTATACGTCTTTGCGCTGCGCAATGTGCGACTCCGCCCGCCGACGGTTGGCCTCTTCGGCGGTAATGATCTCGCCCATATACTTGTCGATGAACTGGCCTCTCTTAATGTCCACGGTGCTTCGCACGCCCCAGCCGCGGTTCTTGGTCCTAAAAATCTGCAACGGGATCTGGCGACCTCTTTCCACGACTCGGTTTGGGCAGTACGGACCGCAAGCGCAGCTCTCGTGGCATTCGTAGATGGGGTCGCGCGATGCGAGGATCTTGGAACGTAGTCGGCCCGCCCTAGCGCCGTGGCTATGATATGCGTAGACTTTCTTGTGAGGTTTCGCACCGTAGGTATCGTAGAGGTCTTCGTCGTCGGAACTATCGTCCTCGACATCTTGAAGACAATTGCACGTATTGTATTGGCAGTCCTCCGAATCGACGCACTCGCAACCGGTAAGGAACTCTCTCTTAGTTGGTTCTACACCTTTTCCGAGAACCGACCTGTCCATGAAACGGAAATCGGGGTCGAGCACGGCATCATCCTCGGTATTAATGATGGTGATCGGGAACCGAGTATGCGTCGCGAACGAACGGATCTGGCAGAAGTGGCAACGTAGCTTCTCGCTTTCTAGTTTTTCGTCGCCCTAATATTTCCGTCTGTTTAGCGTGAATATCTCTTTGCGATTGGGGATTCGACTAACCGCATCGCCGTGAAAAAAGAAATGAGGCCGCGTATACTCTTCCATCTTGGGCCAGCGACAAAAATACGGTTCACCGAAAATCAAGTGCCTTATGACGATAGCCAGGAAATTCCATGGCTTGGCCTGACGAAAAGAGCGCACCCTGATTCCTTAGGATAGGTATCGTTGGACACAAAAATAAGGTGGACAACGCGACCGACGCGTAGGTAGAATTACGTTATGTGGGTTTCTTAATTGGTTATTACGATAAGCGATCCGAGTTTATTTATATATCCGAGTTTAATATTCAAGGATAGGTATTGTACGACTCGAGGTCTCGGCTATCTCGAGGTTGACATAAAGTTTTCACTAGATTATTAGCACACCGCTAATGCCCTGACTAGCTTAAGTACCTACCTATAACTATAATGGTAAGGGTTTTATCCCGCCAGTGCTTTCTGGCAAACGGGTTGACCGCTCGTCCCGCATTACATACGACTTCAACGATCGGCTGCTTGTCGAAGTGATCTGGCAAGGTTCAACTACTCAAATACGCACGCGCATCAAGTAAACTGTCCGACGGATACCAAATCATACAAAACCTTGGGTTAGGCCAATGGCTACGCAAGCCGAACCTCAGTCCTTCCAGGACCGCGCATTTTTCCCTTCCTTTCGCGACTGCCCGCTAGAGCACGCCTGGGACGACCGGTATCTTGTCGAGTATGGCGAAACCGCTGGTGTAAACCGCAAACACTGGTGCCTCTTAGGAGATATTATCCAGGCCGACACTATGATCCGCCCGCGTATCGTAGCAAAGGATCACAAGGGTGATCGGTTTGTTGTCGCATTCTACCCCGACGATCCAGACGATATGCCCCGTCTACTAAAGGACTTCAAGGTGGGCAATACCATTGCTATCTTCTACCCGTTAGTTCACCGATTCCTCGACGGAAGCGTCGGCGTGAGAATCGAAGACTCCGACGAGGTTCTAGTGAGTTCCTTTTACCTACGCATCGGATTGCTACCCGTACGCTAACCTCGGTAGATCATTCCTCTCGGGTTCAAAGACGTCATCAAGATGAACGAACAGGTCCTCAAGTACACGGTCGCGGAAGGAACCCAACGGAAATGCCACGGTTGCGATGACGTAAAGGTGAATGTCAACGCCTGCGCAAGATGTACGCTCTTCTACTACTGCAACAGGGTACGTGGTCATTCGAATCCCATTTCGGTAGGGACGAGCTCGGTAACGTACTGACTGCTAAACAGGACTGCCAAGCGAAGGCGTGGAGCGAGAAAGAGCATAAGAAATTCTGCAAGACGCTCAGCCGAAAGGATATCAAACTCATGCACTTTCTAAAATACGAAACCTACGACGGGTCTATTTCCTTTAAGTAAACCGTAGCAGGTCGATGCGTAGAGTACTAGCTTCCTGGTCTCGTGTTTGCTATTAACAGCCCACTTAACTTCCAAACGAGAAGATCATATTCTGCAGAACGATGGAAGATTTGAGTCTTGTTTCTCCAGTACTGACGTGGAAGTACTCCTAAAGACGGATAGCTAGCGACAATCCCGGTCAACGTATAGCCCATTTGCAGCATTTGCTCGTTTTTACAAGTAGACATACGATATGGTAAGTATTAGTAAAGATCGACCTTTTGTAAGGGCGCGCAGATCAAAAAGTATGGTGATTTTATCTATTTTCCTTCTTAGCACAGGGGATACCCTCCTCATATACGACTGCTGCCTAGCGACTTCTTCTGATGTCGCTATTATCTTTTGACGTTTGGTGACCAAGGTCTTACGGCCGAGGGGAGTTCAAGTAGACCAGTAATCCCTCGTTATTCACTAACCTGTATTCTAAAAGCTATCTCGTAGTTAACGCTGTCATTGAAATGAAGACCTTGTCACTTTAAAGATGGACAAAATTATGGTATATCACTGAAATAATTCCATGCCACTATTCGGATGAAGTAACGAGGTAACATAATTTTAGAGACTGACTCGAATAGGGATTCACCGTACTGCTGTCTCGTTATACCAAGAGGAGTCATGCTCTTCTGCGATCCACGCCTTCAACACCTCTACTAACCCTACGTTAATTTCTATTTAAACCTCGTACTTTTCTAGACCTTCTGGTTTGTAGCACGTAGTATATCGATATTGGCCATAACCCTTCGCGACACCCGGTCTCGAGAAGCTCGTCGATTCCCATCAACCTCATTTCGCAATCTGCAAGTGCAACTCTTTCCTATCTCCTAGAGTTCCTTCGTTGGGTTACCATTCGATAAACTTACCATACTCCTATCGGGTATTACCATACCTGTCTGGCACTATGGGGGCCGGCTTTGTGGCATGTATCATCGCTTTTCCCATCACCCTCTTAGGCCTCGAAGCAGGTGGATACTCGTACTTTGCCGCGTTTGTCCACAATGAGCTAACTCCATACTTTACGGAGCATGGTATGGAGGCTCAGCTGAACGATTCCCGTCTTGTGTTCACGTACCTCCTTATCTCGGCCATCTTTCTCTGGTGTTCGGTCTTGAGCATGATGCTGGGCTTGTGCTGCGGAACTGGGCGCGACTCGTACGGCCGCGAGCGCTCCGGGTTTACCTGCGGATCTGGCTTGAGAGTAATCATATCCTGCGCCTTCATGCTCGCTATGATCATCCTGGCAAGTCTGACAGTGCAACACGTCTGGGAATGGTGGCAATACTTCGAGGCGAACAACCTACATCATTTCGCGAGTAACTGTCACGGCTTGGCGGGGATGATCCTCGCGGTTCTCGTTCTTACTATGATAACCCTTATCACTACGACTTTGTTGTACGCCTGCGATTCTGAACGGCTACCCCGGTAATAGGCATATGTCAAGATTGGGAGTTGGGGGACTGGTGGTCGGCATTCTTTGAAATTTGCTAGTCATCTGTAGACCCTGGGTTGGGAAGGTAAAGCGTTCGTCTGCTTGGCTGTTCCCATCCCGTTAGATACTCTAATGAATTGACGATATCTTATGCGCTGTTTATGAGAATCGGTAAACCTATTAAGCAATCATTAAAGTGCTTGAACTCCATAGGCTATGCTGAAATATTAAAGAACATGAACATGATGTTGTCAGGGCATAGCATTGATTTCTTGCATGTACATGCATATATGTACCTAGGCACCTAATGTACCTAGGTACGGAATACACTCAGGTCCCGGCCCCACTTAGCTCCCACGTTCCACTACGGTGGGACAACTATTTTTTCCCTTTATCTTTTATCAGCTTCATTTTTTATCGTCCATGTCGTCACAGCCAATAGGTAAAAATTGATCGGCAGAATAATTCACGCCAAACTCACTCGCGATCGTGTTATAGGATACCTCCTAGCAGACGCCGAATACCCTATACTCCGACCACAATGGCAGCCGACGAGCGGAACATGCCCTTCATAAAACACCTTGCATCCAGTGGTTAGTTCCTGTTTCCCTCAAGCCCGATAGAGGCACTAGAAGCTGACATTTGACCAACAAAAGATCGTAAAATACGAACCTCAGCCCTCGGTACCCTCCGCACGTTCCTTACGGCGCCTACCACCGCCCGGAAGCTGACAGACCTCGATTATCTAAAACTATGGAAAGGTCTATTCTATAGCGTATGGATGTGCGATCGGCCCATCCCGCAGCAGAACTTGTGCGCCGATCTCGCCGGCCTCCTAGCTACCCTTCCTACGCCGAGCGATAACGAGTGCGCCGTAGTAATTCCGTTCCTCCGCGCCTTCTGGGCTACTCTCTCCCGCGAATGGACTGCCATTGACGTTTTGCGCATGGAGAAATACTTGTTGTTGGTGAGGCGCGTATTTGGTGCTAGTCTGGCTTGGGCGGGCGACGGGACGAAAGGGAAGAAAGGCGAGCAGTTGGCCGGTACACGCGCAGACGGCATGCTTCGGCTGCTAGAGGAATGGCCCCTCGAAAAGACGGGCGACCTATCCAAAGTGCCTGTCGGCTTGCGACTTCACGTGCTGGATATATGGGTCGACGAAGCAGAGAAACTGGAGCTGCTGGCGAACGAAGGCGACGAGAGCGCCAAGGACTGCGGCACGTTTCTGGACAGGTTGCGGACTATCGTGGAGGTGCAATCCAAGTCTACTTGCCAACCTGTGCGATCTAGAGCTAAGGAATCTCTGTCCGACGAGAGGTTACCGTGGAATAGAGTTACCTCGTCGGAGGAAGAGACGGATGTTGACAAGGGCGATGGGGACAGCTGGGACGGATTCGACGACTGAGTCGCAAACTTCGGTTTATCCGCTGCCGGGAATGCGAACGCGGTAGGGTTTGGAGTTCGGGCGTTTATGCGGATGGACATATCCAGGGTTAACGCATTGCCTCGGGAATCGAAACATTTTGTTCAAGACCACTAAAGTCCTATATTAATAAACATACCTAAGGCGCCGCACAAGTCGTGCGCGTATTGCTCAAAGACTAATTTACATATCTACTTCTACGCTGGGGGTATCACATAACAACCTGCTCGTTGCTCTTTTCCGTACGCGCGCCTCAAGTTTATACAATGGCTTTCTCCCAGCCAGCCGGGCCGGCTGCTTCGTACCTCCCATTCTTCGACAATACGGTGCCCAATCCTTGGTGGATCTCAACCTGGAACGGCTCAAATGGGACGTGCTCGCCGTCGATGCTAATGTAGCCGTCTTTCTGATTGCGAGGTGTGAAACGATAGGCCACAACTTTCCGGTACGATACGTGAGGGTTGTCAAACAACCGACCGTTCTCGACCGACGTTAGCAACTCGAGATACTTGGCCGCCGAGATATCGCCGTCGTTGAACACAACATCCATCATCCCGTCGTTGGGGCACGCCGCCGTAAAGAAGTTCGCATCCGGCGCCATCCACGCCATCTGTCTAGAGTTAGAGACCGAGATAACGGAAACGTTCGTCTACTCACATTTCCGCAATAGAAATTTCCGAGCTTGTCATACGAAGCCGTCTCCCAGTCGTCGGGGATTTTGTCATTTACCGTCCCGAATCTTAACGGCGGTAGACCCTCTCCCGAATCCGTCTCGCTCGAGGTAGACTCGCCCGCCAACGATGCTTCCCTCGTAACGCCGTTCTCCCTCCGCGTAGTATGGTCGCATCCGTTGCGCTCGCGCTTGTAGTGCGCTTTGATATCCGCCTTCTCCGGGATCTCTACTTTCATCGATATGTCGCACGGGTACAGCTTCTTGCTGAATATCCTCTGCACGAGGCCGACGTTAAACCGCGCGGCGCCCAACCAACGCATGTTTTCCGTTCCCAAGTCGCATTCCGCTATAATGCCGACCGACTGGCTCAGAAAGCTGAGCATCCGCTTATCCCCCTGCGTAACGCTCATCAGATCCATCGGCATTCTTACCCCCTTGACGATGGCGAGCGCCGCGAAGCTCGGCCGGTGCGTGCCGTTCAAGTTACAACTCATCGCGTTTCCGCTGCCGCATGGTATATGCGCTATAGCCACCTGGCGCAAGGCTTTACGCGCGTCGGGTCGTTTCCCCAAGCCGTTTATGCACTCGTACGGCAACCCATCACCCGAGCAAGGGATTACGATGTCGTACGCATCGATATCGAGCCGTTCGCAGATTCCGACCGCCTCGCCCGAGAATTTTGTCCGCACCACGTCTAGCGACATGCGAGCCGCCTCGAATAGCGGCTTTACGTCGTGTTCCCACGTCTTATCGGCACCTCCGGGTCCCGCATGCGGGTTGACCAATACTTTGGCCCGCTTGTTGCGCTGAGCCGTCCCGTACGCCCGTTCAAGAACCACGCCAACCCACGCGTCTACCACACCGGGGACGGTCTCGCCGAGCGCGTAGGACAACTTGACGGCGCGGAGGTGTTTCTTGGATATCGGGTCCGCATAGTCAACGATCAAGTGTTCGGCGACGACCTCCGCCCAGAGGACATTATAAAGAGGAATCAAAAATTCGGCAGGAGCACTACCCACGGCAATGCCGCAGAGCTTCTTTCGGTGTCGCTTGGTTTGGTTTTTGTCTAGAGCACCACGAAGACACGTTAGCTCTAGCTAGGCGACTCGCTGCTTGATGGTATGAAACACCTTTGACGATTAACGAATTACTTGTTAGGGATAAAGAGACACCCTTGGCGAGGAGTAGAACATCCTTTGCGGCTGGCTGAGCGGGAGCTGCGGCAACGGGGGCAGCTTCAGCCATTGGTGGATTTAGAGTTATAGCGAGCGACGAAAGTTAGAACGAGAAGACAAAAGAATCTATATTGATGCGAGAATATCGACGCGACTTTCGTAGTCAGTTTACTCGTAACATGGCAATTTGGGAATTATTGGTAACGCTACCTAGGTAGGCAGCTAGGTCAATGAAGGCAGCAGATGTCAGGAACCGTATGCAGACCCCTGGTTCACGGAATCTGCAACCTGCCGGGATACCGAAGATGAAGATTCTGCTGTGATTGGACAATTCAATGTCTTTAAATTACAGTTGCTATTCTCCAAATTGTACTGTGTGCCACGTGCGGACCCTGACGTATTAGCTTAAGGTTACTTGTATTCGTAGGTACTTAGTGTAAGTTTAGGTACCTTATTGGCAAGATTAGGTCAAAATGGTATGTGTGCACTGTGCAGAGGTATTACGAAAACTTCATAGTTTAATACATCCTCGGTATCGACTATCAACTGACCAACTTAAATTTTCGTTTGTACTCTTCTCCGCGATGCCGTGTTTCTCTCCGCACCTACAATCAAGACGACGTGATGACTTAGCGCGACAACTTCCCCGGTCTCGTCCATGATGACAACTTCAAGATCCATCCTTCCATTCTTGATACACTTTGCCCGCACACGCGAGAATAGCCATTCGACACCCTCGGGTGGCAAAGCCTTCTTGACGTCTAAATTTAGGGCTACCGTAGGATACCAGAAGGCCGGCGGACGACCATCTCCCTTTTCCTTACGCCATAAGCCATCGACGACAGACGGGAAGTGATCTGATACAAAGCCCAGACCCTCGTTTGTGAACCTCTCTCCCGATTCAAGCCGCACCCATTGATCGATTAGACCCGGCACGACCTGACCGTCTCGCGGAAGAAAGGTACGCACGCGGTTAGATACCTTGCGGAATTTCGCAAACGGCTTGTCCGTCTGCTCAACCCAGCTAGCGTCCTTTCCGCTTTCGAGAAGCGCGGCGAAGCTAGTCGGCCGTAACGGCGGCGACGGGTATAACGACCACAACGTCTTGAGTGACAGCCCGGTTTCGGTAGCCAAGTTCGAGTGCGTAAGATATCCTACGACCTCCTCGCGACCCTCCTGCGACAGAGCGATATGGATAGTCGACGTCTGGCGGCCGAGTTTGACATCACGTACCACCAGAGTAGCCGAGCCCTCCTGGGTTCGGCGGAGAAACTCGACATGTAGAGATACCGTGTGCGGCTGATTCTGCGCTGCAAGAGTCGTGCGAAAATGAGTCGCAGCGACGCGAAGAAAGATTGATGTCACTACGCCGCCATGGGGTACTACGTTACATCGATTAAATCGGAATTGGCAATGCTGCAAAAGTGGTGATACTAACCAGAGCCTACGCACCACTCCGATTCGCAGTTTGCAGAGTACGTGTGAGAATCCAAAGCCTTGACGGCAGTGGCTTCTAAGAATGTCGGCACCATTTCGAGTAAGAGAACGGCGCGAAGTGATTCATCCCAGGAAACGCTATGAAAGAGGGATTGCGATTTCTATGTAAGTATCATTCATAGTAGAGATGGTACTAAAAGACGCGCCCACGTATATGTTCATGTATCTTGAAGTCATTACGGATTCGTGGATATCGCAACCTAAGCTCCAGTGGGTCTAACGTTACGAGCCTCGGTAATTCCCCAGACATTGAATACCTCTAGTCGCTGCAGGGGTTGAGAATTCGTTAATATAATATATGCGCTTAATAGGTTTTGACAACACTCCAAATCCCCGAGGAAATTCGTAGTTCACCATTCCGAAACGACGGATTAGCGTTGGCCATGATTGAATACTTTGATCTCATTACCGCCGCAGAAATGTTGCTGTAAGGGTACTCCGATATCGCTACAAAGTACATAGATAGGTATAGAATGCCATTGTTAAGTGTTGCCGAACTCGCGGACGCCGCTCGCATCGCCGAGATCCACATGACCGCTTTCGGCTCGAACGCGATGCTCCTAGCACAGTTCCCCACACCGGCCGTTCGGAACGCTCTAAAGAAGAGCATCGAAATGAAAGCGCTTGCCGACATCGACGACCCGAAAACTACCGTCCTCGTCGTCCGCGATTCAAGCCTGGAACTTCATAGCAGCAACACCATATCGGCCGACAACGAGCAGACCCACGAGCATCGAAAGGAGCAAGTCATAGCGTTTGCAAAGTGGGCGCACCCCGTGCGACTCGACGAAGACTACATCGAGCCCCCGTGGATTTGGCCAACAGGAACAAACCTCGGCATTCTGAACGATTGGGCAAAGAAGACCGAGGCAGCTCAATCACGCGCCTTAGGAGATACACCGTGTTATCGTAAGTAGTATTTGGTCTACGCATCACCTTTCACGAGATAGGGGTCACCGACTAAGCAGCCTTCAGGACTTCTGTTTATGGGGACTGATCCCGCATACCAGAGGCGTGGTGCAGCAACGATGATGGTCCGATGGGGCATAGAGCATTCGAGGAAAGATGGCGCTCCCGCGTATTTAGAGAGTACTCTCGAAGCAGCTTCGTTTTATAGAAATCTTGGTTTCGTCGACGTAGATAGGATTTCGTTGGAATATAGGGTAGACGGCGCCGAGACGCGTAGCATTTACGAGGAGGTTAGCTTTTTATACAGGTGACTAACCGCCGCCTAACTCCAGCACGTACGTTCTTATACCCAGTCCTGAAGTAGAGTTCATACGGATAAATTTCAATAGCCTTTCCCGTCTGATTGAGTACTAGGAAAAAGCAACAATCGCGTAAATCGTCTTACAGAGCCACCTAGCTATTACAGAAAACCAATTCTAGATTCCCGTACGGGTCGACAGGCGATCCTCACACTTGATGGGTCCCATCCTCTACCATTGCAAAATTGCGCAAGTCCTTTGCCGAATCTCTATCGCTGCCGAAACCTGGCCATCTCCATTCCCTGGACACGCCCCTCGTGCCCGAGCCTTTCCGAAAGGCAGCAGGAAGCGTAGTCGCACGGCGGGGCGGACGAGATGACTTATCCCTTATGACAAGAACTCGCAAATTGGGGATCGATTGCGCTACGATACTTACGCACGGCTCAGCCAAGTTATAAACGCATTGAACGCATCTCCCATCTCCGCCGCGACTAATTAGCAACAAGTCTAGTACTCAAAGCGGCTGGAGGGTGCTTACAAAAGTAAGTGAATGATGCTATCGGGTCCATTCCCGTCATGTTCGCGGCCCTCTTAATCGCTATCACGCCGGCGCTGTTCCAATGGCATCAGCGAGCACCATAGGCAAATAAGAACACAGAAGATTTAAGACATACAGGACGCCAAAGCTCATGGCTAGCGCAACCCCTATCTTCTCCTTTCTCACCATCTGAGTTTTCCATACAATCCTCCAGGGGAAGAAAGCGAGCGCAAAGTCCATTGCCGCCGAATATACTAGACCAGCCATCTTAGCCCTCTAGTCAAGGCGAGGAAGCGCGAAGGAAACCGGCAAACATACCCACCACCGAAAGAGGAACGGCCGTCTTAGCAGTAGAGTTCCAACAAGGCCCAGGAATGTACAGGTCGTCCCCGCCCTTGGCACCACAAGGCTTATTCCAAGCCGTGACTACGTATAAAAGGTACGAGGCATTAATCGTTACAAGAGCATACCAGAGGAAATATCTCGCCCGGCCGCTCTCGAGACGCAACAGGGTTAGAGCAAACGAGGACTTGGACCAGGCCGACGCGAGTCCGCAGAAGACGGAGCATACGTTGAAATACGTCATGACCCTGTCGTCGCTCGCAATGGAAATTCCGGAGCCCGGGGAGGCGAACGCGCTGATAAAACCACCAGCAATCGCTGCCATCACCTATCAGATCGCGATTAGCACCCGTTCTTCCATAAGGTTGTTCGTCTAACAGATATCTCACCCAAGCGCCCACGAGAACAAAGTCATCCCACCTAGAAACCTCATTAGAAACGATCCCACATTTGATCTACGATACACGAGATTTACCATAACGGCCGCCGCCTAGACAGTCGACAATAGAGTCTCAACGCGAGGGCCAAGAGAGATACCCCGACCATGAACCAGATGCCGATATGCACTGACGTCTCCAGATTAGCCATGGTCAGCATAAACTATGTCTGACGGAAGGTGTATCAAACGCAAGTAGCCATTAAGTCCAACAAGAGCCCTAGACTCAGATAATATGCGCAAGGCCGGGAATTAATATATCACCCGCATATTCTATTTCCAAGTCAGCAGCCAAGTCAGCAGCCAAGTCGCCGGAAAGGAATGGTTGTGTGGTTGTACAACGTCACAGCCGCTTGAAAATCCCGTCGATTCTGAGGCCCGATCACTGTCCGGAATTACGTAGACTCCATAGGCCATATCATCGCACACCAATACGCAAGCCTTCAAGTATGTCCGGGCCGTATCGTGTTGCCCTAGCCATCGCCCGAACGACGTGAGATTGTCCTATTTACATAGCCTGCATAACAACGTCCCATCGGTACAGATTGCGAATTTGTCTCGCAGCGGACGCCACCATCTCGGCAATCTTACCCAACGCGGCGTGCGTGCAGGTACTTGGCATACAATCCTAAAGACCTATTCGAGTAAATTAGGAGATTGGCAGTTTCACGCCAAGGCCGTAAATTAGTCACTTGGAGGATTTTGAATTAAACGGTTGAGACTTTATTAGTCCTGCTGATGGTGCATAAGCAATATAATTTGATGGATTCGTAGAGCTTTTGATGCACAAGTAAAACGAGCATTTTGATATCTGCACATTCTTAAACGCCCATACGACGTCGTCAATTGCGAACGAGATAGGTGCAATTACGCTTGTATTAAGAACTTGTTAGATTCTAGATCTCGGGCAAAGGACCATAGCCAGTCTCCCACAGCTAAAGTTCCTCGGGAGCAACAAATTTCCATGATGTTTCCCCGTGACAATTATGACTTGGAAACATACTTAAGGACCACCCCAAAGACTGTTCGATTCCATTAAGCAATGCAGTGTATCACTCGTGATAAATACCTGACAGCAGTCCCTTAGCCACCATCGTAGCAATTATAGGGGGAATAGCACGTGACATGTTTGACAACAGCCTTATTTCCAACGTCTTTAATACTTGGTAACCGGATCGTATTATGAACTGATCGTGATAGTATTTTGGTATTCCCCGTGCCAATTTCTATCTTTACGTGTCATTCGCCAATTTAGTTCGTCCCAAGCGCCTCTGATTCTTAATCATGAGTGAGTTTCGCGGCTGTAGAATACCTGGGTATTTCCCAAATTCGTCCGATATTTAGATCCAGTATTGCTCACCTTGAGATTGGAATGAATCACGGATTAAAGGTCTCGATTCAAATAGTTTCCTCATCTGGGGTTTGCTTTGTGCTTAATAGGAGGTGACACTTCCCTTACATGTCGTAGGAGCTGGAGTTCGTCAAAATACCAGGCGAACGGATGTGAATGGCCATGATTAAGCTCGTTAAGGAATATCCGTGATTCAAGGGACCTCAATAGTCACCCCTAAAGCTTTCAGTAGGTATGGCAGAAGGAAGTCTCGGTTTACTATATGAACAGCTCTCCTAGGAATCGAAAATCTGTTCTTTCCAAATCCAAAGCAACAGCACCCAGAATTCCAGCGTCTCTATCTAGGTATTTAACTACGTTATGGATGACTACGATATCTCCATCTACTATGAGACTCTATCGGAGCTTAAAGACTCTACCCACTTTAACACACAAGTGGGTTTTGGCGTTTACCAAGCCCTTAAGGGTTGCCTTACGCCGGGCTATAGACCCCTAGATGCTGCGCACAGGATAAATATTCTCCGGATGGAATATATAGGAACTCCCACAAGTTTTCTCCGTCTATTCTGGCGAGCCTTTCTTGAAGTCGCCTGCCAAGTGCCATGGTTTGATGATGGCCAAGGAAAACTCGTGGAATCAATTTCGCATTTGAAGTCTCTCCGCATACAGGTACGTGCTTGTCGATGAATCTATATTTGTAAATACCCCGAGGACTAATTGGGTTTTCAAGGAGTCAGGAATATCCTTTTGGGGTGGCCTGCCGGAATTCAAACCTTGTGTTGGAGAGCTATGGCATAGTAAGCTACCTTTAATTTTAACGCGTACGGGAATTAATTACTGAATGTATCAGCACCGGGGAATGGCGGTAACGGTGGCGAAAAATATCGAAGATGGGTTAACCTGAATGCATTTACCGCTCGGGTTTACAACAACAGTCTCGGCGAATGGTACGACCTTGGGATTTACTCCGTGCGTCGCGCATTGGAACGTCTCAATTATCCCTCAATTCCGGCCAGGATATGTCGTAATTTCGCTGCCGCAATGTGGATGATCTATTCGGCCCCCAAGTTTTTTCTCTTGACGCAAGCCGCCATGACTGAGAGAGGCCGAGAGGCATTTACAGGCACGGGATATATCGTTTTTGGGTCCCCGGAGTTCAACGGCACGACCGTCATTACTATGGCTCGCTGGATCAAATGGAAACGTTGGTTTCGCGAATCTTCGATAACCGGATGGGACCCACCCTTTACTGCGTATACGTATATGCATAATGTTGATGGCGGTGTAGGCATGGAGGATATGGATCAGCTAAAATCATTTGGCTAAGATTTGGTATGTGGAAGGGAACTTTGCGACATGCCATCCTTTATGTCGTGTTATAGGGTATTTCTGCTTTCCTAGTTGCTGATAGCAAGTTTGAGAGTCCTAGCCAAGGGTAATCTTACTTGAGCACCTTAATATTTAACCATTCTACGACTTCTTGTGAAGACCTTTCGACTTTGATCGTGGAGAATTGTATCAAACGGCGTACAAACTTGAGGGATGCTAAATCATATTGCAGGATCCGTGCTACTTAATGATAGTAATTGGAAGTTTAAGAATTTTATTGTCTACTTAATCTATATCATATACTGTATACCCAGTGATTAGTTTTATGGAACATGTTTCATTTTGGTTGGCAAGATGTATAATGGAATGCCGTATCGTGTGAAATGGGTAACCAAGAAGCAGGAATGAAGGATTGGAACTCCCTAGGTTAGTATCATAATTCCATCAATGCACAGAAGTCTTAAACTAGATAGGTCCAAGGGTAGTGTCTTTCATCGACAGACTATCAGCTGACACCTTATCAACATGCATCTAATATCTAACAGCATTGAGCCTCTACTGTGGCCAGTTCTACCAGGTCTTACTTTGAACGGCTTTCACGTTGTGACTTGAAGTGTTGAGAATGGGCTAAGACTCGATTGACTGTTCGCGTTTCTTGGATATCCAAATGATACAGCTCGGTAGAATGAAGGTCGAGCACCTAAAATGTGCGTGAACATAAAAGCTCCAAACCATAGATAATTCGTTTCTCAAATCCAAGCCTCCTTATGACTGACTTAGAGGGGTAAAATCGCGGTTTATTCAAGGACGTTACGTCCATTGTTCACCATGACTTTGCGTTTGTTCCACGTCTAGCCTTAACCTCAGACTATTACTTGCTTTTCGTGTCCCAAGACTTCCATTATTGGGATAATGTTGAATCAGGGTCTTTTTAGTGAATTATGAAATTTACAGTACTCCATATCTCTCGCAGAGTAAGATATCGCCAGTGATTTTGATGTAAATGAACTTTGTGTCAATGGCTTTGCTACTCGATCAGAACTAAGTTTGAAATCTAGCCGCCATATTCGGAATCGTTGACCCTACCACGACCTCCCGAGTAAGTGATACGATATAGGACTGAAATTGAAAATGATCCGTGATGTAATGACTGAAGTTAGTCACACCGAATCTTTTCCTGATAACCATAGCAAAGTCACCAAGTTACTATATAACATGGCATTTCTAGCTGCAATAACCCATTCTTCATCTTAACACAAACCGATCTCTTAGACGTAGCATTTCTATTCGATCAAGCAAGCCATGGCTTACCAAGACGACCAAGCCGCCCGCCCCTTACCTAGGCTGGTGTTATACGGCGACCATCATTCCGAGATCGATCGGGCCATTCTTAACATCCTCAACACGTGCGTTGGGCCGCCTTATGGTTTACTAGGAGATGCTTCAGTCGCTCTAGATAATCTTAGACCATCAAGAAGACACCAACATCTCGGGGAAAATCTCGAATCAGACTCGACATTCCTCCGCGGTTTCTGGCGGACTTTCCTCGAACTCGTCAGCCAAATTCCATGCGATGACCCGGCCCAAGGTTATCTTGTAATGCTAATCAAGGATCTGAGAACGCTACCCCCGTCTAACACGGTACGTAACTAAAACCATTATGTGATCTCCAGCATTGCGATTAATCATTTCACGAACAGTCTGGCATGAGCTTCTGGCGCCACTTACCAGGGCTCCAAATAGGCATAAAGGATATCTGGTGTGGTAAATGACCTCTATCCCCTCCTTAACTCGAGTTAATTACTAACCAAGTACAAAGAGCCTACACGTTACGAATACGATCATCAGGTATACGAGCAATGGATTAATCTCAACGCGTTTGCCTCGAGACTTTATTTCAACGATCTTGCCGAGTGCTACGGCCTAGGAATCAGGGCTATGCGCCGCGCATTCGAGCACGATCAACCCCAGGACAACATGTTTATGAACTGCCGCGTTAAAGCTGCCGCGCAATGGATGTTTTACTCAGCTGACAAACTCTTTTCCTTGATGACTACCTGTCGTCCTACCGAGAAAGATCAGTTTGATCATCTAAGTCCACTGTTTTATGGCATCGTGGTCTTTTCTCTTGACCGTTGGGCTTTTTGGAAGAAGAGTTTTAGAAATCTCTCCGGGGCGACAAGGGATGATGCTGGTACAGCTGTAGCAAATATGGACCGAGCAGATGGCGGTCGACCAGTGTAAGAGCGGGTCGAGGTTCTTTGATCTGGTAGATTAATTTTCACAGGAAATAAAGCTCCCGGATATTCTTACTTTAAGCCGTGCGTATTTAAGATACATACTTCACACCTGTGACCTATGGTGACGTTTCGCTAATCCTGTCTACTATCGCGAAGTAGCGAAGTAGGATCGGAACGAGGAATACGAAGTAAGCTATTAAGGCCGACAGCCATATAATTAAGGATGGCCAAGATCTTTTAGCACGTTATGGATAACGGATTTGTGCCTTTAGATTGTCAGAACTTTATGATTTTGCGATAAGGATGCGATCAAGAATTTGGAAGTTGACTTTACTGAAACAGACCCCTTGGGATCTGGTATAAGCTCTTGATATAGAAGAGATCTCCACCTACAAGGTAATTGTATGAGACAACTTCCCGGGCCCTTGGTTCGAATATCTGCATGTACTTGCTGCCTACATTCTCAACGGCTCCGTAGTGAATTAGGTGCGCTCTCAATGCCATAGCCTTCCGTGGGACAGACCTTTTCATACCCATCGTCAGCGTCAGATTCTAGATGAGACATCTAGACAAAGAGTACTGTTAGTACGTATAACCCTAGCCTCCCGTAGCTAGTCGAGTCCCTCGCAGAACAAAGCTGTCTCCTAGATTCTTCCTCGTGATACTCAGTACGTTGACGATAGTGCAAGTATCTCGGGACTCGTTAAGCATAGCGTCGTTCACGAAATTAGATTTACCTAATTGAAAACCGACGTGTGCTCGGCGTGGACTCGTATTGACGTACGAGAGTATACTTGTTTCGCTCAACCATCCAAATTAGTTGAATATGAATAGCTTCAGGATCACGTCGACTTTGACTTACCACAATAAAGTACGAGCATGTGCAGAAAAGTATCGATACGCTGCCAAGTCGAGCTGTGGTAAGTCAATTTCCATCATGAGGGATGGATCATCGGGAGTTATAAAGATGTCAGTTGTAGTATTATAGGGCATCAAACGCTTTGGCGGTACCAATCTATTAGCCACTTCTACCATTCGGAATTTCTGATCCATACCGCAAATCCCTACTATGGCCTGCTTCCCCGTATCTTGAATCAGCTTATAGCCTGAAGAACACTGTCACATCGCCACGTCATTAGCCCGAAACCCGTCAGGTTCCCCTCATGAAACTCACGAAATATTAGCCTAACTGGGAAAATCAGAGGCTTTTTGTCCAGCCATAATAATACATATAGTCCTTAGTTCCGCATCATTACTGGCTGCCGCATCTCCCCGCCTGCAAATGTGATAGCCAGCGCTAATACGGGGTTGACCGGGTTCGACAGACCGAAGTTACCGAGCAGGTTCGTTTTCAGCATATTTTGTATGAGCGGATATCCGGCCAACTATACATGGTTGATATGTTAGCGATGTAGCTCGTCACTGGGTTAAATAGCTACAGGAACCCGATCGATGGTGATTAAAGAAATTGATATTCCCTTAGTATAACTACCTAAGGCTACGTGCCTAATAGAACCCGTGTCCATCTTTTAGTCAATTGAGGCGCTCGGTGTTCGTATTTGACATAGCTGCTACATTTGCCATGTGCCTTTCTAGACAATTGGGAATACACGATGCTTAAGGCGTTACTTTACACGCATCTGCTAGCTTTGCTACCTGGCATCGCAACTGGCACTTCTATCCGCAACATTAAAGCAGTCGAGAACCTAGTCGTATTCGGCGATAGCTACTCTGACGAAGGTAGATTGGCATACTTCCAGGCTCACAATGGCACTGCACCACCGGCAGGTACCGTCATCCCCACGGCGAATATGACTGCCAGTGGCGGTTATACATGGCCTCACTTTGCTTCGCAGCAGCTCGGTGCCACGACGTACAACTATGCAGGTGAGAACTGGATACATTCGTAATATTCAAATATCTACCGTAGACACTTATAATGCCAAATACGTTGCTGATTTGCAATAGTTAGCGGCGCCGCTTGTTCTAACGAGATAATATATCGTTATCTCGAATCTATTAATGGACCTTTCCCGTCTGTTATCGACTATCAGATACCTGCATTCCTGGCAGACGTAGAGTACGCCTCAGGCGAGGGCAACGGCACCTTTTTTCCCAATAGGAAACCGTATAACACTGTCTATGCTCTTTGGATAGGTACTAACGATCTAGGGGTCAACGCATTTCTCACGGACTCTCAGCAACCCGGAACAACCATTTCGAACTTCACCGACTGCATCTGGTCCGTGTTCGACGCCATATACACAGCAGGAGGCCGACGTTTTGTATTATTTAACGAAGCACCTCTGGACAAGTCACCGCTTTACGCTTCGCCCCGGAATGGAGGAGTCGGCGATAATCAGTATTGGTCAAATAAAACAGCCTACAATACAACCGAAACCGAGCAAAGGATGCTCGAATACACGACCAGCGCGAATACGATATTCTCATACGGCGTACCTTTCCAGCTTCTCGTACAAGCCAGGTGGCCCGATGCCTCCTTTAGCATCCTAAACATCCACCAACTCTTCTTGGATATCTACAACAACCCTTCAACGTATCTAGATGCACCCGCAAACTCCACCGCGCCATATCACGAATGTTCCGCTACGGCATCAAAGATTGTAACCTGCACGAATTCTGAGAATTCGCTTTCCAGCTTTCTATGGTGAGTGCCTGCGAAACTATAGATAACGTACTAACTTGCCGAAGGTACGACGAGCTGCACCCATCATCGAAAGCAGGTACGTCGAATAATCATACAAAGAGTTTCAAATATTAATTTTGACAGACGAGGTTATTGCCGCGGAATTTGTAAACCTACTCCAACAGACCTCAGAATGGTATGTAACGTTACAACATCCAATCCCATTCAAGTCTAACTGGTTATAGTAAGTTGAATAGTTATATAAAATCTCAAAGTCCGAGCCCAACATCGGCCTGTTTCCAGAAAGGTTCGAATGTAAGACTAATGTACGACAGACGAAAATATGGACTACGTTTAGTAGATCCCAGGCGGGTAGGAAGAATGGGATGGAAGAGACTTGCTCGGTGACGTGAGGAGTCGATAATCAATTAGCTTAGCTAGGATTTTAGTGTGCTTGGACATCTAAAATGACAATTTATCCGTGTGACGTTGTTTTCCAGCGATGCGTAGCCTCCGTCCTATAGAGCCTTGAAGCAGCCTACCACAGCCATGTTAAAGACTGTTCAATACCCCGTACGAGCTGTAGCACTAGAAATATCCGCATTTCGTCTCATGGTATCGTCTGTACGACGCCCCATCGCAGCGAGTATAGTATCTCATAGCCCTACCTATAGCGCTACTCTACTTGCATTGTTCTCGCCTAGAAACATTGGTACCTGAGCATTTAATTACTGCATCATGGAGCTGCTACTATGGCGGGGTATAGATCCTTATAAAAGGCCCTTGATGTATGTGGGTGATGGCAGTAGCTTGCCTAAAATGTTAAAACCTTACGTATCAAGTAACTGTTACTGCTAAGGCCAAATCCATCGAGACGAGATACATAATTGATTAGGGTAGTAGATAGGTAGCTTTGAGAACTGTTAGAATAAATCTGGTATCTTGGCGGATGATCTAAGATCCCAACGGGGTCGAGTATTGTGAAAGCCAATGATGATATAATAGCATTAGGTACTTTACGTTAGACAAATCTATCACTTAAACATGACAACATAGTAGAATACTGTTATTGCCCACACGCATAGTTCGATTGAAGCTACTTGCTATTATACTTCATTTTTATCACACTTATCTGAATCTAAGTATGCTGATACCCAATCCATTTCTCGAAACGTATCACACGGGATTTGAATATCTTCTCCGTCACCATCGACAGCCTCAAGCTTCCACCGAAGACCTCTAAAATTCTTGCGGTCGTTCCGAACCAGGCGGATAGTATTGCTTTGCAAGTCCATAACCCATATGTAACCATCGCTCTCCGGCAGCGACAGCAGACCAATATCCCGCCCCTGACAGAACTGTACAGGTAAGCGTGCTAAAGCCGCCGCGACGGCTGAACTGCCGGGCTGCGCTTCGCCCGGGTAGGGGTCTTGCCTCTCTCGGATGAGAACTTTTAGCTGGCGGCCGCAGTCGCTGCCGAGCAGGTCGCGGAGGGCGCGGAGGGGACCCGTCAAGCCGACGATCTTGCTTCCCAACTGGGAGGCCAGCTCGGCCATCTCGCCATCCCATCTTCGCTGCACGACCAGGGCTAGCTGCCAGAGCCCGAAGCAGACGAGGTGGGTGCGTATCTTGTTAATTTCAATCTCTAGGACCGATTCCACAACCTGCGCGACGACCCTAATCGGCGCTTCCGGGGCCTGCTCCATATGGGTGGTGAGGGCGCGTACCGTCTCGATGGTTTCGTCGTCCCAGACGCCGCCGTAGATCCTACCGCACAAGCGGACGAGAAGATTCATGAGGTCGGCGGGTGGGGTAGGCAAGGGGGCGCCGTCCTTGAACCAAGGTCGAACTATTGTCCAAGCTCGATCCTCTCCAGCCTGCTGCGAGGCGGCCGTAAACTTTGCCTCAGCTACAGCCTTCACAAATGGTATCCAGATCTGTGGGTCTTGAGCCTGACCGGATTGCATCATGAAGTAGCGCGCCATCCCCAACACCTCGTCCTGGATCTGCTCGCTCGGATTGCCGTCCCTCATAGTCTCGTCAGGGAGCTGATTATTTCTCGCGTTGAGATCTTCCTCTAGTCTCGTGATCTCGAACTTGATCAAATGGAGCCGTTGATTTACATCCGAGTTATTATCCTTCAGCTGCTTTTTTAGCCTTGCTATCTCGGAAGCGCTTTCTTGAAGCTGCTCCTCCAGCTTGCATATATGCTGCTTGTGCGCCTCTCGGATGCTGGCAATCTCGGCGTTAAGGCGTTTCTCAACTATCTCCTTCTCTATGTTGAAAAGGGTGTCCTTGTAATCCGAGGACATATGCCGGAAGCGGTCCAAGGTACCTTCCTCATCCATAACCAAAGGTAAGAGGACGTCGAAGTTCCTCTGCTTTAGATTAGCCACCTCCTCCCTCCACACCTCCAAGTCTGGCCGGTTTTCCGTGAGCGCCCTCGTATCGTATTCGACACGGGCAGTGGCGTTCTCAAGAGCTTCGAGATGAGTCTTTGCCTGCTCCGCCTTTTCCCTCTGCTTCTCTAATAGGTTTTCGGCCTCGGCTTGCCTCTCTGCTTCCCTCTCTTCTTCGTCGACGCCGCCATCGTCGTCGCCGCTTCGGTCGTCGTCGGATGCGGCCTCGAGCTGTTTCATCATATCCTCTACCTCCTCCATAAGCCTCAACGGCTCCTGTGAATCGTAGTCACTCATGGCGATTAGTGAAACTACGGATTAGGGCTGTTGAAATTATGTGTATTTCAAAGTATGTAGGAAGGCGGCACATTAGGTGCTGTTGGGATATCCTCTAGTCACGGTTACTCAGGAATATTGAGTCATATCTACCTACCTAGGTACATATAATTATATTTGTGGGAATTGTCAATGCACCGCACGCTCCTGGTCAGTGCGCATGAGGGATTGGATCTACATAGGTACCTCTTAAAATACCTATGCCTACAACTATTGTTCACTTGATCTAGGTATTAAGAATATTACCTAATTGAATTACATCAATCCCCTGGAAGCCGTTTAGTAGCTTCTACTCGAACGTCCATAATCCCGCTAGTCTAGCCGGACTTGTGCGAATCGATTAATGAACATGCCGAGCCTTATGTCGGCCAGAGACAGGTACTTAGAGGGTCTTAATATTAGTTAACGGAGTTTTAAGGAATGTAATAAAAGGTTTGCTAATATTTAATGAGCAGAGGTCTAATGCGTACTTATGTACCTAGGTAAATGTTATAGCGACGCTCGCAAACTCTAGCAGGTTCATATTCTAGATTAGAGGTCTCCCGGAGATACCTTACTTAAACTTGAGGTTCTTGCCTATCAGGGTTATGCTCGTTATGCTCGTTCTCTTCGTGATCATTCGGCATCCTCTGCCACTGTTGCCACCTGGGATTAGTCTTAAAAGGTCCTTACACTAAGATAGCAGGTCGTATTGGGAATTAGGGATATCGCCGATTGGCCGTATATTAATACTATAGGATTGCGTATGGTTCCATGGGAAGTCAGTGCCTCGTCTCTGTCACTAATAGTCCAAACCTTCGTCCACTAGTTTATGTTATCATGTTCTTACTTTGCTCAACTGTGGTATGGAATTTAATTAGGGGTAGAGGCGTACAGCGCCGTCGAAAGACAATAGACAGGCGTTAATATAATTCGACCATCCTGATATTCACTCTATGTATGGCTTTCACCAAGTTTTCCCCGATATACCAAGCAGATAAAGCACCGTTTAATCCGTCAGTAAATATGTCTGCCTCGGAGATATTCCCAACAATAGTATGCATATGTTTAAATTCTCAATTCTATCTACCCCTAGCTACCGAGATGTACCAAAAACGGAGTTATAGCAATGTATTTGGAAGGCTCAGCGTAAAAGCACAGACGTAGCTGCTCAGCGGAGCTATTAAATGTATTGTGGTCTTCAGTAGCCCGATACCTGACTCAACACCTTTGGCCGCATACCCAAATCAGCCCCCTTCCTATAGAATGGTACTCGGCAACAATGTCACACCCTGACGGAAAGAAACTGCCATGAAGATGAGAATATATAAACAAATCATGGGCTATCCAAGACGAGAGTTACTTTTTTAAAATTCCTAATAGTCGGCTCGACATTGTTTTACCATACAAAAACCTAGACGGTACCTTAATATACTAATTAATTTATTAACATTTAGAATGCCAAGATAGGATCTGTGGTCTACCAGTAGTTAATAGAGTATTCAAGGCTCATTCCAATGAATATACTGGTATATTTATCATTTTATTGCTGAACTCGACACTCATTTACTATGCAGAAACCTGGCCGCAGCTAAGGGGGAAATTGTCTAGGTACCTAAATTCGCAGCCACAGGATATCCTCGATACTTGAAACCAATAATTTAGATGTGATAGTCTTAAAAAGCATTCCGTGACTCGCGGGATATCTCAAACAGATACCAGTTTCTTAAAATCTCCACTAGCCGACTCAACATCGTTTTACCATACAGAAACCCAGACACTGCGCGGGTCTGTTGATTAATTTCTTTAAATTCATCACAACAATATATGATCCATTGTTTAACTGTTATGGATATCATACCTCAAGAGCTATCCAGCCCATATGACGGGATGTTAATTGGCTTGGAATTGGGCTCAACACTGATTTATGGTGTTGAAACCCGACCGCTTCCTGAGAGTAAAATAAATCGTCTAAATTCGCTGCGACGTGACTTACCTCCCATACTAATATCAATCTATAGCGCTAGTAAAGTTCTTTCTAATGATCATAACCCCAACTTTTGTTGCCTCCTTGGACGGCATTAGGGCCTTCTATGTAGCCGAGGATGTGAGTGCCGAGAAAAAACGAGAAGCTCATAAGTACATGCGACGATGAACCTTCCTGTGCTTACACTAATATCAGAGTTCTACCTACATTATTCTATCATATGGCAGGAGTACGTTGGGTGATAAATGCTGACTTTCTCTTGTAAGACTTGTGCTTATATCTCGGTGATAATCCAAAAATGAGGCTACATAAGCGGAAGATAATAATAGATGAGGCTTCACCCCATATGGAGAAAAGTCATGCAGATAACTACAATGGCATAAGTCCCATTCCAGGTCCAATATAGCAAATGGCTCCTTACTAGAGTCCCGTATATAGCTAGACAATTCATCTGGGAGTGGTAGATCGCCTTGAGGGCTTTTCGAGGAAATCCGGTAGCTTGGGGGGCGATCCAAGATCCCGACGAGTCCAAATTTTACAAAAGTCCATGATGCCAAAATGCCGCGCTTAATCAAAGACAAATTACAATAACCCTGGAATTTTGCTAGAGATCGGGTTGTTACTATATCCCTTTTCTAGGGGAAACTCTGATATACCAACCTATTTTAGGAAGGGTTATTGTCGCCACATGTGCCTAGGTACCTACCAACTTGACCCTTCCCTCAACCATCAAGGAAACCTTAGGTATATTGGTAATCTTGTAAAGAGGTTGATAAGAGGTAGCAATATTATTAGGTAGGTAGTATGAGATGTAAAATATCGGAGCAATAACTCGAATTATTAACTAGGAATGCGCTGATATTAAAGACGATTTATGGAGGTACAGAATTATTCATTGTCTCTATCAAAAGTTGGAGCAAAGCTAAATATTATTATTATGATGCAGCAAGACGAGGCGTCCAAGGTGGTTACCACCGACCAAGCCTCTTCCGTCTCCTCCCTCTTCGCACGCCAGGGGTCTACTCCCCGTAATCCATTTCACTATCGTCATCACAGTTTATATTCTCCTCTAGCATAGCCTGCCAGGCTTCCGCCATTGCGGAGAGTTCTTCGTCCAGCTGAGCCTTGGTAGTCCGGCTTTTCTGGGAGGGACCGGCCGAGGAGTCACCACGTTGCTGCCCGAAACCACCACGGTCGTTGCCACGGCCACGGTAGGCACCACGGCCATAGCGAGGACCACGGCTACGGGCTTGACCGCTAGGGAGGTTGCGACGATCCGCAGTTGTATATTCCTCGTCGACGGACTGCGTGTCTTGGTGGGTGGGTTGTGACTGCTGTTGCTGTTGCTGTTGCTGTTGCTGCTTGGTTAGGCTTTTTAATAGCCTGACCCGGGGCTTCGCTTGCGGCTGCTCGTGCAGCAGTTCCTGTGTCACTGGCATGGCTAGCTCCTCCTCCGTGTCCTCCTCCAATCCTCACACCCTGAATTTCCTCCAAAGGCGTTAGAATATTGGTGAGGGAGTTGATGCTTCTCCCCCCTGAATCCTGAGTGCCCGCCCGAGCCACCCGCAACGTCTCCCGTGGGGGTACCGCCGGCCCTATCGACGATACCACGCCCACGCCCACGCCCATGCCCATGCCCATTACCACCGCCACTACGAGAAGATTAATCCGCCACTGCTGTTATGGTTGTTGCTACTACTACGATAACGGTATTGGCGTTGGTGTTGAAAAGAGGAGGAGCACTTTAAAAATTTGGCGGAAAGAGTTGAGGGTAATAGGTGCCTACTTTGTCCATAGCGGACTGAAATTCATCTAATTCTTTGATCACTGCATCGCTGTGCTGGAGATTAGAAATAACCTCTTCGTAGACTTTGTTGTACTTGTCTTTTGCTGCTATGAGCGCGGCCTTCTTCTGCTTTATCTGGTCATCTAGAGCCTTTAATCTCTTTTGGTCCTCCCTCCCTTTGCCTACGGACTCCCGAAGCTGGATAATTGCGTTCTTTGAGGGAGGTTTTCTTGAGCGAGTGTTAAGCGAGTGCTTAAGATTCTCTCTGAACCATGGAATTCCCGCAAAGACGTACTTCTTCCCACAATCAAATTCGCTATCAGGTATATTGTCCGCGCCTCTAGTTCCGGGTTGCTTAACGTTACAACCGTCCATGCTGATCAATGAGCCTGCCAATATGGTTCCTAGGACTTCCGCGAGATTAACCTGTTCTTTGTCTTGCCAGGCGCGAAATAACGTAGCGTAGCGTACGCGGAGTTTAAAACCCATCACATATAAACAGGAAAGTAAAAGGCCCCAAAGCTTAGGCGTTTTGTCGTGTATGTGTGGACTAGGTAAGTGGCACTCCGCTCTCTGGTTGATATAGCCGGCGTTCCCAACCATCAGTGGCGATTGCATCTGGTAGATTTCTTCGTCAACGTCGGGGAGCAGGCGCTTCTCCAGCATGGATATAAAGGACAGAATTGGATCGGATATATGCACATTTCTGCCGCTTTGCATCTGATTATCTCTAGACTGACTTTTCCAGCGCGGATTGAAGTCCTCAAAATTAGGTCTATCGAGTTGATACCGGGTCTTAAACCGTGAGATATCATCGATTTCCATTGCTTGCACCATCGCAGCTTTATCGGCATCTGTAAGTTGACTACTGCCATAAATATCATCCGAGTTTTGCCTTTGGTAAGCGTCCACCGCTTGGACGTATCGTTGCAGCAATCTTATCAGCTCCCTTAACTCTCTCGCGCAAAGAAACTTTCCCTTTCGACCTTCTATGGAGACGAATGCGACGTAAGCCCCCGGCCCGTTGCTTTTGAAGATATATTCTTCGTTAGCTTTAGTAGCAAAATCCGGATCATATAAATCCGGTCCTAGAGTCTTCATCAGTACAGACCGAAGCATCTTAGGGGATAGCGAATGCAGCAATATCCTCAAGTCATCGCCGAAGTTAGTATCTGCTATACCATTTACCATCTCGCCGTTGATCATGGCATGGTATATTCCATCGTACGTTTCACCCCTATCCAGCATCTTGACCAGCTCTACCACGGCGTCTGGCATGACCGGGAGCTCGGCCGACTGCTCTGGCTGCAAGTTAAGATCCATGGCCAGAGTTCTGTCTTCCTCCTCTAATACCTCCCCCAATACCTCCCCCAACACCTCCCTCAATACCTACCCCAATACCTACCCCAATACCTTATACACCTCTTATACCTTTTGTAAGCTCTCTACCATATGTGGCGGTGCGTTGTGGCGTATATTAACAGGGTATCGTTGGTGCACGGCCGTGGGTTTAGGTTGGACTGAAGTTGAATTTAAGTTATGGTGGGTTTACCCCGGATTACAAGATACGATAAGGACCCACAGCTGGCCCCACATACGTATCTAGATGTATCATTAGATCTAGGATCTTATAGATGCCTTTAGGAACCTCTAATTCATCTTCATCTCAACCATAATCAATGCTGAGCCTACACTACCTCTAGGCATAGCTCTAACCTAATTACATAGTAATAGCCTCTGGCCTCGTAATATTGTAAGAAACCCATCACACTCTTCGTCAGTACTGACATTTAATAGCCGCCAAAAGTAGCGTGCCATCACAATGGTAACCTCGACAATAGATCTCCCCCGCCATTCTCCAGAGGTAAATTCCCCCCTTTCTGTATTCCTCTCTTCCCAAGATACTTGAGTTCGTCGCCCGGATACCTCTTGCGCAGACCGTTAAGCTTTACGAAAGAAGCGGGAAATATAGCTATAGTCGCGACGGGCAATACCTATGTAAATATCCACGCCGAATGCGCTCCCGAATCTGATGCTAGAGGCGGGTGTTAGTGATGACGAGTTCGCTTACGTCCGGTGTGTAGACAATCAATCTCAAAACCGTATCCCTCGGCGCTGTGGGACGTCTAGTACCTCCTTTGAGGCAGTAGACTATCCCATCGGCCTCACAGCATTACTCTACCTAATGGCCGCGTGGTATAGGTAGCCTGCGTTAATCAGGAAAATCGTGCAGTTATGTCGATCCAGAGGCCCTCGTCGCTAGTACAGTCCGCATGTACCGGACCAGTTATTATGCTCTAGTAGGATTTTAACACGCTTGCATGGTAATCAGATAGCTAGACCAAGTCACTGCGTGGGGAAGCTATTTAAAACATTGTGATGAAGTCTCCCTTGTCGTTACCATCACAGAGGAATTAGGAGACGAGACAACACAGTCATAGGTCCGTGAGCATAGCAGACATCTACGACGATTTTAAGTAATGCCTTCCATGCAGCTGGCACCCCGTCGTATACGTGGTCTACACCCATAGCCTTCAAAGAATAGATACGTGTAGGTCTTCGAACGCACGGAATTTGTAGTTTATAGAACCCTAAAGATGAACTTGGAACTCCAGGGATGTCAAAGTCAGATCAAATACTGGCTTCTGTACTCCCATTCCCCATATAGCGCGCCGCTCTCTGGATATTTTCAATTATAGCTGTAAATCGACCCGAAGGGCCATTGTGACCGATGGGTGCCCATCTGTTCGTAGCAGGGCCGTTCGGTCCATATCATAGATTTCAAAATGGAAAGGCCAGGTAACATCCGAGGAATACTGTGCTTGTGTCCGAGTACAAAAGCCAACAGTCATGTTGATTTCCCAAATCGTCAATATTGGATTCGTCCATTAAACCCGGCCGCTACCTGAGCAGCTGGACTCGGATTTGGGGGTCTTCCTGGAGATATGTGAAGACGCTTTTGATTCTATAGATATCGTATGTGTAATCTCTCTAGGGATGCGGAGTTCCAACCCGCTACTCATTCTGCGGATATCAAACTATGGATAGATTCGACTTGGCTAGCAGGACAATATGGAGCTGCTTTCAATTTTTAATTCCCCAACGCGGCTTGAAGCGTTGACAGCGAAGTCATCAACTAGCCCTACAAGGTTAGCTATGCCAATACACTGATGTGATAAATAGCTAGAACTTACTCTCACTGTTACGGTGGCCTTGACGTAGTACTTTAACCCCCTTACTAGCCACTCTGGGGGCCGCCTACCAGAACCCCGTTGATGGGGTTATTCAATAGCCCGTACGAACCGTAACGCGAGGCTCCAATCTATTCGATCTAGGGACCAGCAGTGTCAACGGCCTCAGATCATAACTGGGCCCATCCTGGTTCGGTAAGGGCTACCTCCAGCGTATATTGCCGAGGAAGACGCTATGGATAAGTCGTAGCCCGGAAAGCTTAGTTGCTTCACCATCATAAGCGGCGATATGTAACTACCAACCTATACGTTACGCTAGAAATTAGCCCTCGAGTCCTTCGACTCTACCGTACGGTATTCATATCGACTAGGATTCTCTTCCGTAACACGTCTTAGCTTCTTGGGTATCGATTGTAGACTGTAGTACCGCGGGCGCAAGCTCGTCCTCTGGGTCCTCAAAATTATCGAAGTTTCGTGCAGTCCCGGCTTTAGGCGAGAGGTATCCGGGCGACGCCACTTCGTCTTCTTTAGCCCAGACTGCTTTTCAGACTTCTCAGACTCCGTCGCTGCGATCCTACGGCTAGTTCCGGGACGAGCGGCCGGTGTTTCTTACCGCGAGCATCTCTTCGATAAGACCCTCGAGCTTAGTTAATCCTTCGCTAGACGCGTTTTGTACCCCATATCTAGGACTTGAGAAACCGACGAGGCGCATCCACACCTAGCCAACACAGACCGCTACTATCTGGTAAGCGTTCTATCACGCGGGGAGGTGTCCCGAAGATCCGTTCTCTGCTGGAATATCTTCCTCTAGGTTACAAAGTCTGCGTTCTACTTGGGGATCTCTACGATTGATAATTTTGATCGGATTCTAAAGCCTAAGAGGAGTTCGTAGATAGTCCTAATACAGAGGAGCGCGCGTGGTTTAAATCATGCGGCGGCGCTAGGATATTGTCCATAACGAATTATATATTATATTAAACCACGATGGCAATGCATTCCCCGTCCCCCGTCCCGATCACCGCCCAGGACTCCAGCGGCATTAATTCGTCACACACCTTTAATTTTTCTGCTAAGGAAGGCTGTCGCCATATCATTCCCGCGTATACGCTCGTCTCGATAGCCGGGAACGAGGTGACTTTCAGCTTCCTGCGTATACCTGCCCATTCGCCCTCGGCCTGTCCCCGAGAGGTCATCCACGACGCTTGTCAATTCCAATGCTCTCCCGTCGTCCCTGAGTATTCCCTACCAGAACCCGGAAGGCGGAGACCTCTTGGCTATTTGGGATACTCGTCAGACAGGTCGTCATTTAACATTACAAGCATTTGTGCTCGTAGGGTAGTCGATCGAAGAGTTGACTAGGCAGCGCGGCACTTTGCTGACGTATCAACCCCGGTTGCTTAAAGGAAATAGTCTAGCGTTGCTGTTGCCGTTGTCGTTTCTGTCGGCGCTATCGTCCCCTTTTCGCTTGTAGGCCCATGATGAGGTATGCGAAAGCTGATAACACCACGGCTTTGACGGCTGCGTCCCGGGCCAATCGGACTACCTAGCGAATGGGAATGTATCTCCTGGGTACGGTCTCCCTTTCTACTTGTAGGCAATAGCCGTAAATCTCGGGGTTAAACGACATCTAGAGGCTAGACTCTGCATCGATAGGCAAGGGATAGGCAAAGGATATGCATGATACCAGATTTTCCAAGTCGTCAACTTTGGGCTTAGGTACGTTAGAGCTTTTCGACTACGACATTGCTGCTTTAACGCACCGCCATCATAATGATCTACCTAACTATCCGGCAGTCACCGTAGCAGACACCGTAGCAGACACCGAGGAAGAATAGGCAACTCCCAGAGAACCCGCCTTCGTACGAAAACTTGATAACGGAGGGGATAGATACGTCTTCCTCTCAGGAGGTACCTGCGACCCGAGACTTCGGAGGGCTACTAAGACTCACACAAAGGGCAGGAATGTCAAACCCAGAGAACCATCAAACCGAAAGGAGATCCACAGGACCATTAAGGTATAAGATCAGACTCAGTTGTAGATATTCTCAAGGATGTAATATCGTTTGGGGAGCTTCTGATTATAACCATATCAACTCTAGCGAGCTCTGACACTGCACCCGGGCACCGTAAACGTCTTGATAGCGGTTACGCTCAACGCGGGTATTCAGGTCTAGTTCATAGATTCTAGACGAGAATATGGGTACGTTCTGAAGCGTAGATTGGGTACTCGGAACGCCTATGATGGTAACGATGGTGTAGCAAGGGTAGATGCGCACCTATCGACCTGGACGATGTCAGTGTTAGGGACGGGCGTACACAGCAGGTTTTGGACAATGACCTTGCCAGCCCTCCAGACCACCACTCTACTATGACTTCCTAACGCGGGCCGGCACAGAAAAAGGAGGTGAATTTCGTGGTGGTTTCGACATGGTAGCGTTCACAACACCCCCGCGATCATCCGCGCAAGCATCAGCACGCTGAGAAGTATTAGCACGCCGGCGGGTTTCCCAGCTTCCGATGGCTTTTGCGCGCTTTTAGGCATCCAAGGCTCACTGGTTATATACAGATGCTTCCCTCCCTCTTCCGTTCGTCGCACCCAGCCAATATCCCAGCGGGTACCGGACGAGACCGAGACCGAAAAGGCTGACACGTCGTCGTCGTCCCCTAAGGATGACTCGGAGTCGTCGTCGTCTTCTGGAGAAAGCAGCCTCGCCGCCGCCCCTGCCCCTGCCCCTGCCTCGCCGTCAGACGAAGAAAGCAAAGACGCGGATGAGCCGGAGGTGAGATGGCCTCCTTGCAATACGCCTTTGCGAGGGAGACCGAGAACACCGGTGCGAGAAGCAGGCGAGCCAGAGGGCGAAGAGGTGCGTGCTATGTTCGGACCGCAAGACGTATTGCACTGCACAGGGTTCCGACCATAGCACCGTCTCCATTCCCTGAGATCTGTACTGAGCTGCTTGCGTCTGACCCATGTATTCAGCTTCGCAAAACGATACCGCCGTACTGGCCTGCCGTTTCGATGACCAGCTGACAGCTCCCCCGAGATTACGTTGCGTGGACATCCGCGTATCAACATCACCGGCCCAGTATCCGGCGGGGTTCATCTTCACAGCCTGCCAGTGCTCTCGTATGGGGTCTGCCGAGTATCTGCGTAACCTCGTCGCCGCAATTGATCATGTCCCGTGTAGCGAGATGGCCACCCGCGCGACTCTGTTAGTTAGGGTTAAGTTAGGGTTAGGGTTAGGGTTAGGGTTAGGGTTAAGGGTTTAGGGTTAGGGTTAAGGGTTAGGGTTAAGGGTTAAGGGTTAGGGTTAGGGTTAGGGTTAGGGTTAGGGTTAGGGTTAAGGGTTAGGGTTAGGGTTAGGGTTAGGGTTAGGGTTAGGGTTAAGGGTTAGGGTTAGGGT